AGGGTTTGACGAAGGTTTAGGTTGCGCGCGAGGTCTCTGTAAATGTATCTAATACTAGTAGCTCTAGTATTAACTAAGGCCTTAAGATTACTTCTAGTGTTGCCTTGTTAGACTGTGCAGGGTATCACGATACAGCGTTTCTATGTGTCGGTTTGGGATTCAGACCAGAGTTCAGCAGAGATTCAGTGTATGCGCGGTCCTAGGGAGCGACTTATCCTCGGGACGAGGCTTTTCCCTTTCGGGACTAGTTGCGAGAGCGTCTCTCTTAAGATCCTAAGGATCAGGAAGATCTTAAGGTATTGGATCCTGCGGAGCGAGTACGGATCTAGTTATTTGTGCTATGCGATTAGATATGCTAAGCAGGTAAGGGGACACTGCAGTTGCTGGATATATGGCCTTTCTAGTTACATTTAAAGCAGCAGCCTTCCTTAATTCTCTTCTAGCGTTCAGCCGAGCTAGCGGGTGCGTAGTTCATCACGTCTATATTTATTACGTTAGGGTGTGCTACAGGGAGACGGCGTAGGCGGTCTGGTAGGAAGCGGAGGTTGTTGTCGTAAGTAGATATGAGATTAGCGTAGTCGTTTAGATCGTTAGGCAGGGCTTCTCTAACTATTGCGCGTTGTAATTCGTAGGATAGGGAGTTTCGGAGGGAAGCAATAAGACCAATCTCATTTAATCTAGTATTAGCGGCTAGTCGTTAGAACTTAGCGAAGTAGGAAGTAAAGCTGCGCTTCCCTTAACGTAATCCGCTTAGTTAGCTAAGTGCTGTCAGCTCTTTGTTCAGGTCTCCGTAGGTGGCTTTAAGGAAGGTAACAAGCTAGTCTACAGTATGGACGTCCTTGTCTATAAGCGGGTTAATAAGGGCTACAGCGTCCTTCTCTAGTTAAGAGTAGGCATATAGCAGGCAGGATCTCTCGTTTAGGTATCAGTTAGCGTTACCCTTAAGCTTGTACCTTAGCTTGCAGACGAAGGCAGGGAGGTCCTTTTGTTAGCCATTAAACAAAGGCGGGTCAGGCAGGCAGTCAGTTTAGGGCAGGTCCTTAAGGCTCGCAGTTGGCGGCGTCACAGGCTTTAAGCCACTTCTAGATAGCTCCTCGAAACGAACTTGCCTAGCTTTAGTGTCGGTACGGGTAAGAGCTGGGGTAGTAACAGGAGCAGACCTAGTCTTAATAGTCTCTATCTCTTAACAGAGCTCTAATATCTGTTGCGCGTGTCAATTCTCTTGCTCGGCTAGGTTAGCAAGGAGTGCTTCGTTGCTAGCCTTCAACGCAGCTGAGTCCGCTTAAATTGCGTTCAGCTAACGCAAGATTAGCTGCAACGCGTTAGGTTGTTCGTGGGTAGTTATAGTAGGTTGACGCAACGTAATGTCACGAGATGCTACGAGCACGTGTTTAAGAGCTTACTAGAAGCGTTAGTTGTAGCTACGTACGATATCTAGTGTAATACAAGACGTTGCGTAAGGAAACAGAATTAGCATGTACAGGCGGTGAGAAGTTATCGATGGGGGCCGTGCGCATGGCGCTAGGCCCGGCCGGCCAATCAGCAGAATCCTGGTGCTTGGCGGAGCACTCGGATTCTGTAGCGCGTTCAGTGTCAAGGGAACCACGGTGGTTACCGTGACACTAACGTTTCTACTCCTGTTATATTACTTACGTCTCTTAGCCTCCTATCTGCCGCGTTGCTAAGTTCTTCCTTCGTCCTATAGGAAACTCGCTGTACGACGCTTATTAGGGCCTAGGCAACACTAACTAGTCTCTTCTTGTTGCTTGCGGCACTCTTTACGCTTACCAAATCTTAACTAGACGTGACTCCTACCTTAAGGCCTTTATTATCTATACCTGCAGTGCTCTTAACGCTTCCCCGTGCTCTAATAACTACGCTTAAGCCGTACGTAGTAATAAGCCCTTTACTACTGTTAGATGAAAATGCTGAAAATGAGCTTAAGAGAAGTTTATGATTGCGATGATGGATTATGTCTTGATCATTGTTGTTTTTCGTTGGTCTGTTCTCTCTCCTTTTTGAACATAAACCTGATACATCGGTGATACCTAGGTGATACATAGGTGATACCGTCCACGATGCAGTATCGCTTACTTCATCTGACAACTACTTTTACTAGCTGCGTATCTATTACAGGGGAGTAGAATAGTGCTTACTCTAACTGCGTTTAGTCTAAGCACAGTGCGCAGTGTTAGCTTCCTTATTAAAGAGTTACTAACAGCAGAGGAGCTCCTCTTAGTTCTTGTTCTTGTACAGGTAGTTGTACTATTTGCGCTCCTTCTACTAGTGCAGAGTAGTTTATTAATGCTAACGACTAAGTTAGCGCGACTGCTAGTTCCCTCTTCTCTAACGAGATCCTGTAAGTAACTATACAGCTTACGTACGAGTTAGATATAGCTGTAGGGCTGCTGTATTAGCTAGGTTCTTCTCTAGTTCTTAAGTAGCTTCCTAAAATCTAACCCATTTCACTAGATATTCAGCTGGTTGAACCAGTATTTGAGCTGACTCTGATGGTTGTCAACCTGGGCTTGCCGTTGGTGAACTCGACAAAGCCCCATGCATTATTAGCGTCTTCAAACGCAGCAAGGTCATCATAGACGTTTCGCTGGCCGATAGTCGTTGCTCGCTTGATCTTCCTCTTCGGGTTTTGGAAGGCCAGATTCTACATCCAAGAGATATCGGCCAGTATCGATCTGCGTAAGGTTCAGCCATGATCGCTTGGAACAAGAGGACTCACATGATGAATTCCCACGTCAAGAAATATGCCGCCAGACTGAGCCGCAGATGCCACGAAATGACCTATGATTGTGGGTCTACGGCATAAGGTACTCAACACACGTACATTCACTCACCTAAAGGATTTTGTACGTCGGTCATCCAGGTTCGACCGCGTGAGTCTCACCGAGGTCGCCGCGGTCAATTAAGGCCTTCGCGTCACGTTAAGACCTATCATCTAAGACAGCATTAGTTCTGCTCTATTGCCAATGGGAAACACATTCGCTTAGCGAGATGGAGGCTTATAACGGCGTGTGAATAGGACAGGGAACCTGAGATCAGGTTGGGATTGAGCGTTCTCACTCGCGACAAAGGTGGTGGTGACGTCGACAGAGATAGGCTCCTCGCACATGACGTGTAGTCCCAGTTCGAGAGCTTGGACAATCAAAAGAGCACGGGTAGCTGTCGCTGTGCAAATCACGACAGCCTGCGCTCCACTTTCCTTGAGGCACTCTTCTCGACCTGTGAAGCGCCTGACGGTTGATGACAGATGCTGCGCAGCCCGAACGTCGGTGCTAGGCGAGTCGCTTGCACCGTAACCTTGCGATGATCAGCGCGAGGCCGGCGCTAAAGCAATTCCGACGAACATGCGCTGATTCGCTGCTCCACTTCAGCTGGGTGAGCAACACCAATGAAAGTACTGGATCCACCTGAGTGTGTGTGTGACGACTGTGCCTCAACTGCCCGCCCGGGGTGTGCGACGTTCATCAACAATCCCTCAAAAGTACATCTTTCTTCTACCCTTCTGGACACCTTCATCCCCGCACATCACAAACGATCATTAAAACCAGTCTTCGACAACATGGCGCACAATCAGCCTGTAGCTCCTTCTATTGTTGCGTCTGAAACGTGGGATATCTGCACACCTTCTGCATCTTCCGAAAATACCACAAAGAACGCTTTGGGTATCGAAATTCCACAATCTTCTATCCCATGGCCTGGGCGAACCTATATCATTCGATCTCAGAAAAACGGACAAGTCATCACGTTCTTGGACGGCAAGGTCGTGATGGACAAACCGGGAGGGCTTGGTACTTTCAGGTGGCGATGCGTCGAGGAGAAAGGTTGGATGGGGTTTAAGGATCCAGCTTCTGCGCAATACCTTGGTTATCATGAACATGGGCTTCTGTTTTGTAGATCTCCTCATCATCGAAACAACGAATATATATGTCCCCGAATGCGCCCAGAAGGTGGATGCGTTCTGCTAGTACGTCACGATGAGCATCTTCGTCCCTTGGGTGTATTCGCAAACGAATCGGAGAATGGGATCAAACAGAAGATTAAGATCATGGACTGGAGCTCTGAGGAGATTGTATGGGATCTTGTTGAGGTACAAAGTCAAGAATAATGACGGCTACTGGCACGGATATTCCGAAGGAAACACACGCTTTGTTGGAAAATATCGCACTAGTACAGCTACCTGTTGTTCGTGATGAAGCAGATGCTGACCTTTGTTAATGTGTACCAGAGTGTTGTGCCCAATATCCCACAACGCAAATGCTATAGGCATTCCATTATCATTGCAGCTTCGACGTGCCTCCTTAGTATATGATGTCCCACGATATCGACCCCTGATTCTTCCCCGTCAGGTAATCGTGCATCCTGCCCCAAAAACGCGTTCGTGCAACCAGAACTAGTTGCTAATTCTCTAAAGATACATGGCTAAATTCACTCAGCCCCACTCCAATTCCTCTGGCTCTAATTAGCTCACATGTTTCGTGGAGGTGTTAGGCGAGGGCTGCAGCTAGGATGGTGAGGGAGAAGGAGAAGGCTGAAACGGCTGCTGAACAGGCCTCTAGGGTAGCTGCTTGCAGGACTGCAAAACGACTCAAACAAGCTCTTAAACCCCCTATACGGTAAGAGACACAGCCTGAAAGCTCCTATAAGAGCTAATATAAACAAGAGATCTATCGCGAGGCCGACAGGTAGTGAAGAGCCTTAAGGTGCTGTAGCAGCCACGCAGCAGTTCTTTGGGGTACAAGCGCACGAAGACATTGGTCAAAAGCCCGGCAGGTGCTTGATTGGAAACCTTGCGGTTCATCACTTATACATACCATTTCCGACCTAATCCGTAGCGAAGCTGCAAGCTTAAGAAAATTGTCATTATTATAAGAGGCTTCGCTTAAGAAGCTATAGTATAGATACACTATAGTGGCGCGGATATACAATCAAGACTCGATAGTGAAGCTTCTTTCTGTGCTTTCGTACTACATACACTACATAACCTACAGCGAAACGCGCTCGATATCGTTCTTCGCCGCATGTGACGTAGCTTCGAAAGGAAGCGTCCCCTGCAGTGCCGCAAAGTTCTTCTCGGCCTCCCAATTCCAGATACTGTCCGACGCGAACAAAAGGTCAATCTCCTCGAGTGTGCGTTGATTCGTCTCAGGGTACAGCGCCCAAACCATAGGAATTGTGATCGCGTTGCATGCGGCGAAGATGTACAGCGTCTTCTCACCAAGAGAGTCGAACATGATTGGACAGAGAAGCGTGAGCCAGCCGTTGCCGATGGACCAGCCAACGACGCCCCAAGCATTGCCTTTTGCGCGCACCTCGAGAGGGAAGATTTCGGCAGGGTAGAGCCATGGGACTGTTAGCCATGTCGCACCGAAGATGGCGGTGAAAATGAAGACCATGGATACCGCTGCATTTCCATATGAAGACGCCGCACTGGTGTCGCCGCGCTTCGTGGCTTCTTGTCCGAGGTACGAGAAGCCTCCTGCAAGCGCCATTGCGATGCCTTGTCCTGCGGAGCCCCAGTAGCAAGTCCAGCGGCGGCCGATGCGGTCGAGGGTGAAGACGCAGATGAGTGTCGCGAACATGTAGAAGATGTTGTTGAGACCTGAGATCCATTGTCGCTTCGCCGGACTCATACCTGCGATACCGAAGATTGTTGGCGCATAAATCGTAACGCCCGCGATACCAACCCATTCTTGCATGATCTGGAGCCAAACTACGAGCTGAACGCGACGACCGGTATGCAGCTTACCAGACCCAATGCCGAAAAGCATGCGGAAGTAGCTTTGCTTCCGGAAATTGGAGCGCTCCAGCTCGCAAGATGCAACAATCTCCTGGAATTCGGCTTCCGCTCTCTCTCTGTCTTCTCCAGCGTCGCCACGAAGCCTGCCCAACACGTACCGTCCTTCTGCCTCGCGACCGACCTTGACAAGCCAACGCGGCGACTCCGGGAAGAACATGACAGCAGCCATGAGTATCATGAGCATGGGGATCTGGAACGCGATGGGGAAGCGCCAGATGAACGAGGAAGTGCCGTCGCCGTAGAAAGAGCATGCGTACTCAAGCCAGTATGCGATGACAACACCAAGGATATTGAGGGTGAATTCGATTGCGATGAACTGACCACGCGACGTGTGCTCCGCAGTCTCCGTAGCCCAAACAGGAATGATCGAGTTGAGGATGCCGGTTCCCCAACCGTTGACTAGACGTGCGCAAATCATCCATTCGTGGTTCATGGCTGAGCATTGCAAGCAAGCGCCAACAGTCGCGACAGCAGCTCCGACGAAGATTGTCTTGATGCGCCCGAAGCGATCGCCGATGGACCCACCGACAAGGCAACCTACCAAAGTTCCGAGATAGTACACTGAAACGATGCCGCCTTGAAGCAAGGTATCGTCCACAACTGGACCGCCATCCGCGCCTTTGTGGCCGAATCCCATGAGCGTATAGTAGTCGTAGGCGGTATTGACACCTCCCATCATTCCCTGGTCGTAACCGAAGAACAGAATCGATAGTCCGGCGATGCAATTGATTCTAGTGAACGGTCAGCGGGGTCTTGAAGTTGTGTAGGGTAGATCGCACGCTATGAGTAGCCGGCGCTTCTCGAATCGATGGACGACATTGTACTTTGAGATCTTGTCCATGGTCGAAAATTGCTTCGCGCAACGTTGGGCCCTTGATTGGCTGTGTAGTATCGCGAAACAATGCGAATGAGTTCTCTGCAAGGCAGAAAAGAACAAGACGCGAAGTCGGGAGATCGCATGAGGGACTAAGACAATTTATACCATGATGTCGTGAACCTAACCAGGTTACATCGTGGATTCTGCGCGTGGTTGTTCAACGCTGTGGAGAAGTTAGCTCCCATGGGGCCCCAAGAGTTAGCCCGGTGGCCCCTCAGTTCTGCTTGGGGTGCGGGAACGTCTCCAATTGCGACCATAGTAATGTGGATACTCTCAGGATGTAAGCTTCTGAAGCTTGCTAGCCGCATGAAAATCCAGCGCAACCTTGGTTGGTCGATCCTTGGTTTACTGAACGCGGTAACCCGCCATCATGCACAGACGCCGCTGTACTTGCCGGAAGCTTGCCGGCACCAAGCCTCGTGCCGAGGAAACCACCGCTTTATAGAAGCTTGCCAGAAGCTTTCATCATGCTGCCGTCGCAGGGCATCGCGTGCGACAACAGATAGATAAACTGCTCGACTGCAATCACCAGGCGATCGTGAAAGTGGCGCATTGTTATCAGACTGGAGTCGCGGGTCGTGGCGTAACGTGAGTCGGGTTTATCTTGGGAAGGACCTAGCTTGACTTGATCGTGGTGGTCGGCTTAAATTCCGAGGTCGCTTCAATTGCCGACAGATGGATCCGTGACAGGGCAAGGCTGTACAATGACGTTCGGATCAGATCTTGGAAGGAATAGTTGGAGAGCCTCAAGATCGCGCGCCTAAGTTTCCCAAAGCGAAGGTCTCAACATGCGACAACCTTTACTTTTCGCGCAGCGTCCGGCTGATATCAGGCTTCGACCTGCCACCGGCCGGATCTCGTGACAACATCGCCCTAACGTCGCAATGCCTTGAGAGATGCGCAATGGATGTGTATCAGAAGGTCAGAGTATGTCGTGTTGTCTGTGCAGTCAGGCTGTTGTAACGTTCACACCAGAAGAGCCATCTGATTGAGCTGCTTCGACGCCAGACTTGATTTGTTGAATACACGCTGAGGGTAGAGGCTGATGATCGTAACGATGAGCTTTTCGGGTGTGTTGTCGAAGGGTTGCACATTATGAGATGTGTATGGTGGTGCAAGGATGAGTGAGTAGCCTTGGCGTTTACCTACTAGAGCTACCTTATCGATAGGGTTCCTTCACGTGCCAACGCGAGTCAGCAACTTTCCGGGTCGTCATCCGTAGGCAACAACACTCTTTATATCGCACCATACATCCAAAAGTAACTCACTCATTGCACCATGTCTGAGACCGCAGCTTGGCCGCCGCCTAACGGCGTCACCTCCAAGATTGTCCCGCGAGACAGCGCCGTCCTCCAGATCTCCTACTCCACAGCCGTATGCGCCCCGGCACCGCTTGTATTTGACACTATCCTTCGCGCCGCGGACTATCAAGCATGGAACACGTGGGTCCCCCGAGCCGAAATCCTCACACAGTCCTCTTCCCCCGAGCGCCTAGAAGACCAAAATGTGCAAGACCGTATGAGCATCGGCTGCACGATGCGTTTCACAGTCGTCATGAACACGGATAAGCCGAACGATGTCACTCTCACACCGCTGAAGGTCGTAGACATCTGCACGCCCTCCTCGCCGACATCGTACCTCACGCCGGAGCTACTCGAAGACCAAACGTTCACAGCCGATCTCAGCAAGGTATACAGGGTTAGTTGGACGGGCAACGGGGGCATGTACGCTTTTGGCATGAAATTGGAGAGATTTCACGAAGTCATCGTCACCGGTGAGAACGAGTGCGAGGTTCGGACCTGGGAGATTATGAGCGGCATACTGTCAAGAGTCGTCAAGTTGATGTACGAGGATACGTTGAAAAGCAAGGTCGGCCTTTGGTGTGAAGACCTGAAGAGATACTGCGAGGAGATGCACAAGAGCCCGGTCAATATGGAGAGGTAGTGCGGTGTTTCTCTACCAGGTGGCGGATACTGTGCAAGAAGCTTGACTTGTAAGAGCCATAACATGGGTGCGAAGAGGGCTGTTCCAGGCTGAAGTCTGCTATACGATGAGTTGTTGGCGCAATATCAAAAGAAGATTCAGGCCAACGAAGGGAACAGCGACTTGAGAGTACCCTGGGGTCACATTTCATCTAACGGCAGGTTGAAATAATAGTGGTGCGAATATACCGCCCGACGGCGGTTGTGGCGATCCGATGCAACAATACGCTCCCGCCACCTCGACCATTGACATGACATGACCTCTTGTCGCTATGGGTTCAGCTTTTCCACTCCGTAACCCTCTTCCCTCAATTTGCACCAACTATGAGTGTTGTAGAGTACGATCCTAGTCGTGTCACGATCTTCAAAGCGCAAGATCTGAGCTTTGGATTGATGCTAGCAACGCTTCCATATATGCGCATCTCACTCTCCCTGCGCTACTGATAACCCATTGTATGATTTGCCGCATCTCCTCCCGCCTGCCTACCTGATGTTCGCATCGCCGACTAGAGCCGCGACGGTGAGATCCCTCGCGCTCCCGGATGAATAGAGCTGCCACGAGCACTTCCGCTTCGACGGGTCCGAGGTGCAACCATAGCCTAACCTCGGAACGCCAGAAACGGACCGTTTCCTCAGAATGAAATGACACGACTACGCGTTCAATGAACAAACGGCCGTGAGGCTGTACAAGAGGACCATATCGGCCGACAATGCCGACTTGGTGATGACAAGCTCACCGCCAATATCCCAAATGTTCAGAGAATGAACTTGGAGTGCGATGAGTACAGCAGCTAGAAGATTCTCGCATTGTTTGCACGTGTGGACAAATGGCTGAGGCCTTCCTATTCGATTCTGCTGGGGCTACTAGAGGCATCTCTAGACCCGTACCCGGCCGTCACGTTCTCCAAACCGGCCGACGCCTCCATTACAGAATACGATCCTTACAAGACCATGTATCTTAAAACTTTCCCTCGTCTGCCCCGTCTTTGCTCCATCTAAGCCTTGACTTATGGGATTCATGGTTTAAGGGACAATAGACCTTTCGCTTTGTTGGTCCGTAGATGTAGGGTCCGAAAAAATATCCTTCGCCGCCACATCACCAACACCACCTTCTCAGGAACGCGATAGACCACAACCTTGAGATAACCAATCGAATCTAATTAGGACGTAAATCTAAGAGTCTCACGCTCTACCGATTGAGCTAGCCGGGCTGGCTTTGTTGTCATGTGACCCACGTGAATTACATCTTTTACCTACAGAACACAGAGAACGCTGTATTGGCACAGTGAGTACGCTATATTTCAGGCGCAATTGTACAAGATAAACTAAAGATGATTTAGTGTGAGATGGGAGATCCTGTCGATTAGCGACAAGTAGATTAACCCTAACCATGCGCTCCTTTCTACAACATCAAGAACGATCTCAGGACGTTAGAGCTGGGTTACGAAGAAGCAGATTCTAACTTCGTTCGAGAGCTGGCGCGATCTCATGCCATATCACCCATCTGAAGTCTCTCTCACCTCATCCAAATCTCTTAGGCGTCCCAAAGTCGCCCCCTGTATACATCTGGGGATCTTTCTGGCTTTCAGGTCAAAGGCGAGATGGGGAAAGTCAGATCGATCAACATGCTCTGGAACGCTCTGATGCATGTTATGGAAGAGCTGTAACTTCTGCGACCGTGACGACAGGCCTTGCCTGGCGACTCCACTCCTTCTCGTGAGTTGGAGGCCGAGCTGCTAGACTCGCTGGTGGAATTTTGTCAATCCGCGAAGCAAAAGGCAGACACTGCAATATTATGTTCACTCACCCGTGGCGTCACGTCTGGCTTTACGAGGAGGCTAGAATGGCTGAGATGGAGCTGGAACTGAGACGCTACGGGGAGAGGAGCACTGTGTCTGTGGCCGCCATCAAAGTGTGGCTGAAGCATAGCATCGATGCTGCATCTGAAAATGATTTGGCTGGAACAACGCGTGCGCTACAGTTCGCAGAGGACTATGGCTTATTCTGAAGCCTACAGCATGGACAATATGTATAATACTAAAGTCATAGGTTGGAAGCCATGGTTCCAAGTCGCTACCTTTGCTTCATCAAAAACACGATGACATCGAAGGCGGGTTTGAGAAAATATATGTAATAAGTAGCGCCCTATGATATGTACAAGCAAGTGCCACCGAATATTTACAAGAAGAGAAGGCACCGTGACCAGGCACAGCATACACTACTAGGCTCAAACTCTACACATCGGATCGTGTAGTCGCGCCAATAGCAGCACCGCTCTTTGGCAGCAAGAAGTCGCTCGCAGGTACCCTCCCATCAGCACCACGCGCCTTCTTCAGGGTAGCAGGATCAACGCTCGTAAAGCTCGAGGTCGACCAGCTACCCGACTGCCACGAGTTGCCCGTAGCCTTGATACCCGACGCGGTCAGGCTAACCTGCGCACTACCCACATTCGCCACAGCAATGTTATCCTTCACAGTCGAGCTAGAGCTCCTCAAGTTGAAGCCCACATCGCCGTTGTTCCACGCAGTGTTGCGCTCGAAGGTCAAGCTACCGGGGTTACCGTTGTCGATGAAACCCTTCTTCGCGTTGGCAAAGGCCATGGAGTTGCGCACGATGTGGTTTGCGGGTGGGTTGTTCGTGATACCGAGCTTGAAGCCGTTGCCGTCTCCTTCGAAAGAACTAAAGCCCCAGCGGTTGAAGCCGTTGCCCCATGCGTATACTTCTTCTAGTGTGACGGGCGATCCGAACATGAAGAGGTCGAGCCCATCGTCAACGTTGTCCCATAAGCGGGCGTTGCGGAGGACGTTGCCCTCGCCTGATCCCTCCTTGCATGCGAAGCCGTCGGCTGACTCTCCGTTTTTGCGCGGGTCGCGGTTGCGGTATGAGTCCAAGTACAAGACGGTGTTGTTTGACGAAGCGCCTTGTAGCTGGAAGCCTGTCTCGTAGTTGTCGTGCGTGATCAAAAGCTCGTAGTGGTTGTGCGAAGCATCGCGGGCGTACACGCCGTAGGGGCCGTTGATAATCCTGGTTGTAGATTAGTGTGTGTAATGGGGGCGATTAAGAGACCAAGTTGTACTTACTCCAAGTTGTAGAACTTCCAGTAGTTTGCCTTCTCGATATGAAATGCGCCGCGTTCCTTGTTAGGCAGAGACTCGTCCAAAGCATATGGCGTTCCAGGCATTCCCTCACCGTCGATGATGACCTTTTCCTTCTCGAAGGAACGGAGAGTGATTGGTTGAGTCCTAGTGCCGCTCTTGGTGATCTGGATGTTTGTTGTGGGCTTGTATGTGCCCGCACGGAGGAGTATCACATCGCCAGCCACGGCAGCGTTGACAGCGGACTGGATCGAGCCAAAAGGTGCGGTGGACGTGCCAGTTCCTGTGCCTGTCGGTGAGACGTAGATGTCTTTCGCGTTTCCGGTAGCAGAAAACACTGCAACAGCAGCAGCGAAAGTAAGGGAGCGCATGTTGAATATGATAATGATAGTCCAAGACGGGTGGAGTGTGTTCTTGCAGGTCAAGGTTGGATAATCACCCCATCACTAGAAATGCCAGGTACAATATATACTACCGCCATCACTGCCTCTTCCACCATGACATTTCGCGCATTCATCATTCCGTCGCTTGTCATGATGCTGTACTTCTCGTGTCAGTTGCCAAGATAGAATAGATGAAATATAGCGCTGGTATTGAAGCTCCACCAATACCTTAAATTTCCGACTCTTCGCTTCCTACACATGCGCCAGACTACGAGCAGCGACGCCTACTCCTGACTGAGCAAGGCTTGCTGTACCCCACAGCTCGCCTGCGGTAATTATTCATGTCGCACGTGTAGTGTGCATGAAAGTGGGTATGATTGATGGATTGCACAGACGGAGTTTCAAAACACTGCCAAGAGGGCGGAGGTTTTCGCCATGGACCAGAGGCGTTCGTCAAAGTGCACTATCCGACAACGCACACCGGAACAATATTCACCGAGGATCTAGACTTCCGGGTCATGGTCTATAGTACGTGCAACCCAGATTGATGCCGATGTCGCGCCATGTCAAGTCGGCGTGCACAGGCCATGGTGTAGTGGTGAAGTGATGATGAGGTGTGATGTTGTAGCGCTGAGAGGCCGACTGGCGGCAATCGCGGCGGGCCGAAAAGTGCCAAGCTGCCCCATTGACAGCATCAATCCATAATCCATGATGCCTGCTCGCGAACACGACTGTGGCAATGGACATCCTTGAAACTGGTATTCGCAGGGGGGGTAATGTATTCGAGGTCTTATTTGGTGTTCCCACGTCAAGGCGATGAGTCCCCCTGCTGGTTCGCCTTCCACGTTAATCTCCTCTTCAAACATCCCCGTCCCTTGCAGCGTTCAAAGGCCACCAATGAAATGCCATGTGCTTGACGTTTCTCCTGTTTATATCTCTGTCCCTTGATCCAGTCGCTTTAGACAACAGCCTGCGAAACGATGTTAGAATTTGAACGATTTCTGGAAGTCCTCGATACATGTTTCCTTTGTTGGGTTCCCGATGTAGCCAAAAGCATCGTGGCAATATAGTGCCCTCGTAGCATGCGCCGAGAAAATCTTGCCGAGCTACATTGCGTTGAATTACACTGGAGGCGCGAGGACTGTGATCCGAGGACAGCTTGCGATGAGGTACCAAGGCGAAAGACTTCTTTGCCATTTCATAGGAAGGCAACACCAATACTTCTGCTATCCACTTACATACGGACTTGGTGATTTGATTGGCGGGAAACCCATCCTTGCCACGTGAGACCTTGATCGGTCATGTCCTGGTTGTCTCCCGACGCACCGGGTTCCTACTCATCGGCCCTTGACCCACGCCGCCATATCTCTATCTCTTCTGGTGTCCCCACCCCGGGCTTTGGCTTCCTAAACGTACGTGTTGCCCCTACTCTCACTCAGCCAAAGCTCTACCTCCTCCTCCCATGTTTCGCAATCAAACTCCTCGACTCACCGCACAGCCATATATGTGGTCCAGCCTCGCCATCCTTCAGACCATGTTCGTTGATGATGTTTTCAATCTGCTTTGCTCGACCGCGATTGGCGCTGAGCGTTGTGAGGCCCTCGGCCCAGCCGTACAGGAAGATAGACTTGTTGAGGTGACCAGATGGACTCATTGATAGTTCGTCGGCAACGGTGGTGGCTACGGCGGGGAGATTAGCGGTGATGGCGTCTATGTTCAGGGATTTCACCGCGATGGGAAGGGTGAAGTAGGGCGGTGGAGGATAATCAGATATCTTAGTCTTGGGATCAAGTTAGTAAGGAACTCTATTTTGACGTGAACAATGTGTGAATCTGTACCCATTCTTCAACAAGCTTGTTCGACGGCCACGACTCGCACTCGCCTTGTCCGAGCAGTAGATTTGCTCTCAACTTCTCCGTATCAGTAGCCAGGGTCTCTACTATGAGGTTCATCTGCTCAGCAGCTTCGCGCGTGCACACCATGGGATGCGCACTAATGGCGGGATAGAGGTGTGTTGGTAATAAGTGCTCTTCAGCTTCCTCATCGATCTGAGCACATACCTCCCCTGGATACCAGTCGAGTTTTGGGCAAGGTTTGTGAGAGATGTCGGAGATGAGCGCAAGTAGAATGGTGCAGTCGATATTCAGTGTGTTGCTGAGAGCCCGTGATCGATCGATGAGCAGACGCGGTAGCACAGCACCTATTGAAAGTGCAGGCGGAATGTCTTCTCCACATTGTACTATCGCACCCGTAGCGCGTATCTTGTTGATAATCATATCGATGGCCGGCGTCCTTCCAGCAGAGATTCTGGTAAGAACAAATCGCACCTTGGGTGGTCGACCACGGATAGGATTTGCCCGTGCAGCTCGCGCAAGCTCGCGAGCGTTTCGCACAACGTCGATTTGGTCTTCGTCGTCATCATCGTCCTCGGGGGGACGCGGCATGTCGTCGTCTTCGTCCGAGTCTGAATCATTGACCCAGCCTAACTTTGCGAGGTCGAAGAGAATTCTCTTTTCTGAGACGGTTGATACTCGTATCCATTCCGCACCCTCTTCCGCGACGATATCGACAAGTGCAGAAGTTTTGCTCTTGCCTTGGCTTCCTTTTGTTAAGCTGACACCTTTTGCCGTATTCTTGCCTGCTGGTGCTTTGTGTCGGTCCCAGAAGAAGTATTTGCGGAAGCTTTGCAATCCTGTCGAGCGCTTCGCTGCACCCCACAACGCTTCGTAGTAGAGAAGATTTGAAGACACAATGTAGTGACGAGCCTTCTCTTGAGCCTTTTCCTCATCCATCTCGGAACTTGCGAGCTTCTTCAAGAAGGCCAGCTCGTTGCGCATGTCATTGCGGAGGTTTCGGTATCTGCTTCTGTCAGTTTCAAGAACTCTGGTATTGTTTTGGCACTTCTGTAGTAACTATCGCGGCTAAGCTTACTGATAGAGCTAAAATCAGGGGACCATTTTGCTATCTTGGGTAGCATTACAGCTTGACGTACTCGACCGGATTATAGACTTTTCCAATTTTTTGCTTCTCAAGCACTGCCGCAATGTACGTCTCAACCTCGTTATTGAGGTGGTCACCACGAGCCACTAGTCCCTGAATGGTAGCTTCAAGCTCAGCCCTAGGGGTGGGCATCTTGTCGTTACCCGATTCCGTTTGCAACTCCAAGTTGCCAAGTTCTTGGGTTATGAAGTCCGCCATGATGCTGCAGGGGTCAGACGCAGCAGTACCAAATCTGGCTTGTTCGACGGTGTTTGCTAAAGCGTGCTGTAAAGGGATTCGCCTGGAATGTCTTAGTGGCAGCCTCTTTCCCAGACTCTTTGTATGGTTCAACTCTGACTGTTGTGCGGCACTTGCAATGGTTGATTCGGGCGGTAGATGGGAGCTAATGGGTTAGCTTTGACTACCTGAGATGAAACCTTCAAGCGTTGAGTCAGGCGCGAGATTGGTCGTGGAAGGTTTGAGTGATCGCTCAACCACTCACACTACTGTGGCCTGATTGGTGAGCAATTTGCGTCAGCCCTTTTTCTGGGCACTTGCTGCGTGGCAGGGTATCTAGGTAGGAGTCTTGATTCTGGTCTGGACCGATGTTCTCCCGAGCGACCCCGCCAAAAGTTGCCCGCCTACCGAACCCACCGACCATGCCTCACTCTCACCCTCCGAATACCCCAGACACTACCTCCAACCATGCCATACTTCGAGACTAGCGCCGAGTGGTATGAGCAGTCGTCGCTCCTGCTCAAAGCGCGACCGACATCCGTATGCCAAGCATCCCTCCACGCACGCGACCCACCATCTAATCGAGCTACTAGACACGAATCACGTCCAAATACTCGGTCCTCAAACCCACAGCCTCCAAGATAAAGAAGCGCCAAAAGTACGAAGAGAAGAGGGCCTCGAGGCCTGCAGAGCCGACGCGTGCATCGTCACCACCACCGCAAGCGCAGAATCCCGAAGAAGTCACCGTCTTCTTCACGCTGAAGACGTACGATCCGGAGTCGGGAACATGCCTACAATATGAGACGAACAAAGGTGCTGAGGTCGGAAGGTTAATTGGGAACTTAGGGAGGTTAGGAAGGCATATGGCAGCGCTGCCGGAGACAACAGACGATCTGAGCATGCCCGCTGGCGGCGAGGGCACATCTACACCACAGGTGGATGAAGGTGGAGACGTGAAGATGGGCGGCGTATCGACAGCTGGTGCGGGCACAGGAGGCAAAAAGAAGAAGAAGGGCAAGAAATGAACATCGGTACCTCGCAATCGCATCACACTGCACGCCGCACACCACGCCTTAACTGGAGAGAGAGAGAGACATCTCAGCGCACAATACCTCGAGACTTATAGGGATATAGATCGCGACCCAGTCACTGGTGCTAGGGCGAGGGTGTACATTGCGCAGGGCTACGAATTGAAGATACCCAATCCTGCATCAGGCATACCATTTCGTGAAGTTCGTACAATCATTGTCTTTGCTGATAGTCTCCAAAGGTCTAACTAGCAAACAAGCCCCCTCTATAGGCCTTAGGGCTGTGAGATTCGCTTCGCGCGCTTCTTCATACACTCCTTGGTCTTGCGTTCCTCCACCTGCTTATGCTTCTTAGCGTCCGTCCTGCCAACAAGCACCCACTCGGCATTGTCCTGCTCATCCAGGATATCATCCTCGTTCACAATCTCCCAGTTTCCCCCACCATTGGCGCTCGACTCAGCTATATTTAGGCCAGCGTCGTTGGTTCGATGGAGAAAGTCCTCGAGCGGAGACTTTGCGAGTTGCACCGTGTTAGTGCCAATGTTGGAAGACATTGCGGCGGCTTGATGACTGAATCTCCTTTCTTTCTGGTTTCTCGTTGCTTAACTGGGCGGGAATATAGATCGAGGTATGGGTGTAGGGAGTATCTGGTAGCAGTAATCGTGGGAGGGTCGTGGTCATAGTGCTAGACTGACAGCACGCAGCAAGTATTTGTACTTGTATTTCGCATTTTATTCGGTCGTCGTGCATCAATCAAAGCTCAAACGTGGTTGTGAATGTCTGCACCAATTACCACGACACCACCCATGCATTGCGCCCGAACAGTGAATGAACCCATATTCTCATGCAAGTGACGAGCGCGCTCACAAGTAAGTATTCAACGACAACTATAGCGATGGCACGCATCACAGCGATTCCTGAGCTTTGTGCGTTATGTCGAGGCTGGCTGCGAGTTTGCAGCCCCATGGCGCATCCACTTGGCCTGACTTATCAAAGGATCATGCAAGACTAAACCATGGTTTTCATCAAATCCAAAAAGATCAGAAATTCCTATCATTCACAGAGCGAATGCGTGATACGACGAGTTCGAGTCTGCAGCGTTGGCGCATTCGTATGCCTCGGCTGATATTGCTTATTCGACGGGTGATCGGGCTGCTCCTTCCACTTTGGATGGAGTCTTGGCTGCGGCGCGGCATCGCTCCAACAAGGCAATTGCGACGCTGAGACTTCACCTCCAAAGTCATCACTCCTATCCATGACGCAAGCAATGTGAATACAACTAGACATGGCGACTCCCTCGTTAACGCCTTTCGCAGAGGATGGTTTTCCTGGTGCTTACACGCTGATCTGCCCGGAGCTCAATCAAAAAGATACACCCTTCTATAGAGAAGGCATGTCCCGGCTCTTCGAGACAAAGAACGAGGCCTGGCTTTATAGTATGTTCGTAAAGCCTACACCGGAAGTGGGACGTATTCAAAGTTTCCATCCTCCCAGTGGTGACCTCTTTGACCGCCTTCCAAATGAAATCATCGATGAGATTTTCGATTATGTTTTGGCTGATAGCTATATACAGGATGGGGCCAGCATCCGTCATAACGAATATCTCGTCAATCGCGAGAATAGAAAGATTGCCAGGGAGGATTTCATCGCGCTAGGCCTCTCGTCCGCTCGCTTATGGCCACTCGTGCTGAATCGCCTTCATCGGAGTTATCGGAAACATCATTGGGCAGGCAGGAAGGTTGGCTTCCATGCAGTACATTCAAAGTTCACCGCCGAGCAGATGAAGAACTATGGTATCGAGGGTACGAAATACATGGGGGATGAGCGTATGATGTCTAGGGCGCAGCAGTCGGTGGAGGATTGGAAGTGGGACTATTTCAGCACTACTCCAGACGGGGAATGGGTCGACATCATCGATCATCCTATCAATGGATACTCAAGTGAGCGAGCATTCAAAATGTCCAAGTATGAGTTGGAGACGAGGCCGGACGACCGAGAGAAGATCAGGCGAGATCTCAAGCGGACTAATTTGCATATTACGGAGAGAGATTGGGTGCTCCGTAACCTTACAACCAGACAATATGTGCGCTCCGATCAATTAGAAGAGCCAGAAGAACCAGCATCAGATTGGAGGGAGCCACCTAAAGCTAGGGAGCCATTACTTTCCAATGTGAAGCGATTTTGTAAGGACCTTACACAACAGATGAGGAAGAACTCGAAGGATAAGAGACGCTCAGAACCGGAGAAAAACTCACCACTTACTCTGGCCATCATCTTTCTCTTCTTAACATGTAGTGCGCCAAACACGTGGTATCACTTTGAGAGAATGGACTCCCCGAAGCGATATCTCAACTTCGAAGACGGCCCCTGGGCCGGTTGCGCATTCGACATCATCCCGCTGGAAGATCACCTACAGTCTTGGGAACAAACAGATAATATATGGTTGGACGTGAGCAGAGAAGTAGTCGCCGATATCGCCAACCTGCGCTTCTGCATCTGTAGGTATCACGAGATGAGAACTTGGGGTCACAAACACTATGTCTCTGATCATAACCCCACAGCATACTCGGTATACTGGGATGACTACTGGGCCAATGTGACGCGTACAAGGAAGCTACACCGGCAGTGGGTGAGGACATGTCCGCCTCGCCCCTGGATAGACGAGAGTATGTACACCCCAACATAGGAAATTCGAAGTGACCAGAATAAATCTCCCTTTCACTTTAACTTCAACACCAACACAATACCAACAGCCTCGATCTTCACAATCCCATCGTCTCTCCTTGATATAGCGTCCCCCAATGCTCCCCTCTAAGATAGCATAACCTCGTCCGTCCCTCAGCGAAACCTACCCCAGACACCACCTAGAACCATCTCCATGCTCACACACGTCGCTCTTCAAAAAGCCCAGACAACAACCACGCACCTACTGCACAGATCCTCCAACACATATAGGCAGCTGATCTACTTTCACATCTACAATGGAACACTGCACTAGACTGTGCATCTGCGCAGTGGCCCGCGTGCGTCGCGCTAGGCACAACTCAAACTGTCTGACCAACGGCCCACCAGTAATGCGTACGCGAAGCCGTACCATTGCCAAATCCTTTCCGTAGGAACCCTTTCCATCACTAACGCCAAGAGCAATCGTTGTCGGAACTGGTATCCTCATCAAACAGGCTTCAACGAAGAAGCATGCTGTCGCAAGCGAGAAGAAACTGTGTAGGAAGCGTCTTCAGCCGAAGAAGGCTTTAGTAAGAAAGAAAAGGATATAGAGGAGGAGGAAAGCAGGTGCAGCTTTGGGATGGAGGAGAGAATAAGGTGATTAACGGATCTTGGTCCTGCGGGGTCAGTTGGGATGTGGGAGGTTGATGAAGCTTTTGCAGAGGGGGTGGAAGAGCCCGGAACAGATGATATTGAATATGGAGAAAAGGAAGAATGTGGGACGGAGTCCAGTGAGAGAGACGTTGTGAGAGAGTGCGCTTGTGGCAGAGCCTGCTGGCGGGCTTGTCTTCTTCACGAGCTTGTTTGCGAAAATGGTGGTCGCGCTAGGTCGCTTGATGTCTTCTTCACGACTCCATTTGCGTTGACATTGGAAGCGCTGATCGCTTCATGTCTACTACTCACTACCACTACACATCGACGGCTACATCTACAAGTTCAACAAGACACTTGCCAAACCCATACCAGCACCCCACGCGGCACCAACACCCAAACCCTTCCTCTGCGCCTTACCCTGGTACTCGGGCATTCCCGCTCCAGCACCAAAGTTATGCTCAAAGCTTCCATTCAGCGCAACAGGGCCCTGAACGCTCTGTTCACTGCCCAGAACAGTAATGTTCTGAACAACAACATCAGTCTCGTATCCAAAGTCTCCGCTCATACTGAACACGCCGTTGTCGTACGAGAAAGTGATCATCGACGTGGACGGCTGCTCGATGCTATCGCCATCGTCGAGGTACAAGGAGCCAGTAGCCTGGTTGGTAGCATTCGGTGCAATCCACAAGACGAAGTCCTTCTTGCGTAGCTCTGTCGTCGTGTTTGCGGATTCGGCGCGGAGAGGCAGAATAGATCCACCGCGGATATGCAGAGGGATCGTATCGAAACCGACGTCCGTGAGGTTGATCATGGATCCGTTTCCTTGGATGCGCTCGCCGGTCCAGTAGTCGTAGAAGACTTCGTTGGGCAGGTAGATGGACACGGATGTAGAGTTTTCTTCCAGCACGGGCGAAACGAGGATGGCGTCGCCGTAGAAGAATTGGTGCTCGATGGCGAAGGTGTTGGAGTCGGAGGGGTAGTGGAACCACAATGGGTTCAGACTAGGTACTCCGGTGGTGGTCTGGCGGTGGAAGGCAGTGTAGAAATAGTCAAGCAGTCTGTAGCGTACTGCAATAGCATTCTTGGCCGCCGCCGTGGTCAATGGCCAGCGGTAGTATTCTTGGTCAATCGATGTGTCTCCAGCGTGGTTCCTCATGAAGGGGTAGAAAGCACCAAGTGTTGTCCAACGCGCGCAGAGAGTCTCGGTGGTGTTACCTGCGAAACCGCAAATATCGGGTCCGACCATGGGTATCTGGTAGATGGAGTTGAAGTTCAAGATGCCGGCGATGGAGAAGCGATATTGCGCCCATTCTGAGACGTTATCACCGAGCCACTTTCCTAGGTACGTACCGAGACCGACGAACTAGATATGTCGTTAGCTGCAAAGCCTCATGATGAGGTGGTGAAGACTTACAGTGGAGCGGGTAATGATCAATGGACGGCGCTCAGGGCGGCGCGCAAGCATACTCTTGTGCGAAGCGATTGACATCATCGAACCCCAGAAGTTATGAGTATCATAGTGATACGTTCCGTCATAATTCTGGATATCGGTATCGAGTGTCTTATTGCTGATCGACCCAGCAGCGTTCGCGATCTGGTACTCCGGGTTGATCAGATCACGTCCAGGAAGACCGGGATGCGCAGCAAGGTCTGCGGTGTTGTTAGAAGCTTGACGCTTGAAGCTGGAGCGCTTGCTGAGGTGGGAACTTGATTGACGGGATCTCAGCGCGCTAGAGTTGGATTGGGGCTGGAAACCTGCCGGGAAGCCAGGAATTTGACGACCGTCAGCAGAGGTGCGGACTGGCGGAGGCTCAGGCGGGTTCTTGGACTCCTCCGAGTAGGCTACAGGGTCGGCGCAAGGGTACGGGCAGAAGTTAGCAGGCTCGTTCATGTCGTTCCACAAGCCATCGATATCAACACCTGTTGCGGGATCGAAAAACGACGCGAACTTCTCATCCCAGTACTGCTGGGTGTTGGGGTGGAACCAGTCAGGGAAGACGGTTGGACCTGGCCAAACAGCACCCTCGAAGAAAGAGCCGTTCTCGCGCTTCTGGAATACATCAAGCGCAGCTCCATCGTTGTAGCCATCGTAGTCACCGCTCCAAACAGCGGAGTTGACCATCATGATGTAATGCTGTTGGTGGGCATGAATATAATCAACGAGCTGGCGAACAAGATCGAGCGGGTATCGCTCCGGATCCAGAGTGAATAGACGGCGGAGCTCCATGTAGTCAATATCCGTCCACATGGTCTGCCTAAAGTTAGCGATGGAGAAAGGAAACTGCCGGGGACTGCACAACTCACCTCAAGAGGAATATCAGCCGCAGAGTAGTTAGCAACTACCTCAGCAACTTGCCAGACATCACGGTAACCGTATTTACATTGGTGAGAGCCAAAGCCCCAGTATGGCATCATGGCGGGAAGACCAGAGAGAGCAGAGTACTGGGTTGCAACTTCTTTCGGTCCAGGACCGGCAAGGAAGTAAAAGTCAAGAACACCACCAAGAGTGTTGTACTCCAGGTACTGGCCCTCGGAGTCGTCAATCTTGATGTCCATTCCCTCGGAGCTGGCCAAGAATACACCGTGAGTACCATTCTCACCGCGGTGATCAAAGTAGATGGGGTGAGCTCCGTAAAGGTTGGAGCCTTCTGGGGTGCCGTAGGCGTCGCGGTTCCAAAGCTGGTACAATTAGCATGGTTTCAAGCCGTTCCAATAATGATACTCACAGTGCGAGTGTAGTTGGTGGTGTTCAGATGGAACGGATCAGTCGATTCTCCAAGACCATACAGGTTGGGAGAAGGAGGCAGAGCAGTCCTGAGACGAAGGTACTGCGTCTCGAAGACAAGAGATGCAGCCGATGTGTCGAAGAGGGTTTCGTTGGTCTCCCTACGCGTAATGGCAAACGAGAAAGGGCTGTCTGTCCAGGTGAATGCCAAGGCAGAGTTTTCTGGATCGACACCTTCAGCATCGGAAGGACGCGGCCAGACGGACTCTTGGATTTGGAAGACCTGTTCAGCAGCATCGAAGATCTTGACGTGAAGCCGGTCGGCTATGGAGATTGTCAGCATGAAGCTGATGATTAGCTAAGCCCAAAGAACATACCAGTCTGATATTCGACTTCCAGTTTGAGGTCAGTCAAGTCGTCGCCGTAGACATTGCAAGCGGTGCCTGCAAGGCTAAGGTCTGCGGTAACCCTGGAGCCATCATCTTGAAGATTGCTCGCTGTATATCCGGGGCATCCCTCAAGCGATGAGCTTTGCCTTTGGACAAGGGAACCCGCAAGTGCAGGTACCGCCGCCCCAAGAGCGAGAAGTCCCTTGGTGATCATGGTGCCTGATGGTGTTGAGAAAGCCAGGACCTAAGTTGGATGCTGATCTTTCGGAGGAAGCAATGTCCTTCTTATACTTGAGCCTATGCAGCCCGTGTCTGCTAGTCCAATACGCTACAACAACAAAGCATGCATCGTGATCTCGGTTCAGACTTACCGTTTACATAGCTAGAGTAGGCGGATATGCACCCAAGACGCGCTCCCCCGCAGTACCGTCATCATGGAGGTCGGTCCTGCATGGCTTGGCAACGATGCGCAAGCCAAAGAAGGAACATGGCGGGGGCATTGGTTCCGCAGAATCACGCTATGGGTGCTTGATTGCCCGGAGACCTTCCACTTTGGAGCTCGGCTGCGCTATAAAACGTGAGAGGCGGAAGAGTCTGGGGTAGATGATCAAGTTTGTTTCCGAGGATGTGAAGCGCGATGCAAGCGCGTTGGCGTTGATTCGTTGAAAGTCGGAAGTGAAAGATGCCGGTCCGACATCTGGTGCCGATGAGCCCTCCAGCTCCAGCTTGCCAAGACGACGGCTGAGCGAAGTCAATACATTGACTAGAATTTGGTGAAATCCCGTGAGTGGCTGAATCTAGACGAAAGGTTTTCACGAAGCATGTAGCCCATACCGTGAAGCAGCTCATTTCCTTCAGGATCATTGTTCAACGGCGACTGTACTCCAATGCTTGGCGGCAGTTTGACAACGAGCACCGGCTTTAAGGTTCATGCTCGGTGTCATCCTCAGGGAGTATTCTCGCCAGCCAGAGACATCTGGCACATAGTGAACATGGCGGGTAGGAACATCGTATGATCTGACATGGTACTCCCATTGCTGCATCACCGAATTTTCACCCTAATGGTATACGTGTTGGCCTGTGTCAGTATTTCGGTAGAAGAGTAGCAATGTGTACCTATAGGGTACGTTTCCAGTAATCGGTAAGATGAGCTTCTTCGTAGAGCGTCTCGTTCTCGAGCATCTTGTACGCGGAGGTGCACGGTCCAAACCACTAGCGCGCTTCTCACTCCAAGACCGAAAAGTTAACGAACGCGACAGCATCAACATCCAACACCACTAATACCCAACCATGCTCTGCGCAATCTCTGGCGAAGCTCCCCGCGAACCTGTTGCCTCGCGCAAATCAGGCAATGTCTTCGAAAAGCGCCTCATCGAAGCACACATTTCAGAACACCACACCGACCCCGTCACGGGTGAAGACCTCGCGACAGAAGACCTCATCGAGCTCAAATCACCCAATGTCGTCACTCCGCGCGCGCCCAACTTCACCTCGATACCGGCAATGCTTAGCGCCTTCCAGAACGAGTGGGATGCGCTGGTTTTAGAGACGCATACGCTCAAGCAGCACCTGGCGCAAACAAGGCAGGAGCTCAGTACTGCTTTGTACCAGAATGATGCTGCGACAAGGGTTATTGCGCGGATATCAAAAGAGCGGGATGAGGCGCGTGAGGCTCTGTCAAACGTCACCGTTAGTGGAGGTGGCCAAGGCGATGCGATGCAGGTGGACGGCCAGGGCCTGCCTGAACAGCTTGTAACCCTTGTCGACGAGACACAACAAGAGTGAGTCACCTCCAAGCTTTGGAGGTCCACTGAAGATCTCCAAGGCTTCCTATAAACTTTTAGCTAACACGTACAGACTGTTCGGCTCGCGACGAAAGCGACCCGTACCGGCCGGCTGGACTTCTGGAGACGCCATCTCCAACTACGACCTTGCCAAAACGACCGAGTCCTTATACCCGGGCAGCAGCGGTATTGCCGTGAACGAGGCGCAGAATGTATTGTTTGGCGGAGCTGATGGTACTGCGGGTGTCTACTCGTTGACCCAGGGCAAAGTCTTGGAGACATTTAACGCAGGCAGCGCAGTGACATCGACGGCATGGTGGGGGGATCGCGCACTCATCGGAACATCGGCAGGCACAGTCAAGGTCTTTTCTAACGGCGATGAGGTTGCCCAAATAGGACAACACGCCGGAGCTGTCACGTCCATGTCCCTACACCCCAGCGGCAAGATGCTCGCAACCGCCGGAGCAGACAAGCGATACGCAGTCCACGAACTCACGACCTTCAAGACTGTGTCGCAAGTCTACGTCGAGGCCGACATTACCTGCGTCTCTTTCCACGTCGACGGCATGCTCTTCTTCATCGGAAGCTCGGATGGCAACATCCGCATCTACGATATCAAGACTGGTACCCAAATGGCTGAACTCGCAACTTCGGCGCCAGTTACTGATCTGAAATTTTCTGAGAACGGAACTTGGTTCGCTGTCGTACAGGAAAACTCTTCCAGTGTCGCCATCTGGGACATCAGGAAGCAGGCAGCAATCCATACGCTTGAGTCTGGCAGCCCGGTTACCAGCTGCAGCTGGGATTACACTGGCCAGTTTTTGGCGATTGGTGGAACTGGCAGTGTATCTGTGCAGCAGTACACTAAGGCGACGAAGAGTTGGGCTGAGCTCGTCAGAAAGGCAGCGTCGGCAAAGGACGTCGCCTGGGGCGGCAAGGCTGAAAACGTTGTGGCGCTGACTACGGAGGGTGGGTTGGCTGTATTGGCAGCACCTTAGGTGGTTATCTGAGAATATACACCGTCACTTGGCTCGGCCTGCGTAAGTAGAAAACGCAGCAACTACCCCCAGGGGTATCTCATGGTATCAGGCATAGACATTGGAGCCATGCACTTGTATTTGAAGAATACATAAAGGGCGCCGCGGATTGTGGTTATAGGCGTAAATTAGTATGTAGCATTATGGGAAAACCTGGGCGTCTTCTTGAGACCATCAATCTGAATATCATATTTCCACATGCTGAAAAACACTACGTCACGATGGATCTCGCATGCGTAAGGAGGACAGTACACAACGGCGTCGGGCGCGGTAAAGTTTCAGAAGATAGTAGAAGCCTGTCGAATATTAGTCGGTGAACGGATGCTTGTCTCGAGTTGCTAGTGAGGTGAATGGTGATTGAAAGATTTGACGTTGTACGGTTTGTCATGTTGCCCAGATGGATGTTCCAGCGCCACCACAGTTTCGCCGAACTCAGCACGCCAACGGCACCATACGGGCCCAACCCTCCTTCGACACGACACTCACCTCAGCGCCGCTGTTTCCTGCTGCCACCCTCGTCCCCAGACCCCGCACACCGTCTCTCACGTCCGGCATGGAAGAAGCAGGACTGCCTTTTGGGTATACGCACAGACAACAGAAGGTGAGTGCCGCCGACGGTAGTACCAAGAAAGTGAGCGGAGGTAGGGTGAATAGGCGCTGATAGAGACGTCACGCAGCGCTCACATGCTCAAATGGACGAAGAGGAAGCCTCTGCCTCGCCTGCATGGAGATATGAGCCCTTCGCCGACGACCGCGAAGCTCCACCAACCTACCACCCCACGGGCCTCTCCTTCGACGACCATTACGACGATAGACAAAGCCCCGCGCGCGAGCAATACGAACCACGCACACGCTATCATCTCGAGCGCCAAGCAACACCCAGCTTCGAGTCCGCATTGCGCTCGCACGCCCGACCACCGATAGAACGCGCCTCCTCTAGCGCCGTACATTCACATACCGCAGGCTTACACCTGCCGAGAGTGGACAATATGGCGTCATCAGCAACAAGGCGGTTCGAAGGCGACGGCTTCGACTACAGGCGGCCAGCTGGCTCGGCGAGGAACCATGAAGCAGCAGCATCGGTTGACTTGACAGGGGAGGAGGATATGGCTATCGACCTGAGCCAGGATGACGATGTGATAGATCTCACGGCTGACGATTTGGGATATGGTGCAAGTCACGATGGTCATAATGCACGCGAGCAACATCGACACAGACAGCAAGAGTCACACCATGGTCGCCGACATGCGCCTCGTCTACCACGGGGCATGGATATCATCATCGATCTCGACAATGGAGACGAAGAGTGGAATGTTGATGCACCAGCACCAGAACCGAGCTCACCTGAGATTGAATTCATTTCTTCACGTACAATACCGGGCCGACGCCTTCCTCTGCCGACACATGGGAACGAGAACAACTCGGACGGAGACGAGGTGGAATTTGTACGGGCAAACGCATTACCAGAGGCAGAGCAACGGAGGCGGCAAAGGAACCAAGAGTTGGACAATGTCATGGATCTCTTTGGCACATTAAATGGACGTTTCACACATCTCCGAGCCCAAGTCGATCGATTCCATGCCCAGATCAATCGAACAGCACATCAATTCAACGAGCCGATTGCTCCCGCTCGTAGCGCGTCTCGTGGCCGTGCACCGCATGTCCGAGTGGGCGCTTTCATGGCGCCTGTGTTGGACTTTGACGTAATAGGTTTCGAACTTAATCCACGAGCACGCGAAGCACCACCTCCACCACCAACTTACAGCGCGCCACCGAAAGCTCCAGAGGGTTTTACGAGAAGTCCGGAGGAGGATGGTGGAGCGCTTATATGTCCTAATTGCGAGGAGGAGCTGTGTGTGGGAGGGGACGAGACGAAGAGGCAGGTGTGGATTGTGAAGGGATGTGGTCATGTAAGTCATTACTCTCACAACCACGACGAAACAGCTAACTGACAACGATAGGTCTACTGCGGCGAATGCACAGCCAATCGATCGGCTAAGCGCAGTGCAAAGGGCAAGGAAAGACCAGCGAACACGAAGCCATTCAAGGAATGTGTGGTCGACGGCTGCGAGAAGAACGTGTCGAACAAGAAGAGCATGATCCAGGTCTTCTTGTAGTGTCATGAAGCAAGAGACGGATTTCTCTCACGGACCTTTCATATCTCTCTCTAACTAGGGCTCACATCTTGGCTTTCCAAGTGATGGTTGGGTGTTTTGACGATACCCTTGCTTGCATTTCTCAATTTCGGGCTATATTACCATATCTTCTTCGCATTTCTGTTGCGTCTGCATAGCACGGTGTTGGCATGTATTTACTCTCAGCTCGTTAGCGTTCAATGGGCGGTCTGGTTCTTTGTTTTTTTGCGTACCAATTGCCTTGATGTACGAGGAAGCAAGATCCGCGATGAAGGAATGATGTAGATTTGCAAGTAACATGGCCCTGCGTGAACTTTGAAATGACCTACTCATGTACCCCAGTTTTATCCCACTTCCTCATACTTGAGCAGCACGTGTTGCTCTCACATATACTCTTGAAATCTGATCGGTCCCTGAAAAGCTAGGAAGATCAATGTATGATGATCTCATCTCACATGGTATATCCGGCATCAGCCGCGCCAAGGAAACCAGGGTCCTCAGGTACGCGAGCGAGACCGAGGCCATGCGAGAAATGCCAGCTTGCATCCATCCTCGTGCCTCAGGCATACAACACCCCGTTCAACTCCAGTCATAACTTCAGGATCGCCGTTCCTTTCCAACTCCTCACAAAAGCCACCCGCCTAGGGCCAAACTTCCAGCGTGAAACATGTCGGCAAAATCCAAGACAGCAAAGGCTGCTGCGCCAAACGACCAGCGACCCGCAAAACAATCCGGAGCGAAGAACGCATACCTCCTGGCTTACAATGCCGTCTCTGCAGCACTGTGGGCTGGCGTACTCTACCAAACCGTCACAATTGGCGGAAACGAAGTAGTCAATGCACAGAAGGCGGGAGCGTTCTTCGGCAGTAATGACTGGTTCACTGCAACCAAGCGGGGGCTAGCCAGCGGAAAGGTATACGATAGCTTAGAGGGATACACAAGAACCGTACAAACGCTCGCTGGACTGGAAGTCTTGCACAGTCTAGTCGGTACGTCTCTCCCCGATACCCATTCTCCTCCCCTGGACTAAAAGACATTTATTAATCTGGTGGATGATGTTAGGTATCGTAAGGGCCCCCCTTCTCACCACCCTCATGCAAGTCGCATCGCGCTTCCTGCTCGTTCATCTCATCGCCTCGCCCCAGGCTTTCCCGCTTTCAACCCGTCATAGTCCTGCTTACAGCACCATGCTGCTTGCGTGGAGCGTGACAGAAGTGATTCGGTACTCTTACTTTGTCTTCACTCTCTCTGGCGTTGGTGTACCGAAGCTGTGGACTTGGTTGCGGTACAACACGTTCCTTGTTCTTTACCCCTTGGGTATTTCGAGTGAGTGCTGGTTGGTGTATCAGGCTATCCCCTTGGCGAAGGAGAGGAATGAGATGTTTGGATGGGCGCTCTGGGCTATATTGGCGGTCTATGTGCCGGGGAGTTATATTTTGTTCTCGCATATGTTGGCACAAAGGAAGAAGATTGCGAGGCAAAACAGGCGCGTGTGAGGAGGCCTGGAAGAAGAGGAGTAGGTTGAGGGAAAGCCGTGTGTTGGGGTAGTAGGAGGTAGCTGTACACAGGATCAAGAAAACAGTAAACGTGCGGAATAAAGCATCCTTTTAATGGTATATATATATCTACGCCAGTGCAATGTATACTTCCTACTCCTTACCCCCTTCCTTCGGCCCTGTCTGCGCATTCCTCTCCCCAACATCTAACGCAACTAGAAACCTAGATACGCAATTGTACGCCGCTATCGTAGCCGTAATTTCAACTATTTCTTTCTCACTAAACTGCGCTTGCTTCAATTTATCAAATACAGCATCAGGGACACGGACGTCCAGAGTCATGGCGTCGGTGTACGCTAGTACTGCGGACAGCTTATCTCCAAGAATCTCAAGCGGTTGTCGAGGTTCGGATTTCAGGACTGCGTCAACCTGCGCCTTGGAGACATCCGATGCAGATTCGAGGATTGGTGAGTGCGACTCCCACTCGTACCATGCTTTGTTTAGCACGGCGACGCGGCATATGGCTGTTTCGCGGATGGCGGTGGGGAGACTGGTCTTGGTGCGGATTGAACCTAGGAATGAGTTCCTTTTGTAGAGAGTTAGTTATAGGTCCCTTTGCTATACGATGAGGTGATTTAGTACCATCCATCAGCAATGGGAGGAGCATGTAGCAATGTTCGGTCTAGAGCTATGAGACCCTTCTCGCCTCGCCGTTGTCTGACGCGCTGCTCGACGGCTTTATCCTCTTCGGACGTGAAATTCGGGGGGTCAGGGACGTATGGTAGACGCATGGTGGGATTGGTAAAGAGTTTGTGCTGAGTTGATTGTACTTCAGAATCTTGTCTCGTATCTACTTATACGAATGGGGATGAGTCAATCAAATTGGAAACGGAGTCAAGCCATATGCTCGTCGCCATATATCCCGAGGTTGGGCTGTAGTTTCGGAATGCATTCCGATCACCGAACCGGCGGGGGGCTAATTACTACTGTCTTCGCTTACCGCTTATCGATAACGAGACTTTCACCACTCTTTCCCACTTGGTTCTATAACCCATCACACTTGGTTCGCAATTCGAAAACAAAAATGGCGCCCAATTCCAAGCTCAATGCAAAGCGCAAGGCGCAAAGAGAAGGAGGGAAACCTGTGAAACCAAAGAGCGAAAAACGTTCGACCATCGCCGAAGCAAAAGGGCCTGGGATATCGTACATACCCATCGAACTTCAACAACTCTTATTGAACATCTTCCGGAACTCTTTCGCGGAGAGGTTGAGTTCGGACTTCGGTCCGCTGTTACAGGAAGTCAAGGGTCATCTTTACAATCGCGATTTCACGACTGCTTTTGGAAAGAATGAGTATCTAGAGGCGTATGCGGCTAGATGGAGTCCTAGTCGCGCGTTGGGGTATCTGGATTTGATATGGGAGTGGAGGGACGAGCTATGGTCGGATGAGGAGGAGGAAGTAGAAGAGAATCAAGAAGTCAGCAAAGAGGGTGTCAAGTCAAAGAGCCGGAAGGTCGTATGTCTTGGTGGTGGAGCAGGCGCGGAGATTGTGGCTCTGGGCAGCATGCAGAAGTTGATGTCTAGCATGAGCTCAGAAGAAGAAGGGAGCGAAGTTGCGGGAAAACATATCGAAGTCGCCGCGATAGACGTCGCTGACTGGAGCGTGGTTGTGGAAAACCTAGCGAAACAACTTACTACCGCGCCGACGCTGAACAAGTACGCATCGGCTGCTGCAAAAGCCGCAAACGTCCCGTTGCTCAACCCGGAAGACATCTCAATACAATTCAAACAGCAAGATGTGCTTCAAGCTTCTGTCGAAGAGTTATCCGCTCAGCTCGCAGATGCAAATCTCGTAACGCTACTCTTTACGCTGAACGAACTATATTCAACATCAATGCCTCTGACCCAGAAATTCCTTCTCCTTCTGACGTCGATCCTCCAACCCGGCGCGCTTCTCCTCGTAGTCGACAGCCCCGGAAGCTACTCTTCGGTCACTTTGAACGGCGCTGAGAAGAAGTACCCGATGCAGTGGCTATTAGACCATACATTGCTGAAGCAAGCCAACGGCAATCTGAACGAGCGAGGCAAGGAAGAGATAGTCCGCTGGGAGAAGACCAAAGAAGATGATAGTAGGTGGTATAGGCTGGACGAGAGACTGCGCTATCCGATTGAATTGGAGAATATGCGGATGCAAGTACATCTTTATCGGAAGCTGTAGAGTGTCGGGGTATAATCAACGGAAATATCGGAATTGTTACGCATACACTATACCTTTGCATATCCCGCTCTTATTACTTAGCAGACCTTTTTTATGTAAGGTTATCTTTCAAATGAGCCTCTTCTGTGTATCTCATACCACTCTTTGATTAAGCTCCAACTATAGAACATGTTATGGGTTTGTTGTTTGACTTACTAGTTTTAGCAGGGTCTTAGCAGACACGCTCAAGTCGTTAATTGCCCATTTCATCTGCTTACAGAGCACGTTATATCAAACCCCATATTCTGGAATGTGAGAAGCTTCGTAAGTAAACAAGAGAGTTCTTCGTTTGTGTGAAGTAGTATATTGTCTAATTAATATGCAATAGCTCTATACTTGGAAATATCTTCATCCAATCCTCGCAATGGTTCTATCAGTCGTATGCGACTAGCATTTACTCATACCGAGCCTTGATCATGTCAGCTGCTTTCTCGGCAACAGCGTACAGCGTCGAAGTCAGATGGCCGCAGACTTGGAACGGGATGACAGAGGCATCGACGACGCGGACGTTGCTAGTGCCGTAGACGGTGAGGTTAGAATCGACCACACCCCCAAGCTCGCGCGGCATCATGGCGGCTGTAGAGATGTAATGGAAGTTGGAGCGATCTAGAGTATTGAAAATCGTGTTAGCTTGATATTCACTCATGTTTGGTTTTGTCGCGGCGGACTTACATGTCGATTTCAACCACGTCTCCCAGACGGCGTCAGATGCATTGGTAGGCACTAGGTTCATTCCAGGAGTGACCTCGCCAGAGAGTGCTTCAGAAAAGGGCGCCGTGTTGGCGAACTTCCTCGCCATCTTGGCGGTCGCAATCTGCTGATGGATGTCGTAGTCCAGCATGAAGTAGTTGGGATTGATGTGGGCCGGCGCAGAAGCATTGGTAGAGTTGATGTGGATACTACCGCGCGAGAAGGGAAGAAGGCCCCAGTACTCGATTGTTATGGGCCCTGCTGCTGCGGGCGAAACGATAATCTCAGAAACAGGAATCTTGTTCTTGAAGATGAGGTCGTACTGCACGCGGAAGAGTTTTTCGGTCACTGAACTATCAATGATGCCACTGGCGTTGGCTGTTCTCTCGGCATAGTTTTTGATCGAGTTTGTGACGCTTGCGTTGAGAGCAGCGAGGTCTTTCCCAAATACATCCTCTGCGTTGAAGTAGGCCGCATAGCCAGCAAGTCCTGTGAAGTTTGTACCGTTGTTGTTGGTGTAGAACATGTCCATGGTAGTCTGATCTTGTAGGTTTTCGCCAACAAAGGGTAGATCGACAACAACATCAATGCCGTGCTCTCGAAGAATGCTACAGGTCTCGTTAGCTTCCATATATGCACACTTGTGATGACTGAAATACTTACGATGGGTTTCCTACACCAGACTGCTCAAGAAGCAGGGGCGATCTGAGACTACCTGCCGAAAGAATAATCTCGCGGTTGGCAAAGATGGTACTCCTTGTACCGTTGAACCCTACGAAGACAACGCCACTTGCGGTCCGTCCTAGGTCTCCGTTTCCCGATTCCGGATGCCAGATTATCTTCTCTACGAAAGATTCGAGATAGATGTCAAGGTTAGGCCGCTTCGATATGGGCCAGTAGTAGGCCCGACCAGCATCTTCTCTGACATTTTCTGCTTGCTGAACGGTCTTTGGAAAGACTGTCAGGCCTCGCATGGATCCTGCATTTGGTTCCTCGTTGAGAGGAAGACCCAGCGCTCCGAAAGTCTGATTGATGGATGATATGACTTCCTCGCTCATCATGTTGTCTGTCCAGCCAACAGCTAATGGGCCAGATGTACCGTGAGTCTCAGGGTCAAATGAGGCACCGCGTTGGAGCTGGGATGCGCTTGGTTGCTGAATGTACTCGCTCTTCTTGTAGTATGGCATTAAGCTCTCCCAGTTCCAGCCTGCATTTCCAATATGTTGCCATGCGTCTATCTGCGCAGCTTCAGCCCGCAGATATGTCATTCCTACAACGCAAACCTGTTAGAAACGTCATTAGGCTACAGGCGTGCTTCTATTCACGAACCATTAATATTGCTTGTTCCTCCAAGAGCCTTGCCTGCACGCAAAACCTGCGAGGCATTCCCAGCGTAGACTTGAGGAACGCTCTCGTACTGCCAATCTATGGCAGTTCCAAAGGCCTTTCCATATTTAGATGTATTCGTTATGTTGGTGTTGTAAAGCTCAACACCTCCAGCCTCGATGACCGCAACAGATACGTTGTGATCCTCGGAAAGACGATTGGCAACCACAAGACCGGATGTTCCGCCGCCAACAATTATATAGTCGTATCGTGGGCTGTGTTTCCAAGCGTTATCTGCATCTGCCGACACTGCTAATGCTGCAGGTACCAGGAGCAGTGTAGGAAATGCGATATGCATAGTAGATATTTCGACGAGAAGGTAAAACAAAGATGGCTTCGTGATACCGGATTAGGAGAAACGAGCAGATGAGGACTAGTTATTTGGGAGACAATGCCCTCCTATAAATAATAGATAATGGTTTAAATTTTCTCATGGCGTGTAAACATTGCTGTAAAGGAGCTCGCCCAGTAACGGCAACAAAAGTGGACCGTTCTGTTGGTGCAACTATTATCAAGCATCTTGTAAGCTAATTTACTCCACAATAATCATCTAAGTCTCGGTCCGATTTCGTCTTCTTATCGAAGTACTAGGCAACTACTAAATCAGATCATTGCACTCTATTATCGCTTTGAACGACACGTACAGCAATCTCAAGAATTAGATCAGATCTTCGGTTCCAGCACGATATGACGGTGAGCGCCGTTCCTATATCGCCTCTAGGTTAACATGGCAATGGCGTGTCACATTCGGTGGACCCTATTTCCAATCGTGAACACTACGGTCTCACAATCCCACAATTTACTCGTACAAGATGCGCTAGGAATCTCGACTCCTCTGAACTGCAATGGTGCTTCGTTCGTCATGCATTAAGAATGCGCCTTCTAGGTGATATAACACAGAAACTCTGCGTTGGTGCGCTGGGTTGTCTAGATAGCCCAAGAGTTCATTCGCTATCGAACAGGTCCTTCACATCCATTGTGGTCACGCTAATTTAGACGGAAATGCTGATTCGACTTAGGTAAGTCGAGCAGGATGCTATGGCAAGGGCATGGGCAAACGGCTTGAGATTTTTTTATGTTGTGGAGCCTGTTGTTCACTATATCCCTGTAATTCTCCATCATGTTCATGCCCTTCGTAAGCATTTGAAATGGTGCGCACGGACACTTCATCTACCGGTACTGGTACCGGTACGGTCCGACTTCGTAGCCACTATTATGACATCGCCTCGCAGCCACCCTAGATTTCAGACAATAACACAACGATGATTGTTGTTGACCATCTTTGTTTCCAACATGACCATGCAGAATCAAGTCGGTAGAACTCGATGTTACTTAGATGGGTATATACTACTCGCGCAACATTTGCATGTCTTATACGAAGGAAAAATCATCAAATCTATGCTACCATACCCTAGTCCTCATAATATTTTCTGAACTCGATACGTACAAATCAGATCTTGGAGGTCGTACAGTTATCTGACTTAATGTGCTCCATCATCTTATCACTCACCACATCCTTTATTTGAAGAGTAGCGATGACGTGTGATGCACGGACACAACGGAACCAATTGAAGAATTTTACGAAGAGACGTACTCTGCTCGCGAGATACATGCGTGCTATACAACACAATCAAGGCTTTACGATCAGAAGAAGTGATATCGGCATCTCGATGTCAAAACAAGACCCTGCTATTATGGCGAAGAGTTTTGAAGCAATCAGTTAAGCGAACACTGGGCAGAAATTGCTTTCATCCGCATTATGTTGGATTTACGTATAGAGTACAACAGTGATAAGGCGATTTAGAGTTTAGAGTGCTTGATAGTGTTGTGCCAGGCGTTGACACTCTGCCGGCGTAGGGTCGGCCAGATAGTCGGATGTGCTGTGCTCGATTTGCGAAGAACAAGATCATCCCATGTTCCGGATGAAGCTAACCAGAATTGGGAACTACCGGCCTCGAGCACGTCTAAGTGGTTATCGTAACGCTTCAGACTAGATATGCTATTTCAAAGATGGGCCAGAGTGTTTCTGAAAGAATCAAGTTAAAGGTTTCCCGACTATATAATGATCACTGGTTATAGTGTATTCGCTATGTTGCTAGAACTCTCATAAGCCGCGTGCTTGCTATATGTACTGTGGGAAAGCCGTTCGCACAGCGCTGGCTATCAGCGCACTCCGATTGTTGGCGAACGCCTTCTTGTATCCTCGGCCCGGTAATTGTATGCGCATTACTGTCGCAGGTGGTGTATGGCAGGATGCAAAGCTTGCAAGAAGCTCATGGCATTCAAAGTGTTGCATGTATGCATTAGGTGTGGCGTTCGGTCGTCATTCGAAGCAAGTTCGTTGACCCTCTCAATTCTTTCACCCACCCCTAACCTCGGTACAACTCCAGCCTCTCTCGCGCTCTCTTTCATTCCCATGAACCTCCTCCGGTCTCCTGACCCCCGAATCTACCCTCTCCATCCTCATACTCGACCGCAACAACTCCTTGGTCACGAGTATACTCCGCAGGCTATGGTCCTCTTGGATGCTACGAAGACTGATATTACTACTTCCTGGGCTCTTTGGTGTCTCTCGGAGACGCGTTTTCTCGTATCGCCGTAGGAGGATGGCGATTAAGGGGACGGCGAGGAGCAGACCGACAATGGCTATCACGATGCCAATGATGGCGCCAGGACTGAAGCCGTCGCTGCGTGAGCTGACGTTGGGGATTATGGCTGGTGGGGCTTCAGGACTGAAGGAAGGGGTCGGTGTTGGTGCCATTTTGTTTGCTTGGTGATAGTCGTGGAGAATTTATGGTGTTCGTTGAGTAATAATGATCGTGCTTGTCGAGTAATGACAATCGAAGACGGAAGAGACTGGATTGAAAGATGCAATAAAACGAAGGTAGTGTAGTGAGCGAGACGAACTGATAGCACAATTTGAGAAAATGAAATCCACGTTCAATGATTAGGATAGGATATGCTGGGCTGTCAGACCACAGTAGTAAGAACACGAGGGGTTTTCATGCACGAATCGCACCATTTCATCACCTTCCAGAACAATCAACCCCCACTCCTTTGCCATGCCTATCCCGACCAAATCGTTGCCTCAGTTGGCCATAAACAGGTGAGTACTGCTTAGCGTAGTTGCAACCCCTCGTTTCCACACTAGAATTGGCTGCGAGGCAAAGTTAGTGGCGTTAGCGACTGGCCAATCATGTCTCGTTGGCTGGCGAAGGAGGCAAACGCGTGAGTAGAGCCGCACGCGGCTTGGCCTTGGGCAGAGAAGGATTGCGCTGGAGGATGAGAGCCTGCAGCGAATGGGCTTGATGAGTGATGGAGGGGTAGTCTTGGAATATGTGAGGCAATTGGCGAGGGACGTGGGAACGAGGTCTTGTTGGGTCGGAGCTGACCGAGGGAAGGCTTGCGCAGGTACATGTTCAACGGTAATCGGACAGTCTTTGGCGAGATGCTGACCGCTTCTTGACGCATTTAGAAGAGTCGACCGGTGTTGTAGGCGCGTGACAGCGATGCTGTTGTTTTGGCATACTTCTGCCCCTTGATCCTAAGCGAAAGTGGTGGATGTTGCCCCTCATTTGCACTTCTCGCAATTGCAACCCCACGCAACAGCCTGGCATGGCGACCCGACCTCGCTCGAACCTGCGCGACGTCATTTGAATATCTCGTTCTACCCAAGCACGGATAAAGATTCCTTGGAAAAGCCTGACGCATTATTTTTGAACGTGCTTGGGTGTGAATAAATCGTCTGTACCTGGCTTACCAGTCAGCCAGGCTATATCATTTGATGCGAGGCCTATAACAAAAGGTCTTCAAATCGTCGGAAGCGCCATAATCGGCACATTACGGCACGTCGTTCTACGACGGGCTTTATGCCAGACTCATTCTTCTGTGCTCTGGAATCACGGCACTCACCTGTCATAATGCTTATGGAGCCGACGTCTGCGGCATCGCGGGAGTGTCTCGTCCCGGTCGCTTCCTAGTGAGAAGCTCGCTGGAGTACGAAGCATCAGTCTAATCATTGAGCCGGTGGTAGATATGAGTGTGGTGTGCCCCAAAGGGATAGCTAAAGAGAAAATTTCCGAAAAGGACTCGCTCATCAAGAGAAGAACGGACGCAGCTGCCAGCCGGGTAAAGCAGCAGTCGCGATGGCATCTATACGAGTCGCCACTTTCGAGAAAAGAGATGACATGAATATGGTATCGTCCAACTTCCTGACCTATATCGGCAGACCGTAATCGTTAGGCTCCCTGGGTTAACACTTGTAGTAGGCGTTGCTTGTTGAGAGCGTCATGGGTAAAGTTGTCGATGGTGAAACGAAACGCAAGCAGTGATAGTGCGAGTACGAGTGCGACACCGAGAACGAAGCTCGAGTATGGCGTCGTATGCACGGACCCTGGACCCGTACACTTTGCGATATACGACTTGTACCCCAGGCTTGACGTCGCCTCGCGCTGTGCTATTCAATCGGAAAAAACATCATTGGTCGAACGTGTCAGTGAAACAAAAAATCTGGGGCCGTTAGACTTAGCATTCCCGTAGATCGACACCGGAAGTACGGCTGCAAGCCCATCCCGCTATGGATCACCGAGGATACCGATGTTTTGTAACAACACATCTGGCATTGGTCGCGGAGCCGGCACTATAACCTAACAACGTCAGTTACGCGTATTTCGTAAGGACAACTGTGGATACCCATGTTACTTTTAGAGCCGTAAGTCATATGGTTCTTGAAAAGATATAAGACATGGCACCATTCTTAACATTGGAATTTCAACAACAGTATCCAGTGCAAATCGCCTCATATTTGACTTTCCAAGCGATACTTACGAAAATCTCAAACCTCATCATGAAGTTCACTGCTGTTCTTGTCGCCTCGACCGCTACGCTCGCTTCAGCGAAACCTCAGTATGGTGCCGCGGCTGTAGACCCCCATGCTTGGATGCCTGCCTCTTCCAATGACTGTAGGTGCAGATGTTGTGGTATGAAATCACGGCCCAATACTGACATTCATAGTCCGAGGCCCATGCCCAATGCTCAACACCCTAGCGAACCACGGTTTCCTTCCACGCGATGGCCGCAACTTCACCCAGGAGAACGTCGTCAAGGGTCTGAAGGATGGCTTGAACTTCAATGCCTCCCTTGGTGCACTCATGTGGCAGCAAGCCATCATCGCCAACCCAGAACCGAACGCTACTTTCTTTACTCTGGAGCAGCTCAACGTCCACAACGTCCTTGAGCACGATGCCAGTCTTACGCGTACCGACGCCGCCTTTGGTAACAACCATATCTTCAATGAGACCGTGTACAACACGTCAAGGAAGTGGTGGACAGAGGAGATTGTGACGCCTAAGATGCTGGCCAACTCCAAGATTTTCCGCCAGTTGGAGAGCCGAGCGACGAACCCGAACTACACATTCACTGCTTCGACTGAAGAATTCAGTCTCGGTGAGGTCTCGGCACCTATCATCGCCTTTGGTTCTCTGGAGGATGGTACCGTCAACCGCACGTTGATTGAGTACTTCTTTGGTGAGTCTATCAGCAGTGTGTAGAATAAATAGCTGGACCAGGAGCTAATAATCAAGTAGAGAATGAACGTCTTCCAAACGAGCTGGGTTGGACCAAGAAGACCGATGAGATCACCCTGATGAAGATTATGGCCACGACAAGCATCATCCGCAACGCGACCAGCCTGCTCACTGGTGGGAATACTGTCGAGGATTCTCCTCACGGCAAACGCGACCTCCACGGTGGGTTGTTTTAGGTTGGGCTCGCGCAGAATTAGCTTGATCCGAGAGTTCCGCGATTGTGAGCATAGTCATAGTTAGAAAGCAGTTCTGCACTCCCACTGCTTTATGATTTCACTGGGTTGAGGAAGCGGATATCATGGCCACCTTACGTTCTTGTTCAGCTAGAATCATTTCGCTTCCCGTGGACGCTTCTTTCCAGCGATTGAGTTGTCCTTGTTCCATAAACGCTCAGCTTCGGTCGTCACAGATCCGACATCACTAGACTATCCCCTTCATTATTGTTCTTCCCCCCCCCCCTCCACCAGACTCCGATTTTGCGTCTCAACTACTTATATCTGATCTTCATTTTGTTCAATTGAGAAGGCTGATGGGGTCGTTCTGCCTTCGGCCGCGCTGCACGGTACATATCATCAGTAAGTGCGCTCTTGAAAATCTCACTGAGCGACGCTTTGCGCATGATAGGAAGACCAAGCTTCACATGACGCTTTTGATTCCAGATCATCAATAGTAGCCCAAACATGACGATGAGAACTGGTGGGATGGCAAGCAGTGCTACTCTTTGAGGATCCAGTTTTCGAGTCAAGGCAATCGAGGTCATGACTACAGGGTCGCCATCATGTCAACTTTCGCTCGTGGCTTGGGCAAGAGCTCCTACAGCTACGTGAATGAAGTTCTCAATGTACACGATCGTCCATTTGATGTTATCTGCATCAACCATGCTCGTTGTGACTATGGATGGGGGCTCGGGTTCATCATATCCATAGAGCGGATGCGCGCCCCGGATGCTTTGCCCTATGAATATAAGGGCCATGGTAAACCAGAGAGCAATAGGGGAGCTATTCTGGTTTCCTACGAGTTCTTCATTGTTGTCTTTGTTGTTGGCTCCACCAGGGTTGCGAAGACGGCCGAGGAAGTTAGTGTGTGGGGTTGGTAGACTTTGTGGAACTAATCCGACTATAAGATTGTCTTCCACGATCTCGACGCTGATATTGCAGGATATCGTGGAGATATTCCTCTCAATAAACCTCGCATAGAACCTACAGCTGTGATACTACACGTAATAGGAGGTGCGTGTATAACCATCTCCGTGCAAAGGTATAGTACTTCTACCTTTGATCCTTCAACACCGTTTCTCAGTTGGGGAAACATGTTGCGGCAGTATATCAGTGGCAAGTGGTGCGCAGCGGCTATCACGAATGACAAAAGGTAGCATTATTTAGTCTAATGCCAACAAGTCAGTACCACATAAAGATCCCGATTTTGCGAGCATTGCGTTCTATATCAACACCTTTGCGAGCCGCCAGTGAACAAATCCGTGAAGGCCTTCACTGGTTGGCATCGCAACCCAAACCAACAGAACGCCAATCAATGCATACTATCCCGTACATCTGCGGAGAAAACAAGACATCAGATAGTGTATCTCTGGTGCGGTAACGAGCTTCATAAGATAAGCCCTGTACCCCTCTATTGGACCTGCTTAATCTTGCATTGCCAGCCGGAGTTGGCTTCAAGTAGCGGAAGACTGTCAAACGCCGTTAGTATCGCCTACACTTCATATCAAAGGAAGGAGGAGGAACAAACCTAGCACCCAAACACCATCCCAACTCGTTACCCTTGATCTTCTTCGCGATCTTCACCTCGCGATCGATAGGCATGCCGTACCCACTCCTCAACAACTCATACTGGAAGTTGAGATCAAGACACCACTCCGGCCTGCCCTTGAGCTCCTCAATCGCATTCGGCACAGCGCTAAAAGAATCCCAACCCTTCTCACCGGTGCACACCTTATCCGCTAGGTTCTGCAACTCACGTAGAGTAAAGGACTCAGGCATACCGAGATCCTGGGTGCGGTCGTAGAAGTAGGAGAGGAGGTACACGGCTTCGGTAGCGAAAGTCTGCTCGAAAGGAGGTTGATGAACACCGCGGAAGGCACAGGGTGCGATGGCGCATTCGTCATCTTTGTGGAGGGTCTTCTCGGCCAAACCACGGCATTGGGTGGGGGAGGCTGTAGAAGGTCCGGTCATGTTTACGGTGATGGAGTCACCGAGTGCGTGGCCCTTGGGCAGCTGCACTTCGATTTCGCGGGTCATGCCGGGTGCGATGCAAGGGTTTACAATGGGCTTCTTCAGGTATTCTCTGTTGTCCTTGTTCATCTCGTGGAGACCGGCGAGAACGGTGCTGTGGAGGTTGTTGCGGGCTTCCATGAGACCATAGCCTAGGTACGAGTGCTGGTAGAGGTTGAAGTTGCGGTTACCGAAGTTGAGTGCGTACTTGTGGTCCCCCTCTGCAAGCTTGGTGGGGAGTCCGCCGCGGGGGGTATCGGGGAAGGTGGGCTCGAAGATGATTTGCGTGGAGCCGCCGCCGAGATCGAGGACAGCGGCGGTGGGGTTCTTGTCTGGGCCGCCAATCTTGCCTAGGAGGTAGTTGACGGTAATCCATGCGTAAACACCCTCCATCTCGCCGGGCATGACCTCTACACCGTTTTTCTCTTCGGAGACAAGGGGGAAGGGGTAGTCGTTGTCGAGGTGGCGGCGCACTGCAGCAAGGATGGCGTTGCTCTTCTCCTCACCGAGCTTGCGGAGACCAGCTGTTGCCTTTACAGCAATGGGTGTGCATGACTGGTATTCCTTGGGCACGTTCTTAAGCGCAACATCCATTAGGACGTCGAGGCTCTTCGCAGCAGCCTCCGGGTTATCGCCATATGCCGAAAGGCCGGAGCCCCCTTCTCTCTTTGGCGTCATCTCGAAGTTCTCGCTCTCGAGTTCAGGGCTTGGGCCGCAGTTGTTGAACTTGTAAACGTGGATGCGGGAGCCTGTACTGCCGGCATCGACCATGAGAGCGTATTGGATGAGCGGCTTGTCCTTGGAGTAGGACTTTGTGCATTGTGCCTGTGCATCGCCAGCTGCTGTGTTTCCGCCTGATGGATGCGATACTGATGGCGGTGTTAGTAATCGTTTCCTTTAGTACGTGTCGTCAACCTACCCGCCGGGCTTGACAGGCCATCTCGTGGTGCGACGAAATATAATACAAGCAGTATGAATGCGATAACGCCACCTGTCTTGAGGTAGCGCATTCGCTGCCCTTGATTCATAACGGCGCTGCCCTTGTGGTCGTTCATGAATGCGTCCGAATACGTCGACCGATGTCGCGAGTGTCTGTCGGCTTTGGCGTTGGGGTCGCTGGAGTCGCGACTAGGGTCGAAGTTGCGTGGTAGAGAGACGGAGACGCGGCGGCGTGGGCCAGAAAAGCTAAAGTAGGACCAGATGCCGGGACGTCGTTGGCTTCCGGGGACTTCGACTCCGCTGGACATGGAACCAGGGGACACGAGGGGAGAAAAGGGTCCACGGTTTAGGGCGCGATCATTGAGCTGAGCTGCATTCCAAAGTTAGCCTAGACTAGTGCGGCGATGTGAACACAGTTGGTGATTACGTACAACAGGAGTAACTGTTCAGAGCGGTAGGGTGATATGTTCGAATGCGATTGGCGTAACCCAAGTCTGTTGCATTCGTGTTCGTGTGCTTGTTGAGTGAGGTCCCTGAATCTTGGCACTAGCATTTGAACTTCAGCCCTGCAGCGCCACTATCCAATGGCGCCGGCCTTATCTGCAGCGGCTATATTTGGCATCGCATCCCTTTCGAGATGGCGTGGGTATCGTTGTGCTATGCTACAAATACACTACAGACGTATTGTTGTTTTAAATCTCCCCAGCGACACATGTGACTTGCCAAACCAGGCAGATATCCTTCCTCCATATGTGACGCTACCCAAACCATGGCACCGCTGCATATTTCTCCATATGTCGATCCTCACAAGAGGATTGACTACGTCTCCTGGGTCGATGTCGTTTGAACAGAGTGGACAGAGTAGAGCACTGTGGAGTCGGGAAGCTATAAAGCTTTCGCGTAAGGTTTAGTAGGATCGTCGTTGACGCGTTCGACAGTGGGATCGAGAAGGGCTTCGCGGCCATCGTTTGTGGCAGTTGTCCCCGAGTCGCACATGCTGCCTTGAAGACTTTCACCCGAAAGACAGCCCTGCCCTCTTCATCACGCTCTCAAAGTCTTCAAGACTGACCCCTCCGACATCTTTTCCCTGTCCCTTGACCCCACCATTCGCCTCAAGGATCATATCCTTCAAGATGTCGTCTGGCACGTCCTCTCGCAACTCCTTCGCTACCCTCCTCAAATGCGCAAGCGTTATCGGTCCCGAAGCGCCATGGGTGAAGAGTTGATATGCCGCGTTAACTTCTTCTGCATTGCTCTCTCCCTGGTAGTCTTCGTCTTCTTCGTCTTCATCGGACCCGTGCTCCTTTGAGTGTATGGCGATAGCGGCGTATGAAAGGAAGGGCACAAACTCGACATAGCCCGTATTGAGGGGGTCGATGGTGGACAGGATAGAAGACATCTCGGACTTGTCAGGCGTGAGATTCAGCGAGCTTTGCAGTCGTTAGTATGTCCTTGCTACTCTCTGGCGCATTCTTGCAACCTACGTCAAACACCTGCGCACATCGCTTTTCTTCAATACACCTTCTTTAGAGTCTTCATGTTCGGGATGCGACACAGCAAAGAGACCAAATGCTTCGCGTATCTCAGCCTCTTGCTCCGCGGTTATGCCATTCTCTTTCGCGAGCTTCGAAGGCCGTTTGACGGGCGGCGCCTTGGCAGGACCTCCACGACGTCTCGGTGGCTGTCACTTGTTAGTTCTTATTCCCACAAGGAGCTCTTAACGAAGAACTCACCATAGCATGTACTTTGTAGGGTTGAAGCCTCCCCCGATGCTGGCGCGTGCCGTATGGTTCGTTATGGTACCGACTTCGATGACGCGACTGCACGGGCCTACGCCAAGGGGAAACACGGGCCCCATCTCTGAGCACTTATTTTCTTTGTTTCCCCACCTCAGCTTGTTCAAGCTATAAAGGCACCACAACTGACTTACGTGTCTCACTTCTACATCTCCCTTTTTACATTACTCTGGAGCTCTGCAGTCCTCTGCCTGATCGTCTTCTTATATGGCTTTGTTTAGTCGACGCGTCGAACGCGAATTGTCGTCGACCACTTCCACCATGCTTTACCCACCTTTCTAAAATCGATCCTTCATCCATCCATATCACACCATACCTTGTCCCACCTCTGGGACAATGGAGTTCAAGACGAGCCACAAGGATCCACAAGACGCGTTAGCCTGACTGCCGTCAAGCTCCTGCCCGATGCGCGGAGCCACCCCATTGGGCGGTTGAGCGAGCACGTAGAGTGTCGCAATGCGTCAGTGCCTCTCAGTCTGCTGAGGGTGGAGCTCTTGTTCTCACAAGAGCTTTCGGTAGTCTTGCAACCCGACCTTGGAGGAAGAAGCCAACAAATATAAAGCCGCCTTCGGACGGTCTTCGACAGGCCGTATAGCCTCTGGCATGATTTGCCACGAGGCAACCATTGGTTGGCGCGTTCACTTTCCGAAATGATCATTGAGTCAATCAATGAGGATTATGCCATTCGGTTACATGTACTGTGGTGCTACGGCCCAACGACTGACTCCAACGTTCCATCGTTAGTATTGGTGACTTCCACCTTTCATGGTTGAGGGACTTTTTACAGTCCGTTCTCTTATCATGCAACACTTTTTACAAGGATGTATGGATTTGAGCAAGACTGATATGACTTGACTTCGGTCATGTCGTTCCGCTTCTTCAATAAGCTAGAGCTTGTCGTTACGTTATTCTCACGTTGAGCAAGTGTGGACACTGAAGCAAGATTGAACTACCTCATCTACCCCCTTCAAGGTGATGAGGCTTCTGTTTCTCAATTCGTTGAGCCGATTAGATGGTTCAAGGGTGAGGAATGGAAGAGACATGCCTTCGTTTGCGCGAAAACCATTTGTGATTGCAATTTTCCGTACTTGCCTGCCTTTTTCTCATAATGCCGTGCGATCGCCATCATTGTATAGCTTCACATAACTATCTCATCGTGCCAGTCCTTCGCCCGCAATGATGAACTCATCGCGTCAATTGCATATTCTTGCCGAATGGTATTGGTTAACGATGACGACGGCGGCTTACTTATCTCGCGATCGCTATATAAATACAATTGCTCAATAATCCGAAACAGCTTGCTTGTGGAAGTGCTGAGATACTGCATTGCCTTCATTGGTCGTGATTGCTTCAGGCGTCCTGTCTCCCCTGCACAGCATGCGCAAGGATAATAAATATGCCCCTTCCCCGCTAGTGATGCAGGGCGAATCAACTCCACCATGTCCCGCCTTACAATGCCCAACATCGCGCAATGGCCGCGACTATCCATCCTCTTCTTTCATATAGTCGACAAAGACGGTGCTCGCAGAATGACACATCAACGGAAATGATTCGGCCCCTTAAGTCGCTGCAGTACCTTGTCGGCGGATATGGCCGTCACATGTTGGGCAATAACATGCTTACACTTCTTTCCCGTTTAGGCGGCAGCCGCTCCGCCTCTTTACCAAGTCTGGCATGAGACTGTATTACACTGGCTGCCAGCAGTCATTACTGCAGCATACTAGTGCCCGCAAGACTACTTGCCTTAAACGAAAGATATTTCCGCGACAACTCCACAGGCACTAATCTGTTTGGGGCATGTATGCTGCCATCGTGCGAGAAAACTTAGGCCCTGCTTGTTCAATCAGCATGAACCTGGATATTTCATAGGGCGGACTTTTCTCCTCTCTCTTCCTATAAGCACCAGATTCTTCCCTTTCGTATATTGTCCTTCGCCCCTGGTATCAGGTTAAGCAGCCTTGATATGGCGTTCCTCGCATCTACGCCTCTCCTTCTTGCGATCGGCACTGTGATCATCTATACACTCGGTCGCTTCCTCTTGCGCAAGAGCAGCCATGACCTTCCACTCCCCCCAGGACCCAAAGGCGTTCCCCTCCTTGGCAACATCAACGACTTACCCAAACCGGGAATCCTAGAGTGCCATCATTGGCTCAAGCACAAGGATCTCTACGGCCCTATCAGCTCAATCAAGGTTCTTGGTCAAACGTTTGTCATCATAAACGATGCGGATACGACGGTAGAGCTGCTGAGCAACAGGGCGGCGATGTATTCGGGCAGACCACACATGGTGTTCAGCGGTGACATGTACGCTTCCGATATGCTTGCATGAGGGTAGCTGGATGGCTAACGTAGATGCAGGATCGGATGGACAAATACACTGGCGATGCATCAACCTAATCAGACATTCAAACATCATCGGCGTAATATTGCGAAAGTAGCCAGTGCCAGCACTTCACTTGCGATGTTTGATCGCGTCCAAAACGAAGAAGCCGCTCACTTCCTTCTCAACGTGCTGGAATCTCCTGATGATTTGTTCGAGCATATTAGGAAGGAAGCAGGTGCTGTCATCTTGAGAATCACGTATGGCTATACGCCGAACGCTCAAGGACGGGATCCACTGGTAGATATGGCAGGTCAAACGATGGCCGACTTCGCAGACTCAAGTGTACCGGGGAAATGGCCTGTCGACGTCTTCCCGTTTCGTAAGTTTCTCACTTTTCTAGTGATTTGCATAAGGTGTGCTGACTTGGAAAAGTCCGATTCCTCCCAGATTGGTGTCCAGGTACCGGTTTCAAGCGCACAGCTCGTCAGATGGCGGAGCAATTGATTCGCACGGCTGAGGAGCCTTATGCTTTCGTCAAATCGCAAATGCAAAGCAAGAAAGCGAAGACCTCTTTCCTCTCCCAAGCTATCGAGTCTCTCGGATCAGACGCGTCCATGGAGCATATCCACAAATGGTCTGCTGCATCCATGTACTTGGGCGGCGCTGATACCACCGTTTCCTCGCTGATGACATTCTTTCTGGCCATGTCTGTGTTCCCAGAAGTCCAGAAGAAAGCCCAAGAAGAGCTGGACCGTGTGATCGGCGGAGAAAGACTACCAGTCACTAGCGACAAGGCGAGCTTACCGTATATCGAGGCTGTAATGAAGGAAACGCACCGATGGCATCCTGTCGCACCGATGGCGCTGCCTCACTGCTGTACACAGGAGGACAGCATCAAAGGCTACAGGATACCCAAAGGAGCAATGATCTTGCCTAACAACTGGTATGTATACCTCCGCTACCAGAACACCACATTTGATCGTAACTGACGACGCGCAGGTGGTTTACACACGACCCAGCCGTCTATCCTGACCCGATGACTTTCCGCCCAGAACGCTACATCACTACGCCTACCCATACCGCGGAGCCTGACCCCCGCACATGGACATTCGGCTATGGACGTCGTGTATGCCCTGGTCGATATGTCGCTGACAACGCTCTCTTTACGACCATTGCGCAGTCACTGGCTGTCTTTAATGTCGAGAAACCGGTTAAAAATGGAAAAACAGTGGAACCTAAGATCGAATTTGAGCCCGGTGTTGTGAGCCATCCGAAGCCTTATTGCGTGAGCATCAAGGCTAGGAGTGAAAAGTGCAGGGAGTTGGTTAAAAAGGCGGAGGAGGTGTATCCGTGGGGGGAGAGTGATGCTGAGGCCTTGAGAAATCTGAGGTAGACGCTTTTAGTTGGCTGTCGAGGTGGTATGATGGTATCCAGAATGATTCCGCACTGTACGTCAGTGACACCTGACATACTAACCGAGTTGAGAGAGTCGGTTTCAATTAGTTTTGTACATCTTCACAGATGTATGCATACCTACGGATGACTGTTAGCTATTGATGTAGAAGTGGTCAAATCCTTCACCGATGTGGAAAGTGAATCCACCAATCGAGGCGTTGTTTGATTCCAAAATTTGCGACCAAGCCAGTGTTAGCCAAGGCCTATGCGAATCGGTTGTTAAAGACGGGATATCGAGATATTGACATGTTGTTGCTGCTCGGGAAGTGGAGGGTATCTGTTTCCCTTTCGAAGAAAATGGTCCCGAGGTCCTAGGCTAAGAGCCAGCCAATCGGTGGAAAAGTAGCTCCACATACATGCAGGCGGCCGTTACTGACGACAAAGAGCTTGGTACATACCCCAGCTTTCACGTATGTGCCCCAACCTCTCTCCCCCGCATAATTGGAGATCTTCCGCCGAAAATACCAGATCCATAACTGGGCCGATGGATTTCAATTGCCGCATGACGATTTGGCCGAAGTTCCGTTGCCGGTGACACCCATAAACCTCTGCGCAGATGGTCTCGATAATGACGGCATCGACTGTTCAAGATGTTGCCTTCAGTAAACCGCTTCTTTGTCTTTGGGGCTCTCGTAGCTTCTTTGGAAGCAGAGGCAGCTCATATTTCTTCCACCTTGAAGCCCATTGCTGTTTCTAAGACAGCACCCAATACCGCAGGCATTCCCTTGGACTCTTTCGTGTCGTTCTCCTTCGAGTTCTCATCATGGCCCGATTTTGCTGGTAAATCCACTACTATATTTTGAGGCATCACGAACTCCTTGCTGATAGCCGTTGATTGTAGGCAATCTATCGCATCCAAATGCCTTCACATACAACCTCATGAGCAATCTTGGCAGACTGCAAGGCTCCCTGCCAATTGCTCGCGTGGGTGGCAATACACAGTACTAACGCACCTCTCTCACCCCCGAAAACACGCATAGCTGACTCGAAACCTAGAGATATCGCGATCTTCGATGAATCGCAAAAGACCGGCCTCGTAGGTGTCATTCGCCCAAACATCTCGGCCGACTACCCTACGATCATAACTATTGGCCCATCGTATTTCGAATCCTACAAAACTATGCCCAAGGGCACGAAGTTTGTCCACGGCTTTAACATGGGTGCCAATTCCAGCGTGGCGAGATCCGCGACTTGGGCATCCGTGTCTTATGCTTGCAAAGCGATCGGAAGCGACCTGCTGTTTTGGGAATACGGCAACGAGCCTGATCTTTTCCATGCTTCTGGTTACCGACCTGCTAACTGGACTGAGGCCGAATATGTTTCCGAATGGCTGAACGGCACCGCCGCTATTGAAGAGGCCACAAAGGCAGCTTGCCCAGAGCTCGCGGGAACCAAGTTCATGGCGCCGAGTTTCGCAGGCGTCGCGCGCAACGACTACTTCACTTTGGATCCCGTTGATGCCTTCAGACAAGGACTTGACGAGAGGAAGAACATCGGCTTGATCGCTTCTCACAACTACATGGGTGTTTCTACCAACCCTGGTATTACGTTGCAAGGCACCTTGATGAACCACAGTAGTGTCATCGATAAGGCGAATGCTCAGCTTGATGTGTCAAGAGGCATCAAGGAACTGGGAGAGGCGCTAGATCCGAGCGTCCCATTCATCATGGGCGAGCACAACTCGCTCGCCCGACAGGGACGACCCGGTCTAAGCAACAGCTTCGGTGCTGCCTTATGGGGTGTAGATTGGAACGTCTACCTCGCGTCTCAAAACCTCTCCCGCTCTCACATGCACCAAGGAACAAACTACCGGTACGTATTTCTTCTTCTCGCAGCATCATTCTTGAACTAACAACGTATTCAAAGTTACCAATCATGGCAACCAGTCGAAACAAACATCACGACCAAAGGCACCAAACCTCCCTACTACGGTAACCTAGCCGTCGCATCCTTCCTACACAAACCATCACCTTCCTCCCAACTCAAAATCTCGCACCTCCCATCATCCTCCATATACTCCGCTCATTATGCCGCTCACGTGGATGACAAGCTCACCCGCCTTCTCCTCGTCAACCTGCACACATACAACACCACCGCGGATAACAACTACACCACACCTTTTGCGCGACCGATGGAAACCTACGCGTTCCAATTACCAAGCGAGTGCAAGGGTGAGGCGAATGTGCAGAGGTTGTTGGCTAACGGAAGTGATGCTATCACGGGTATCACGTGGGATGGATATAGTTACAATTATGAGTTGGATGAGGGGAAGCCTGTGAGAATGGGTAATGTGACGTGTGGGGAGAGTGCGAAGGTCGATGGGAAGGGTGTGGTGAGCGTGGAGGTACCATGGAGTAGTGCTGCGATCGTTAGTTTGGAATGTTGAACCGGTGCGGGAGGAAATGAATATCGTAAAAAGTAACCGGCTCACTTGTAAAGTACATTACTTGATATTGAGAAACTTATTCAAGTCTTGAAGCATACTCTCTAGTCCACAAACAACTTCGGTGTAGACCGCACTTTGAACGTTCTCGTCACTTAGGTCGTCGCCGCAGGAGAAATCGCATTCAATGCATTTCCGTGCAATCTTGATATACCGTTCGCCTAGATACTTGATAGCAGGAGGTGGGTCGAGAAGCACCCTTCTCGCGCAAATCACGTCGTGAGGCATGGGAGAAGACGCGAGGCTGCTAATCTTGGTTTGACAGCCTATTTCAAGAAGTGCGATGCCCAATTTCGCTAATGGCAAACTCCTTATTCCGTATACAAATTTCAAGTCTTCCTGATCTTGTATCGTCGGAGTAGCTGCGCTCGCCCCAGCCAAGGGGAACTGAGTACTAAGGTGAAGCCTTTGCAGTTGATCTTCAATAGCCTCAGCGGTAGGCTTTGTTGGGTCCCGGAAATACGAGATATCTTCTAGACTCCAGTCTGGTGCGATCCAAGCGGTTGAATGAAACTGTAGGACTGCTACGGCCAATTGATGCGCGAGTGTGAGCTGATGGACGGTACGGAGACTTTGCAGGAGTTCCATGACTTTTCTTGCTTCGCGCTGTCCCTTCGATCTATGCTTTTCGACAATGTTATTTCTACTGGCATCGTAAAATATAAGGCGAGATGATAATACGGACTCACAATGCTCAAGATAGCCTAGGCATGGATCTGAACAAATCGACGTGGAAGCACAGGCTTGACTTAGATGGTCACAGACGCTCTGAGCAGCTTTCAAATCGAACGTAGTGAAGGATTGTGTCTGACTCATCTGCGCATCATTGGTGGGCTCTGGGGTACGTCGTTTGCTTTCCGAGCCACTTGTATCGAAGCGAACGCTTTTTGACTTCCGCTTCGTTGCCTTGCTCTGAAAAAGACACTCACCAAGCGGCATTGCTTGCATCGATCTTCGCAAGGTGTCCGTCATGTTCGTAGCTGGCACAGACAAATTTGTGACTGTTAAAGGCGTAGTGATTGTTTGAACATGTAACCAGATTGGCGGAGCTGACGAAGAAGGTTGGGTCCTGATTGGTCAGTCGCAGTTGAGAGCCACCAGAACACGGGCGACTTACGTTTTGTCGGTCTTCACCATTTTCTTTCTGCACGCGATAACCATGTCCAGCCTCACATTCCCATGCTCGGCTTTCGCTTGCACGGACAACCGCGCCTGGTGTCCAGTATGCGAGATGTTTGTGCATGACCAGGAATCTTGCAGAGACTCGTGCAGCCTCTGAGAAGCAGCTCGAACATCGCCGTACTTTCGCGGCACAGCCTTCCGCACAAGGCAGCTACCCTGCACCACTTGCCGCTTATGCAGCTTGCATCGCTGCTTTCGCAATTTGCTCAGCTTACTGTTCCACACGTCTAGTGTATCGAGCCATCGACGGTATTGGTTTTCCTTCCATGAGGTGTTGAACGCCGAGTACAGTCGCTGGGCTGTTGTGGTCTGCATACCACCACCGCACAGCCTGTTGCATTCGCCCAGAGCGGCCTGAGTATCGCGCAACACGTCCCTGATCAAGACGATAACCTCCTCGAAGAGGGTGCAATCTCGCTCAAGAAATGTACGGAAACGCGTCTCGAGTGTCGGATCCAGCCAGGCGGCGTGTTGCGGGTCGTCTATCATGCCAGCAAGCTCATGCTTGTCTTCGATGACAGTTCGCAGGAGCAGCTGGCACTCGTTGGTGAAACTCGTCGCTGCGACGCGATAGCGCAACTGCACATCGTGTATTACCTGTCCATACTTTCTGAAGGTGTGGAGCCGTTCCTTGGTCGTGCGGTAGGACTTGAGGATTTCAACGACAATCGGAACAATGCCAAAAACTAGACCAGCGATCTCAATGCCTGACATTGCGAGAGAGAAAGCAAAGAAACGAGTGTACAGAATACGGTGGTCGGGAAGTATTAGGACTGTGCGGGGTACTCATCATTGGGGGCCAAGTTGACCAGGCGGAGCAGTCATCGCCGCTACGAGGAGGCACCTGCGCTGTTTTCCAGCCTGCTTCCGCTGCACTTCTTAGAAACGTTGACACTTTGTCATAGGAATTCTCCCCGTCGCTCGCCGTCCTTGTTATCTTCTTTGTTCCTACATGCGTTCGGTTGCTTGTGTACGGGATTTGGATTGGCTTCTTCAACGACCTCGAGGTCAATATGAACACAGAACGCATGCAGTTCGTGGAGGAACATGTTCCCCAGCGCAAGGTAGAGATATGGCGCGCAATTACTGATGAGACTTATGAGACTGGAAATACACCTGGCATCATCGGATCTCTTTTCGATGGACTAATCGCGTATCTACAAGGCATGCTTCGCGAGATCGTACAACCCGATGTTGAACCGATAACCTATGGGCTTTTGGAGCGCGGCGCTACGTCCCTGCTGTTCTGGGGACTCGATCATGGTGTCTCTCAGGGCGATCTCGACAGATCGCTCCAACACTCCGCTCTATTGCGGGACACAATCCTACTAGTGCTCATCTCTATCGGTGAGCTTCTAAGCCAAGGTAACTTAAGTACAAGATATGTGGTATGTGGCTGTCTGCTTATGAGATCACAGGTTCCATGGAAATCTCCTCGGCAAAGATACATAGACAGCTCATGGTCAGCTCCAACATCGCTACAGCGATCGAGAAAGCCAAGTTTGCTGTAAAAGAAACAGACGAGCTAGACCAAAGCTATGAAATTATTGATGAGCCAGTAGAAGCGTGCAAGGTCTTACAGAGCAAGGTCGATTGCTTGATAGCGCTCAATGCCAGTATCGAATGTCCTACCGAAAGCGAATCCGACAATGACGAAGAGACCAGGACTGGCACAGTCCTACAAGATCTTCCCGCGCATCAGTACTTTGCAGATCTGATTGCAGCCAGGTTTCCCACTGCTCAACTCGAACTAGTCGAAAAGCTCGGACTCACCAACTGGTCACGTTATAACCAAGTCCAACAGCAGAGAGATAGCTTGCAGACAGAGGTTGAGTCCGTTTCTATGGATCGCGACCTCCTGCCACGCCTGCAACGCCACTTGGTAGAGCCTTGAAAGTCTCCACGTGGTCGGGATGCTCAGATATTAGCTCTAGAACGTGTCATATAAAGTCGTCCCAGATGGATATGGCTTCGCCAAAACTTCCCTCACACACCCTGTAACTCTGAATCACCCTCACGTTTCCTTCAACCATTCAGAAATTTATCGGCCCGGCGAATTGTGGGTACCTTTGGACAGCCGTCTGTGCCATGCTTCGCGTGAAAAGCTTAGAGCTGATCTGCTCAAGCAAGGCTTGCCTGGAAGATCTGAGCATCGAGACAACATGATGGTGAAGACTCGCTTTCTCGTTTGTAGACGTGGAGTGTGTGGCCGAGAATGTAAGCGGGTTTGATTGGAAGGTTAGTCCTTCTAACTCATACGCAGCTTGTTTACAGGTAAGCGCCATCGCATGGCAGACGGGCTCCCCATTTGGTTGCATGAACTCTCGAGTGTCTGTGTTGAAGACATAGCCGCCATCGCAGCGGATGTAATAGTCGTAGATGATGTCTCGAAGCTCGCGAGGCAGTCTCAAGATCGGGGGAAGTCGGGCGAGCTTGTCAGCGGCTTTGGGAAAGGCAGCGCGCGGTGGTATGTTGATATGCTCGGGGATGATGCATTGTGGTTCCATATTGCTAGATGATGAAGCGGGGTGGGGTAGCCAAGGCGTGAGGTGTGGATTCCATGGGGTCAGGTGCTAGCGCGATGTCGCGGGTCGCGCCGGGCTTTGGCGTTCGTCAGCCTTCGCGAATGTTCTACGTCATGTCCTTAGTTACCTACAAATCTCAAACAACGCCATTCACACATCTACAAAGCCTGTTGCTACTCTCGTAGCTATCCACCAAAGCTCCTCAAGATGGAAGTTCAACTGTACGTGTACGACCTTTCCCAAGTAAGTGGCCGGAGTCGATGTCCATGCGCGCGCTTGCGCGGCGTTTTGTAGAAGTACTCGGAACTGATTGTGTCTAGGGTCTTGCACGGAGCATGTCGATGCAATTTTTGGGTATTCAGATCGATGCTGTATACCACACGTCCATCGTACTCGACGGCATAGAATACTACTACGGGCAGGGGGTGCAGACATGTCGCGCGGGAACTACACACCATGGCCGGCCGATGGAAGTCATCACGCTCGGGCAAACTGCACTTCCCATGGAGGTCATATTGGAGTACCTCGAATCTTTGAAGGAGGTTTACACAGCTGAGGTAAGCTTCCCAGTAGCACTTATGCTCAGGCTATGCTGACAACCGATAAAGTCCTACGATCTGTTTGCGCACAACTGCAATAACTTCTCCAACGACTTCGCCATGTTCCTGGTTGGCAAGGGAATACCAGACCACATCACCTCGCTCCCGCAGACCGTCCTCAACACACCGTTTGGACAGATGCTCAGACCGCAAATCGACGCTGCTATGCGACCCATCACCCAAGCACCGACCCCTCAGCCGGTACAACCACAAGCCCATTCGAAACCTTCGAGCGCAAACAAATCTCACGGGGTCTCCTCAGGAGGGAGTGCATTGGAAATGAATACGGGCAGGGTCAACAATATAACAGCGCTGAAAGATGTAGATCGACTTCTCGACCTCGCCAAAGACCGCTGCGCTATCATCTTCTTTACAAGCTCTACATGCGCGCCATGTAAGCTGGTATACCAACCGTACGATGGTCTCGCTGCCGAAACCGGTACAAAATGTGTCTTCATCAAGATCGACTTCAGCCACGCCGATCGCTCGATTAACACACGCTACCCGCACGTTCGCGCAACTCCAACGTTCATAACATATCTCAGAGGCGAGAAGCGAGACGAGTGGAGTGGGGCTGATCCGAGGCAGCTGCGGAATAACGTGGAGATGCTAGTCAACGCTGCATTCCCGACGCATCCACATCTAGAGAAGAGCACTCCCATGTTGTTGCGGCAAAGTCAAAGACCCGTCAAGTTTACAAAAATACCCCCACTGGAGAAGCTGGTCGCAAAGATGGGGGACACTGGGAAAGACTCGGCTGTGTCGTCCATCGTATCCTTCCTCAAGACCCGCGAGCAATCTGGAGCTATAGAGGCACCATTGGGTGATCTCCCGCAGTTTGCTCAATTCCTGAGGAAGAGCACCTCGGTACTCCCACCAGAGCTTCTCTTCACCGCTTTGGACCTACTTCGGATATCATTGACCGACATCCGTGTGGCAGGCTTCTTCGCGGAGGAACACAAAGGAGCGACGGGCACGCCTGCTACCATCCACCATCTGCTCGACCATGTCGACAAGCTCGGAGATTCTGCACCTTACCCGCTCCGACTCACGACGTTACATCTAGCCTGCAATCTCTTCATCTCCCCGCTATTCATACCACATCTTCTCTCCCCGCCCCTCTCGTCAACACTAATTTCCCTCTTAACAACCGCCCTCCTTGACGAAAAACACCCCGCGCTCAAGGCCTCAGCCCTCAGCCTAGCGATGAACATGACATCTTCAAACCATCAAATACGCATGAAGAAGCACAGCGCTAATCCGTCGTCGTCGCTGTCCACGGAGACCGAGCTACTCGAAGCGGAACAAGGCGAGCTTCTGGCTTCGCTGCTGGAGACTATTAGTACGGAAGAGGTGTGGAGCGACAATTTGAAGATGAGTGTTGTTTGTGTGGGGTGGCTTGTGTATGCGGCGGATTTGCAGGGCGAGTTGAGGGATACGTGGAGGGTTATGGATGCGGCGGGGACTGTGGGGAAGGTTGAGGCGAAGGCGAAGGCGGCAGAGGATAGGATGATGGTTAGGGAGGTTAGAGGATTGTTGGACGTATAGGTTGGGATGATGTTAGATTTCATTACAAGCTACGTACGATGAAGGTAATATAGAGAGATTACCTAATGAGACAAGCCTGAATAGCCCGACATCCTTATTTCAAATAGATTCATAACGTACATTAGTCTCATTCTTGACTTGGATGCCACATGTCCCCGAGCTGCCAGTGTTGCTGTTGGGGACCTTGTCAGCTGAACTAATAACAGTATTATTGTATCCACCGCGCTCCGCATAGGTTTCGAAGTACGTGTCGCCAGACGACTCCTCCTCATGCTCAGCCAGTTGTCGCTCCGAACTATTATCGTCGAACTCTTTTGTTCGAATGTTGTTGCGAAGTTTGATGCCCCTGCTGCTAGTTAAACCGCTGAGAGGGTTGGGAGCACTTGAGTTGGATCTGGAGCCAAGTATTGAGCCGGACATGAACTTGCGGATGATAGGTCTTGTTATGGGAAGACAAGCTTTTGAAGAAGAAATTAGCATCAAAACTAAAAGCGCTGGTGACAACAGATTCGTAAGTTACTCACAAGAGATGATAGCTAAATAAGCTTCCGTGCCTGCCCAGATGATGACTCCTTTGACGTCCCTCGACATCTCTGTCGTCTTGGCATTCAGTGTGATTGCCTGGATAAGTACGACAATTGACGCAGCACAAACACTATAAGAAAGAGTCAGTCAATCACCCACTAACACAGTGTGACAAGAAAGAAAAGGAGAAAGATGCAGGCTGAAAAAGACGTACAAGATACCAAACATGAACATGGCGACGACAGCAAACTTTTGACCCGAGCGAAGCTTGAGACTTGCGACCTGAAACACAGGCAGCAATAGGACAGAAATTTCGAGGAGTAGATGAACCAGGGTCGTGCCAAACATGAACTTTCCAGGGTCGATTTTGCACACAGCGCCTTTAATGTTGAAGTTCCAGTAGGCCTCGACTGGCACACAGTGGAAGATGGTCATGAAGGTCCGGATGGTGAGCCAGATTACGGTGCTTGCTTGGAGGATGTAGATTCCCGGTCGGATGTTGGAGACACTGAACAGGCGCCAATAGAAGCAGAGGATAGCCAGCTTGGAAAATCCAAGCGACCATGCGTATAAGAATTCGGCCATGAAAAGCCCAAACCGAGCATACTCGTCGACCTCCTCTGCTGGGAGAGGAATATCCTCTTTTACATGACCTAAACCCATTGCGATAGTCCCTATATTGAAATGGTTAGTATGTTGATACTCTGCTGCGCTCTGAGAGAGGTTCCTCAGTTCTTGAGTAATTATGAACTTACAGTAAATTGCAAAACCAAAGTAGAGAGCAGCCGCGACCTTGTTGATAAGACGATTAGCGCGTTGAATAAGCGGAAGAGAGAAAGAGAAAGGCATAATTCCAATCATCACTTTCAGCACAAGGCAACTCACCCAAGAAACCACAGCAAAATAATCATCTAACCACAGGGCCACATGTGTGATCTTTCGAGATGCCAGGCGACAGACGAGGAGGATTGTAGCGACAGAAAACGTGATGAACATAGAGCTCATCACGCCAGCGTCCGGCGTGAAAGTCATTGTCGCGGTTTCGATCGGCTATTAATGTTGCATGCAAAGTTGGTAGAAAAGTAGAGAAAGATCGATGAGAAACTGCTGTTAACGATGGGCAACCGGCCAACAAGGCCTGGAGAGGAGGGTGGGGATTATAGCAGATGGAATGGCTTGAGCTAGCGAATACGCGGGATCGGGGCTTTTGTGCCGCTCGGGATGGTAGCCGTTTGCCGTGAGACATGTCTAGTTTACGAACCCTGAGTTCACCTTAGCCAAGATGGGTTCCAGGATATGAGTGGCCATGCCCAACCAGGTAAACCCCTACAGCCATTAAACTTTAATGTGCTGTCAGGGGTGCAGCATCAATACCATGTAAATGGTTCCGACCGCTACACCAACATCACAGCCCAAAATGTCTGTACCTTGTAAATTGGCCAATACATAGGTCTATCACATGACTTTTGGTGCTCTGGAGTGGCACTATTTTCGTATTTCGTTTGCCAGCCTTGGGCACGCCTATAGGCAGTCGGACATTGAGACGTTACGGCATTGACGCAGCGATACGATTGATTAGCCTAGCTGGTCTTCTATGCTAGCGTTCTCTTAATGCTTTTCAAGAACCATTCTACTCCTCCTTGGCTTTCCTGTAGTTACTGTTTCATGGGTAGTAGTTGAACATGCGCTTCTCCAGGTGCTACCAGAGGTACTCAATTGGATCGAGATGTAGCGAGTGAACTGGCCAGCAAATTTGTGAACAGCCCCGAAGTCAAGCCGATCGCCTGATTGATTCCTAAGAAGGTACAGCACGAGCCAACCTAGGTACAGTATGGGCTTGTAGACCTGGATAGCAAAACCAGCCCATTGATGGGTTTGATTATCGACGAGTCTGCCAGTAGCCACTTGATCGTGTTGATGGAGTGCTCACGGATGAACCGGCGCACCGCGCGCGACGTGTGCATACGAGCGTTATTACGTATCGATAGTGTTGTCGTCTTTACTTTATTTGGAACGGGTATATGTTCTTAGACGATATATGCTGTTCTGCTCGGAGTCGAGGTATCGTTGACTATTCGCACCTTTTTGGTTGTCTGGCGCAGTGGAGCAGAGCTTCGTTCTTAAGTCAGCCATGCAGGGCCGTCTGCTAGTACAGTTTCAACCCCGCCTTCCGCTAGCTCAGCACGGTTAGCTCGTTTGGCTGCGGGTCAAGCTCGATGGTTCGGTCCGAAAGAGCACGCATGCTTCCTAGCTCGCATAGCGATGAACGACGGGGAACAGTGGCCTGGAAGGCGATAGGTAGGTAAGTGAAGCGACTCAATCCTTGCCTGACGTGGAGCAAACTTTGTCGCAACTGCGGCTGCGGGGAAGCACAATCGCTAAGCACTGTACGAAGCAGTAGCGATTGCGTTCAACTGCCGCGACGAAGACACAACTGCGCCCCTGGCAGATCATCAAGCCTAAGGTCTTACCGTGATGGCTTGGCGCTACCTTCCCAGGTCACAGTCACCAAGGTGCTGTCAAAGCATACTGTAGCAAGCTTGGTCTACTGTACTGTACCAACAAACCATATGTCATAGGAAACTGTCAGGCTACAATGCGTCTCGGGCGATGCTGCTGCTGCTGCTGCTGCGGCGGCGGCGACAGCGCCGGCTACAGTACATCAACAGCCAAGTCTGACTGTCGGCGCCTGGTTGTGCTGTGTTGTGCTGTATCTACGTATATCTGTTAATAATATAGAGCAAATTTCGCGTTGGGCGCTAGCACCAAGGCAGCAGGACTCCAGGTTTCCGAGCCATGCGCAGAAGGCACTGTTGCTAGAGCAAGAACGCTGTTGTGGCTGCTATCATCCTATTCTTCCCTTGGTGAGCAAGCTAACATGACAGTTCGCTCGCGGAAACGAGCACTCGTCACTAGAGGTTCGCCAGCCTGCCGTTGTTCCGCTATATCTGTTCTGATTAACGGCGCATCTTACGTGCGTATCGTGCTGGCCTCGTGCCATCCAGGCTATCGCTGGGTTATCTTACGTGCCAGCGGGAATGGCAGCGCGGTTCAGATTCTGTCAGGTTCTGTTCTGTGGTTACAGTCCTATAATTGGCGTTCCTTGCGTTACCGCCCCCTGCCCTCAGAATGGAACGCAGGGGCGCATGAGCGACACAACTAGCAGGAACGACATGGGAGCAGTCATACTACTGCGGGTTCTGCTTCTAGATCTACACCTTCACTATGAGGTAAGAAGCCGTGGTATATTGCTTCGTATGATTTAGGATAGACTGATGACTACAATCAGGAAAGCCACGTGATGGAGGGGAAACAGTCTTATCTCAACAGTGCTCCTTCGCCGAGCTTGTGAGCAAACTTATACTCGAACATCTGCTTGCATCTTCATGTCGTGGGAACGCGCGGACGCGAGGTGCTCTTCAAGCGCTCCTCCCGAGGTCCGCTTCGGTGCAGCGCCGAAGGAGAGCCGATGGAGATCCAGGAAGCCAAGCCTTCGGGCCGAAAGTGTCTGGATGCCTTATTTCTCTTCCACTCTGAGAAGCCTGGTAATGGTAGATCGCACTGGGTATAGACACAATCGGGCATAGTGGCAGTGTCGGAATCGTCAAGCCGAGCGGGAGCCTGGCTGAAGTGTTGTAAGTGTGGTTCTTCAATCACAGGTGGGGCTTTACTGAGTCGTGGCTAGATCGGTCCGTTTGTCGCAGTATGATGCAGGGGTCGATTTCACTCGACCCCCTGCACAGCAGGCAGAGACCACCCCTTTCATATCAAACGCTCCCATTAAAGACACTCGAGACTTTTGCAAGGATACAAACTGCTTGCAGAAAGGATCTGAGGACATATCGCCGGCGAGGCGTCATGTCACATCTATGGTACGGAATGCCGTCTTGGCAAATATAGAAGAACTGGGGCTGAGGATGAGCTGTGGGGAAGTCAAGTAACTGTTCCGCGAAATGATCAAAGAAAACCAGCAGATAGGCATTTCTCTTCACGTTTGGCCGGTTATAGAAGGACAAACAAAAGGAACAGGAAGCGCTCGTGAAGCCAGACGAAGTCGCACTTGCAGTACGTGAGGTGCAGCATACTTGGAAGTAAACCGATGTTGAGAAGGCTGTTTAGCTCTTGGGTCTATAGCATATCCTGTACGCAGTCATAAAAGCTTCGCTTGAACCTCCCAGACTCTACCCTTTCGATAGCGACTAGGAACAGAGGCTACAGTATGCTGTCTCAATCGATATCTCATCAGAATCTCAGCCGAAGTCTTAGCCACTGGAGATATATCCGATAAACATGGGCCAGATGTAAGACTCGGAAGCACGTCGATAGGAAGTACCGATCTTAGATGGCAAAGATCACAAATATCTAGAGGGAGACTGTCTTAGAGTAGTAGTTCTTCTCCGGGAACAGATGTAACATTCGAATGAAGTGCATGCTCGTGGCGTCCCGGCACCGGTTGACGCAGCTGTTCTACCTGGTCAATCAGACCCAAATTCACGTATAGCTTGCCAAGATTGTTAACAATGTCTAGCATCAACGCGTGGTTAGGCCCAAGTATCTCCTCTATTGCTCGCAGCGCCAGCTCGTACATCGGATCTGTCCCTATTAGCTTGCCTGGGTCTTGGTAGAGGATGCCCACGTTGTTGACCGTGTCCAGTGTCGACGAGTCGTTGGGGAAACGGCCTCGTTCTCATCATTGCATCTAGATGCCGTTGTCTCTACACGTATTCAGAATAATGTCATTCATCCTCGCCCAAAAAGCACGGTCCAATATGAAGAGTGTTGCCTAGAAGCTCTGGTAGAGTGGATATAGCCTATATCAGTCGCTCCTTCTCCCCATTGAAAATACGACACTTTAGGCTTCCGTTACTCTTGGAGATTCGAACGTGCTGCCGCGACGGATTAAGTCACGTTCTATCGTCCATCTGGCAGATTCTTGTTTGAAAGAAACTTCGCGAAGAACCTGATACCGGAGATCATCTATGTTGGTGACCCATTCGTTTGATACCTTGACGACATAAGCACCCTGGCTTTCCCTAGTGGAAATGAAACCCATTGGTGTTCCAATCTCAGTATTGATCGAGAGTCCACCTCCTTGCAAGACACGAGGTAAGTTAGAACGTATAATACGTGCCCTAAGTGAGATGCGATACGATAATCTGCCGACCTTTGTATCCTTCCATTAGGGGAAGGACTCTGAAATAAGTTCCAGGCGCTACTATAGGACACAAGTTTCACGAAAGAGTTGGAAACACGTTCACACCAAGTTAAGAAAACATATTTGCACTTTTCTTTGTATTGTGGAAATAACGACTTGCAATGAAATTCGAACATTTATCTTTACTCAGATGACAACATACTAGTAAATCTCCTTCCTCGCAGCTAGTGACGGCACACTGCTAATAGAGTCCTTGAGAACCCCGGAGAAGTCTTGTAACTTGACACCTGGCAAGTTTGCCAGCACGTCCATATCAAGGCCTTCTTGGTTCACAGAGACAATGATACCATCATAAGTGCTGAGGTAATCGACGTTCCAGTTCGTCTCCGTATCCATCTTTGGCACTGCGCTATAAAGAGCTGTGGAGACCAACGGATCCGCAAACTCAACGTGGCAGTTGTATTCGTTCTTCAATGTGTGGACTATAGCAGCACCAGGGGAGTTGCTCATGACGCTCTGCCCGCGCTTGAAACCTACGCCAACGACGAGCAGTCGGAGTTGGCTGGGATCTACGCGGATATCTCCTGGAATTGTGCTTTCCTGGAGTATAGATCGCACGAAGCTCCTGGCCACATCTCTTGGTCGTGACGCTGATAAAGTAGCTGCGTGTTCGAGCAGTGGCATGTGAAGATTGGAGAGAAGGTAGTATGGGTTGACGGGGATGCAGTGACCTCCAATTCCTGGACCAGGGCAAAATGGTAGGTAACCAAACGGCTTCGATGCTGCGGCATTGCTGACCTCGAAAGCATCAATGCCAATACTACTGCAGGCATCTGCCATCTCGTTGGCATAAGTCGCGCACAACATGCGCTGGCAATTCTCGTATAACTTGGTCATCTCAGCAACTTCAGGAGAGGAGACAGGAAGCAACTTGTTGAAGACACGACCATAAAGAGTGGAGATTGACTCCAGGGAGGCGGCATCAAGGCCAGAGATGATCTTGGGGATGTCTTCGAAAGCGGGGAATGTGCGGCCGGGGTCAACACGCTCCGGCGACATGCCAACTTTGAAGTTTTTGGACGCCATGAGCGGCCCAACGAGTTCCCGTGTCATACCAACAGCAACCGAGCTCTCAATGACAATAGTGGATCCAGGCTTGACGTATTTCTCTACAGTAGCAATGGCACTGCGCAAGTATGTAGTGTCAACCTTCTTATCGTCCGTGAGGATTGTCGGTACGGAGATGAGAACATGAGTCGCTTCGTGAATTGAAGCAGCGTTTGATGTAAATTGGATCGGCAGGCCGGTGAGTTGTTCCGAAACTTCATCGAGTCTTTTGGTGCTGAGGTCGAAAGCAATGACATTGTAATGGCCGGCGAAGGCTTCGACGAGGTGGGTGCCGACGTAACCGACGCCGATGACTGCCACGATGGACTCCGGTTCAACAGGGCTCAGTACTTGTGCTTTCTCAAGTTGCATTGGATATTCGGTAGTCCAGAATGGGGACTCATCTGTCTCCTCAGGAGGTGGAGTCAGCGGCAGAGAGCATTCGGTCACAATGATCTCAGGTTCCTTCTTGAAAGACGCGAAGGTATTTGCGAACATGCTTTCGTTGAACGTAACAGCCATGGTGGTGAACGTTGTGTAAGGATGTTGTTAAAGACAAAATGGTGAGATATCGGATCAATGAGTGAGTAGGCCACTAGGTGGAACGATTGAAGTGGCAGTTAAGCAACTGTTGTGCAAAGATTGAAGTGTTGACTGTGGAAGCTTGTGCTGATTTATGAACAGAATGTCTGTCACCTTTATACTGAAATCAGCTCTGATCTTGGCTTCACACTATCATCATCCTCCACGCCTCCAGTCATCCGATCATGCCAGCCTTCTCCGCCGGATGCAGACAGGAACACTCCTTTCCACGGCCACACCGACGTTCGGGCCAGGGCTGGCATACCTGAGCTCCCGCACGCTCTGTATCCACTGATTCGATCCAGACGTTGATGTCTCGACGAGCGATGGCGATTACTCACTCTGGTTGGCGAGGCCTCAACTTCTGGAAAGTTTGCCATCTAGATCCACACGTGCAGAAGTCGTTGGCCTGTACATTCGGTACGTCCTAGAGCCATGTGGCTTGCAGGAAATACAAGCCATCGACTGAGGTCTCCTAGAACAATAAGTTGGTCGGGCTGATAGAAACACTTCTCAGCTTTCCTTCAGAGACGCCACGAGGAGTCAACAGCCTAGTGAATTCCAAACAGCTGGTCCAGATTCGCTTGGGAGAGGCAAAATGGTCTGTTCTACGGGACGGAATGTGACTAACTGGGATGCTGCCATGTGGCATGCGGCCCAGAAGCATGGGTGTTTCCGACCAGAGGAAAGGTGGGTTTGTACGCGAAGGGTACAGAGAAGGTTAGGTAGTCCGCGGACGAGGATTTGTAGACACCAAGAAATCACGACATCGCGCCTAACGGAGTTTCTGCGTAGTGCAAAACCAGTGTCTATGCAGTGTCTGGTAACCGAGGCAGTGTAGGGAAGATGCAATATCTTATTGCTCAAGAGCTTCCGCACAGTACGATTTCATACGCTCTTCGGAGGAGGTAAAGAGGGTTGTAGAGTAGTGTGCAACTCAGGAATAATACAGAACCATGAGAGCTTCATTGTGATTGAAGATGCACCGTTACAAAGTTGATAGGTAAGACCGATGCGCAATTTTCGCCAGTTTGAGTGTAGTCAAGAAGATTCTCGAGACTAGATGTTGTTCTGAACATTCTAGCCACACCACATCAACCCTGCAGTGCTTAGCCTTGCATTGTTCAGCCTACTCGATCAGCCCTGCCTTGGGTAGCTCCGTTCCTGTCAGAATGCCTGTATGTCGGGGAGCGGACAAGAACAGTAAGCATCCCCAGCTCAGACTACTCCTGGGCTAGGGTTTCGCGCTGATCATCGAACTTGTGCTTTGGCGTGTCAGGGCTTGGCGAACACCTAGGCACAAACTGGTTGTACAAATGTCGATCCATCGATCTCTGAAGGGATTTCACTAATCTGCGGGTAATTCGAAACATCGAGAAAATCCTAGATTAAAATTGCAACTGTGCTGAGTGATGCATTTGCAGGATGGTAGAAATACTAGTACTGACCCGATGCACAACTGTTGCCGAAGCATGCTCTCACTCTTGTTCAGTGAACATATCTGAAGCGCAAAATCTTCCCTACTGCTGTTTTTGATTGGTATGAAGGCGAAACCCAACGCATTAGGACATGTCACTTTTGAAGCGAGCATTGAAGCCTAGACCCAACAACCCGCTTTTGCTACCCCAGAACCCCGGCGGGATCTTCGCTGGGTGCGGTGAGTGGTCATTTCTTAGTTCGGCGGTTTTGCTTGAAGAAAGCTTAGCGGTGGGCTAAGGAAGCTTCGCCGAGGCTTAAACAGGAAAGCCATGTATTGCCAAGGCCTTTGCACATGCTCTTAGTGTGGGCAAGGGTGACACTAACGGCACAACCCCTTAGCGGATTCGGCATGGTAGACCCCGGTCAAGCTATGCCACGCTTCTTACGTGACTGCCGAAACTTAACACCTCAAAGTCTTCAAACACTGTCGCTTAACCCAGTCACTCCGCGAAACAGCGGCGCCTCCGGACCATCCAGCTGAGATCAAAAATTCTGGACTCTCAGCCGCAGAGACGTTCTGTAATCCAACAAGCATGTTACGCAGAAGCCAGAACATCGTGGCTGCTTGACGGTGTAACAATGTCCTCTCTGTAGCTTTTCGTGGCTGCCGCAAGGTCTAGGCCATGGATACCTATGCCATGGAGCTCCGAGAGCCTTGCCATCTGTCCATACTCCTTACAGATCTACCAAGCAATGGCATTGATACATCAATCGTATACCCCTCCAATGTTGCTTGTGCAGCATCTCTTTGTCCTTGCCCCACTTCCGAGGTACATAAAGTTCCAAAATGTTCTCTCAGGAGCCAACTAGTCCTCTTGCTTCAAGCCTTCCTTCCGAACCTGAGAATGTCTTTCTAAGACCAGATTTGAGTAACGTCCTGCATGAGTGGGACACTGCTTCAACCAGATACATCTCCTCTAGAAATATCAATCGCCAAAGTTCCCTTTCCTTAGGGACTACACTCCCCGGCACTCCCAACAATGAAGTCTTCATCAACGAAAAGTCCATTCCTATCATTTGGGACCCTTCCACCAAGAGTCATGAGGAGAGAGTCCAACAACTAGGTGACCTTAACATCATGGTGGACGAGAAGCCAGAGTTTTCAGACCCAGATGGTCTGAAGGTGCGACGGGCTCAACGACTCATGAAGGTGCGAAAGTTGGCCTTCCAATGCTGCATCTTCGGACTGAAGTAAGTCACCTCTTGCCAATTGAAACGTATAACATGCTAACCAGTTCGAGTGGTTTCCTACTATTTGGCTCATGGTGGTTCAAAGGATATTACTACGTTTTCCTTCCCTTCATCACATACGGTGTACTTCTCAACTTCACCGTTGTCATCACCCTCCTCCTGTGGCTAGTCTTCCGCTTCTTCCGTCCGGAGAAGAAAAACCCTGCGCCCGAGACGCCCGAGTCGCTGATGCTCATCATACCATGTTACAACGAGAACGAAGAAGAGCTCCGCAAGTCTCTCGATTCACTCGTTGAGCAAAAGGGCATCGAGGACCATAGGCAGTGTGTTTTTATCATCTGCGATGGACGAGCTCGTGGTCCAGGCATGACGCAGACCACCGGCGACTGTCTGCTTGACACTATTCTGACGGAAAAGACATCCCGTGTACACATGAAGGATGCATACATGGCTTGGGATAAGGAACCTATGGACATCATCATGCAGATGGGACAATACAAGGGCCTGAACTACCTATGTATCGTTAAGATGACAAACAAGGGCAAGCGCGATGGCCTCATCCTCCTCCGTTCTTTCGGTAAGTATCACAGCGCACCTTTGTAGTCGCTAGACTAACTCTTCGCGTAGCATACAAGTTTAACCAGCGAAACGAGACGCCGACAACGATCATGTCGAACAGGTTGTTTGGCGAGATGACCTCATTCGTCCTTGACGACTGTGGTATCGACAAATTTGACCAGATTGTTGGCATGGATGCAGACACTGTCTTTGATCCATGGTGCATCTACCACCTCATCTCCGAATCCCGCTACCCCAACTGCTACGGTGTTTGCGGTGTGGTTTGGGTGGATTTCAAAGACGGCCCGTGGAACATGTGGCGCCTGATGCAGAACGCGTCGTACACCATCAGCCAAGGCCTGCCTCGTCTTCACCAGTCCATTGTCACCCACAAGGTTTCTTGTCTTCCTGGGTGCTGCCAGATTCTAAAGGTCTGCGAAGAGAACAATGGCGACCACATTTTGCGCACGTTATTTGGGTACTGCCCAAGCCCGACGGATGGCATGCTGAAACACCTTCGTGGTGCATACAGCGAGGACCGGAACCACGTTTGCCATGTCCTCACTGCCTCGCCTCACGTTCAAACCCGGCAATCGATTAAATCTATTGCATGGACCGATGTACCCACTTCGCTTTCGGTCTTTATGTCGCAGCGCAAACGCTGGTCAATGGGTGCAACAGTCAACGACTTCCGTCTCGTAACCGCCAAAGGTACTCAGTGGTTTGAACGTCTCCGCGCCTTCTCAAACTGCCAGACATGGTTCTGCAATATCTTCATCATGGGCTCCATCGCTGGATTAATCCACGCCGCTCAGCGTAGGATCACCCACGAAAACTGTCTCAACAGATTGCTAACGTCCTGTAGATGTTCCTTGGTATATCACCGTCGCCTTCCTAGGCGGTGTGATTGTGCCATATACCTATATGCTTACCCTCGTCTTCTGGATGCCCAAGGGCCGCAAAGCGAAGTGCCAATTCTTGGCCGGTTTAGTCATTTACTTCTTCACCGGACCATTTCTCACTATCTTGGTGCTGTTCTACACCATGTGGCACTTGGACGCTTTCTCCTGGGGTAAAACCCGCCAGGTCATCTCGGAAGATACAGATACTTCAAATGATGAGGTTGCCACCGAAAAGGCACCGTATACGGTAACTGTGAACGACGAGGAGGCTAGGGTCGGAATAACACGTCAATTTTCTATTTGAGTCAAGAACTGTTGTTTTCGATGGGGCTATTTACATAGCGCATCTTCATAGACTGTAGATATTTTGTTCCAGCATTATACCAACGATTAACGATTGCCGATTACTCGGTTTAAGTGAAAGTAGCAATTCACAACCATCGTTCATACTCTGCGTCTCTTAGCTGAAAACCTCCTCCTCAATCGAATCCATTTCGTGGGAAGAGCCGTATCGTCTCTGACTGGAGCCAAGCTGAGATGTGCTTCGGTAGTCTTTAGCAGAACCTTTCCAGCGATTGACAGATTTGTATTAGTTGTGCCCTATCGAGCACTCAGCTGAACCTGGGGAAGTTCAAAACTGTCACTAGTCGCTCAACCAGCAGGAATCCAGACTCTTGCCACTTGTACGCTTGCCCTCTACAGCTTAGAATTCGATGTTGAGGCGTCAATCCAGTCGAATCAGCACGATTTGATCAGCCGGCCACGTTGTCGGGCAGTCCGAAGATGGCCACGCACTAATTAAGTGGAGACGCCTAACATCAGTTAAAACACGCTGTCAGTCCAGATCTGCATGACCTTTGCGTTGGTAAAGTTCAATTCCTGGATATCGTTAAGTTGGCTATCCTTTGGTTCAAACCTCAACATCCGACTACTTACCACCTATCAAACTATATCCCAGCTTTGAGATGGGGCAACAGCTTGGTGTTGTAACGGGCGCGCTTGTTGCTTTCAATGCACTAATCCCCTTCGTCTCCGCAGTTCCGTTCGGGTTGCAGATCTATGGGTGTACTATGCCTGGGGTCATCGCGCCAGGTTTTGATGACGGGCCATGGATCTATACCGAAGATATCCTGGACAGGTATGCGACGGTTTAGCGGATATTAGGCAACTAGGAGCTTGCTAATATGAATCCTAGGATGGGGGCCGCGGGATTCAAAGCGACCTGGTTCATCAACGGGGCTAACAAGGGCAACATTTATGACTACAACTCGACCCTACGAAGAATGGTTAGCATGGGACACCAAATCGGCTCGCATACGTAATATCACCTCTAAGCTATATGCTCAACTTGCACTAACCGAACTTTCAGGTGGAGCCACAAGGACCTCGCGACGTTGACCGCCGACGAAATACGACAAGAAATGACGTTGCTCGAGGACGCTATGGTAAACATCTTGGGATACTTCCCATACTACATGCGACCACCATTCTTATCACTCAACGCCAATGCCCTCAGTGTTCTCAAAGATCTGGATTACCACGTCGTTATTGGTGACCTTAACACCAAGGACTGGGAATACCAATCGGAAACCGGCATCAATACTGCAAAGCAGCTCTTCATCGATGGTCTTGACCAAGGCTACACCATCGTCGAATCTCACGATCAAGAAGAGTGGACTCATGGAGAGCTCATCGATTACATGATTTCTGTAGTGCAAAGCAGAGGTATCAAAAGTAAGTAAATGATCCCATCAGCTCTTATCGCTACGTTTACTGACAATCATAAGCCGTGACTATCGCAGAATGTCTGGGTGAACCATCGACTTCACAATGGTATCGTTCCGTTCGAGAACTAAAACCTACTAATGCAGTAAGTAGTTTCTAAACCTAAATGAGAGTAGACTAAGAACTGACGAATATATAGACTAATAGCGGGGACACAGACTCGACTGTAACGTACTCCCTTAATGGAAGGTGTGGCAACATCAACGCTGGCAACAATCTTGGCTGGACCTGTCCTCCCAATGGCGGCCGATGTTGCAGCAGATACGGAAACTGCGGAAGCACCAGCGACTACTGCGCTGCGAATGTCTGCCAGCCAGCTTTTGGATTATGCAATGCTCCAATTTCTTCATCATACCGCGACGAGGCCAGCATGGCACCTATAGCAACCAACCTGCCTTCATCGACTTTTTTGTTTTTCAACAACACCGCAACATCTACCTCCCATAGCGCGGCTGCAACCTCTCTCGGACCGGGAAGCATCACACCGGACAACACCTGCGGAAACCAGGGAAGTGGGAAAAACAAAGGCTACCTCTGCAAGGCGGGTTTGTGTTGTAGTAAGTACGGCAACTGTGGTACGACTTCAGACTACTGTGCTGTGCCTGTGTGCCAAAGCGCTTTCGGAAAGTGCGATACCACAATATTGCGAGGAAGCGTCTCTCCGGACGGTACATGCGGCGACATTGGAAAAGGCAATAATGTTGGCTACATATGTAGGACTGGTCAGTGCTGCAGCAAGTATGGCAACTGTGGTAGCACTGATGATTACTGCGCTGCTTCGAAGGGCTGCCAAGTATCTTTCGGCAGCTGTACAACCTAGATTTCTACAATCAGACCATCTTCGTCGTTGATACTCCGACTCCCGGAACGAGATTCTCCACCATCAAGGTCGTTGTTGGTTCCATCAGAATCATACAACGCTTTGGCGAGACCGATAATCCGTGCTAAGAAATCGTGGGCGGGGGGATCAAATCAGAGAGTGTGAATATGAGCATGGTGTCTCGATGGTGACTTTGTAGTTGTCTTTCTCTTTGCCTTGGTGATTCAGGATTTTGCCTCTTTCATGTAATCAACAAAAGATATTCATAATCTTCACCGCTGTCCAGAAGAGAGTTGAGAAACGGGTTCTCCATGTCGAGATCACTTGTAGGAACGCGCCTATCGTGGTATCGAGTCGTGTTTCGGCTGGTATCGGTATCTGCATCCATCGTGATCCGCGTTATAGGTCCGTAGAAGAAAGATGAACCTTCGTAGGCACAAGCTTCTATGCAAAGCCAGCTGTGAGCTGTCTTCTTCGTTTGTGTACTCACTGAACGTTAGACATACATCCGGTCAAATAGAAATAGGTCTTCCGAGTACCAGTGCGATCCGAAGTACCTCCAATTGAGGAAGGGCAATATGATCTTGTCATATTCACAGTTCTTGGAAGCCTGCCCAAGTATGGAATAGATGCCATAGTTACGATCTGTGTTCTTGACTACTATCATGGCAGGGATTTTGTCGCTCAAGGAGCCTGCTTCACTGATCAAGAGCCAGTCATTCGGTCTTGTATCTGCTGGTGCATATGCGAACAACCTATTGTCTTGATCCACAATCCTCACAAGTGGAAGCTGAGATTCGGGCGAATGTTCAAGAAGTTTCGCTTCACAGGAGAGGTAATACGACTGTAGACCACCTGAACTCGGCACATTTCCGCTGACACGTTTGGTGTCGAGCAGCTTCACTCCGTACCACGTGTCTCTTGGATGACCTCGAAAGTTTTGATATCTCGTTGGCGGACTTTGGATGTATACCTTGCAATCGTTGAGGAGAGAATTGATCATGGCTCTAAGGTGTGAGTCACCATATATAAGGTCCCGGCATCCATAGCCATTCTTTCTTTTGAGCATCGCCGCTTTTGCCTGCTCCTCAATTTTGACGTGGAATATTTTCCATAGTCGACGAGGCCACTCAACGGCCATTCCAGAGATTGGTTCGGTTTCCGGATTCTCGAGATATACGCGTAGTACCTCGATGGCGACTTGGTAGCTGTCCTTTCCGTAGTCTGGCACAACGGGTTTACCGCGGCCCCATTCTACAAGAGCCAGAACGCCGAATAGTCTGTCTCGAACGTCGGTACATTGGAAGTTTTGCATGGCCTCTTACACCTCTGCCAATCGGCGGCGTCCTCGGACACCGGAAGCAAGAGTCAAACAGCCTCGTTGATGTTGTATGTGGCGGAGAGCCTCTTGCAATGACAAGCAGGACTCTTTTCGACGTGAAAACCATGCCAGCTTAGAGAATATGTTGGCCACAAATGAAATGCTGCTGGTCATAGAGTCTTCATAGTCACCGAAATTGATCCAGAAATCCACCAGCATGCTCACAGCTAGCAGATAGTCGAATGAACGTGTGTCCATTCCACAACAAAGCGAGGCTTTGGGAGCCAAATGAAGCTCTTGCAAGACCCAGACTCTCGAGAAATATGAGCGTTTCATGAACTTGGCAAAATCAGATGCTAGGAACCACCTTTGCCCAGGACTGATGGCAAATAGACATCGGAGCGCAACCCAAGAGCTCTTCGGAATCGGATTAGGCATCACCCAGTTGCGCATATTCTGAACGGTAGGACCAAGGGTGAGTCTGTGTATACTGGCCAACAGAGATCTGTTCTTGTCGATGGTCTGGAATAGGAACGTGCTGTCGTCCGTGTGAGGCCCAACGCATGCCAATACATGCACCGATCTCGCATATATTTGCCCCATCATTCCCACTTCATGATTCTTTTCCTGTATGGTCTTTTGGTCGATGCAAAGTGCATCCATCCAGAAATACCTGCTCGCGTTCGACATATATGCTTGTTTAAGCGCATAAACGCAATTCTGACCTGCCGTGAAGGCGCATCCATTGATAGGAATTTGATGAGTTGGGGTAGGTGAGCCCCAGGTATATCTGATACCGGGAACGGTCGATCAGTACAAAGCGCACATCAAGTGTGCATACGGAGGACATACGACAGGGCATGGTAATCTGGGGCCTTTTCAACAGGCCAATCGGTGAGGAGGCACACTACTTGACCATCTGCATTGACGCTTTCGATCTCCAGTAATCGTATGTGCGTAGTCGAATCCGGGAGGGGTTTGTGCTTGAATGTCTCAGTTGGCGGTACTTCTTCCATGATCTTCGAAGTGGGTTGGGCACAAGGAATGCCCCTGTGGCTGAACGGATACTCGAGAAAGCTGGCTGATTGATATATCCGTGTCGCGAGCGAGGACGAGGCGTTATTAAGAACATATGTGGGTTTTGAGCCGGTGAGGAGATTCAACTTGATGCGTTTGGCGTGGCGGCGCAGCATGCAAGCCTAAGATGATTCGCGAAGAAGGAGCCAATTAAACAAAAATGAAGTCCTCACTACCAGGATCTATGGGAGGCTGGACAAGTGTGTGGTAGCACACCGATATTGCAACGGTGTAGGCCACCGTTGTGTGCAACCCCATAGACGTCATCTGTGAAGCTCGTATGGCGGATTCTTGACATCATCCCATCGCGAGACAAAAGTACGGTGATGTATGCGACCATGTGGAACTTGGGAGATGGACACAGTGTGATGGTATGGAGCAATCTCATGTGGAGATGCCAAAGTTGATTACTGACGTACACTAGACAGTAGAACTCGAGGTAGATGGAAGCCTGCCAAGATTAATTTACACCTACAGGATGAGGCAGCTGCGCAGGTGCCACGTGATGCCGCCAAGGCCTCTCATCTGGCAAGGTCGAAACAATCAGCCATCCACCATATTGAAGTCGAGAACGAAAAAGACGGGATTTCTTCAAGCTATACAGCTGTCCGCCTTCTCACTATCGCCATGAAACCTAGACTGTGTATGCACAATGAAAGTAATAGCTTTTACCGGGAGAAGGATAGACATTAGAGGATCAGCCTCACATCCACCATGAGCCGAGTCAACCAAAAGAAGGAACGTAAGGCAGTAGAGGGTATCTTTTGTTCAGTCTATGAAGAATGCTACACCAAAGACAAATGCAATAAACATGTATGCAACGCCGCCCAATGCACACTACGGCAATCTACATCATCACCATACACTTCCCCAACAAAAGAAATCCGCCCCACCCCCATTTAGAACGACCCAATATTCCCCTTACTATACATAGTCTGCCTCCTCTTATGCCTCATGCCCTGCCCCTGGCTCATCCCTTTCGACCCTTGGACTCCATTGCTCAACCCAATGCCATCGCCCAAAATGCCATTCGCACGCACCTTGCCCTTCCTAACCGCCCTACGTTTCGCCTCCCGCCTCTTCAACTTGCCACTCCAATGTCTAAACTTTCTCAGAATACGATCTGCCATGAGCACAACGAGCGTAACAACCATGACGGGGACGGCAATAATCCAGAAAAACGCATCCGAATGATGCTGGACACCGGAAAAGCGTTCAAAGTTTTGACCAAAGTATCCGACGAGGAAGGTCAGGGGCAGGAAGAAAATGGTGACAGCGGTGAGTATCTTCATGGATTCGTTTTGAAAGGCACCCATCATGTTGAAGATGAGGTCGATGAGGTTATCGGCTGCGCGCCGCATTTGGTCGAGCGACGCGGTTATCATGATGCAGTGGTCTTCTACGTCGCCCAAGTACGTGTGTGCCAAGGGGGAAATGTTGATACTAGACATGGTCTTGCGGGTCGCCAAATTCGTGGTACTCTGGCTCATATTCATGGCTGTCATGGCCTGGGCCATGGGATCGGCCTTGTGGTCACGGAGGGAGTTGATGAGCGAGACAATGGGTTGGATGGTGTTTCGCAAGATGGATAATTCCGAAGTGAGCAGGTAGAGGAGTTGCGAGTGGTGCAATTCAGGGTCTTCCAAGACGTCGAGTTCTAGCTCGCCCATCGCGTCTTCGTAGGCGGCTACGACGGGGATTGCGAGATCAACAATGGCGTCGATGATGGCTTGCACGATCATGCTGCTGTCTTGGCTGCGGCGCAGGATCGTGTCTTCGGTTCGGAGGCGCTTGAGGATCATGTCTTCGACGTCGTCGGCCGAGTGCTCGAAGAAGGAGATTACGGAGTTGTCGGCGAGGAGGAAGATGCTGACTTGTTCGACGCTGACGGTTAGGTGCTTTTCAGTGAGGGCGGAGTGTTGTTCGAGGTAGACGATTCGGTCGAGGTTGTAGCCGCCGCGATATCGTTGGAGGGTGCGTACAGCGGTTGTTGCTGGTGGAGTGGATATCTTGACTTTCTCAAACGGTGTGCCGTCGAGCTGTTTCTCTAGCCCGTCTAATGTGCTCATCATCTCATCTTGGCTTTTCTGCTTCTTGGCTTCGCTCTTGGGGAAGAGTAGGTTCTTTGCTGTCTTGAAGAGCGATGACTTCTTGGGTTTCTTCTTCTGCGGGTGTCGTGAGCGAGACCGTGAGCGAGCCTTGTGCCGTCGTCGTTCGCTGTCGTCAGAGTCGGAGTCGGAATCGCTCTCGGAATCCTCGTCCATCGGCGTCCGGACAAGTTTGGACAGAGTCAGAAGCAAGAAGGCTTGATCAGAGTACCAGTCGACCTTGGTCCTACTCTGCGTGCTCATCAAATCCTCAATGGCCAGCCTATGCAGCTGCTTGTGGTTTCCCAGGGTACGAATCACGTCCCAGGACAAGCCATTGACGTTGATCCAGCGACATGCTACCCAGTCTTCCTTTGGGTAGTTGAGAAAGTCCTCCAATGTATCATTATCCAGTTCATGGCACTCGACGCGCTCGTCGGAGAAGTCTACAACGGTAATCTGGCAGCGCGCATAGAGATGGTGGTAGTTGGCGCCATCCGTCTCATTTTTGGTGTCGACACCCGGCTCAGCACCTGGTTCTTGATGCTGGTATGGGCGCGTGGGGGACTGGTAGTGTTTTACCGTGTGCGATCGCGTTATGCGTCGGCGCAGAGTCGAGTCTACCGAGAAGCGATCAGGGGAAAGGAGTTCCTCTGGGTTGGGATGTGCTGCAGTAGCGGTGGTGGACGTGGCAGAGCGGCCGCGACGTCTCTGCTCGTCGAGCTGCGTATCGATGGTCAAATGTGGAGGCGCGGCCGAATCCGAGGCAGACCGCTCTGGCTGGTCGGGAGCGGGTGGAGCGGACGCAAAGTCTTGGACTCTCGTTTCGTGTGGAGAGGCCGACATGGCGGAGGTCTACTTGGACGAAGTAGAGGTTTTGTCCAAAATATCACGTTAACGAGAGTGCAGAATAAAATGCGACAGCCATTAGTATAGCGACGCGCGGATTGGCTGAGGGTCCAACGACTCTCCTTTGCAGACCACGTTGTGAAGTAACAACCACTGGGCTGCGGGAAAGTTTCATGTGCCTAGGGAGCTCCATGATTACGGGACAGCTCTGCGAAGATCCTGTGCACCCCGCAAAGCTACCTCTGCACCCTCAGCTCACAGTGTACCTGTAGCGGGAAATGTAAGATGCACCAAAAAGTATCGAGGGTTCTACTGCGGATGGCGTGTTGAGTCAGCTGCGTCGAGTCCACCATGTGCATTCGTGGTAACGCAGGCGCTGACGAAGAGGACTGCCTTTGTCAGCAGCATCGTGCAGTCGGCCGGCGCCCCACGCAGGCTCGAGAATGGAGCCGAATTATGCAGGCGCCTGCAGACGTGACTTGAATAGTGGCAGCTCGCTGGCAATGCTGTGGGTGCAGAGGTTTCATGGTTCCATGGCATTGGCAGAGGTAAGCGCGCCACCTGTGGCGTGAGGGTATTTTGGGCGTCAGAGCAGAGGCACAGTGGGGAGAAGGCAGTCATGGCTATTCATCTGTCACTGCACGGCTTGTCATTCCTCGAGGACATGTGCATTTCCAATCAACGTCAGTAAGCTGCACTTGGCAACATGGCCGTGGTGAAGTTCGCATCAGCAGCGCAGTCATTTCGGTGCTCTCTTAGCCCGTAGCGCATGAAATTAGCGGTTCGAGGCTACCCTTCTGGGCGGTCGGTGCCAATCCTTAACAGTGGGACTAGCTGCTCCACTGCCCATGACCTCTCACCCGAACCGCCTCTCTACATCCCATTCATCGCCGACAGCCTCAACCAACATAGCATAGTCCAGCCTTACCACGACAGCCCATAGACGACATCGCCAGGGATACCGAGTGTTGCGTGGCCCCCCACTGCGACGCGAGAGAGCGCTCTTGCCTCCCAGCCAGCGGCAGTGAAGCCATCCTGGTCCCCCTAACAACAGCAAACAAGACTCATCTCCCGCCGACAACCATCGCCATCCCTTTTCACGCCTCACACCGCTGGCTGCTACCTGCATCAGCCTCGTCTCGTCCGAGTCGGGTTGTTATCCGTGTCACACCACGCGGTCGGGTTCTTTCCACACTCGAAGCAGCCGAGCCAGTATCACGTTTGCTCCAAAGCGCTGTTTCTGAGCACCACCACCACCACCACCACACGGGCCCCTCCACAGCCTCAGTCAGAGCCTGAACCAACAACAAACAATTAGCTGCTGCGTCTCTCGCCCTAAGTGTCGCTGTTTGCCCGCCCATTGCCTGCAGCCAAACCCCAACTGCTTGCTGCCCACCACATGCGACACTAGTCCTGCAGCTCTCCACCACCCAGCTTCTACTCATCCGCTCAGCGACGGCACCACACAGCATCCAATATGCGCGAAGTCAACTTTAGCATCCCCAACGCCAACAAGGCCTCAGTGGGCATCACCACCGCCCTCTACGACCGCCGCGCCCTCGACTGCACATCGACCCTCCCGCTCATCAACTCGCTCAACCACCTCGCCTACCTCACCACATCCTCGGCACGCATACGGGACATTCTCACTGTCGATGGCGGCATCGAACGTCTGATATGCATCCTCAAAGAGGGCCGGAGCAAGGACATGATGGACATGTGGAAATGGAACCTTGCTTTCCAATGCATCTTTAACATTGGTGTACGTGGTTCTGAGAACGTCAGGACACGTGTGGTCGAAGCCGATATGGTGCCCGTCATCGCATCCATTCTCGACAACTACATCAAGGTCGTCGATAAGATGAGGGCAAGAGCTGAGGCCGAAATCCACAAGTCTGCACGTCTGGGTGCATCGAGCCGACACCACTCGTCGCGCACTGGAGAGGTTGCATCAAGCTCCGGACACAGAGCTGATCGAACACGGCGCGTCATACCCCCTCCGATTGAGATACCCCAGCCAACCCAGCCCTTGGGCGAGGCGACGCCCATTCCTGCATTCTCACTGAGCTCCCCTCCCGAACGGACGACATTTACACGCGGTCGACCTGCCCACCACCATCACCACCGTAGCCACGAAGGCCGCGCACAGCTCTTTGGCGCCCCCGGCAACAATCCTCGTAGTCTTGGCCAGCCATTGGTCACGGCATTACCTTCCATAGAACCAGCTCCCGATGCTTTTGCGCTACGGCCGGTGCGAGATGCCGATCGACTGCCTTCCATGCTCCCCGCCCTGCAAGGGGAGATCACTTCTCAGCCAGAGTCACCGACAACCCCGAGTGCCCCACAGGCACGCCAGACGAGCCCAAGAGCGGGGCTAGCCCGAACACGCCGCCGCCCATCCATCCGACACCAGTTGTCTGTATCTGGAGAGTCGGATCTTGAGGCACAACAAGATGACATGTCTGCAGAGGCTGCAACAGCGGCTGGTCCGTCTGTAAACGAGCCAATCGTCGGTATTCAGAACAATGAAATCAACATGGCCGACATTGTTGACAACGCAGAGATGCTGGATGCTGGCAACACACCAGTTCCTATTGCTGCCCCCTCGGAAGGCACAGATGAGAACAACGAGACGTTCAACATCACTCACCGTCCAGCACTCGATGGCAGTCTAATCAATCCCACCAACACACCACCGAACAACCCCATTACTGGTTTCTCTCCTATGCCGCCGACTATCAACGTTGTAAACACCAACCCACCACCTCCTTGGCTACCACGATACCAGCAAGAACGTAATGCATCAGCTAGCGTGCTTGCAGCCATGCCCCGTGACGAGGACGTACTCATGTCCCTGCAACTGCTTGCTTACGTATCGAAGTACTGCAACCTCCGGACCTACTTCCAAAAATCGCATCTGGTACCTAAGCTGAAGATTGGCACCGAGCTACTCGATGGGGAAGCATCGACACCCAAAGCAGCAGAGGAAGAAGAAGAAGAGCTAGAAGAATACGAACTTCCCGACGACTTCAACATCTTCCCTCTGGTTGAGCAATTTACCGTACGACACCACACATCCGACATGCAGTACTGGGCAAGCGTTGTTATGCGCAACCTATGCCGGAAAGATGATTCCCGAGGCGGCATCCGACAATGCGCATACTACCAGTGCGGCCGGTGGGAGGAATACACGCGTCAGTTTGCCAAGTGCCGCCGCTGTCGGCGGACCAAGTACTGCAGTAAAGAATGCCAGAAGAGCGCCTGGGTTTTCCACCGCCACTGGTGCGTTGCTGCGTCGTAAAGATATGCGGACGACCGTGATTCCCTAATTCTCTTTTACACCAATCATCATCATTCGTCAGTTATTTACTGGCTGCATATTGCATGGCGCTGGGCACAACATTAGTGCGTTCTTCTATGTCCATTTCTTTTATCATAATCTTTCAGAACTTAATGAGCGACACGACTACTGGATACCACATCAGAATGCTTCTCTTTGGCAGCGGGGGAGGAGGAAATCTAAGGGTGTTGGAGACTTTCGGAGAGAGGGAGAGAGCCTGCAAAGGCAGAGAGGAGAAAGACAGAGGAAGGGAGGGAACGAAACTATACCATATCATTTGGGAGCGGAGCATCATTAGCATTTTGGTACAAAAAGCCATGGTTCTGGAGTAGTAAGTAGTAGTGAGTGCGTTTTGGGTGCAACTGAATGTCAAATGCATTCGTACCGTACATGTCTTGCAGCAAATTCTCCTGTGTTAATTTCCATTAGCGGCATCTGTAATTTTGATAGAATCTAATATCACGATGTTTAATACAAGACATGCTGGCGTCGTAAGCGTGTGATAGCTGATTGGCGGAAACATGCAGCTGTCACGCCTGGGCACATTCAGCCCATTTGTGATGTTCGCGGCGTTCGCGCCGGCAGCCCCCAAAGGAAGGCGTTTTACTGGTTCCGCGGGGAAGGATCTTCATTTTTTCTGCTGATCAGAACCATGGGAAAAGCAGACATGCGGCACATATGCAAGCCCACTCCCACCATGAGGGGCAGCGCACTACGGATGTCGGGCGTGGAGCAAGCTGGGGGAGTTTAGGCTCGTTGTGTTTACGTCAGTCCTAAAATAGCCTGGGGTTACATGGATGGCGGGATGGGGGGTTAAATCATGTGGTGCGCGTCAGCAGAGGCCGCAGAAAGCTGAACCTTGGTCCCAGCCACACGCGTGGACCCGCAATGATATCCTGGGGTTTCCAGTTGTTTACTTTGACTGGTTCCAATTTTGACCAAGTCTTCTGTTTGCACACAACGACATGTTTGTGCAGACTTGTTCTTCTTATCCATTGTCTCATCGCCGACGCGGCCGCGTAATGCCCAAGACAAGCCAACGGGCATTGACGTCGTAATATCCGTGTTGGACAAGCCGCTAGACCGGACTGCTGCGGCAAGGCTGGGGGAATCTCGCGATCTCTCACCTAGATATTTCAACTCAAATACAGCAATCGTATACGAAGTATAGGGAATGACTGGAGATCATGTCGCATGCGCCCGATGCATCGAGTGCTGGGACTGGAGGTAGCGGCGCGGGGAGTGGGAGCGGAGAAGGTGGAGGAATAAGAAGGCGTCATTCCGCATCGCACGACGAAGACGATCTCGCACCGGCGACGCAAAGTACACAGGGCGCAAACACGGACACGCCGTATGCGATTTTTCCGGGTGCTAGGACCGAGGATGGAGATGGTGTGTCACGATCGAGGACTTCGGCTGTGGAGAATGCGGCGCGCCCGAGCATTGCGCGGCTCACGACTGAGGAGTCGCCTCGCGTCCGCTTCTCGACTGATATCGAGCGCAATGGCAAAGATGAAATCACAAGAGTTGGCAAGGGGAATGTGGGGAAACAGAGGCCTGGGACGCCGGATTTGACGGTCGATACGCGCGAGGTCGAGGCAGAAGGTCGGGCTGAGGCTTCGTCGTCACGTTCACCACGGGATGCTGCTTCAAAATCACCGCTCTCTCCTACTTCTCGAACCCGCGGGTACTCGTTACGCAGCGCCTTGTTTCGGAGGAACGTTCACGATACGACACAATCGCCAGATACACATATTGAACTGGAAGAGGGCGTTGGAAAACCACAGTCTAGAACAGGAGGACAGTCAGAAGGCTCCAGTGGACATGTGGCGTCGCCCAAGAGTGGAGACGCCGTTATAACGGTCACGTCCGAGCATTTAGACTACGCCTCGTCAGTCTCCGATATCTCCAAGTCGAGGCCGGGCGAAGGACCAATCGCACTTCCAGCCTATGAATCCTGGTTGAAGCGCGACAAAAGACCCAGTCGGAAGTCGAATCTGGTCAAGCAGACAAAAGACTTTGCAGAACAAGCCCGGAAGTTCGTTTTCAGGATCAAGGATGTACCGCCTAGTAAAGACGGCCGCCACATCCACCTTGATCCCACCCGTCACGAACCTCTCACAGACGAACGCACTTCACAACACTACACCAGCAACTGGATCCGCTCCACGCGGTATTCTGCCTGGAACTTCATCCCGCGACAACTCGTCGCGCAGTTTTCCAAACTAGCAAACTTTTACTTTTTAGTCATTTCCATTCTGCAGATGATACCCGGGCTGAGTACTACCGGCCAGTTTACGACGATTGTGCCGTTGCTGTTTTTTGTTACGCTGAGTATTGCCAAAGAGGGCTACGATGATTTGAGAAGGTGGAGGGCGGATCAGGAGGAGAATAAACGAGAAGCTAAAGTGTTGCGCGCGACTTCCGAGTCTGTTGCTGGGGCGAAACGCCGCGGGTCTACAGATGGTGGGAGTGTGGTCTCGCCGGAGTCTGAGGGGCTAAGGTGGGAGACGATCAAGTGGCAGGACATCAACGTTGGCGATATCATTAAACTTGAGAGAGATGATGCGGCGCCCGCGGACCTGGCGCTACTTCACACGAATGGAGAGAATAACGTGGCGTTTGTTGAGACGATGGCGTTGGATGGAGAGACAAATCTGAAAAGCAAGCAAACACCCGCCTCCATCTCCAAGACAATTATCGACCAGGAAGACGTCCTAAGGACTGATGCCGAGTTCGTCGTCGAAGACCCCAACCGAGACTTGTATAGCTTCGAGGGACGTGTCATGGTCAACGGGAAGCAAGCGCCACTCACTCTCAGCGAAATCATCTTCCGAGGTAGCATCCTGCGAAATACACCAGATGCGATCGGTATGGTCATCTACTCTGGAGAAGAATGTCGCATCCGCATGAACTCGAATAAGAACCCTCGGATCAAAGCGCCCGCGTTGCAAGGCCTGGTTAACCGCATCGTCATCCTCATCGTAGTCTTTGTCATCGCCCTGTCAATCTTCAACGCCGTCGCATATAAGATCTGGCAAAGGAACGAAGACGACATGTGGTATCTGCGTGGCTCCTCGGTTGCATTTTTCCCCAGCTTCACTTCCTTCATCATCATGTTCAACACCATGATTCCACTGTCTCTATACGTCAGTTTGGAGATTGTCAAGCTGGCGCAAATGTTCTTCCTGCATACCGATATCGACATGTACGATCCTGTCTCCAACACGCCGTGTGAACCGCGCACTTCGACTATCAACGAGGAGTTGGGCCAGATTAGCTACATCTTCTCGGATAAAACGGGGACGCTGACGGATAACTCGATGAAGTTCCGTAAACTTAGTGTGGCGGGAGTGAGTTGGTTGCATGATGCGGATTTGAAGGAGGAGAACATGAAGAAGAAGTTGATTCATAAGACGAGGAAGAAGGGGAAGCAGCCGGTGAAGAACAGGAAGAGCGTAAGGTCGGCCAAGGATGTTGCTAACGACGAGCCGGTGGTTGAAACGGTCGAGCAGCTGGGGAGCCCTAGCGAAGGAGAGCCGTCGAATTGGCGGTCGAGCGCGAAACCAGGCAAGACTTCGCGAGAGTTGCGCACACAGGATATGCTGAGGTATATCCAGAGGAAGCCGCATACGCCATTTTCGAAGAAAGCGCGGATGTTCCTTCTCTCGCTGGCGTTGTGTCATACTTGTTTGCCTGAAGTTCAGGAAGACGGTAAGACACACTTCATGGCTTCCTCGCCAGATGAACTTGCGCTGGTACAGGCAGCTCAAGACATGGGGTTTCTACTGATCAACCGCGATGTCCACACCATCACCCTGAAGATCATGCCCTCTGGGTCCGACGGTGAGCCAGTTTCAGAGGTCTACGAGATCCTCGATGTTATCGAGTTCTCCAGCAAGCGAAAGCGCATGTCGATCATCCTGCGCTTCCCGGATGGCCGCATATGCATCATCTGCAAGGGTGCAGACTCCATTGTCATGCAGCGGTTGAAGCTCGCGACGCTTGCGAATAAGAAGATGATTGAGATTGAGCGACGTGCCAATATACGCAAGAGCATGGAGGCTCAACATGCGATTGCGCGTATGAGCGAACACGCTGAGCGGCGGAGTAGCGTGGCTGGTCGTATGAGCAGCGTTGGTGGAAGGAGGAGTATGACTCTTGGTCAGGCTGCAAGGGCTAGTCTTAACCTCGGTCGTGCATCCTTCGCTCCCAGTGTGGGCAGAGGAGGTTCTGTATCAGCAAGAGATGAAATGGATCAATGGCTACGCGAGCGTGAGAACGACCGCATGGACATGTTGTCTCTCGACGAAGACACGCCGTATCAAACACCGCTACAGACACCCCGTCAATCAGGCTTAGACCGCTTCAGCATGGCCTTCTCATCAGCACGCAGCTCGATGCAGCTAGAAGACATGGAGGCTATGGTCGACGAAGGCATTGCCGGTGACGACACCGCAGTCATCGAACGCTGTCTCCAACACATCAACGAATTCGCTACAGAAGGTCTCCGAACCCTCCTCTACGGCTACCGTTTCCTCCACGAATCCGAATACCAATCCTGGAAAAAGAAATACCTGGACGCAACAACTAGCCTCGTCGACCGAACCCGTCTCATCGAAGAAGCGGGTGATATGATTGAGCAAGACCTCGATCTATGTGCTGCTACCGCTATCGAAGACAAACTACAACAAGGTGTCCCTGAAGCCATCGACAAGCTCCGTAGAGCCAAGATAAAAATGTGGATGCTAACGGGCGACAAACGCGAAACCGCCATCAACATCGGCTACTCGTGCCGCTTGATCAAAGAGTTCAGCACCGTAACCGTTCTCGACCATGAAACGGGGCTCGTCGAGCAAAACATTGCATCAGCCATAACCTCCATCACCACCGGTACCGTTGCCCACTCTGTCGTAGTCGTAGACGGCCAAACCCTCTCCAAAATCACCGACAATGAACTTCTAGACACGATGTTCCACGAACTGGCTATTCTGGCCGATAGCGTAATATGCTGTCGTGCGTCGCCTAGCCAAAAAGCCCAACTCGTCAAGTCGATTCGCAAACGTGTCAAGAAATCAATCACCCTCGCCATCGGCGACGGCGCAAACGACATCGCCATGATACAAGAAGCGCACGTCGGCATCGGTATTACAGGAAAGGAAGGCCTGCAAGCAGCACGCACATCTGATTACTCCATCGCGCAATTTAGGTTCCTGGTTAAACTGCTGCTAGTACACGGACGCTGGAACTATGTGCGGACGTGCAAGTATACCGTGGGCACGTTTTGGAAGGAATTGCTGTTCTATCTTACGCAAGCCTTGTTTCAGATGAAGGCGGGGTACACCGGTACCTCACTTTACGAAAGTTGGAGCTTGTCCATGTTTAACACGCTGTTTACGAGCTTACCCGTTATCTTCATGGGCGTGTTTGAAAAGGATCTTAGTGCGAGTACGCTGCTTGCTGTTCCCGAGTTGTATACGATTGGGCAGCGGAATGGCGGGTTTAACTTTAGGGTGTATCTCGGGTGGATGTTCATGGCGAGTGCGGAGGCCATGGTGGTTTATTATGTCATGTTGGGGTTGTATGGGGATGCGCTTTGGACCGAGGATAACTCCATCTTCGCTCTTGGAAGCATCACGTATACGGCGAGTGTGTGGTTGATTGCGCTCAAGATGCAGTATGTATTCCCTTCCTTCCTTCCCCATTTCCTTTGCAGAGGACATGAGCTAACCAGTTTTATCAATAGATTCATAGAAACGCACTCTAAGACCATTACCAACGCCATCGCTCTCGTTCTCTCAATCGGCGGCTGGTTCCTCTGGAATATCATCCTCTCTTCGCTCTACAACCCGGAGAACAAAATCTACTACGTCCGCGACACCTTCCTGCGTGGGTTCGGTGCGAGTTGGAGCTGGTGGCTTTGCCTTGTACTTATTCTCCTGGCTGTTCTGGTGTTTGAGCTGAGTGTTAAGAGTGGTATGGCGGCGTGGTGGACGAGCGATGAGCATATTTTTCAGGCGCTGGAGAAGGATGCTGGGGTTAAGAGGAGGTTTGAGGAGGCAGCTGCTGGGGAGTTGCAACAGGGGTGGGATAGGGAGAAGAGGAAGGGTGGGGAGGAGAAGATTGAGGTTGGAGAACAGGAGAAGGAGAGGGAGGAGAGGAGGAGGGAGGTCGAGATCAAGGATTTGATCAGAAATAGGGTTGAGGATGTTGGGACTGGACCGCAGGATGGCGGTGATGTTAATAGGATATTGAGTCGCGGGTTCGGAGATGTCAAGACGACGTAGTTGGAAGGAGAGATTGAACCATGTTATGGCCTTATGTTTAGCTATCTACATTTCTCCTCATGATTACTTTTTCATCTTGATTGTTGACCATGGTGGCTCTGTTGGCAGTCACTCCTGCACTGTTGATGAAAGACTGGTTGATTGGCTTGCACTCTACGAAGAAGCTCATATTCTCTCCACTATATGCTAGAGCCATCTTATATTCCCAAGGCAATTGCTAAGACTTACATTACGGGATCGTTCATGTGATGTATAGTACTTTCAAAATACTTATCAACATTGGCTAACATGTACCAATCATGTGTCCTAAACGTCTGCATACTCGTTACTTTTTTCCTGTCGTGCAACCTAGTAAGTTGCAGCAAGTCATCTCCAGCTTTAGGCGATACTTGCTTCTTTCTTCCTCTCACTCTACCCCACTTTTATGTCCGTTACTTTGTTTTCATCCTCATAATGGATGCCACGTACCATACTTCAACGACTTCGCAGACCCGGCTTGATGACGACGATGGTTCTAGAATCGAGGAATCGCCACAATCGAATTCACAAGAAGACCTTTGTCCGCAGGGGTCGGTGCCGCTTCATCGACTTTGCGACCGGTGTCGACGATTCTTCGATAACTAGACAGAAATCCATGCATGGCTTGACGAACCTAAGCCGTGGACAGGGAGGCACAGACCCAAGGGCAAGACATCCAGGCTGTGCACCGTGGTAGAATTGATGGAATCACGAGAGACTTCTCATTTCTGCGAGATGATACTTTTGCAGATGATAGACTACATCGATGACGTAAAACCACATCAGGCTGTCGGATGTAGAATCGGGATGTCTGGGTGGAAAAATGCGGGACTGTGGGTGTCCGTATCACTAGATGGCGTTGTTCACCGCCCGCCGTCCTTTGGAGGCCCGGAGTCTCTATTCGTGAAAACCTTTCCCCGTAAGCTGCTCTCTCATTCATTGAACAGATAGAGCTGACATATCAGTCGGGGCTCATAACGACGCACACGTATTCGAGTTCCCTTTTGGAGTACGGCATGTTCTCCCGCAAACCAGGGGACAATTTAGATCAGATCCAGGATTGGCTACACACATGCCGCTCAAAGCACGACAGATGTAGCAATTGGCTCTCAAGCATGGAATCCAAAAGAACCCGGCCAACAAGGGTCCTTGAGCTCGTCCAAAGTGATGTTAGATTGCGGTGTGATCCAGAAGCCATAGATGACTTCGAATATGTAGCTCTTAGTCATATGTGGGGCACAGATTCTTCAAAACAACTTCGATTGACGGTTCCAACATCACAGGAATACCAAGAAGAGGTACTATTGGATGCTCTGCCCCAAATTTTCTGCGAAGCTCTGCGAATCACCCGCTATTTAGGCTTTAAGTATCTGTAGGTCGATTCACTTTGCATCATATAAGACTCGATACCTGACTGGACGGCTGAGGCGAGCATGATTTCTAACGTCTACAGTAACGCTGTCTGTGTGATTGCATTCCTGTTTCCACCTCATGTAGGCTCTACTGAAAACCAATTTACGACCAAAAGGTGGAGCGAACAGTCTCTTCAGGCTCGAACGCGAAGGCCAGATACTCAAATCCGAAACGATCACCGACCGTTAACACCCTGCATTATTCGAGAGCCCACCGAAACAAGAATGGGTATCTATATTGGCTCTTGCGAAGAGGGGGAATGTTCAAGGTTGGAAGCTGAGAACTGGCCATGGTCCTCTAGAGCATGGACGTTCCAAGAGCATATTTTGAGTGCTCGCACCATCCTCTATGGCCACCGTACGATCATGTGGGATCGCGTGGAAATCTTTTGTGACGAGCTGACTGGAACCGTTTTGGCTCCGGGCTCTAATACCCGACAGCGACTCAGCAGAGCTGGTAGAAAAGCCAATGCAAGCTGCGGCGCAGGAGACAACTCGGAAACCATTCGTATCTAGAAAAAGTTCTTAGCGGACTATAGAGCCTTTCGATTCTAGGTGATTCTGGTAGAGGACTATAGAAGGAGAGACCTTACAAAGCCAAGTGATAGGATCATGGCTTTTTCTGGAGTAGCACGGTCTTATCAAGCCGAACACGGCTCGATTTACCTCGCAGGAATGTGGAAAGAACATTTTCCATTGGCTCTTCTGTCGTACCACGTGTGGGACATTAGGTATGAAGTAAGCGCCAAGCCTCTCGCGACAGACCTCATGGAGCCGCCATCGGAATCAGTGCCTACGTGGTCATGGTTCGCAAGCCCCATCTACCTCCGCTGGGTGACCTATTTTGCCGACGACCTGTACTCCGGGACGAGTCAGTTGTTGTTCTTTACCAAGTTATCGCAGTTTAGGTGGTGTAAATTGCCTATCGATCACGTCCCACCAACGGCTTATCATGACTTCGATGGCTTACAGATCACACTTGAGCTTGCAACGTACACTACTACAGTCCTGCCATTCTGGTCACACGATGCAAGGGAAATGAACTGCGAAAGCCTAGGTACACAGTTAGCTTCTCTACTCGGCGTTAGCAGAGGTGATGTGACAGCTCTCTATATTTGCGATGATCTCAAGGAAATTGATCAACCTCCAACCAAGATCTACATAGCTCTTGTGGGTGGGGGGCGGGATAAGGATAAAAAGTGTCACCTTTTCGAAGGACTAGCGTTGGCACCTGGAACAGAGAAGGAAACTTACAAGCGAGTGGGCTACTGGTCCGGGTCGGTCCGATGTGAAGACAAGTATACACCAGTTTTCCGTAGGGCAATTTGTAAGTGTCGCTACAATAACTGCATTTGAGGCATACACTGACTTCTTAGACTCACATTTAGACATTTCAGACCCGAATGACGAAGACCTGGTGGGCGATAGCGAAAGTGAAGATGTTGAATATGCTAACTTCTTACACACATATTCAGACGATTCATACTCAGGTGACAAGGGCCTAGATGACGGTAGCGAAAGTGAATATGTCTCGGCGACGGACGACGGAGAGTTCATCAATGACGGTGAGAATGAAGACTCAACATTAAGCTCAAGTGAAAGCACTTCGAGTCTTTGTGAGATGAGACAAGGCCAGGGATCTGCATTCCTACGCCTCGAAGGGGCAAAGACAGAGACTCTAACTCTTATCTGAGCACCCGTTCTAGGATCTGAGCAGAATGATAAGTCCGCCAGCGTATGAATAGTTTCTTCTCGTCTAACTTAGGCATAGACCCTTCGACCTGTTAATTCGCAATTAGGAACATGATCTGGAAGAATGCCAAATCAGCCAGAGCCGACGACAAGTAAGCAACAATTGGTGAATGGATCCAGGATGGTGGAATGTAGATTGAGTTTGCCGGTCGCGTGCGAATTCGCGCATCGACTGCAAAGAGAGCTTGGAATGTATCATGGAGTTCAAGAGACTAATTGGGTAAGGGGCAAACGCTCTCTGTATTTCGTTGGGCGAGAATAGCGTAGCGGAAAGGCGATCTCTTTGTATTGGGAAGTAGTAGCAATGTCATCGAGTATACATCAGGAACAGCTGTACCGTTGGGGACTGAAGAGAGACACGATGCAACAACCTATAGACACGGAATACAAGTATGATACCCTAAGAATCATGATCTACATATGAAAATGTTTCTGGGGCTGGACTCTTGGCACCAAGGTTGTGGAACTGTTTACGATTCAGTGGAGATGCATGGCTGTTCCGCTTTTTCTGAAGCCAAGAAGGGCAAAATGAAGAATGAGTTGAAAATACATATAGCGAAAAGGAACTAAGATGCCTCGAAGCTTGGTTTGAAGATGGACAGGCTCTGCCGATGACGGCCTACACGGTAGCCACTCGCTCAGTAGTGCAGCGCAAAATCCCTGGGCTGCTTCTTCCCCTTCTTCCACGCAGTACTCTCACTCGTCTCATTGACCTTCTTCGCCAACTCCACATTGAACTCAGTGACCACACCCTTCGCAACCGGCTTCCCAAGGTTATCAGTCATCGGTCTAACAACATCGCACCTAACCGCCTGTGCAGGACTCATACGCTCCATCTTCGTGTTGTTGGTCTGTATGAAGAGCCTCTCACGCGAGTCCGCACCAGTATACGGCTTCCACTCAACAGCACGGTTGGCGCGGTCAGTGTTGGGGTCCAAATTGCGGATGAAACTGATCCAGTAGCTACGCACCTGAGAGATGATGGGTGCGTTGGTGGTGAAGTAGCTTGGGGGCTCGCCGCCGTCAGTGCGGTTTACGCCCCAGAAAGCGTATGCGTTGACAGTGTGCCAGGCGCCGTAGCCGACTGCCTCGTCGGCTGGGTCTTGCACGGCGTATTTATAGTTGTATGTTGGTACGCCGTCGCGTGCGATCGCGTTCTGGATGTTGCGTGTTGGGCAGTGGGTTCCGATGTCGCCGATAGCGTCGGCGGCGTGGCGCCAGTAGAGTCCCTTGCCGGGGAAAGAGGGTTTGGTGGGCTTCATGTAAAGATCGTCGATGATGGAGATGGAAGAGTTGCTCAGACTTGGGTCCTGGTTCGCTACCCATTTGACTGCATCGGCTATTGTGTTAAGATCCTCCGGTGCGTTGTACTTTGTGCCCTCTTGAGCGCAGGTACCCATGATTGTGGGTACCTTGGCGTACTTGCCTTGGTCGAAGAGGTTCACGAGCGAGTCGGTGTACAGATCGCCGTCGATGTTGGGGTTGAACCAGCAGTTGGAAGAGCGGATGGCCGACTCGTTGAGTGCACGGAGGCAGGAGAGACCGTCCGTCGCATTGGCGCAACCCTTGTCTTCAAGCAGGCACTGATATTGCTCCTCGCCCAGCTCCGGAGTGCGCATAGTGACCCAGCCGCCCGACTCCATAATGCCGCCAGCAAACAGCTCCTTGCCTGTGTTTGCTGCCAGCATGAGCGCAACAGAAGACCCACCAGCGCTGACACCATCAAGGACAACGTGATTTGGGTCGCCACCAAACTGATCGATGTGCTCCTTCACCCACTCGAGCAGCTTGATCTGGTCGCGTAGTCCAGCATTAACGTCACCGCCTCCTGCTTTCACCGCTTCGCTGCTGAGAAAACCGTACAAGCCTACGCGGTAGCTGAACTGAACGAATACGACCTGGCCCTCTGCTACGATGTCTGTAGGATCCCAGTTTGCACTCGACTGCGACGAGAAGCCACCTCCCTGGAAGAATACCACAACCGGCAGCTTAGAGTCCTTACGGGCTTTGGAAGGCGCATACACGCTCAGGTAAAGACAGTCTTCCGCAATGGTGAAGCGGTCGTTGGTTCCAGATACGGTCCAGTCATCTGGACGGCTGGGTGGACATGTTGCACCGTGTCTAGTGGCGTTGATGAGACCGGAGACGATAGGGTCCTGCGGTGCTGCGAAGCGTCGCTCGCCAGTAGGTGGCGCTGCATACTGGATACCTTTCCAGGCAGATACTTCGAGCTCGGAGTCAACGACGGCACCTTGGTACTTTGCGTAGCCCACATCGACGAGAGTGTTAACGGCGTGCGCGACCGAAGACAAGCCCGCTCCGGCGGCGAGCAACTGGTGAAAATGCTTCATCTTCAAGATGATCACTTGCAAGAAAGAAATGAATGTAATTGAGCGATTCTCTGATAAAGAGTGGATACGTGCGCAAAGGCACGAAGGCTGAAAAGAGTGGATGAAGTATGAACTGGCTGAGGCATCCTCTACCGCCTCCATATAGTGGCCATTTAAACCTACCCCTTCGGATCTTCATGGAAGCGTATGAAACATATTAAGCCCGTTATAGCTGAGATAACATATACATGTTGCGTTCGGTCCGCACGCAGAATGAAGGTGGAAATTGTGGGCTCATGCCGCTGCGTTATTCAGAATCGGGCCGTCGAGGAAGGCAACCATAGAGTTGTTTCACGGTGGCATGGCAGAGTGGATGGAACTCAACCTAGCCTGAAGCAGGAACAGGCCATGACTCTCAGGGTCTTTGCTTGAGGGCCGATCATGTTCGTCCGCAAATCTCGGTGTTCGGTCCGCTACAGTGTGATGTGCGATGGTGTTGATGCGAAAATGCGTAGGTGCTAACGCGCGGGGATGCCAACTTAGACGCACTAAACACGGTTATGTAAGCACTCTAAGAGATTAAGAGGATCGCCAAGCTGCACGTAAATTTGAGTCCGGAACATTTACATCGTGTTTCCGTCCACAACGCAAACCCAACAACAGATTTTCAAGGTCTAAAAGCCCGTTATAAACGCCGTAAATTTTTCTCCATCACCCACATACTGTAGAGTCAAAGACCTCTCTAAAACGCGTCTGCAAACCATCGAGGCAATTGCGTTGCCGCCACCACCCTCCATACTGTGGCGTTATATGCCGAGACCAGAACGGGTAGCCTCTGGCAAGAAAATGCTCTCGATATACACGTTGCGTGTACTCTGCATAACATCCACCGTCATAACCCAGCGGTCTCCAGTCTCTGTTACATGCGTCGGCCCTTCCTTCATTGGGTGTAGCGGGTGTATCGGTCCATCTCTTCGACCTTTTCGTGAATTTGGATCGTCGATTACGGCCACGTGTGGGCGCTGGCTGGATTCTGACATACGGAGCCATGTCGTTGTGAAAGTAGATGTCAACCAAGGCAAACAAGGCGCAAATACTCTTGGCGTAATGCTTCGGTAGACTCGGACGCTCGATTTTGATCCATTCTGCTAGGCTTCTGACCTCATCGAATTCCCAAGTTGTCCATAACGAAAAAAAGGCTTCGAAGTTTGCGCTTGAAGCTTTTTCTTGCCCCATACAGCTTCCGGATCTCGGTGTAGAGTTGCAACCGAAGAAAGGCACGAAGTATACGATGATGTTCGACTTTGGACAAGGTGTCGGTACCGAAGCGAGGCAGCTCCCCCATCCTATACCCCATCATAGACCGCGCTGCAGCGTTGCCAATTGTCATCTTAACGAACTGATCAGTCAGGGTGTCCGCATCGAGTAAGCATGTCTGGTACTCTTGGAGAACGGCGAGGGCCTGGGTAGAGCTGTCCGCGGATACGCGTGGGTTCTCGTCGACAAGGTTACTTCTTAGGAACTCTGCCAGCTGCTGTCTTGGACAAAGGTTGTTCGTATGCGTCGATAGTAAGGCCGTCGTGGTTAGGATTTGCTGAAGCTGACTAGCGAGATAACGGTTCTGTCTGACCGCTCTGAACTACGTATTGAAGTTGCAGCGCACCAAGTCGCCAATTTCTGGGTGTTCGAGAAGTGTGTAATAAGCATCAAAGTGCTTGTTGATGATGAGGAGCTCCAGGATGTAGCAGCGCAGTTCAGTCGGCAGGTCGAGCATTAGCTGCAAGCCGTGGTAATCCGCATCGCGAGGTTCAGGCGCTGCTGCTGAGTCTCCATGCTGATGCTGCGATACAACATGAGCTTCTGAACCGTCGACCTCGCGTACGTACATCGTAGGAGTCCAGTTGCGTCGAGAATGAAGGAGACTCATGGGAGCTGGTAAATCGCAGATGTACCGGGAAGGCGATGGTTGGGTTTGTGCGCGCCAACAGATCCCTACTGCGATGAACCATGGTAAGCAAGGAGCCACTCACGACTACTACAATCTAGATGACCATCGGACAAAAAATACTCCTGAATGAGAGAAGTCGTGACACCACACATTATGTGCTTCCTTGTTCCAGTTCAAGTGACACGTACCAACAAGACATCAAGTAGAGCGATGCTTCTAAATAACATTTTACTGTTGCGCATAGTCTAACATTTCATTGTGGTGTTGCGCTACGTCGCTGTAAAGTTGTTTTATTAGGGTTTGCCGGTCCGCTCACTCGTGAAACACGTTCTTCGTGTGTATGTAACGTTATTAGAAGACAGATATTGAATTGTTTATTCTACAGCCCGCTACTATTCAAAAGAGTGTGCTATCAGCGACTCAAGCTACCCTTGCAGAGACCTTGCCACGATGTTTAGAACCTCGATGCGCATCCTATAGTTCTGACTTCATCACGACCGCTCGATCTGAACTCCGCGCTCACAGGATTCTCAAAATTGCTCACATCAAGGCTTAGGAGCCTTCTCTTTCTGCGTTGCTCTCTCGCTTTGTGGATATTATGTCTTCCTACTACTTCACACCCTCACAATAACGACGAAACAAACACATCTGTTAGCTCGAATCAATCTGCATTATCCAAAAGCTGGAATTCTAAGATGTAGCAGCCAACTGATTTGATAAGTCGAACACCCGCTGCAAGCGCTGATTATTCTCATAGTCAGATTTAGACGCCGCTGACGATTTTCAATGCTTACTTGCTAAGACTAATAAGTAAGCTACATGATGAAAAGATTACATAGAAAAGGCGTAATGCGCGTGCGAGGGAGAGGGAAGAGCGCGATCGACTAAAGGCTAAGAAGGCTAAGAAAGTTGCTAAACACAAAACTCAAAACAACGTTAGAAAGAGAAGCATAACTATGCAAAAACTTTACTGTTGTCTAAAAGAGGCAGGGGCGGAGCTTCAAACCCTCTTGCAAGGGCTAACAAGCGCATGCGTAGTACTGTAGATAGGTCTTCTGCTGCTAAGCACTCTCTAGCTCCTCTATCTAAAATCGACTCCCGCGGTCGCTACATTAATCGGCCTAGTGGACATGTATAAGAAAATCTCATCGCAAGCATAACTATAGTGCTCTAAATTATTTCGTAAGAATAGCTTCTATATGTGGCTCCACAGTCTTGTCTTTTGTTGAGCTGATATGGCGCACCCCACGCATTACGCGGAGAGACATGTTAACGGGCCCGTCCTCATGAGGAATGTGCATGATTACCACGTCAACATTGCTATGTCCTTGAGGCGACCCAGTATGCCGTTTACCTTGGAGCGTGCTCCCGAGGATCGGAAAGATAAGCCGTGACGAATCACGTTCCTTGTAGCCATCCGCACGGCCCCTCCCTTTGCCAATCAAATCTCAGTACCTCCCAAGCGCCGCTTCCCAACTTGGATCTATTGCACAGTTTTCCACTTGAAAACTACTGCAATCCTCATGGAAACCAGTTCCGGTCCAGTCTCACAGAGCCGAGAGAAGCGGGCACTTGAGCATTCTGTGACCAATAAAGCAGCTGCTACTATGGGAATACTGGTGAAACTCCACAGACGAAAGCCTTTAAATTAGAGGCATACATCATCCATCTAGGGTGTTGAGTCGGGCGACCAAGTGGATAGCGTTTATTCAATCTAGGGTGTATCTACGATCACTGTGACGTATACAGCCCGGCGCAGATAGGGTAAGATGATCGCTACGCCAGGCCTGCCCTGTTTCTAACGTGAGACATATGCGAAAGGGTGCCGATGTACACTTGAGTACAACCGGCGACTTAATTTTAGCGTAACAATTCATTATTGACAACGTTGCCTCACTAAACTGCGAGTCAGTTTCACACACAAAAGTCGATTCCGTCTACTTTTGCGCAAGAAATCCGCTACTACTTCTGGACGAGATACACGCTTAGCGGTCCAAGATCGTTGCCTATGCGTACATTGAACGAAATCGTAGGCATTGGGGCATGTGAACCATGCCGTGGACGCGTTACAAAGGTACATACCTAGGATATTTTCTATGTCAACATGTATGGTGCCACTGACCTAAATGCTAGTGCTCGGCCGAGCACCCGACATGTTCAGAGTGTAGGAAACGGCATACACGCTGTCTTTATTCCGAACCGATTGCTAGAGAGCCTACAACACATCCGCGGCCAGATACTAATGCTCCAAGGAAGCCTAAGGCAGCTTATGTGCTTTTCGGCGAACATGTCCGACTGGATCCAGCACTTAGCGGAGTTCCTCTTGCGGACATCGAAAAGGCAATTGAGAGGCGCTGGAGAGAGCTCCCACAAGAGGAGCGAGTGAATAAGTGGGAAAGACCGGCCTCTCTAAGGCTGCAAGATTATCAGAAGAAGCTCAAGAAATATGAGCAAACAGAGCACTTTCAAACGTACCAAACGTACCTGGAAGCGTTCGAGGAACGACAACACAGCCCGGAGATACGACCGGACAGTAAAGCTTCATTCACCTCTGCAACCGCACCTTCTGTCCCGCAACCTGTTCACACGGAACAGGAAGATCCCGATAGCGACCAACATATGATCTTTGGCACATACGGCCCTGATTCTGAGGGTCAGTCACATGACGCGGCATCACCCGTTAGATGTGGAATGGTGGAAGTGCGCAACTATTTGACTATTCGGGGTATCAACCCACATCTGATCAGAGTCAAACCCTATCCAACAGAGGGCACAACCACTCAAGCTGTTGAAGACTTTCTCAATGGCACAGGTGCACTCCTTCATCTATGGAATCGGGAGGAGGCCATGGACCTCATCAGATCCGTTTACCGCCCAGAGAACGATGGTACGCCTTTGCACGCGATTGAACTCTTTGCAATGGCAGCAGTCGGGAGCTGTTGCGACGGGGATATTTCTAAATCATTCTCCCCAACGCAATTTCTGGAACATTTTTTGTGCCTGTTATCTTCAACCTCTGCTATATCTGAGCTGCGCTACATGCGAGTTTTTTGTTGTCTGGCAATTATCCGTTTCTCTGACAACGTGGAGAGCGCAAGAAACCTGATATGTGAGCAATCTATATCGCTACGAATCTATACATGAAAAACTGACAACTAGAAGTGGCAGCACTCAACTTGGGGAGGCAGCAGTTCATTTCTCTGTCGTATCTAAACAATGCCACTGAAGAGCAATTACAGTACTGGTGGAACGTATTTCGAAGCGTCCTCTTTCTAGAAAGGTCTGGGTATTCTATGTTCGCTCCCCTGGCTTGAGCACTAACATGCTTTTAGCTGGTTCGCATACAATACAAATCTCGAATCACGAGTTACGCACGAGGATCTGAATGTACGATATATACCATTACACCAAGCAACCTACTCCACCTTTTCTTCTATCTTGGACTGTCTACTAACAATGGGCAGTTATATCATGCTCCCTCTTCACAAGCTGAGAATGAGCCAGCAACCTTGCACGAACATATTCTCAAACTCGGCCAACTAAGCGCGTATATAGCGCTTGACCTTAAGACCGCAGCCCTGCTAAAGTCAGAGCAAGTGCGAGCTCACCTCGGGTCCCTTAATGAATGGCACCGTAAGCTCCCACCGCCAATGCAATTGAGTCGGCTCAGTCTTACAAGTCCATTCACTACAAACTTGACCACGAAGCGGTCCCTGTTGCAAACTCATATCCTTTTCCTTGGTATATTCGTCGAGCCTTATCGGAAATACTTGGTCGACCTAGGGAGTTTCCGACTGAGCAATGAGCTGGTCGAATTTGATGGTTTGGAAGATCTGGAACATCTCGAAGAGCAATGCATTTTGGCGGCACGACAATCCGCCCGGGTGGCCTCGCTATTGCAAATCGACAATTTAGTTCGAGCCCACTGTTGGGTATCTATGTGTGTTAGCCCCCAAAAGGATCGTGATGACAAGATTGCTAATGCGAAACCAGCTACACGAGCTTCACTAGCTGCGCGATACTCCTCTTCAGCGCCTCACAGAAGCTCCTCGGGCTTTACGGCGAAGAAGTCGGCCAAGACCTCTCTTACGCATCCTCGCATCTCAATCTCCTCTCGCTGTGTAGTTACGACAACTCCATTGCGAGGAAGCTGTACACCCAACTCCAGATCGACTTCAATGAGATCAGAGAGGTCGCGGTTTCGCCAGTCTATCGTGAGATGAGAAACGCTCGTATCTTCGTCAAGGACCCGAGGCTTGTGCCACGCTCATATTACGACCCGGTCTTAGGTGCGGAGGAACTTAGTAAAGCTATAGTAGACTCTGCTAGGAGTATTATGGGTACTCTAAAAGCTACTACATTGTTGAAAGAGTAAAGATTCAGCACGTCCGCACCGTGGGTTGCCACTTGGTGCCCAGGGGCGCGTGATGTCCACGCGCACCAGAGCCAACCCCCTAAGTCCACACGCTACTCTCGTCGCTTAGTGGTAACGAATTGATCGAGCATCATCGATGTAAATTATGCTACGTCAAATGATAAGCAATTTTTGCAGACATAGAACGAGCGAGCGGAGGCGGGTGCGCCGCGGTGTCGAGACAGACATGATTGGTTGTGTGCAGATGACGGAGGATCAAAAATCCGAACAGGAGAATGCTAATGCCATGCCTATCGGATCGAGCAAGCAGCATTCTAGGCATGAAAATACAACCTGGAATGTGAGAGAGCTGTGATGTTCTTGAAGCTGTCTTGCTGGTTGGTAGAAGCATCACGCTTGCACGGAGTTCACCAGTGATGGTGTTTCTCCGAGCGCGAATCACGTATTAGCAAGGGTTTACAGTAAGCTACACATGGCTAATAAAATAGCGGTTGAATTGAGATAACATTCTGGAAAGAGCAAGAGGTCAACCTCTTGAGGACCGCATGAGAAGAGCCTTGGAGAAAACCTGCCAATACCTGCAACCGCCTCCACAGTTCATTGTCTATCTTTCGGCGAAGACAGCGGCAGTCAGATAGTCGTGATACAGTAACACTACATAGGACTGCTGAGCCCGAACACGTCATTGTGTTCTTTTTACCAACCAAAAACAATTCAGCTAAAAAATTGCAGGATAGTTCATCACAAACGAATATCGCATGTACTGCGACCATTCTTAGTGTCACTACTGCTCGAGCCATCCTCGTGCTGGGTAATAGTCGAATGTTTGCTGTTGGGGCGCGTATTTCGTATTCTTCTCATGCTCACCATCGCGACTATCTTGCGATCTATTCCCGAGTGGTAAACTCGGGTCGGAAGCATTGGATGGTCCAGGTTGTACCCATAGTTCTTGCATGTTGGCAAACGGTATGCCACAATCGAAGTGCGTGAAAAATGGACTGCCAAAGCCCATCGTTGCTGTGAGTTCGTGCAGCGGATAGAACGGGTGAGAATCACCTTGGCATACAGGCAGGTTCTCTAGTGCGTCGCGCTGAAGAGGCTGAGGGTCGAAAATATCACCGGTAATCGATTGGAATAAACTGCAGAGCGGTCGCAAATATCTCTACAGATCAAGATTTCGTTATGATTTTGACACTTCATAATCACCTCAATTTCTAGCAGGGCGTATACCAAGTTTAGCTCTGGCAACTCAGCAAACACCATATCATGCTTTGACGCATACATGCACACGGTTTTTCGGATTCCCAGTGACATGAGAATACTGTGGAAGCATACTGAAGGGGTTAGGTATCTACTAGACGCTCATCGAGCCGCTCTTTGGGCACAGGAGCTGCTCCATCATCTACACCTGCCATCGTCTAGTCTCTCTTTAGGGATGACAGGGTGCAGACTTGCATACCCTTCTATTTGGATTCTGCTCATGTCTTCCTCAAAGGCAACATTTAGATTGTGACAACAACCTTTTCGTTCATTCTTTTACTTACCCGCCATGCAATTGAAACAGGAAGACGTTGTGCTAATTAAGACGATTTGGCGTTCACAACCTAAGCGCTCGTTTCAAACATGCACATGCATGGATCTCTGCAACTCCACAGTCTGAGCGATACGCTTGGCGGATATGATAGCAGCGTTCCTCGCCACCTGGCAATGCAGAGTGTCATCTTATTCTCAACTATCCATGGGCATAAAGCTTTCCCACTTGTTGACATGTCCACGACACAACCTTTCCTTTTGACTGCCTCAGATAAGAAGCTATCACTCCCAGTATCCACGCGAGATGACGGCATAGTCACGTTCCATGGGCTTTGCGATAGTTGTCAGCGTTTCTTCCGTTCTTGGAACGTTGTCGATGTAGTGCAGTCATGTTTAGCACTACAAGTCCACGCATGCGAACCAATTTCTTTTTCTACCGTAGGGCATCTTTCGCAAGATTTTAGAGTGTCATCTCTGTGCTCTGGTACTCAGAGCATTGGAGCTCTTTCCAAACAAGAGCATCAAGAGTCGAAGCGACGCGCGTGTGTATCTGCGCGTTGTTGAGGGTGATGACTGCGTCGTGCTTCAGGTATCCCTGGGAAGCAAGACACCACCAGAAGATGGAGAGAGAAAAGATGGGGCGATTTTTTCTCTACGAAGGGTTCCTTGTAAGGAGACATTGTTGATTATTCACGAATGTTGCAACTAATCAAGCATAGACTCGGCGTCTAGTGATGCCTTCCAACAGCATACAACGACGAAACAAACTCATCTGCTGGCTCGAGAAAACCCGCATGTAGCTAAAAGCTGGATCAAAACCTGTCTTGCTGATCATCAACGCTGTCACACATTCCAACGAAACACGGTCAGCCCACATGAGAGGTTGGTTGCAAGCCGGAGTAGCGCAGAAGGTGATGGAGCCGAAGGTACGACAGATGGTTTTTTTCGCCTGCGATAACCTGTGTTTGAGTAGCAAGGAGCGGGCCGCCCACGACTATCGCGATTAAAAACACACAAATACGAGTAACCTCACATTGAACCTTATTCCATCTTATATTTTGTCGGCTTCCGTTCTCTCATCGTAGATACGCCAACGTCATTCCCAACCTCGCTCACCAGGTCATTTCTCGCTACGTGTTACTCTCGTGTCATCTCGCCTTCCTGTCAACTCTCTTCTCGTTCTTGTCACTATAAATATTAAAGCACAGATATTCTTCCATTTCAGGATGCATTTGCATAAGAACACCTGCAAAAGTGGGTGCGTTGCTGTGCCACATGGGCGGCTCGGCGGGCGGCTAGTAGGCGCCCACTCCCGTCGGTATACTCCTGGACTGATCTTGCCCAGATTGATTTCTGAACGAGCGCGTATAGATATTCATTGAAACAGCAAAGGTCTTGCTTTATTCCATCGCATCTCTCTGTTCACAGACCTCTACCATGCCTTCGTTCATGCAAGCGTTCCGCCACCACTCCGCTAGCGGGAGAGCGTCCTCTTCCAGTTCTTTATCAAAACCTACAACAACTTCCAAAGCATCAGTCCTTCTACATGGATTGTGCGAGCGATGCCGTAAGTTCGAGAGAGAGTGTAGTGCTTTAAACTGGTTGCAGAGACCTCATCGTCAGACCGCTCCGTCATGGCCTGTTTTACACTTGTGCACCGTGACTCAACTATCTCAGTCAGCACCAATTTGTCACTTTTGCAAGATGGTTCTTGCAAAATTGCAACACGGTGAACGCGGTATACGCCCTGCTGGCGACGCGGCCGTGTATTTGTGTCCAGAAACGAAAAACGGGACAAGTCTGTTACTCCGGCTGGTTGTTGAGAAGGACAAAGTAAAGAGTGCAGATAATGGGAGAACATTTGCTATATTCCAACTCCAGACTTATGATAGTAAGTTCGAAGATACTAAATCCTCAGTCATGGGCTGACGAACAAGAGCAGATAGCAACACAGGAGCGTTCAACAGCCATATCACATCGAAACAAGTACCAATTCAAGCGAGCGATAACATCCAAAAAGCTAAACAATGGCTACAAACTTGTCTTGGAGATCACGCAGGATGTCGAAAGTTCCACACTAGTTCCGTAGATAGCCCCCACCAAAGACCAACACGAGTGCTCGAAATCACCCCCAGCACTATTCGACTGCGTTGCAACATGCAGAACGAGCGCTTTGACTACCTCGTGCTGAGCTACATGTGGGGAACTAATCACACGCAACAACTTCGGCTCCTCCGATCCAACCTTAATTCCTTCCAAAAAGAGGTTCCACGCGCAGAGTTCGAAGCTTCCGATGTGTACAAAGAAGCGATCCGCGTCACTCTTGCTCTAGGCTACCAGTATATCTGGATAGATAGTCTAACCATCATCCAAGATTCACCGGAAGACTGGGCCTACGAAGCACGTCGCATGGCCATCGTCTACGGAAACGCAACTGCGAACCTCGCCTTTCTGTTTCCACCGCACTCGCCTAAGAAACCACGCCAACGCGATGACCCACGGGTTTGGAATCCATGCATCTTACGCGCTCCATCTTCGCAAGACCCAGGCGTATACATCGAACACACAAAATCTTCTTTACGCCGGGAATACTCCCCCAAGGAAAAAGCGCAAGACTGGCTCGTCCAGCGCGACTGGCCTCTCTTCAATCGCGCCTGGACATTCCAAGAGTACCTCCTCGCCCCACGTACCCTTCTTCTCGGCCATAAGAATCTCATGTGGCAGTGCTCAGAAGGCTTCTACGATGAACTCCTCGGTCCAATAGCATCCACACATCTCAACACGCCGCAAGATCCGAAACGAGGCAAGGATCGAGGGAAATCACGGTACTTTCCTGACAGCATACAGGAGATGAGTGCTTATGGGCGACGAGGTGCTTTGTCTGAACCCGCAGTTCTGTCCTTCATGATCGACTGGCAAAATCTAGTTGACGAGTATCGAAGTCGCAAGCTGTCGTTTGGCAAAGACAGAATCATGGCTTTTGCGGGTATAGCAAGGGCGTTCTCCAATCTAGGCCAACTGACTTACCTCGCGGGGTTATGGAAAGAAGTCCTACCTGTCGCTATGCTATGGTACGTTGACAAGAAGATGCCGCCGCTCGTGCGTCGCGAGAATTCATTACCAAATGGCGAGTTACCCACTTCGACATGGACAGCGGAGATCACAGAACCTGTTATACAAACCACACTACCGAGCTGGTCGTGGTTCTCAGTACCCATATATCGGTTCTATCAACTGTACTTTCTCTTTGCCGACGACGAGCTGTTTGTGAAGTGTAAGAGTAATTCCGACCCGAGGCTTGTGTGCTGGAAAGATATTTTCTGGGCCGAAGTGAAGAGTTTTAAGTTTACTGGTCATTCGCAAGATCGAGTGCCGGAGGCTAGTTTGTTCGACTTCGGAGGCTTGTCGGTTACGATTGCGACGTTAGTCCTGCCCGTGAAGGCGGATTGGCCAGCTGACATGGCGGCGCAAATGCGACGGCTGCAGTGTACTCGGGCCCTGCAAGGCGGTACCGCGGGTTCTTCTGGGCATAGCTGGAGCTGGGAGCCAGTGCTAGAGTACTATCCTGATGATCCAGCGGGTCGTGTCTCGCCACCTCGAAATGCCATATATGCGTTGATGGCAGAGTTCCAGGTCGTAAGGACAGCGGGGAGAAAGACTATACAGCGTCGCTTGGCTGGGCTGATGCTGGTACCTGGATGCAAAGAGGGGACCTGGAGGAGAGTGGGAGTGTGGAAGCTCAGGATCAATGTGTTAGATGTGCATGTCAATGGGGAGAATATCGCGGAAGTTGCGAAACGATGGAGAGATATGGATGTGGTGTCGTCAAAGTGGCAGCATGTGCTTATCACTATGACCTAATTTTAGGTCATGCGAGCTACCGAGCGAAGTATCTTAGTACTATCTGGGTGTTTCAGGGCGTTATCCATTTCAGGTAAGCTGACTAAGATATGAGCATACTGTACAGAAAGTATCTTTTCGATCAAAGACACTGTCATCTCTAGGAGAAATGATGAAATATCATATCTTTCCAACGTACGCCATTGTAGCCTTCGGCTGGACGTCCGTGAATACGTCGGGCATAAAGGAAGGCCATACGCATCCACACAGAGAACATTCGCCTGTGGGGTACAAGCACTATTGCGGCAAGCAGTAGACGACGGGGAGGCCGTATCACTCAAGGAAGGAGTTACAAAGATGGAGCTCCAAGGTCTCTGTTATCAAGTGCCCTCTAGAAGGATTTGCAAGAGAAGACGGGTCACGTAACCTGCTATAATACAATTAATGTCGGACAACTAAGCACCAAACACACACTTTTAGAATATCAGACTCTAAGACCCAGATTCAAAGGTCCACATCCCAACCTTACATGTGTACAGATCCCACCATAGGAAAATCGATGCAGACTGTTACACAACTCCTTTGCATTCGCTGTTCCAAACATTTTCCAGAGTAGGCTCAGTCGAATACGCACCGTCCAGATATTGTCTTCCTTGTTAGCCATCCAAATACCGAAGTCATGTGCGTACATGCGTAATGTACTGGGGCCAACATTCTTACCGCTGCGCGACATAATGTCGTCGAATTGCGCTCCAGATTCTGATATTGAGACGGCCATCATCCGTTCGCCATAACAGGTAAAATCGGGTTCTTCTTCGGCAGTAGGCCAAGATTCGATCAAAGTCGCCCTACCATGTAACATCTCCAGTACTTTGGGTAAGAAGATACATGAGGTTTTAGAGAATTTGACGTCCAACAACTTGCGGAACGTATATTGCGATTGAGCTCGCGACATTGTATGCTGACAGATGAAGGCGTCTGCTGGCTCCCATTCTAGGACCAGATGTGGAAGATCAATGTCGATAAAACCTATTCCTAGAGATTCGGATTGAGGCATCAAGCTTCTAGCGAGGTTTATGATTGAGCATAAACCTACAGGTTCGTACAAGCACTTTGCCACGTGGCAAAGCAGTTCGTCGTCAGGCTGAGCATAGTCGACAGCCACCTTGCCACCATCTGAATAGAGTGACAAAAGGGAATACAGTCGATCACGCGGAATTGCGCAATCCTTATCAGAGAATTGTCGTAGCAATGAGAGAAAGCTTTTGCTTGTGCCTCCCAGTTGGATTGACGGTAGACCCGAGTTATCGAAGCCGAGGTATGATGCAAATTTGTTGACGATCTTGTTGTCGTGTACCGCGGCTTTGTCACAACCCCAAAGAACGTTGATACATGCTGCAATCGACAACTCTTCTTTCTCCAACATTACAACGGCGTGTTTTGCAACGAAAATCTCCTGGGTGATCCACGCTCGCGACCAGTACTCGTTGTTGAAAAATTCCGCCTCGAGGGTCTGTTGTAGAACAGCTAATCGCTCGTGGCGTTTGGCCTCACGAAGTTCTAGACAAGGGGCCGTTTTCGAGCCGGGGTCCTTGGGTGTTGATAAGAGAGACATTTCCTGGCCGTATATCTTGTATATCTGTACTAGCAACGGACTTATTTCTCCGTTTGTTTGCTTCAGATTCAGGTAAGTAGGCAGTTTGAAATCTTCGTCCGAGAACTCGTCGTCCGAGAACTCTTCCTCCGAGAATTCTTCGTGCAAGAAGCGTCCCATGTAGTGGTAGCGTAAGACTTCGATTTTAGGTAATGCACGGCATAACCGTATGCATCTTCCAAGCCATATTCTTACTACCGTGGCACCTTGAAATATCGTTCCCATCTGCGCGACTTGGTGATTGCGCTCATCTATGCTCGACTGGTCGATGCACAAGGCGTCGATCCATATCAGTTGGGTCGTTTTCGCTGATGTGACGAATCCCAAACGCATGTGCTCAAGAAAATCGAAAAGGTTTTGCCGCACTCGGAACCGTTTCCCGTTGAGCAAAATCTCGTGTTGGGATGTATCTTGTCCCCATCGATACGAAAGACATTCGTATGACGCATCGGTTGTCGCGTGAGATATTTCGCATTGTATAAGAGCCTCAGTCGAAAGCCTAGGGAGGATCCGCACAAGTCTAATGGATCTTTTGGTGTGATCAAGCGGGGTATGCTTAAAGTATTCATCGGTTGAGATCCGTAGACTGCCTACGGTGTCGACCGTGTCCTGGATAGATTCCATCATGGACCGCATAGCAGGATGCCCTCGAGCAAACAACAGAAAGAGTCCTCTAGCCTAGGTACTTATCACTACATTTTTTATACAGGTGAGGCAGTAACGAGGCTGCAGGAATCTGCAGGATGTGGCTGGGGCTGAAGCTGAAGCTGAAGTCAGCTCAAGCGAGGAACGATAGGCGTTGCGGCCCCGCAAACGGTGAAAGTGTGGAAACAAGGCCACAACGAGATTTTATTGGGCACAGATCTAGAGACAAGTCGTAAACAAGCCGTAATTCGGTAATGCATAGCCCCAAGGGGGCTGAAACCTGAATGAGTGCATAGCCCGTGTCAAAACTACCACGTCAGCTTCCATTCGAGGCCATTCTAGGAGTTCTTGGCTGCGAATGGTAAAAGTACTCTCCGTCGGTTCGCACCAAGTAAGAGTTTGGTTGGGCGTAGTGTTGAGGCAGGTACTAACAATTAGCGAGTGGCGCAGTAAAAGCTGACGCCAGAATGGGGATACCTATAAGGCAGACTTCAGGCATAGAAGAGCGATTTAGTCAAATAAATAGTGTAGATTTAAGGGGAATAGCAAACACAGAACCAAGAATCAAGAACCAAAAAGAATATGATATAACGAGAACAAAGCTCGAAAAACTGATCAAATTGGGTATCCTTCAACACCCATCAACCGCAGTCGAGTCACTATCCTCTCGTAACCAGAAGCCCTGCGGCCAACCAACCAATCTAACCTAAAACGCCAAGCACAGCAATATAGCAAAGTGCTATGCACTTTGTAATACCCTAATGCAAAGAAACCATAATCCGCATCGCTAAATGTACAAAAGACTTTCAAATACAAACAACGTTCATTAATGCACAAGCTGCGATGCGCAAATCCACATAGCCACCAGATTCAGGACCAAGCCCCGCATAGCAATCTGGTAGAGAAAGCTAGCAAGCTGTGAAGCGTCAGTTGGCTGGCCGACCGTCGTGCCGGAGTGAGATGAGTGGAGGGACCAGGGCAGATATTGTTGTATCGTGATCAAACTACCACGGTCGGAGAAGAAGGTTCAATCCGATGACATAGCAAGGCCTCGATGTCACCTTCCATCGGGACGGTACGTGAGTAGTCGTGAAATGATTTCACGGCTGAAAGACACAGGAGATGCTGCTCAACAGGGGGACTGAAAGATGTCGTTCAGAGAATACGGTGTCTATTGATTGTTAGCCACTTGCCACGAATCCGGTTTACGCAAAGGAAAGAATAACTCACTGTCTGAAGAGTGTCTCAAGGCTAACAGCGCTGAGCTCCGAATCATCGGGTAGCGCGTCAACGAGCGGTATTATATCCGCAAACTTCTCGCCGCCTTTGTATGCGAGAACAGCAGGTACACCCGTGTCCTCAATCTCAGCGTCGTCGTTGTACATCTTGACGAAGCGGACTGTATCGTTGCGTTTCGCTACATCGTGCATGACGCTCTCAAACGTTTGTGATACGAGGGCCCTTGGCTGTAGAAATCGTTAGTTACTTGTTGTAGTATAGGATGCGTGGTGAAATGAATACGTACGTCACTGTTGTAAATAAACACCACAACAACAGTCCCACTCGCCGTCTTATCAACAGCATCCAAATACCCCTCGCCATCTACAAGCGGCATCCCGCCATAGATCCTCCTCGAAGGACTGTTCGTCCTCGACCGTATCCTCTCGCCCACATTCTGTAGCTCCCTCAACCTCGCCTCCCGCCATTGCCGCATGAAGCCCTCATCCATCTCGTCATCACTGCCAGACGACGTGTTCTTCTCATCCCGATACGCACTGACATTGTATTGCGCCGGCGCCTGTGCCGTACTCTTCGACTTCCACGTAAACCTCCTCGCCTGTTTCTTCGCCTGCTCAAAAGCCTGGGCATCAGCGATGACACCCTTGGGCCCGGTGTTGGCTTCCGAACGCATGTTCGGCATGTAGTAGTTTGCCCTCATATCGGCTGGGATATCGAGTTCGTCGTCTGTATCGACTTTCTCAAGGTAATCGGCTGCAGCACCGGGGGATTCAGGGTCCGAGATGTCCGAGTCGTTGTCAATGTCTTCGGGATGGGGGTTGCGGTCGCCGAGATCTTCGTTTCTGCGGATTAGGTCGTTGAATTCGTCTTGTGCGGCTGTAGTCGTCATGACGGAAGAAAAAAGAAGAGCGGGGACCGAGATGGACGGGCCGCGACTGATATATGTTGTTTGTGGAGAAGGGGAAGGTCAGCTGTTGGGTGTCTGTGTCCGGTGACGCGTGGGTGGGTGGTAAAAAAAGGAAAGGGAGTCGTTGCGTTGCAAGGTTCAAGGTGGTTCGGGTTTGGGATCGCTCAGTCTGTCTGGGATGAGGGCCCCGCTGGATGACAGGGCTTGGCGTGGACCTTGCAGGGCTGTTTTCGAGTGCGAGCTTGAGTTTCAGCGTTACAATTGGACGCGCACGGTAAGGCAATGCTGGGAGAGCTTCGACGACTTCAATCAGCGTACGTGGTCGATGCGGTACCGTGTGTAGGGATGGGCATGTCAAGTGCTGTTTTAGGGCTTAGGGCTGATGCTGACCGGTACTACTCGCGATGCATTGGATGCCCGCACGATCATCTCTCACCTTCGATTGGCGAGAGGCACATGGCACGTCGGCTTTATGAAACAGGATGCTCGAGTTCGAAACACGCTCGTCCGCCGTACACCGCCCAATTGAGGAGCTGCGGGTGGCGCGCGATGGCTTCCAAAGCCTGTCCACTGCTGAAACACCATGCCGAACTATCTTGCTACACGCCTCGTTCGATACGTTGACATGTCGCAGCACCAACTTGCCCTATCCTCGTCTTGCGCGTTTTAAGGCTACACGTCACAGTTGACCACAAGGCATCGGTCGATTCACTTGTGCACCGCTGGCAATGTTTCAATCTTGTCGAGGCAGCAGCTGTCATGCAACACCATAGTTTAACCGGCCAAAAGGGGTTGAGGGGACGTCTTCCCTTTCGGTCTTGTTTGATATTCTTGTCCCGGCTACATCCCTGATGCGAGTCCCCCGGTCGCATCGTATGCAGAAATCCTTCCATGTTCGCTTCTAGAAGCATTATTTTTCATGGCTTCTGTTATTCTCCGACTCCTGCATCGGCTGAGGCGCTTCCTTTTTGTTCAATTTCAGGGTCCAGCAGCTATGCAAGCCTAAGATTGGGGGCGGTAATAGCTGAGGCATGTTCATGCCAGCCAGAGACGAAGCTCCAATACATCTGAATTCCCTTTCGAAAATAGACGTTGCATGGTCACCGCCCCGAAATACGACATGGCTCTTGCGCCTCCTGAGATGAAATGCTCGGTCGATATGCGGTCAAACGAAGATCCACGCCAGCTTCTGTTGTCAGCCCTGCGCGATGAACGTTATAACACGGTCACGTCACTGTGATTCTAGTAAGCTCTGGTCAATGACGCTCTGCCCTGTCACTACTGTCTCAGCGTGACATCCGAGTTAACCCATTGATGTCCCCTGGGCAACCTGGTCATGTGCATAACGGTGTGCCACGCCACTAGATCCGCGAACGGGTATATCCCAGGGAAGGTAATCACTTTGGAGCTGTTAATGCCTCGCACAGAATGGCCTGGACTAGACGTTGCCATGAGCCAGACTCGCAAAACTACTGTTACCGCTTAGAGCGCCGCATAACAGTCGCGGCAAGGTCTAGAAGGCACGTTGAGGGTATTTCCTTCTTTCCATGGTTGTTGGAATGACATGGCCGTAGCGCTCAAACGCTCGAGACGTTGCAAGATCCCTAGAGAAAGGAAAAAGACAATCATAAGTCACTGCTGTGAGGAAAGTGTTGGTGCTTAAATGCGGGCGCAACGCAATAACAAGTCATCACAATATCATCACACAAAAGCATTCCCGTTCGATAAACTTAAAAAGAGGTATATGGAAAACTCGCTGACTACCCCCCACCAATTCATCTTTGCACAACCCAACCAAGATCGTACACATCAAAACCCGCATGCGCGCCAGAAACAGAAGCCCATGATCCGTCCACATCCACCACATATAAGCTCCATCTTGCATGTAGTTCCCCATCTCTTTCCCACATAACTTGTGTGCCAAGCACATTCATCCGCTTTTACCATGATCAAGCAAAAAAAGAAAACGCAAGGAGAAACACTATGTCGAAGGGTTTGATGTAGATAGAGTGGTTGCTACTACATGTTACATAAGAACAGTCGGCCCGGACATGAGTAGACGAGCACGAGCAGCGCTGTCGTAGAAGAAGAGGAATAGAACAAGTGGTATGGAAGGAAAAAAGTACAAAAGGATTCCGGGCGCCTGAAACATCAGTCGGCAACCGTAGCCACATCGAAGCGTCCTTTCCAACAGACAAGTGCGAGTTATTATATTCTTATGAGTAAGGCAGCGGCTCCAGTACTCTCCTGGTTGATAAGATGCAGCAGGGGTATGGTATTGCCAGGAGATGTGGAGATTCGCTGTCGTAGGTGTAGGTGTAGTTTGCCAATATTACAGGAGTGCGCACACGTTCGGATTGGCGTCGTTACATGGCGTCGTAGTTGTGAGGTAGGCTGACGGCGCTTATGCCCAGATGCGCAGCTATGGCAAGTTAGCTGTCTGTATGATGCATGAGGGAGTAGAGGAAACGAGAGAACATACCATCGAGTCCCAGGAACCGGTGCATAGACTGAGCGCGTCGTTGCTGACGCCGAGACAGCTGACGCGGTTGTCGTGTCCTTGCAATGTGCCTACACGTTCGCCGCGAAGTACGTCCCAAACCTGAGAATTGTTAGACTGTGGAACTGGTGGGCAAAGCGCTGATTGCTTACCTTGCACTCGAAGTCGTCATAACCTGCAAACAGCAGTCTTCCGGAAACAGAGAAGGCTACGGATGTGATACCGCAGACTGGTTCGGGAATCTGTCGACACATACATTAGTAATCCAAATACCAGAAGTGCCAAGCATGTCATTGAGCGTACCTGGTATGATGCGAGTTCGCGGTCGGCGCGGATATCAAACAGACGGCAAGAGGCATCGTCCGAACCGGTACCGAAAGCGTTACCGTTGGGGAAGAATTGGATAGCGTTGATGTCGGAGTCGTGCGCCGCAAAGGTCTGCACGCACTTTTGCTGTCTGATGTCCCAGAGCTTGGCGAAAGCGTCGCAAGCACCAGAGACGAACTGGTTGTGGTCGAGCGGGTTGATGCTCAAGCTCATAACGTCGCCGAGATGGTCGGCGAATTCGTGTACCTTGGAGCCGGTCTCGAGATCCCATAGCACACAGGTCATGTCACCAGACGATGTGAGGATGCGCTTGTCAGAAATGAATCTGCAGCAACTGAGGTATCCCGAGTGGCCCGACAGCTCGCGCGCGACACGCGTTGGTCCTTCCCTAGCCGACAGGTTGTAGATGGAGCAGATGTTATCGAGACCACCGCAGGCCACGTAGTTGCCAGACGGCGAGTAGGCGCACGTCATGACCCAGGACGAGCGCAGTGGGATGGCATGAACCTTGTTTGTCGTGTAAGCGTCCCAGATGATGAGCTTTCCGTCCTGCGAAGCCGACACGAGATGTCTGCGGTCCGTCGACCAGTGCATGGCGTAGATTTTGGCAAGATGGCCCTTGAGCGTCCGCTTCGTCTTCATGGTGAGGCGCGGCAGGGCCTCGACACGGTCTCTGGCAACATCGCGAACTGCGCATCGTGTTAGCCGTCTACGTGCTGTCGTTGCGGTGTGCAAGCCGGCCGGAAAAAGAACATACGGGTGGTGTCAGCGAGCTCATCCTTCTTGCGCTTTATCCTGTCCTTGAGCGCCTCAGCGTCGCGTCGGGCGAGCTGGATCTTTTGCTGGATAGTTTCCTGATTCATGTCGGCCATGTATGAATGTGCTGCCGGATGGTGAGGTCGGTGTCGCGGAGAGCGCGAGGCGGCGAGGCAGGCGAATCCAGGGGGGGCCTCCTAGGGAGCGCGACAGCCGGGTGGACGAGGGAACGGCGAGAGAAGCGATCGACAAGCAGCAGCAATGGCGAAGGAGGCGCGCAGAGCAGATTGAATTGCTTGCGCAGAGAGAGCGGCGGCAGGCAAACGGTCGTGGGGGCTTGAGGATGGAAGGGTTACGAGGGCTTTGGAGATGAGTGAGGTACAGGAGCGGCCCGGGGGTGAGCTTAGCTTGGCTTAGCCGAGCGCTGGAGATCAAGGGCGTTCCTCCGGCACAGAATGCGCAAAACCTGCAGTACTACGCGAAGAGTGAGTGCGTGGATTGAATACCAACGTCGTAGCACCCTAGGAACACTTTGGCTTCACTCTGTGTTTGCACAATTGAAGCGACGACGTGGTCAAGTGCTGGAGTTGCAGCCCTCCTCCTGACGAAGAAGGCGCGTTCTGCAATCTCCTGCAGCGCACCTCCTCCTTTGGGGCTGCCGAGGCGACGGACGAATCAGCGAGGGGGAGCCCCAAAGGAGACGTGCTAGCACAATGACCCGCGTCCGCCGCTATACCGCGAATGCCTCATGTCCTGGACGGCCCCGAAGTCTATTCATCTTTCCATCATCGCTTCGAGAAACGTCGCCAACGCCACCAATACCGCTGTGCACCCTGTCCGTCCGCTGCTATCATGACTGCACCGCCCGCCGTGACTGCAGACCTGCCCGTCGACGCTGCTTTCACCAAGGGATTGCCCAAGATTGAGGTACTGCTCCAACCCCCTTGGTTCCGAGTCAAAGCGCCAAGGAAGCTCAGACTTCCGTTCGCTGCATTGCTAATCCCGCGACTCAGCTTCATGCCCACTTGACCGGCAGCATCAGTCGCGACTGCCTGCACCACATATGGGTGACGAAGAAAGCGCGGGATCCTGATCTCGACCTAGAGGATCCTCTAGTAGCTATTCCCACGGGAAAGGTCGACTACGATATCAAAACGTAGGCCTAGCTCGATTTGATTTGCCTATTTTGCGGAATTATCGCTGTAACACCGGCGTGCCGTTGGGGAATACATGGGCTAGGACGATCGAACAGCTTGCGTGGAAGCGAGGTCGTGGCCAATATTCTCCTGACAAATGGCTGCCATCCCAAACAGCCGGCTCGCCAACGTGCAAGACATTAGCAGACGTCTGACAGCTAGGTTAGGTTCTTCCCGCTGTTTTCGTCGTACATTTATCGCCTTTGCAGCGATTTGCCGAGCATCCAGTATGTCTTCCGACATAGACGTGTGTGTGGTGAGCTGTGGTTGATCGATTTAGGTACTCAACCAAAGCTGTGCTGCAAGACTTCCAGCATGATGGTGTTGTCTATGTTGAGCTTCGAACAACCCCAAGGGCAATTCCTGGGGAAAACGTTACCAAGGAAAATTACGTGAAGACCATCTTGGATCAAATCAAGGCCCATAATCATGATGCTAATAATACCATGCGGGCTTTCCTCATATTGTCAATCGACCGTCGCAACAATACTACTGAGGCGGAGGAAGTTGTTGATCTTGCCATAAAGTACCAGTCCGCCGGGGTCGTCGGTGTCGACCTCTGTGGCGACCCAGCGAAAGGCGACGTGCGCATATTCGGCGACAGCTTCGCTCGCGCAAAGGCCGCTGGACTGGAGATCACGCTGCACTTTGCCGAGAGCGAGACTTCGGCTTCAGACTTGGAGCTACAAACACTTCTATCATGGCAGCCTAACAGACTAGGTCACGTCATACATGTCAAAGAAGAGTTTCGGAAGATCATCGAGCAGCATGGGACTGGCGTTGAGCTATGCCTCAGCTGCAACGTCCATGCGAAGATGATCACGGGCACTTACTCAGACCATCACTTTGGAATGTGGCGGAATAGCAGTGTTCCCGTTGCCTTGAGCGTATGTTCTAGGCTTTGATATGCGTACTACGCTGGCGACTGACGTATTGCAGACGGATGATGTTGGAGTGTTCTGCAGTCCTCTCTCGCAAGAATACTATCTTGCAGCACAACACTTTCATCTAGGTCGGAAGGACATCAGATCTCTATGTGAGCGCGCAATTGATTCAATCTTTTCGGGTCCGGACGAACATGCCCGCCTCCAGCAGATCTACACGACTTGGGACGGATGGGATATGTGAATCACCATCCAAACAACGAACAGTCATTTGGATCTTATATCCAGTCATAACGACTCCGATATGACGAAGAGTATGCTACCACGTCTTACGTAATAGTCATCGCTGTATACGAGATCTCGCATCACAGTTTCTTCTCCTCCTTCAATCTTTTCATCGATAGACACCATCATGCAAACACCAAACAGCGAGCCTCGCTCCACACATCCTCGTTAACAGATGGTCAGTATGCCACGGGGTGTTATGTGTTAAGGCTCTAGTCCGAGCTGACGATAGTACAAATGACTGTGCATCAGTCAATGGTATGTTATACTCTGCATCGGAGATCATTTGTAGCAAACTAATGTCTCTAGCGGACAACTACGCTATCTTTGCGCTGTCCAAGTACGTAGGGCAAACTATCCATGGGAATTTCACTTTCCTACCGGAAGTGAACCCTGCAATGTTCGCTTATGCAGAGATTGCCGTTCCTTTCAGCGACCACGATGGCGCAACAATCCTCCTCAACAATATTTTCAGTCGTCGTTGGATAATTCAGCTCAAGTACAACACGTCTCGACTACAACCTGATTCGAACGTCTTCGACGTTGAGCAAGAGCTCGAACCAGACAGGAAGGCCGATATAATAAGAGCGCCATTCGTTATCGATGTGCCTAGCAATCCTGGAACGGACAAATCAACTCTTTTCAATAATGCTTCCACCGAAGCCTCGAAGGATGATTTACTTGATATAGACACAGGTTATGGCCTTACCTGCTCCAGCAAATACCCAAATCAACACCCTTACACCAAAGACTTTGACAGAAACGAAGCCGTCGATATTGCCAGAACATTCTGCGAAGGTATCGTCAAGTCCGAGGTTGACACAACTTCGATCTCACCAACCGTGAGGGATACCTATCAGTTTAATAACATCAGTAGGGATTACACACTGACAGAAGCCAACGCTAGAACAAATCTTGGGTTCTTCGCGCTTACTGACAACGCTTTGTTCATCCAAGCTCGAAACGCTAAACAGTTCTTCGAAGGAGTTGCCGACGACGCTAAAGTCGATCACTGCGTCTTAACATACAAGCATATCATCAGCGGCGTAAGGAACCAATACCATGACTCAAACGCAGCATAGTTCATATAATAACTACTCTTAGTGCGATACTGACGTTTAAAAAACAAGAGGTAGCGTTCTCAGACTCAATACCCGCCACTACAGTGTCTACACCACTATCGACGACCTTCAATGCGCTAACTACAATGCCACGATCTATTGGCGCATGGCCACATCCGCTGAACAAGTCTATGGGGTGAACATTGCGACCCCTGTTAGTATCACGGACAAGGACAAGTTAGGTAAGCTATGTACATGTTGGTACCCTACATATCCCCTCACAGCAGATTTGTCCTGCAAGGGTTCCGCAAGCAAGTGTAAGGGCTTAGCGGCGAACGACGAGAGGAAAGCGGCGATCTGGGACAAGTTTTTATGCTGATAAACAGCCTCGATGTGTGTATTGTAGGTTGTTGAGCATGGCTGGTCTTCTTTAGCAAGGTAGAGCGCTAGAAGTCCATTTGAAATCCTCTCTCACCCCTGCATCTCGTGTTCGCATCACTCAAAAACTATTACCGCGTTGATAGATGGCATCACGTACTGCGTGTCGCTCCTGCCACGCGCCGCGAAAGCCGGTGCGGACTCTTCTTGGCTAAAATTAGTTAACACTCAGAAAAACCTCTATTCCTACACCTTCTCACTCAAACGTTTAGGCAAACGCCCCCTACTGTTAGAGATGTTCTACTCGCTTCCGATGCGTTTCTTAGAAGGATGTCGTACTTACCCCAGCGCGTGCCTGCTATGCCTGCCAACCCCCAATGCCGCGCGAATTAGCGCGACGCGCTAGTGTCTCTTGTCCGTCACTTCCGCCCCTCTATCTCTCTGCACGTCAGCCAACATTCTCACTCACAGCCCTGCTAACTATTCCGATAACGCCTGAACGTCAAACATTCATCTCAGTACCAATTGCAGAACATAACGCATGCGCTCATGGCTTTATCGTGCTTGCTATCTACACGCGATCGCGGCTTTTCATCCAAGGGCGCGAGCTCCACGAACTCACGGAAACCAACCAAAACACCGCATCTCCGGTCGTTCGCGCATGGTACCGATAAGACTTGAGGCCAATGCCCAGGACCAATAATGTTCCCAACGAAAGCGTTTTGAATCGTTCCAATCTCAGCCTGCTTATACTCTGCAATCATGTGGAGGAGTATTAAAAGTGTGGTATAGCGTAGTCTACTTTGTCCGCTCGCGATGCCGCTCACCCCGCCAATCAACCACTTCTTGTTGGCTTCACTATGCTGTACATCTTTGAGAAGTTCTTCAGCACACACCAATACCAGAGGCCAGAATCTGTGTACACTCAAGAATCCTCGGCTATGAATTTTGGTTTCTCTGTTGGTGACTTCGATGTTCTCACTGACAAGAATTTTCTGGCAAGCAGTTCATCGGTTCACCTAGGTAGTATATCACGCACCGAGCAATTCCTAGATATACAAGCGTTGCAGAGATGCTCCTGACGAATACGCTCACCTCACTGCACACGTGCAACAACTTCGCGATATACTCGACGATACGAAGACGTTCATTGTTGAGCCGGAGCGACAGGGACTGCTACCGCAAAGCGAGTCGCGATTAGCCTCGCTGAAGGCACGACACTATGGCTGCAACATAACGCTGGATGAAGTCGATGAGTTCCTCAAATGAATACAAGAAAGTGGAGACGGATATGGGCAAGCGACGAATCATAAGTCTGGCGAAGTTTATCATGTCAGACGCAAAAGCAATTGCGAAAGACTATGAGAGCGAGGCGTCTTCTCTCCAAATACAACTGAGTAGTGTGACGAGGTAAGCCTCACATGTGGTGCGGAAATCATGACCCAACAGATGTGCAGTTTGTCTGTACTAAATGTTCGGGATGTTTTGACGCATATCGCAGAGGATTACCGGACCGGCGTGCGAGAACCGACTGTGATCTCGCGTGCCTTAGTCGAAAACGAACCCATCGAAAGACAAGAGCTGCCCAGGCAAATTAGTCAAGACCTTGAGGATAACAACTTACACCCTGATTCTATCAGCCCGAACATGCCCTTTGTGGATCAATGGCCATCCCAAGCTATTAGCGGTGGTACCCTGGAGGAAGGTTCCACTGCACCACTCCTACCGCTCTCAAAAATGGTCACAGAGAACAAGATGTCTTCGGTCTTAGATGCGCAACAGTCGGCCGCTGAGGACGGTAAGACTAGTGCATCTGCGTCTCTGGATTCGGCAACTCTGCTTGAGGTACCATAGGCCACTTGTAAGGAGACCGTTCCAAGCGATGACGGACACCTGTATGCTGATATAGATCATGTTACTACGAGGCCCGAAGATAGCACAACCGTGTTGAATGAAGGTCTCACGCTTAGCGAACCACGCTCCCGCGCCAACAGCACCACATCCAGTGCTAGTAAGCTGGACGACTGGCATCCATACGACCGGCCAGCCCCAGCATATGTTCGAAAGAAGTTATGGCTTCTCTTTCACGATGATCCTACACCAGACCCGTTCTCTAAAGGTACCACACATGTTAAACTACAAGCGTTCCATCAGGCTGCCTATAGCGATGAGGGAATTATCACCCGAAGGACGGTGTTTCACCATTTGTCTGATGCGTTGTAGCAGGTTTCTGAAATTACACATTCAGAGGACTTGGAAAGCATAATTTCAAGATTCGATGCCAACCACGATGGATACTTTGACAAGAATGAGTTTCTGGGCCTGGTCCATGACTTGGTACGACGCACGTCGGAGGCAAGAGAAGCTCGAAACGAACTCGAGTTTGCAACAGTGGTACATCAAGCGAGAATCAACTGGGCAAAGAGAAGAGCAGCGGAGCCGTTGGCCTTCTTGTAGTAGGGCTTCTCGAGACTGCCTGGAGCTGGTGAACATTCGATAACGTTCTTGACATCCCTGTCAGGGAGACGCCAAATTTTACAACTCCGTCGGCCTTCAGCATCATGGCGTAGGAGGCGAATGGGTGTGTTGGCAGAATCAGCGATTTCGAGGCAGATTGGATCGGCATCGTGCCAAAAACCCTGCAGTACGAGTACCGCGATCCACTTCAGAAAGTACAACGGATTGCAACAGCCTTCACATTTCTTGAGAACATATCATCGCACTGCGTAATTTCCGACCTAGATGTTTTTCTCGACTGCGCTCGTATTGCTTCTCATCTATCTGACGAAAGAGACACCCCATTTGTCGATCAAATGTCATCTCAGCTTGAGGCCGCTAAAGTGGTATGCTTAGGCATCCCTGAGCACCTTCTTGGTTTTACACTTACGCTGAAAAGCGCCGAGGCACTGAAAACATCGACTTACAATAATTTCGGCAAGTTCAAGTTGTGGTGGGATTCTAATCGCCTGACTTGCCGATCGAACAAGATCTACATCGAATCCGCGAAATGGCGCCTTATCAGAGATACGGTCAGCGCCTTCTGTGCGGTACAAATACTAGCAGATGTGGAGGACTGCGCTCGCCGGGTCATTCATGAATTCAATGAGAGCGAAAGCGAAAGAGTGGCGAAGCGCAAGGCTGAGCTTACTGCAGCACCTTGGGAAGGTTGCATCGGATATGTGACTATCTCCGGATTGAGTCAGCATCGGATTGGCAAGAGACGGGGTATGTGACATCCTCATCTTACAAGCACAAGAGCTCATCGCGTAGGTATCCACAAGATATTCTCGAAGATCTCTATTACGGATAGCGGACAGCTTCTTCCGGTCCAGAAATTCACGGCTACCCTCAGGAAGCGCGCAGTGTATCACCGGTTGTATTTGTCTGGTGACACGACTATGTACATTGTGCTCCTGTGGTATCCTACGCATATGCCGACACAACGGTAGACGACTTCTGCCTACATCAACTGTTGGGATCTTTCTGCTCGAAGCAGACTCCAAAGCACCCGATAGAATACTGAAGCACATATCTGGCTCATAACGGATACGAAGCTTGGACTTCACAACGAGGCTGAGGGGCTTTGATGTCGGGTCTGTTGCCGGCAATTTGACTACAATCAAAGACAAGAGGCAGCTGTGCAAGTTTTACATATCTTTTCAAATGGACCCTAGTGACGAATTCCGCAACGAAATGAACTCGCTCAAGGTGAAGGACTAGCGCACTCTGCTTGAAGAACGTCCGCTATACTAAGACGCAAAACAAGCAGCATCAATTGAACGCCACTTCCTACACAATGCGATATTCTTACTGTAGCCTTCCAAAACGTTCACTGTACTCGCATCCAAACAATCAGCTAACCTCCGGAGCGTTCTAGACGTCGGCCTTGCCCCAACTACAATATATTCTCTTTCGTCATTTACGCTTTGAAATCTCCAAATCGTAGTACTCGTCATGAACCGCAAAGGTATAACAAAAACAACTAACTCCAAAGACCCTTGAATTGTTGCTCGACGTCATGGTAGGTGCTAGGGTCGATTCAGCGACGCTTGGCGTCTCCGAAGAACTCGTTAAGCGCGTCGTATGCAGCACGCTTCCTGATCCCGTAGTCGTCGCTAATCTATTGAATTTGGTTTACATGTGCGCCTGGACCCAAAAAAGAATAATTTGAAGCAGCTGATGGCACCGTCACATTTTTTGTGAAAGCGTTCCGGGACAATTCGGGAAATGGCGCTGATGCTTTCGGTCTGCTCTTGCGCTCGCCGATGCTGTGTACCTTCCTTCGGAGGCGTTGCTTCTCAGAGGCGCCTTTCAAGTCAATAATTCGCGGAAGACAGTCTACACACTCGTGTATATCAGGCACATGTTGGGTAGACTCGTAATAACACACGATGTGCTGCCAGGTATCGCACGTCTCGCACAATACCGTGTTGCTATCGTCATCGGAGTATCCACAGATGCATTTTATCGTAGATAACTCTTCTTCATCAATGGTGGCTTTTACTGGAGGCGATGGTGGTGGTCTTCGAGGCGTGAATGACTCTTGCTCCTCAACGGTGGCTTCTACTGGAGGCAATAGTGGCGGAAATGCGCTGTTTTGCATTTCATTTTGGCGACGAAGGCTCCCCATGTAGCACTGTAGTATCATACTGAACTGAGGATCAGGGGCCTTAAGGAGTTGCTGCTTTACGTTGGGGTCGAGGTCGGCCGGGATCATGTTCATACGAACCTCATTGGTTAGTGGTTGTTTGCCCGGCCGACCGGCGGCAGCTCTTTGTTGCGCTTGACGCGTAAGCTCGAATAGGTTGGGGTCAGCAGTCAACGGTTGCTGAATAGAGTGATGAGGTCCAGGAGGGGTCATGACGCGGGCATGTTGCACAGAAATCGCCTGCTCCTGTGCCTGCATTTGATAGTGTTGTTGAGCGTGTTGTTGAGCATGTTGTTGAGCGTGTTTTTGAGCGTGTTGTTGTCTTGCGTAGGCTATGGCAGCATGCTCCTGCGGGCTACTAGGTTGTTGACTACCTATCTGCTGCTGTTGGTGGACCAAGTGAGGAGGAATGTTAGAGAAACGTCCTTGTCCCATTAGTCTATTTCTCGATGCTTGCAATTGTTGTAGCTGTGCCTGGTTTACGTTTGCCATAGGGTTCTGGAAACCCATTCCCATACCGCCCTGTTGGTGGCTCTGTTGCAATAAGTCCAAGGGGCCTATCGTCTGACGAGGAGCTTGAGAAGATAACTCAAAGTTTTCTGGAGAATTTGGTGTTCCAGCATGGCCACTTCGGTTCCGGAAACGCGTCACTTGCCGATCCCTGATGCTTCTAGTTATGCTTCTTGACACTGGGTTATGTTCATCTCGGATGTGTCTCCTCAAATTCTGTGGAGAGGCGAATGGAAGATTGCATTTGCAGCCGGAGTGCGTGCAGACAAGCGCCGGCTTGTGCGTCATTTCGTGCTGTGTACGAAGGTCATGAGTTGAAAACCCCGCTAACATGTCTGAACACCCGGGAAAGCGACATACGAACGCATATGGTCGATTGGACGTCTTGAACATCGTGAGCTGTTCTGGTGTGAGTCCTGCAACCGTAACTGCTGAGAGCAGATGATCGACTTGCGTAGCGTATTCGAGCTGGACTACGCTGAAAGGCGTGGGATCCAAAGGTCCTCCTAATGAACACACGTTAGCCATATATTGGTTCTGCTACAGAAATAGCTTACTGTAGTCATCGGACTTCTCGAAATGGACTTGTTTGGCACGCCGATAATTTACATAAACACAGAGAAGTTTGTAACAATCTGCATAGTGCTCAAGGTATCTCAGACGAGGCTCGAAATTACGCGCGGCGAGAAGGTCTGGTTGTACGTCGTATGCTGAGTCCAAATACCGCGTATGCTGCTGAGAACTGATGAAGAGGAGAGTTTCCAGGCAAGCTTCCAATCCTCGGTCCCTACCATGCGCAATTTCTGCTGCGAAGGCGAGAAGATGGTCAAGCCAATGCTCGTGGACATATGGCTGAAGGGAATACAAGCATTTGCCAACATCGACTGCTTTTTGTTCGGCAGGGATAATGGAATCGGAAAGATGAAGGCTGAAAGTCAGGTAGTTCAGACAAGTAATGGTAGTACAGCTCTCCGCATCCCGTAGCGAAACGAAACCACTTTTCAGAAGGTACCTTGGTAGGGTCAGCTATTTCTCATCTCAATGTATGACAAAACTCACTCTTGAACTGTGAAGTGAACAAAAGATATTTGCCCATTATCATCTGTTTGTATCAGAGGTTTGCAGAGGTCGACGATCGCTGCAGGAAGCTTTGACCTCTCCGATAACGAGACGGCCCCTGACGCAAATACGATAGCATCCTGAAGTTCTGGGATCCTCAGCGGGCGTCTCGAACATAGAATCCATTTCAGTATGTTGATGGTCCGCTCTCGCGATAGGGATGGATAGAGCATGATCCTCTGTACGATGCGGGAGTAGCTGCACATGATCAGCATGAAGCCTGCGTGTATATACAGATAATCACTCACAAATCATGCAAGTCGTGCGGCATGCTGGCAATCGCATTCTCTAAGTCGTCAAGATTGTATGCGTCGATCTCCAGTTGCGCTAACACTAGTCGCACCCAGAGGAACATTCCTAGAGATTGTTAATTCTTGGTCAAGTATATGGCTGTTATAGTCTTGAGAACATATCATTTGGCGTTGCATGTGGTAGGCGTCATTTGATGCAACAAGCTCGTACGTGCGCTGCGATGCTCAAAGAGTTGAAACGTAGACATACCTTGAGACTTTAAAACTACATTCTTCTTTACCTCTGCGAGAATTTTGTCTACACCGACGAGGTGCTCAAACTTCTCCCGAATGATTTCTAGGCTTTTAGTAGCGAAACGTGTTATGTCGGCTGTCAACGCATCGCTCTCTTGGTCCAGTGCCACTGTCGGTCTTTTCGACAATTTTCCTACCAACTCCAAAATGTCCCGACTGACAATAAGGATCTTCGTCGGTGCACAAGCTTGCGATGGGCTCTCAAGTTGCAGTATCGAAACAAGAACATCTCTGACAGGAGTGAGATCGCATGGTTTTCCATGCATGTCGTATCTGATACACTCGTCGATGCCATCGATCAGAATTCGTGGCATCACCAACTGTGGGAGCAGATTCGATAGAAGCCCTTGAAGGTTCTGAACGGAGAGCGAACGACTCTCAGCGACGAATTCTTCGTACACGTAAGTGGCAAGATCGGTACGTTGTCGAAGAATTTGAGATACTAATGTGGCGAGAATGAAGACCACAGGATCGGGATATATGCTGCTGACAGTGTAGCTGTAAAAACAGAACAAGATGGTCGACTGTTGGGGTGCACGAAGAAATTGTACCGTCTTCGCACATAGCGTACTTTTGCCTAGACTTGTCGTTAATTCCGTTCCAATAAATATACCTAGGTTTCTTGACGCAACTGACCGGAGCCAGGCTTGCCCTTCAGCCATAAAACTGGAGCGCCCCGTCCATTTTGAAGCCACGCCCTCATCCTTTGGTGTCTTAGAATCCATTCAGTAGTACCGTCACAACAGTCGTTGACGAGTCTGTGAAGGAGGTTGTCTTGGTAAGCCTGACCGCAATGAGGGACAGTCTCGAGACCCAGCCAAGAAAGCGCTGCTGTAAGCTGCGCTGTCGACCGATCCTTCTCCGTTTTTGTTACTGCTTGAAGAGCTTCTCTGCGCCATTGCATGGTTTCTGAGACAAGGTATGCGTTTGCTTCTTGATCGATCAATGTGGCGTGTTTTGCGAGACTATCCAGGATGCAATTGAACCTGCTTTCGAATTGTCCCCAGGACGATTTGAAGAAACAAATCCAGCCTAAAGCTCGTCAGAAGTGTAAAAGGCGTGCACAATAGACGAATGAGATCACCATTTCGTCTGAACAGCTTATATGCATGCTCATGAAACTTCAGGATGTCACTGTAGACGACTGCAAGTGCTTGCTGAAAGTCAGGCTTATCTTGCAGAGCAGTTCCTAGCCGATCGAATCGAGGTAGCATTGCTGCGATCTGACTGTACGCTGCTAACAGTTTCTCAAAAGCGCTGATATGATCCGTAGCGAGCTAAATATCGTGAGTGATGTCGCAAGTGCGGATACAAGGGCTCTGACCTGCATCATCAATTTGATGGGTGCCTCCAGGAAACTAGATGTCAGCATGATCTGTGTCGAAAAGCCTGATGTCTCAACTCACCCATATCCAACTAAGAAAAGGCGTGCCGTTGCACAGCACTTCAATGACCTTGGAGTACGCCTCCAGCCCATTGAGAAACGGCTCGAAGCGCTTCATGTTCCGCATGCACTGTCGCGCAGCAAGCTGTCGCTCGACCTGTTTCGCGGCATCGCGCACATCGCGCAGTGTGGTGTCGCTGAACTCGCGATCGTCGGTGCGTGAATACCGCTGTACTGTCCTTTCGAAGCTATCGAAGCTTTCTTGGAATGTTCTGTACGCCTGGGGCGCGAGTGTGGTGGGCTTCGCGGTGATGAGAAGGCTACCGGTAGGCTTGGGCGCCCCGCCAAAACGCGTTCCGCACGCAACTGCCATCGACCGCGACGGCTAGATGAACATACTGATGTTCGAGGGACAGAATGTGGTCAAATGCCCGCAAGAGGAGCCTGCTGACGAGATATAGGTTTGCGAAATTCTAGAGGTTCCTTTACATGACTTTCAGACGAGTCTCCTTGCGAGGCAGAGCCGCTGCGCATAATGCGCATCTGATGCGCCTCTACTGCAGCACAGCCGCCACAATCGCTACGCTCAGCCCTCCTTGTCGCAGCGGCATTTACTTTCTGTAGCCATGCAAATCTTTATAGTACTCTCGATTCATCATCATCAGTCTTGTCGCGTGATGAGCGCGTCTCGATCTGAACCTACCTAGTCGACCGCATCAAACCTACCGAAGTACACGAGGGAAGCGCCTTGGTTGGTAATGGCAAGCCGTCCATGACAACATAGCCCACTACTCTAGAAGGTGCATTATGCCACACAATGACTTCGAACGACCGGCTCTCAAACGACGTCGGATCAATAACGAATCTTCCGTGTCTAGAATCGAAAACTACCAGCATCGTCATGATCCATATGGATGTAGCTCAACAGAGATCTTAGAGCCTCCAGCCTTAGCACCAAACGGCGTCTCAGTCCACCGACATGCTCGTCTTCAATATGAACAATTCGACTCTTCGAGAGCAGTACCTACCAGCCTACACGACGTTTCGCTCAATCTGCAACACCAGTACGCTTCTTTGCATACATTAGCTTTACCCCGACCGTCGGCATCCGCCATAGAGACACCGTTGCCAAGTTACCCAGACGGTCTTGAACATTTCCCTGGTCGAGACATACAGCTCAACAAATGTCTACCAGGAACATCCAAGCCAAAAATCAACAGCGCACCCACGTTAGATGTCACTATTATTGATAGCGAAGAATATATGGTTGTATGCTTTGGCATGGTAAATCAAACCTCATTCGTTGGTGTTCTCTGTCGCTGACCTCAGGGTAGATCGATGATTTGCAGGCGGAGCTACAACCTCATGTTTCGAATTCCTGCATTGGCTGCCCATCCTTGAGCTTTTTGCCACCTGATCAGGTGATCTTTGATGGGGCATGGGTGGGCCGGTTTGATGATAGAAGCGCGGGAATACTTCGTGGTATCTGTGAAGATTCCCCGATCGATTTACAGTTAATTCTGATGCGCGCAAAGCATCCTCGTCAAAGAGGGAGCCTAGCACCAATATCAGCTATTCTGTATGGTCCTAAATGGCTTTCTGAAGATGTAGGTGCCTTCTGTCAGGACTCTGAGATATATTTGCAGGATCCTCTGGGTTGCGATCGAGACGTACTTTACTGCAACCCTCACCGTCTCTCCTCAAACGAGGCCGCATGCTGTACGACTTTCGAGCTACAGATAGCCAGTAGTGACGTAGTCGTGACCCAATTACATATTGCAGATGCACTGGATTTTCTCAACACCCCAAGAGCACTTGGTGAATTGGAAACACCCTGCTGGTTGAAGACCAAACTATTACCGTAAGTCGTAATGTTGCCTCGTACATCTCAACTTGTTAATCCAGATCAGGCACCAGCGACAAGCCTTATACTTCATGTCCAAGCGAGAGATGGGCTGGGCTCTCGAAGACGGAGCTTGCGATGTGTGGACGGAGCTTATACTCAACAGGTGTGCTTTTCAAACGCAATTGCTCATATGACGGGATCCGGCTGACAGTATGCTAACAGATATCGCAACAATGTCACTGGTATCGTGCAGACATGTAAACCGAGTTCATTCAAGGGCGGCATTCTAGCAGACACGATGGGGCTAGGAAAGTCTCTCAGCATGATTGCCTTGCTTACGCATGGTATTGACTCTTTGGACGAGGGCGATCTGTTTACTAGACCAACGTTCACAAGCCATCGCGATGTCGACGCTACATTACTTATTGTACCACCTTCTCGTAAGTCATCGCGAAATAAGTCGTGTCTTTAGGTACACTAACAGCAAAAGTTTTGCAAACATGGGAAGAACAATTTCAAAAGTAAGTCGTATTATAGCGGGAAGAACCAATGGCTGACCCTCTAGACATTCGCGCGACATAACTTTACTGAGAATAAGACGACATCATGGCGCCAACCGGATCACTACTATTGAAGAGGCTCGTGCACATCGTCTAGTGTTGACAACGTATCAAACAGTGGAAACGGAGTTTAGGGACCGCTCGTCTTTAGCAGCATCACCTCTCTTTACGATCAATTGGCGGCGCATCATTCTAGATGAAGGTACGTGAACAAGCACCCGAGCAGACGGAACAGGTCGCCACTAACGTTTCAAGCGCACTACATCAGCAACCACCAAAGCAATACATGCAAAGCTATATGTACTCTGGAGGCTCAAGCGCGTTGGGCTGTCACTGGAACGCCATTGCAAAACAGGCTCGGAGATATCGCGACGTTATGTCAATTCCTACGCGTTCATCCATACGACAACCGAGAAACATTTAACAAAGACATCATCGACCCATGGAAGGCTGGTGATAACACCACTGCTATCTCTCGGCTTAAGCGACTTCTCCGGTGCATTCTTTTGCGACGTAGCAAGGGATCTGTTCAGTTGCCAGCAAGGACCGACCTGAGACTTACGCTGCAGTTCAGCGAAGAAGAGCGACAACATTATGTAACAGCAGAGAGTAATGTTGCAAGGTCTATCGATGCAGTATTAGGTGCAAACACCAATACAGCGTTGAAGGTCTCTAGTATCATCCAACAGATCAACGAGCTTCGTCTAATCTGCAACCTTGGCACCTATCGCAAATCACCAAATCCAGTTACATTTTTCGACAACACTACCTGGAATACACGTGTAGCTCAGAGAGCTATAAACGCACTAACAGCGACAAATGGAATGTATTGCAACAGCTGCGGCGAGATACAGGACGGCACACGATATGGCAACAACTTCGGTGCGAACCTTGGTCTAAATGAGACCCGACTTTGGCTCTTCTCTTGCTCTAGCATCGCCTGTGAGACTTGCATGGCACAAAATCCATTGACTAGTTGTAGTTGCGTGAGTCGATGTCCCGTTGCTATTGTCACACATACGCCTGGGATGATGGACTCGGGAGTCTCAACTCCAGTTGAATGGCCTTCAGATACAGAAGATGTCTTGCCTACCAAGGTCAACGCGCTCGTTGCTGACCTGCTCAAGCAACCGTCGGATACTAAAAGGTAATTTCTTTCCACGGGGCATCTCTAATTCAGCTTGCTACAGCAGACTAGCCTTTGTCCATGTCGCTTGCTGACTTGCTATATAGCATCGTCTTCACATTCTGGTCATCGACACTTGATCTCGTCGAAAAAGGATTATCGCGAGCTTCAATCACCTTTACACGCTACGATGGCAATACAACGCCCACCAATCGGTCTCTAGCGTTAAACAACTTTCGTCGAGACCAAAATATCTCTGTGATCCTCATGACCATTTCGTGCGCCGCAGTCGGGCTAGACATCACTGCGGCAAGCCGCGCCTACATTATGGAGCCCCAATGGAATCCTACAGTCGAAGAGCAGGCGCTGGCGCGCGTGCATCGTATGGGTCAGACGAAAGAGGTGACCACGATTCGTTTTGTCATGGCCGACACTTTCGAAGAGGTGCGTGAGCAATCTTGAACTAGCTGAGGTGTTTCGCTAATGTCAAGCAGAGGGTCATAGAAACGCAGCAGCGAAAAAGAGAACTTGCAGAGCTGTTGCTATCGACTGAGCCACACGCAGAGTCAGAACATAGTCTCGATCGACTGCGAGTAAGTCGTGAAATTCTTGGGAAGAAGAGATGTCACTAATCCACGCTTAGTATTTCCGGTCTTTGCTCAAGTGATCGCTCTACAAGATCTCTTTCATGAGTAGTCCTGTATTGCCATGCTCCTTGACCTTATGATACCTGTCTAAAGCCGTTGCTCTTGCGGGTTTGCTTCGATTGACGTGTACCACAACAAGTGGGGTTTCTTCAAAGATGAGGGCGCTTCTCTCGGTACGTTGCTTTGCAATCATGCCTCGGCTGTCGATCATGCGGCTACGGTCTGAGGTTATCTTTATTAGCGACATGACTGCCATTGCGGATATTTTCGAATGCATTTGACTGTCCGGACAGAATGATCTGCTAGTTTAAGTACATCTCGAGTCGAGACATGATGTGTCCTAGACGCCTGTTAATCGAGACATTTCTACGAAACAGCGAATGGACAGTCTTTGACACATGCGTTCCTAGAGATACTTTAGTATATGGTGTACCCAACTGATACATACAAGAGATGTGTGATAACAGCGTCAAAGGAAGCCAGGCAATAAACTGAGCTGAAAGCACATGTTTGTGCAGAGCGGAAATACGAAAACATTATGTGACAAAGCAGGGCCCAGATTCGGCATTCTGTGTATCATCTCGTATATCAGAGTCAGCATTGTGATACCGGTTGCAGCTCCGACGGTCGTCCTGCGCGGCTGAGAGAAAGAAGCACGTCATGCGTGCGTCCTCACATCGCTTGTACCTGCCAAGCCGTCAGGGGCATCATGTGGGGAATCTCCACCCACACGCGCCTCCAACGTCCATTAGCACCCATTCAGAATGCCATGTCCACCACAAGCAAGCCCCGGAAGCCAGCATCAGACGCTCACTTTTTCCTCTAGCTCTTGACTTCCGGTCCATAGACAGCACCGCGCCATCTTTCAACAATGCACAATAGTGGCGAATGGGCTTAGGCGCCACTAAATCCCACGGTGCCCAAGGTTCGCGCCTCCCAGCCATGTAGACACGAGAACACGAGCCCCCATCCGAAACACGTCTAGCCCCATGGAGATGACCATGCCTTCTGGGCACGCTGACTGGGCGGCCATCATTGGGCGGGCGCCGGCAGAGTATTGGTATGCTTGTTCTTTACGAGATCCTTCTCTTTAGGGGCGAGGGCCAGAGCTGGCTGGGCATGGCAAGTGGATGGGGGATAAAGACGCTGGGAACCGGGTTTTTTTCGTTCGTGATGCGCGCGCGTGGGCTTTCTCGCACTCACTCATAGTCGATCATTACTTCAACCTTCTTGTCTGTTAATACATTTATTATCTTACTTACTTACTCACACGTTTGACGTTCCGCGGAATCAGTACCGAGTTTCACGTCTACCGTTACTAGTGCATCAGGACGGGTCGGGTACCCAGCGAGAAAGCAAAGATGAAGGTGGTCGTTGCGTTGTTTGGCCTGGTAGTCTCTGCGCTTGCGCAAGAGACCTCGAGCTGTAAGTTTGGAACGAGCAATAGTAGTGAATGTTGTTCCGGTGAATACAACTCTAATCAAGAAACACCGTAGATACCGGCCCAATGTTCGACCCGGACACCGCGCCATTCTTCGGTCCTAGCACTATCGTATTTCCTTCGGTCACCGAGTCCGCTCCTGTGCTCTCAAACTTACCTACTCTCACACCATCTCGGAGCTCAGCTGTCATCTCCACGTCTAGTGCTATGGCCAACTCGACGCTGTCGACTTCAACGTTGTCGCGCAACTCTACGACCTCGCATTTCTCAACGCATTCCTCCACGCATTCCTCAGCACACTCCTCTACGTCGGTTAGGACTTCGCGCACGGCGACTCCTACGGCTGATGAGACTACGGCGAGTGCATCGGCTCCGGCTGAGACAGGTGCTGGCGTTGTTAATTACCCGGAGGCGTTTGGAGCACTTGTGGGAGGTCTTGTAGCTGGATTAGCTATGCTGTAGCAGGCTGTAATGGTTCCGTGGTAGAGAACGGGCGTCTGAAAAGCAAATTCAGCATGCGCATGTTCATTTTAGTATAATTAGTCGCTCAGAGGTCTAGCGAGATTTAGGACCAACATAATAGGGTATATTGTGATGTGACTTGAGCCTTCCGTCAAAGTCATATAGCATACTTTTCCCTGGTCGAAACCGAACGCCTGCGAAACGCCGTCATAATGCAACTGAACTAAGCTCTTTTCGCATGTTCTTTACTCCTCCATAGCTCCAACCTCCGTTACCGACTCGGACGCCTTGGTGTAGTAGGCCTTGAGATCAATCTTGAAGTCTGCCATCGCTACACCGAACATCTTCAGCAACGCTGTTTGATGGCTGTTCATGACCTTGCCTTCTTCCGCGATAGTATACGGCGCATCCAGCACAATCTTGCCCTTGTCGAGCTTCGTTGGCATGCCCCATTTCCTGATGGTAGTTTCCATGCTGTGCGGTAGGGGCACGTCTTCGTCCTCCGGGATCTCTCCACCTCTTGAGTGGACTACGCCAGCGGGTACTGTGAAGGTCTGTGTAGCAACAACACCGGCGCGCGCAAAGTCGGTCTGGGAGTAGTTGGCGAAGTACTCAACAATCTCGCTGGGTTCGCGGTTGGTGAACAAGAGTCCAACATTGCCGTTGAGATACTTGGTGAGCTCTGAGAGGTTCGAGAGGTGCTCTTCTGCTGGCGTTTGGCCGAGCGCCTTCGCCATGACTTTAGTCTTTCCGAAGAAGAATCTGCGCAATCATCAGCCATGCGCACTTCCAAGTATTAACGACCTATAGACATACCGGCTGTCCGCGAACTCTTGACGAACTTCCTTTAGGTACGAGTTGCGCATGTTCTCTACAGCGAAAACGAAAACGTGCTCGAAGTTATCCGCCGCTTCCTGGACATTGGCAAAGAGCTTCAAAGATAGCTCTTTGCCCTTCTTGTCCGTCTTGGTAAGATGTACGACCTTGGCGCGCTTTGATTTGGGCATTTTGGCGGTGTTGTAAAAGTGTTGTGGTTGGTAGGTTGCGCTCAGGAAAAAGTTCGAAGTTCCAGGTTCGCGACTTCCAAAAAATTGAGCGGGGAATTTTGGCGAACCACCGATTGGTGCAGCCCGCGGCTGAACTCCGCTGTGGATCCTTCTCACATTCCCCAAAGCATAACCACTGCAATCCCACCCCCAGTTCGCTCGAGATGATATACCGATGACATAGAGATGTTGGATTTCATGGACAGCGTGCAGCATGCATTCTACGAGGCATCGAGCTGGAACGTTGACAATTCCTATGGCGCACTGAACGCGTCGGCACGAGGTACGTCACTCTTGATATCGCGTTGCAGACCACCTACTGACACGAGCTGGCAGCATTGCTCGACTTTGACATACCTCGAGGGCTGCGCATGCAGATCTCCTCTCTTGCCGCCCCGAATTTCGCAACATCATACACACTAGGCAGTGTGGGCGTAGTGGATGGCTCAGTGTCGTACCTGTATTCATCGCTACCACTGCAGAAGGACTTCAGGACATCCCATATCGACCTCCACAACGTCATACGAGGCTATAAGCATGTGCAAGAGCTGAGAGGGCCGGATGAGAAGTGGTGGTGGGAGGTTTGGCATGCTGGTCAACGGGTCGACCGCAAAAGTAAGTTTGATGAGCACTGCTTTCTTGTACCCCCGCTAAGCCGTGACAGATACCCTGTTGTATGGGCGCCTATTTCTACCACAGCAGAGGCTTGAAGCTTTGTATCTTCGCCGCCTTACCCCTACACGACAGCTTAGGATCGCCGCCGTGAGCGATTCCAACCTCAACAATGGCGGGACGATCCTAACGTTATTGCAAAACGACTTTGGCAAATATAGCACGGAATACATGTATAGCACAGACTCTGCATTAATGGGTGTCCGGGGTCTTTACAACTTTGGTCCAGGCCCGAGAGTTGCGTCCACAGAACCTGTTGCTCCAGAGCAGGTGGGTCCCGTGGATGGCCGCTTCAGCGCAGGCGCAGAGCTGTACTATGGCATACTCAACAAGAGCGGGGGTATCAGCACAGGTGTGAGGTTCGCCACCTTACCCAACCATGCGGGTTTTCCGTATACCATGACGCTCACGCTCAACCCGTTGATGGGAAATCTTTCTTCCACTTATGCCGTCAAAGCTGGCCCCAATCTGGCCCTCTCTTCTCGCTTCGACTTCAATTTTTATTCGTATGAAAGCGAGGTGCAGCTCGGGTGTGAACTCTGGCGTCTACGCAGCACGACCGATATCGACTGGGCGGTCAGAAAGCTACGTGCAGACTGGAAACGCCCAACAATTTCCCCAGACGACGACGTCTCTGGAGTACTCAAGGCTAGGGTCGATCAGGACTGGCGCATCGGAGTGTTATGGGAGGGTAGGATCAAGGAGCTACTCTTCACGCTCGGTGCAAGTCTGGATCTGAAGAGGAGAGAGCAGATGGTCCGTTCTGTGGGTGTTGAGCTGCAGTACTCGTCATGAACGATAACAGGCACAGACTGCGATACCTGGATCTCTAGAGGGACAGACCATTCCGCTTTGCGAAAGAAGAATCCTAAATCGGCCGAACTGACTCAACTAAGATCAGTCTTGATTACTACTGTCGTCAGTGGGGGGTTCTAGAAACGCGTTTCCCGCACATGGTCAAAGCATGAAGGAATGTTTTCTAGAAGACGATCGCGTCAAACAGCGGGTTCAAACGAGGAACGTGAGGGCCTTCACAGTACCCATGCGATGGCGACCATGTGTTTTCTGAACACGACATACATCGCAGGCTAGGACTCGAGTAAGTGGCGAAGCGTGCATCTTGGCGTAGTCTGGTCCCGAACAGTGCAACGCTGAAACAGAATATGGGGATGTTCGCTGCTCGTCACACTGCATCGGGCTGTTTGGACTTGTTTTCAATGCAGTAGCACGATTCGCAACATTCTGTTACACATGGCATTCTTGAAGATAAAAGTTGAGCATGGCAACGACGGATCTTCAGCTTCCGTAGGCTGGGTGGAAAAGGTGTGCAGATCCGGTCGAGGCCGCGTTCGGAGCGGACCATATTGTTGGTGGAAGAGTCAGTTTTCCGGGTTGGTGGTTGTTGTCGCTCGCTTGCCGACGCGTCCACCATTCACACCGCCGTGCCTGGCGTAAGCCTTGCAATTAATTGTGCAGGGAAGCGATCGGTACTATAGATTGACAGCTGTAGGGCGACAAGACGGGTGACGAGCTAGCTAACACGGCATTCTCGAGATGATCGAACTATTACGGCTTACCAAAATTGAACAATCTCTATTGCGTGGCTTTTTGACCGAGCAGCGAGCGTGTCAGAATGGGCGTGATCAGACGGCACGGGCACCGATGCTCGTCAGGATCTTTCTCATGCTCGGCTCACCCGAGCGATCCGCACGAGGCTTGCGAGTAAGTATTCACGATACCGAAATGGGCCGCCCTGTGCCGCACATTGTCAGCACCAAAAATGTGGGCGCGTACGGCGAGGCATGCCAGGTACAACGAATGCGTGCCAGGAATACTTTGAACGCCTTGCCAGTGCGCCTTCACGCATACGTTGACGCGCGCATTCATGTCATGCTCTGTTGTGCCCTCCCGATGCTGCCGTGATGGGCAATCGTAGACCAAGGACTTCTCAAACACGACAACCATAGCGCCTCATGCTACCGTGTGGAGCGCGTTGTTTGGGTACCTGTCGGAACACGCTAAAGCGGACCGTGAGCACTACGTCGTCGCGGTCTTTTTCGAATAGCGAGCGAAGTTCATGCGCCCTCTTTCCGACAAGTATCGCGATGCGTGTTGTTGTATCGGCGAGCCTCGCGGCAAGGATTGCCCTATAGGCGCAAGTCTCCTGAGTCTTGGAACAGAGCCTGTCCTTAACCCCGGTCGTCACGTCTCTAGTGGCGCGACTTCGACGTACCTCGCAGCTCCTAGCTGCTAGTCCCCCTGATCGGAGCTATTGCGGGCAGCGCGTTGCGCGGGCGGGCAGAAGTGCACTCGCATCAGAGGCGGCTGTTATGGCTGCTGTGTAAAGCGGAGGAGCATCCGGTCAAAGTGCTGCGAGCATGGTTTGCTTCAGAACATAAGCGTTTTGGTGCGTCACCACTGGTCTCGCGCCTGGCGTTGAGCGGTGGTGCCGTTGGGCTAAAACTGTCTCTGGCGGAATCCTGGACCACCTAGCGCCCTGCCCAGCCCAAGCTAGCCGGCGCGCACCTTCCCCCCGGCTTCAATGCCCCTTCCCTTAATCTCCCCTTTCCCAACCACGGTCGCTCATTTACATCCAAGGCCCAGCTCCTCTATCCGGATTCCCTATCGTCACCTTTGCTGTCGGTGTGGTAGAACTCACTTTCTCTTTCTCTGTCGACTTCTGCGAAGTGCCGCCACTCCTTTCGGCCTTTGCCCACGTTCCTTTCTTCACAACCCTCCTTTAGGCTTTGTCCGTCCGCTCCCTAGCACCCTCTCCCTTCACTCTTTGACGACTTGGATTCGCTTTCGGACGATCCATCTGCTCCCCGGTCAGCAGCTCCCTTCACACTTCACACACGCGCCTGGACGGTGTCTTGAGCTTCAGTCACACGTGGAAGTCTTTTCCCGTGACCTTGAACTCTTACAAGCTTCGCATAGCTTTACCATCTTCACCTACCAGTATTGCTTGGACCATTACTTCACGACACTTTACGAACCTAGATAGTCAGAGGTGTTAGCTCGATTGCTCCCTCTACATCTTCCACCCCACTTCGAATCGAGTCAACTCCCGCGCTCCGATTATACCTACCACCCAACATGCAGTCCAGCGACGACGCAATGGTCTCGCCCACGCCATCCCCACCGGCGGGATCCTCAACACCGACGCAGGGCTCTGCCCCGCGCCGACCACCGCGGAAAAGCACCCTCACCCAGCAGCAGCGAAACCAGAAGAGACAGAGGGCCACTCAAGACCAACTGGTGACACTCGAAGTCGAGTTCAACAAGAACCCCACTCCTACTGCTGCTACCCGCGAAAGAATAGCCTCGGAAATTAACATGACCGAGCGATCAGTCCAGATCTGGTTCCAGAACAGGTAGGAGAAGCGAGCAGCATGCTGGTGCGCAGTACTGACAATTGCATAGACGTGCCAAAATCAAGAACATTGCCAAGAAGAGCATCGAGAACGGCGACGACTGCAATGATATTCCCGAGTCAATGCGACGATACCTTGCCCTGCAGGCCATGGAATCCGGCAAGTCAATTGGTACCAGCTTCCTAGGTCGAGCAGGCGGTATGCCATACGGAAGTGGCATGCTCCTCAACACAGACGCCAACAACTCCAAGGTTGTTATCCACCACTTTGCTTGCCGCTCCCTCAGCATCGGTAGCTGGAGACGAGTCGGACAAAGCGCCATGGATCTTGTGGTATTTTACTCGCCTGAGAAGTGCTGCATCACCTACTACATCAACAACGACTCTGCAGGCTACAAGATCGAGTACCCATTCTCATACATCAAGAACATTTCACTGGAGAACGGCGACATGACTGCAAACGCCGAAGGGGCTTCGCAACGCCCTGGGGGTCTGATTGTTGAGCTGAACCGCCCTCCGAACTTCTTCATGGACTCTTCCGGCTCCGGTGGATTTTTCCAGTGCGGTGATTTTACCGAGGACCAACAAGCATCAAACATCATGTTGCACCACCTCGGTGGCCACCCGAAGGTGTTGAGCGGACAATTGGCGAAACTTGTCTCACTGGAGTCGTTTCAGAACCGACACAACATGTACGACCCAAACACATTTGCCGTCTCGGCACCGGTCTCGCCTATCAACCACCGGCCCGCTTCCCAACCAAACCATCTTCAACACCCTCACCACATGGGTATGTTTCAGGAGACGCATCTTGCGCCTGCTCCTTTCCAACCGCGCGGCCACAAGCGCCAGCGAAGTCGTTCAGTTCCTGTTGCCATGGACTTTTCGATGCTTCGCAACCCAATGCCATCATTCTTGATCCAACAAGAGCCATCGCCCTATGTGCCTAACCCAGAGATCTTTGCGCCACAACCACAGAGTGCGGGCCCTATCGGTCCCCACCTGAGCATCGACACTTCTGCTGGATACGGCATGGACTACCGACAATACCCCATGTCTGCCACGACCACTAACTCACCGTCCGAGTATGGCACACCCTCATTTTTCACATCGGGACCGTCAAACGACAACATCCCGGCCTCCAACTATGGCCAGTACAACATCCCTCCTTATGTACATACACCAATGGGCCCGCCACCACACTCGGCGTCTCACCACTCACCAATGCCGGCGATGAATCATTCTGACCCTATCATCGCTAACCAGTCACCACCCCTTGGCTCGTTTGGTCGTGACAACCACAATGACGTGTACCAGATGTCGCACGACAACGGCATGTCAGACGAGGCGCTGCAGATGACAGACATGTACGCGAAGCAAAATCTCAACATGCCTTTCCGGTCACCGTTACTGGAAGATAATGGAGACGATTTGGACATGTCAAACCTAGTGTCGTTCGGCACACTAGATCCGTCCAGCCTGTCACCGGAGCATCACCAGATGCAATGAGCAGCTTGCATATTACTGTCTATTTGCCAATTCTTCTTTTGCCAGCTCTTATACCCGGTCGCGGTTGCTTGTTTTTACGCGGAAGCTGGACGCATGCACGCCTTGTCGCTTGAAACAGTGGCAGGGCTGTTGTTTGCTCTCCAGTCTCCATTATCGCGCTCATAGTTAATGTGGCCGTCAGCTTCCCTCACATATTGGTTTCAATTCGTTGAACATATAGCGGCTTCAGCATTTGGGGCTTTACGTCGCTTTGTAGAAGGCCCCCACTCTTCTACTACTACTACTCCCTACCCCTCATCTACTCTTCTCCGTAACGCAGATTGAACGACCACACCATACAGGGATTGGTTATTGATATTGGCGTTGCTAGGGAATTGGGTAGGCTGGGATCTATACACAGAGGAAAGGCAGACTGGTGGAACCTGCGCTGGTTGGTGTTGGCAGACGTCAGCAGCACATGCAGGTCGTCTTTTTTTGTTTCTGGAATCTTCTTCTCATTGTTCATCATCAACTTTTCCTTTTCTGTGTTGCGAGCTAGCCATTTGTTTCATTTGTTGCGTGCGTCTCGGATGTTAGGAAGTTTCTTGTCGGATCCTGCCTAGCAGGTGGTGATTTGCCATTTTGAGGAGATCTTGTGCTGCGGGGGTTCGTTGTGGATTACATAGCCGCTGCGCGTGCTTGAGTTGTAGCTTTCCAAGGGGATCTCCGGTAAACAACAAAGCTGTTCTTTCCAGATCAGTAAACAAATATATTACATTACTTGAACAAACCTGGGACAGTGGTGTGTGCGACTAGGAGTGGGTTAACCATTGACTTTCTAGGTACCTAGGTAGCGAGAGTGTAATGTGAAGCTAAAGAGGTTGCGGGGAAGTGCCATGTTATAGCAGAGTGAAATTACGATGGACAAACTGTCTCGTATTCCGGGTTACGAGATGAGAGTGAATCGCAATTTGCCAAATTTGCAGCGAATTTCGCGTACTAAGCAGAGCTACACAGCCCATTTGACAGGGCATTAATGAAGGTGCCTTCGGGTCAGCCCGTCGAGCCTCCACAGGATGGGTATGTCTGATTGCAAACTTGGGTCGGCCAATCATGTAGCTAGAAGGGTGTAACATGTTATTTTACTGCTACGCAGCAGGCGGCTTTTGCATGGAGTGTAATTGTCGCGTGGTGAGTAAGTACAAAACAGCAATAGGATTGCCCCAAATATGTCGCTGCATGTGCTTATGTACTAGTAGTAGCTTCTTGGTTCTGGAGCTGGAGCTGGAAAAGGAAATAGCAATGCGATAAGATCGTCTATTATGCGTGATGGATGTGGTGCGAGTCTCCCACGACGCTTAGCATGGTGTGCCAAGCACGCGGACGAGCAAAGTCGTGGCTGACAGAGCATGCGGTGATTATGTCTGAGGACAGGGCTGGAGGGAGAAATTTGCTATGATTTGCTGTGGTTGATGACGTGCGGCGAGCCTCAGCGGCATCGACAAGGGCGCGGGCAAATCGAGGGACAAGCTCTAGACGCATGGCCTGATGGGCCGAGTCGCAAGGCTTTTTTGTCACGTCGGACGAGGAGCGGGTCTTGGTCGGGCAAGGCTTGCGATGCTCGGTAGACGCATGGACAGGCGATGTGGCAGCGATCAGCATCGTGTTCCCCTGACTTCTCTCCCGCTTGGGCGTGGTGCCGAACGGGAGAATGGGGCTGCTCATTTCGTCGGGCCAACCACGACGCGGCTGTTTTTCGCGCAGCAGCTCCAGGGACCCTCACCCCTTGCTAACGGCGCTGATAAGTGAGCCTGCAGCTGCACGCGACTCCACGGCTTTTCTTCTGCACCTACATCTTGTCGTTCATTACCAGCCAGTGACTTGGGAGCTTGTTCGGGATTTGCACAGGTACGGGATCTCTACGTCACGACAGACGGTGGCTTGGAAGCTTGGTGGTGGTTCGTAGCAAACGGCCGCGCCACTCAGGAACACGAAAAGCGTTGCGACGACCGCAGCCAATTCACGGTACATCAGCCCGACGAGCACATCTCTCTCTCGCTTGTGCTACCGTTCGCATCAACGTAGGTCGACTCCAGCTTTTCTCTCCCAAGCGTCCGCGGCTTCCCGCTGCTTGACGACTCCTGCACGCTATCCGGCACTGCCGCCCCGGGCTTTGTCCACCGAAGCCCGAGTGCATGAGCGCGTCAGTACTATTAAGACTTGACCACACTTCCTCCTTCACCCTGCGAACGCACAGCCGTTGCTCGCCGACATCCTCCCTCAGCACCGCCAATTCTTCCCTGAGAGTCGCCTGCTGATCCCTTTCTCGTCTAGCTTCTCCGACAACCGTCCTGCATTCTTCACCGCCAGCTCCGACGTGGGACCTTCCTCGAGCACACAACGCCTTCAATCCTCTTAGTCTAATACCCTCAATACCGCCATCCAAGTGTCTCTCGAGCAATTGCTGCAATGCCTGTTCGAAGCATCAACCCGTTTGCATCCACCACCCCTACTCCACCCCTCGACCCCTCTAGCGAGAAGCGCGATCCTGCGCGTCGAGCGTCCTTTGCAAAGGGCAACAAGTTCACATCCCTCTTCGGCGGCTCACCCAGATCAAAGACCGACGCCGCTGTCCTGCGTGAAGCCTTTGTCGCCCAGCAACAGGCCCTTCTCAATAATCCCTCGCCCTCGCAAATCTCCCTCCCGACTATCAACCTGACCACCGCGACCGGCGAGAAGATGCCCACCGAGCCAAAGACACTCTTCCAGCCGCCTTCGCCCGAGGAGCAGCGCCGCCTTGCACGAGCACACGCACAATTCGGTCCTCTTGGCTCTCAGAAGCACCGCTACCTGAGCAAGTTCGAGGGCGAGTTCGGCGACCCCATCGAGGACGAGCCGCCATATTATTTCCTTTTCACTACATACATCAGCTACTTAATCCTAATAGTATTCGGACATGTTCGCGACTTCTTCGGCAAGCGCTTCAGGAAGCAACACTACAGCCATTTGCAGGAGAAGGACGGATATGCACCCCTCAACAGCGACTTTGACAACTTCTACACAAGGCGGTTGAAGATGCGCATCAACGACTGCTTTTCGCGACCAACGACCGGCGTTCCCGGACGCTTCATCACCGTGCTTGACCGCAAGTCAGACGACGGAAACAACACCTTCAAGATGCTCGGCACCACAACTGAAACCCTCAACATGAGCTCGTACAACTACCTCGGATTTGCTCAATCAGAGGGCCCTTGTGCAGACGCCGCCGAAGCCACTATCAGAAAATACGGTATCTCCATGGCCAGCCCCCGATCAGACAGCGGTACCTCCGATCTCACCGTTGAGGTTGAAGATCTCATTGCCAAGTTCGTCGGCAAGCCTGCCTCGATGGTCTTCTCTATGGGTTTCGTTACCAACGCCACCACATTCCCCACCATTGTCGGAAAAGGCTGCCTCATGATCTCCGACGAACTCAATCACTCTTCCATCCGCTTCGGCGCTCGTCTCTCCGGCGCCATGGTCACAATGTTCAAGCACAACGACATGCGCGATCTTGAGCGCAAGCTCCGCGAAGCCATCTCCCAAGGCCAACCCCGCACTCACCGTCCCTGGAAAAAGATTCTCGTCGCCGTCGAAGGTCTCTACTCCATGGAAGGCACCATGTGCAATCTCCCCGGCATCATTTCCCTAAAGCACAAGTACAAGTTCAACCTCTTCGTCGATGAAGCCCACTCTGTTGGCGGTGTCGGCCCCCGCGGCCGTGGTGTGTGCGATTACTTTGGCATTGACCCTAGCGAAGTCGACATTCTCATGGGTACTTTGACCAAGTCTTTCGGCGCAAACGGTGGATACATCGCTGCTGAGAAACCCATCATTGACAAACTGCGCACCTCGAACGCCGCTATGCTCTTCGCTGAATCGCCTGCTCCCCCTGTCCTCATGCAGATTTCGTCTGCGCTTCGCATCATTGATGGATCTATTGTACCCGGCCAAGGTGAAGAGAGACTTCAGCGTCTGTGCTTCAACTCCCGGTACCTCCGCCTTGGTTTGAAGCGTCTGGGCTTTATCGTTTACGGCCACGACGATTCTCCCATTATCCCGGTCATGCTGTACAACCCCGCCAAGATGCCCGCTTTCTCGCACGAAATGCTCAAACGCAAGATCTCTGTCGTTGTCGTCGGATACCCAGCTACACCTCTCGTCTCATCGCGAGCCCGTTTCTGTGTCAGCGCTGCGCACACCAAGGATGACTTGGACCGCATGCTTACGGCTTGCGACCAGGTTGGCGATTTGCTCCAACTCAAGTTCAGCAGTGGTGTCGCGGGAGGACTGGAACCCGAGGAGGTGGGCAATGGGATGACGTTGGAGAAGAAGGCTGAGGGAGCAAAGAAGGAGGAGATTAAGGCGCCGAGGTGGAAGATTGAAGATGTGCTCAAGAGGACTGTTGATGATGTACAAGGGCAGCTGCGGTAAAGACCCATATTACATGTGTTTTTTTACGTACTCATATGCAGCCTGTTGTCTTGTATCATCTTTGTCATCATCATCATCATCATCATCATTGCCATGTCTTTTGGCACCTTTCTGGAGCATATTGGCGCGGCTATGTGGGCATTGTTCTTCTTCCTCATGTCTTGTATCATATTCAATACCCTCGCTGTTTTTTTGGTTCAAACTTTACACTTTAACCACTTTATTCAAGTCACGAATATCTTGCATTGTCTTACGATTCGTCTTCTATTCTGCTTCCACTGCTTGATTGGTGCAAGAAGAGCACGGCATGTCTTAGTCTCGTGGTTCAGCGACCTGGAATTCCCTCGTACGAGGGAAAGATTATTGCCGGTGTAATTTCGGGTGATCCCGACAGAGTTGCATTGACCAATATACAGCCCCTTGGACAGGTAGTCAAAGGTTCACTAGATGAAGCAGACGTACTGGATTTATGCTTCTGGTACGGCGCGAACTTTCCGGACTTTTTTTTTTTTACGACGACGACGACGACGACGACGACGGAGCGCTGAGTCCAGATTGGAAACACAGCTATTGAAACAACTAGGTGGGCTTGATTCATCAGGGATGTTAGTTTTAGATCACTGCGACACGAGGTACTCATGTCATAGCCAATGACGAATATGTAATACAATTTGATAAAAATATACCAAAGGTGCTCCAAGAGCGAGAGAAGCATAACAAGATATGGTTCTGTCCCAGACGAAAAAAATGGTAAGCAACACAGCGAGTCGAAGAAGCACACCTGCTAATTTGTATTGCCAAAAGAGCTATGCACTCATAAAGAAGGCAAAAGTACTGGGAAGGAAAGCGAAAGAGAAGAGCATGCACATCGCCTAGTACCTGTCGTAACCTCCACGTCGCGCACCCAAAGGTATCCTAACATTCCACTCATCATCCTCGTACTGAAACGCCGAGTTCCTCCTGCCTTTAACATTCGGACGCCACATAGAATTCCTCATGTCCTTCTTCTCTTGGATGTGCTCAAGAGCCGCGTGGATATCGCTTAGTCCGAATCGCTCATCAGGCTCGTCTCGATCAGCGATTGCGCGTGGTTGAGGGAAGCTGTAGCCTGAATCATGCCTATCCGTGAGGTATGATGAGGCACGGATCGGCTTGGGTGGGAAGTGGGATTGCGCAAACGGGTTGTGAATATTGGGTGGGTTGGCCATTGTGGCGCGACGCTGTTGCATGTTTGGACGAGCAGTGTGAGCTGGTTGATCATCAAAGTATGACTCCGGCTCGCGCATGTGTGCGTGGGGACTTCGTGGGTATGGGTAGTCGTCTACTGGTTCCCGGGGATATTTAACCTTCTGTGCCCGACGATGATCGACATCATCATCATCATCATCGTCGTAAATGTGGCTAGGGTGCGGCTGACTGGAGATAGTTTGTGGCTTCGCTCCGTAAGAGAACTTGCGACGACTATCAACATGCTTGAAGGAGGGGCGACGGCGGATAGGCCTGTCCCAGATACCATCATCCGCTGTGTGGGCAGACGCAGTGTTCATGGATCCCGTGCCGCTTCCACGCTCTGATGACGAATGAGAGCTCTCGCGAGCCATATCGTGCGCGTTGTAGTGTTTTCCTGGTTTCCTCTTCTCATTGTGAAGCTCAACTGGTGAGGCATTGCCATTGCGTGTCCGGTCTTCCATGACGTTGTTGGTGCTCAGGTGGATGTGAACAGGCGGCATCTGACCCGGGATCTTATTATGAGAGGATCGAGAAGAGTCTGTAGTGAAAGACTCTGGACTGAGCCTGCCATTGCGTGGGTCCTCAACCATATCGGAAGCTCGGCGTCGTCTTGAAGACTTCGCAATATAAGGTTCGACGTTGCTTCTGCGTGCACGGCTTCGGCTACGACTTCTGCTAAGACCTCTAGCTTTGCTGAGTGATCGGCTTTTCTGGTTCTTCTTCGACCTCTTGTTATGTCGCTGGCGCCCACGCTCGCGTCGGCCTGCATCTCCATGATCGTCATGCTTGATGTTGACGAAGCTCGAATCTTCAGACTCATCTTCCCACAACGAGTCGCTATCAGACGATGAGCTGGAAGCATCGCGACGGCTCTTGTGCCTTGACTTCTGATGTCGGAGGTGATCAGGGTTCAAAATCTCTATGGGTCGGTTATGGCCCTGTCTCATCCCAGGTGGTGGCATATGCATCTGGTCTGGAAATGCACCAGGCATGGGATGTTGGCTATGAGGTGGATGATGAGGTTGCAGATGTTGCATGGGTGCTCCTTGAATAGGGCGGCCACTCCCATCAAGCACGGGTGGGCGTTGGGGACCTTGCATATCATGCGGTCCAGGCATGCCCGGGGGTGGCGGTGGCGGAGGAGGATTTCCATGACCTGGCACGGCCTGGCCTGGATGGTCCTGAGGACGTGGCGGTTGGAATTGTTGACTCTGTCCTACGTTATGCTGAGATGGATGTTGTTGCGATTGCTGCTGTTGCTGTTGCTGATGGGGAGGTCTTTGCTGCTGTGGCATATTCTGACCAGGGTTGACAGGATTCCCAAACTGTTGACCTTGTGGATGACCGGGCTGCTTGACCTTGTTGGGATCCTGAACTCCACTTCCGGTCGAGATCTTCGTTTGCATAGGCTCTTGGAACCCCGAAGGTTCGGTCACCAGGATGATATCTACACGTACGAGCTGACGCTCTCGACGGTTGACTGAACGCCATTTGTTTACAACGCTTGCGATCCTATACTGAATGGATCGGTTGTACTTCGCGAGCTCAATGTTCTGGTCCTCGACGAGCTCGTTGATGATCCGGCGACAGTTTGGCGAGGGGATCTCGTTCATGTTTTTCTTGACATTTCCATGGTTTCGACGGAACTTGTGCAATTCGCTTTGGAGCTCATGGAGTGCAACATGTTGTTGCTCAGGCTCGGCATCCTCCCAGGACGTGGCGTTCCTCGGCTTCTCTAGGATGAAAGAAGCTAATTGCGGGTCGTAATTGGCGTATGGATTCAGTGGTTGCTGTTGTGGCTGAACTGGTCTTTGCTGAGCTTGTCCAAAGCTTTGCTGTTGTCCTGTCGGAACTTGTCGTTGCTGGCCAACATTCTGATGTTGTTGAGGTACCTGACCTTGGTAATGTGCCTGCTGTGGAGTCGCCATCGGATGATTCATGAAGGCCACTGAACGTAATGTCCCAGTCGGGAAAGTTTAACCGATAGCTGGATGCTCAAGTACGAGAAACTCCGTTGTTAGTTTTCAAAAAAGGATATATAACGGGATGAAGACACGGGAAGTGAATGACAGGGCGAGCTTAAGGATCAAAGGCAGAACCAGGAGGACTTGACCGAAGATATAGATCGAGCATTCTGGCTGTCACACTCCAGGATGCTCACTCTTGATCTATACCCACAGCAGTAGTAACACCGTGTTGATGCAACCGGAGTTAGGGGTCCTTCTCAGAGTACAACGTTCATGTCTAGTACTTTCCCGCAGGGTATATATGAAACAAGAGTTGATTGGTCGTCTTGTAGGGCGCTCGCAAGCCCCATTATGAGATGGAAGCAGAGCGCTCACCGGTCTAAGCCACCAGGCTGAAAAGAAACAAGCAAATAGCCCCGCCCTCTTGCGTGAACGCGCAGCATAGCTTTGCTTGCTATATGTCTTTGAGCCTCAAAGTGACCGGACCAAGTACGAATCATCCAAAACATGCATATACGCGACGCGCATGTAGGTTGAAGGACCGTTAGCGGCTGCCTGTTATTGCACGCAGCCTGATGATGGTGGTGCATGAACAAGGTCGTACATGCATTACAGCTGCAGCATTTGAAGCGATCCGTGGATGGTAGATATGCGATTGCTTTTTTCCCTTGCTCGTCGTTGAGCTGGAAACATGAAGTCGTCTGAAGTGTGGGAGACATTGACAGTGACAGCGCGCGCGAAGAAGCCAGGACCGATCGACAACGCTAACGGAGCGTCATAACCCCACTTTTGGTCCATGCACCGTTCACCACACCCTTCCGCTTGAAGGCCAGGCAGAAGAAGGCAACTGACCACAACAAGCCACCATCCCAAGTTGCACGGTAGATATCAGGATCGTTTGCTTCAGTACTCGCTAGTGATCACCAAGAGAATGTCTGCTGACGCCCAGTCTATTTGCTTGCCCTTGGTCCCGCTCGGCAGCGCTTCCAACCAACAGTGGCACGTCGCAGTAACAACCCGCTGGTTGCACAGAAGTCCTTCGATCGTTGGTTCTTTGTACCTGGTGTTATAGAGGCAGATTCTTTCTCTGCGTCTGGACGTATTCCACTCAGCCCCGCTTGCATCACTATCGTTTATGTCAACCATTTCATCACGTCACATTCGGTGTATCGCAATACTATTACATCATTACAACCGATGCTACCTCAGATATTATCCGGATTATATGAGTTTGAGATGGCTCCGCAGCGCGGCTCAGCATGAGTTCGCGCGGCGCCGATCTACTGCACGTTGTTTTGCTGTCGTTCCTTCAACTGAAGTTCGACGCCCCTCCATGCATCTCGCTACGCCCTCCAACCTTCAGCTTCCTACTCAACCAATGCCCTCTCTACTGGAAGTTCGCGGACAATATCAAATCCGGAGGCCCTATCGAACACACCGGACGCATCCTGTATGACATGCATATCGGCCGCTGGATGACATTTTCGACATCCAGCCTTATGCACGCCTGCGTTGAAACACCACAACCGTGCTCAGGAATGATTTCCAATAGGTGAAAACTACTGCAACTCCTGCAAGGAGTCGCGATAATTATACATTCCCTTCTCGCTCGATAAGATTTGCTCACCGGATGCATTATTATCATAACTACCTCAATATCAGCCTCGGACCGGGTTCGTCGGCTTGTGTCATTTGCCTTGAGTTTTCGATGACCAACATCAAGTCGCCGATCCGGACTATCAATCACTTAGATGTTGTTCTGATAGAATTCCAACGTGTCGCAAAGTGCAACTCCAATGTGGATGCGACATCCTGCCGCCCTAAAATTTTATAGGCTGGCTGATTAACGAGATCAAACGTGGATCAGAACTCTAGACATTGCGACTGGCATATGCCACTCAAGATCTGGATCACGCGGCACTTCTTGGGTTTGACATCTCGTCGGCACGATCTGCGGGTACTTGCATGCATGAGACACGGGCGAATATCACGGCTTGTCTACCCACCCCGCACCACGCAGCCTTCCACCAGCTTGTTAGCGTTGCCTTGACCGCCAGATAGATCCTTCAACAGCCAAGCTCCAACATCCAGCAGGAAACGGCAGGAGTAATGATGGCGTTACATTACTAGGCGACCTTATTCACCCTTTTGGGCTTACGCCACAAGGCAGTGGCCACTTTCTTGCGATCAATACCGAGTGTTCCGATAAGACGAGTTTGAGATGACTTGTCAATGATCTGGAACAGGTTTCCTGACGAGATGATCTCTCCCGCGATATGCAATGTATGCGCGGACGTGTCATCGAAAGTTGCGCAACAACCCTCGCAGAACCTCGTCAACACACAACGGCCAGCTAATTGGCTTTCATCTCGCTACTATCTACTTGCTTTAGTTACGTTCATGCACCACGCAATTACGCAACATCACAAAGGTAAATGCGCGGATAATTTTCGCCATCCAGACATGATCACCAAACAGTGATACATGCTGCCTAAATTGCGTAGCAAGTAGTACATAACGACAAGCTTAAGCAAGCTATGGCTCTTGCGATACCTTATTCCCCGTCGCAGGCGAACTTACATGTGAAGCCTATCACTTGAATCTGATAGTGCGAGCTCCCCACTTCTTTTCCGCTTCACACAGTTCGAAAACATCTTCCCAAGACTCGCCAATATCGACCTCATCCTTGAATACCTTCATCCAATCATTGTCAACTTCCACCTCACTACTGACGATCTTGATGCCTACTTCCTCGGCAATCGTCCGAATATCTTCGGCGACCTGCTCCGCACTTTCGTACTCGCCCTTCCAGGCCTTGAGCAAGACACTCCCGAGCCTAGCTTCTTCCAACACTTGGAGCTGGTCGCGCCAATCTGCCGCTTCTTCCGGTGGGCCACCTTCAAGCGGGGAGAACGGACCCCATTCTATCCCCTGTTTCCAGGGCGCTTCTGCTGTGAAGGAGTTGGTCATAAGTTCCCAGACAAATTTAGCCCAGTAAAACCTTGTCATCAGACTATGGTCAGCAGAATGTCACGTTTGCAGTATGACTGGAACGAAAGTGACAGATACTTACAGAGGTTCCTGATGATATCCACCCTCCCGAGGAAATGCGGTGTTGAAACAATCATCGTAAAACACACTGCCATCTCCCGCCCATTCTCCTTCACTCCAGTAATAGAGGGCTTCCTCTGGAGTCTCTTCACTATCATCGTCACTGCCTTCATCCGAGGGCTCTGGCTCTCGGGTGCTGCCAGCAACCCATGCCTGGTAGTTTCGCTCCCGTCTCTCGTCTCGCTTCGACTCTTTCTGAGCGTCTCTCAGCATATCAGCGAAGAGCTCGGGGCCTTCAACGCTAATGAAACCAGTAATGGCCAGTGAATAGTCGGTACGCAACCATACATTACTCGATGAAAAGAACGTCAAGTATACAGAGCGGGAGTTGAGGTGGCTAAGGGCGGATAGTGTTTGCAAAGCCCAACGATAGTATAAGGCCAACATGATTCGGTCTTCTCTCGAAGGCGTTTCTGGGAAAGGCACGGTCATGACAGGAAGATCACCCCAGTGTGGTCCTGGATCAAGTCTCTCAACGATTACCCCGTTACCGGCCTCGCTATTCAGAAGGCTAATACACCTATCGTCACGTTAGCGATAACAATATGCTGGCCCTACGCTACATATACCGAACGATCCTCGGGTGGTCTTCTCCAAGAAGCTCATACGCTTTTCGCAGCCGTTTGCTCGCCCATTCTGGTCTAGCCCTTGGATCCGGTATATCTGATCTGTCTTTGGGCTCGTAGATGATGATACTATTCTCATTCTTATGAAGGACCGCGTAAGCCTTCTCCCAGAACTCACAGTACCAAGTTTCTGTATCATCCGGCGCTGTGCTTGCTTCGATTGGCGTGGGTATTCCGTAGACGTTGTTAGGCGGCATCGTGTATTCGTCAACCGGGCGCTGAGGTGGTGGCCCGACAAAGTAAATGATCACCGTCTCCAGGTAGTCGATCACTGAATGCCAATCCATTCCAAGAGGCGAAGGACTGATGCTGAGGATTTAGAAGCACGATACGTTGTGCGATATATACATGCGTTATGTGTTCCTGATCGAGGTTAGCGCAACCATGTCTCGTGAACCGTGCCAATGGTGCCTGCTTGGCAATCCATGTCTAACAAAGACCGCAAGGCACCAACCCAGATACTTGCAATCGATCTTTTATAACAGGTAATTTTTATCATCAATACGAGATTTCCAAAAGTACTTCGCATCTTTCCCGTCATACCCTTCCACCCAGAAATCCACAGCAACAACAGGAACACCAGTCCTCGAACCCCATTCCTCGAACCTTTCAAAGAATATCTTCGTATGCTCTGGCACCTCATCGACATCATCTTCTGTACCAATGCTTTCCACACAATATCCATCTTCACCACGCTCGATCATAACATTATACATACACGCCATCGATTGGCGGATTTTATTTCCGATAAAAGGATTAGCGGCCCATGCATGTAACTGGGCCACTACATTGCGGACGAGCAGCGGACTGCCGTCTGGTGTTTTGATCATGAAGTAGTCCCAGGCATCTTCTAGGTTCTCGACTCCCTCCGCTGGCTCTTCAAAACCGTCGTTCCACTGGCTCTCGTATGCACCGAGGCACTCGGCTGTACAAAGGAGTTTGGAGGCGCCTGTTGTTGTTGCTGGTTCTAGGGCGATGGGATGGGTGGAAAGGGAGGCTCCGAAGGAAGAAGACGTATCATCGTTCGAATCGACGACTTGGACGCTTGATATACCGGATGTGTCCAGGATGGACCAATAGAGGCGGTCGAATGCGTCAGTGTTCATTATCTGAACGTGTTGGTGATTGTCGGGTTCTGAGAGAGACATTGCAGGTGATGCGAGGTTGCAAAATTATGGGATTGCATTGTAATCTTGTGGGACAAGGTAAGATATAAATACAGTACTGCGCATGCGAGAAACCTCAACCACAAGCGCCAAAGAGAGTCCAGGCAGCAGTTGGAGCTAACGGCGTCTGCTATTCTTCACTAGCTAAGCGAGGTAAGGCGTATGACTAGCATTGAACCTAGCAGGATGCACACGTATAGAAGCATAATGCAAAGATTCAAAGTCGCTATCTGCCCATACCATGTGCAACTCTTCCTACCTAGCCAGAAGTGCCAAAGGGAAGAGTATTAAAGCAGAGTAGAAGTATATCGAGAGGGATGCGTCATATGGCAAGATAAGGAAAGGATAGAATAAGTGCGAAATGCAGGCTTGGTGCTTTTCTTGGAATAAAGTTGTTGTGAAGACCTAGCCATATAAGAGAGTCGCTATCGCAGGTGAGACATGAAATACCTTCGACAAATACCCACACCCCCATCTCCATCCCAATTTCACCTCGCCGGCCCCTCCAAAGTATTCCGTCGACTAGGCATCCTCGGATCCCTTTTCCCCATCGTAACCTCCAGCGCCTGCACTAAAGCCGTCCCATCATACCTAACAAAGTTCTCACCCTCATGTTTCTTCCCATACACCCTTATAGGCTCAATCCCGATACTCTTCAACTCTTCTCTATCCACCGTCGGAGTCCCCGGCCCCTGCAGATGAATGATATGCGTCACGTACTTCTTATACTGACCCTTATCAAGAGGTCCAAATACATTCTTCGACTCCTCACATGCCTTTGCGATGGCGGCTATGAAGTCAAGGGCGGAGTAGGGGGTTGACGACGGCCCGGTTTCACGATCGATGGTCGAGTTTAGAATCAAGATTTTGTAGCGGATCGCAGGCTTGGAGATGGCTTCGCCGATACCTTTGAGGACTAGTGAGGGGATGATGGATGTGTACAGTGAGCCGATACTGTATATCACAGCTTGTGCGTCATTCAAAGCATTCAGCACCGTCGGATTAGCGGAAAGACGGATCTCCTGACCGTAGGGATTGATGTACCACAGCCGTTCTATTCTTGCTGGTAGTTCCTCTTCATCGGCTTTGGAGAAGGTGATGTACTGTTTTCGGAGGGTCGGTAAGGAACCGGGTAGGTTGGCATCTTCGATTCGGTCGTGCTGTTCTGTTTCGTCGATTGTTGGGGTGTCTGAGCCGGGTACTAGGGCTGTTGAGATGGAGGGGTGAGAAATAGAATTCTGGCCGGTGATGGTGTCGCCGTTTGCGAGGCTGACGGAGATGTGGTGGGTGAAGTTGGTGTTGATCGCAGGGAGGACTGAGGTGTGGCTGGGTACGGAACAGATGCTTGAGAGTAGGTAGATGGCAGACTCGAATGATCCAGTGAAGAGACGGGCACTATTGAAATCAGCTTTTGAGGGGTACGATGTAGATAAGTAAGCGGAGGAGAATACGCGATAACTGTAATGAGAGAAACGACGGCACCAAAAATCGATATAGTATCTAGACGGAAGCAATCACGATGCTATAGCGCAGCAAGTGTACATACCCTGTCAGAAACAAATTGCCAATACTTGCACCCGAGAAGTCAAAACTGGATGATGGTCGACGGCGCTTGACTATCTCATACGCCACAACGTTCAGTATTGATCGTACTAGCTCTTTCTTTGCCGTTGAGATATTTGTCCAAAGCGCATGTTCAGCCTCTATGATTTGTAGCCATTCTTCTCGAGCCGAGGAACGTTCCTTGGGCAATCTATGGTTGAAGAAGGTCTTGATAGCTGCTTTCTCGCTATCGTCGTGATCGGGGTCATCCGGAATCAGGCGCACAAGACGACCTAGGCGGATTAACATAAATCATCAATTCCCAGTTGCTGTTCGCATACTTCGCACATCACCGATACCTGCCAATGTTAGTGTTGTTCTATTCCTGCTTCAAAGGACGCATACCTGGCCCTCCGAAAACGCGTATCAGCTCGGACGAGCTTCCGCCATTATCACTAATAGGGATAACATAGCTCAGCGGGCATTTCTTGTCTTCCCTAACTTTCTTGAACACATCGACTAGATTGTTTGCAGCGCTACCGCCTGAGAATACGACAATGCCTTTGGTTTTGAGGTTGCCGTTGGTCATTGGTGAAGCGAGCGTTAGGTTGTCGCCATTAGGCGAAAGGAAGTTCTCAGCAGACATGACAAGATATGTGGAATGTTAGGTGACCACATGGGTCGTGGTGCGGCCTTATCAAGTCATGCTGATGTTGACAGAGTGTTCGCAAACGTGGACGTTCTTTCAGAAGCTCAGAATAGCAGAGGCAAGAGTCATGCACTAATCCCCGGGGCCGTTAGGGTAGTGTCACGCGTTACTCGACTAGGCAATATCTCGCATTCGAAGCACACTTTGATATGGATTGAGCGATTATGTTTTTGCATTTGTAGTTGATTTTCGAACTCGATTTGTACAGAACGAGTTGCCAGCTAAGATCTGGTAGAAGGCTGCTTTCACCGCGCACCCAACCCCCACTGATATTGCATCCCCAAATCCAGCCTCATCATGAACACTGGAAGTAGCGCATGATAGTCCAAGTCCCGTTGTGATGATGTTGACGCTCTAAACGTATGTGCGCGCCCAATTCCAAGCCTCGTCTACCCCTCACACCACTGCCTCTTGCCATTGCTGGTGACAGTATCTTAAGAGGTACCGGTGGCCTCCTCGCGCTCCTTCCTTCGTGCTCGCTTCTCGAGTAGGGCGTCTCGTCGGTCGGCCAGGAGTCGGAATTGTCGTTGCTCAACACCGGTGAGCCAGTAGCCGAAGCTGCCACCGACGCCGGCGTAGATGGGATAGACCCAGAGAGACTCCTTGTTGAAGAGCGGGCGCATCTCAATGCCCAGCTGCCATAGCCTCGCGGCAACGCCTGATAAATGTCGTCAGTAGAGTCCTTGGTGGGCATGCGCAGGCGGTTGGGGACGTACCGAGCCCGCTCCAGAAGAGGACCTTGTGGACCATGTTGAATCGGGGTGATGGTGGTAATTGTGTTGGTAAAGAAAACTCCTCGCGTGCAGTAGCAGCAATTGGGTCCGGTGTCGTGAGGGCGCGTTGTCACCGCTGTACTGGGATTATGGCTTGCGATGCTCCATTGTCAAGCTCCGAAATGCCAAGAACGAACCACCCACGCGGCTGCGGAAGTAACGTCCGCCGACCTCACCTCCGCAACAATGCCGACTTCGCGACTCTCCTGATATTGTCTCTCACTTTTTACTTTTCGCCCTACAATTCATTCGTTACCACCACCCTGGGCTGGTGCAGCAGACTAGGCCCCCCTACGTCATTTGCTGCTCTTCAGCCGCTCCCACCCCCGACTTCATGCGCCTGACCGCGACACAAACGATACCAAAACGACGGATCGCAACCACGACTAATCAACAATGGCGGAAGTCAGTCGCAAGCGCGCGCCAGAGGGCGATGGCGCTGCGACTACGCGCAAGAAGTTGAGGCCCTCAGAGCTCCCGCTTTCGCAAGCGAAACGATCAGCTATCGACAGCCTCGTGCACATGTTTCGCAAGAAGGGCGCATACGACAATATACGCAGAGACCTGATGAAGCAATACGTCTCAGGAGTACGTGGTAAAGGACTTACTTTTATGATACAAAAGGCTAATATTCGCGCTCCAGCCTGCTAAAGATGAACTTCAAGCCGCGCTCAAGGAGCTCGTCGACCGCGAAACCGATCGTAACCCCTCTCTGCTGTCCAAGGATCCCCGCATGGCGACCACACTCATAGAAGGCGCTGGTGAGCGCAGCGACATATATGGCAACATCATGAACACGGTCAATACTCTGCTGGATAAACTGATCGACGAGCATGGCGTGCCAAAGATGCGCGAGTACCGCGCTCAGGAGATTGGTGCTGAAGCAGCTGCTGAAGAGGAAAAGCGAGGCAGCAAGAGCGAAGAACAGTGGGCTCAAGAGGCAGAAGCTCGTAGAGAGGAGCGTGAGGCTAGGCGGGAAAAGGAGCTTGAGGCAGAGCGCGAGAGAGAGCGTGAGGAGAGAGCGAAGAAGGAAGAACGCAAGCGCCGCGAGAAGGAAGAGGATGAAGCTCGTGAGAGAGCGCGGCAAGAGGAGAAGGAGCGGAGGCGCAAAGAGCGGGAAGAGCGCGACAAGGAAGACGAGGAGCGCCGCCGCAAGGATCGAGAGAGAATTGACAAAGAGAGAGAAGAGGAGCGTCTACGCCTCAAAAAGGAGCGAGAAGAGCATGAGAAGAGCCGCGAAGCCCGTCTCAAGAAGATCCGCGAAGAAGATGCCGAACGAGAGCGCCGCATACAAGAAGAGCTAGATCGGGATCGAGGTGGACGCCATCGTGGTCGTCGTGGCCGCAGCAGGACCCCCGATCGTGATAGCGATCGTCGCGGACGAGACAGGAGTAGGCGAAGAAGCAGGACAAGGACTAGGTCACCCGAACGCCGCCCATCCATCAAGCCTGAAGACATCAAAGTGGACGATGATTTGGCATTACAGCTTCTACTACAGGAAAGCGAGCAAATGAAGAAATCACGACAGCGACCTGTGCTCGAACGGTCAGAATCGCTGGAACCTCCTATGCGAAAAGCGCAACCTCCCAAGTCGCTTGTTCCCCGTGATCCCATCGCTGCTCGACTGGCGAGGCTCGAAAGCAAACCCGCTTCCCCCTCGCAAAGGTCACCCAGCAAGGACGCCAAATCTTCTGCTCCAGGTACGGGAGCGAAGGGTGAAGATGTCACCATGACGGACGCTCCATCAGCAACAGAATCAGCCAAAGCTAGATGGGACAAACCGCCTGAGCTGCCCTCGAAGCGAGGTCGATCAAGATCACGTAGTGTCGCGCGAAGCATAAGGAAGCGCAGCAGAACGCGCTCGCACTCACGCGGCAGCCGTCTCGACAGAGACCGACGCTCTTCCCGCTACGAGGACGACCGCCGGTCCCGCCGAGACGACGACAGACACTCCTACAGACCCTCGCGTCGAGACAGTCGTAGCCGCTCCCGAGAAACCCACACTTCCCGTCGTAAATCCCGCTACGGAACACGCAGTCCGTCACCGCCTCGCGAGGAGCGTCGCAGAGATCGTTCTCGTTCTCGAGGTGGCAGACGGGAGCGTGAGAGGTCTCCTGCACCTGTACGTCGCCGTCACCGTTCTCGCTCTAGGAGCCCGGAGAATATCGATCGATACGTACCTGGCGGTGGTGGCGGTGCTGCGAGTGGTAGTGCACGGAAGCCGCGCGAAGATAGTCGGGACCGTGACCGCAAGCGCGAGCGCGATGACAGTCGGCCTCCGAGAAAGAGAGATGATAGTCGGGATCGAGGCGCGCGCAGTTACAGGGCGAGAGACTATGATCGATGGGATGGGGGCAGGGATAGGGGAGTAGGAGACTGGAGAGTGATTGCTACCAACCTGGTGGTGCCCCTGCTGCTGGTGCTGATGGTGAGGATAAAGAGAGAGAACGCGATCGTAAGCCTAGAGAGAGGAGTCGTGAGAGGAGCCCGGCTCGCGAGAGGAGCAGGGATAGGGGACGTGATGATCGGGAGAGGCGCAGACGGAGGAGCCGCACACGGAGCCGTAGCCGGGATCGACGTCGCTGATAGAAGTCGTGGGCTTCTTCTCTTCTTCTAAAATGTATGATTATTGGTAGGTGTTTAATGCATGATAGACAGCGAGCTGATCAAGTATGCCTTGTTGGTGAGGCTGCCGTTGGAATACACATGTGTGACGGATCGCTCTTACTCTTTTCAACATGACAAAGTCGAAAAGAAGCAGTGGCGAGCCGCGTGGCTTTCAAGGGTTTCCATGACACAGATTTTACAAAATGGTCTCTTCTCTTTCTTTTCTCTCATTTGCGCCCTCACTTTGTCGCTTCGTGCCCATTTTTTGGTCGTGATCGTGGTTGCCCGTCGTCGATCCTCACAAGGCTACTCATGTGTTAGCAGCATGGCTGCCTCAGCCTTGTGCTAAGCCTCCACGAATGTAGCAGCACTACACCGCCAAAGGTGCATTGAATGCTCAGCCTCTTCGTAGCAACTTGCCCAATATCAATTCCGCATGTTCGCAGTGTCCACTGTAGGTTTGGTTTCTGCTCTTCGTCTCGTTGCCGATATACGCTCTCACTATCACCGCAATCATGGAGAACATTTATTGGGAAGATAAAGTGCCACGGAAAGTTCTATGCGGGATCGATGCATGGCGAAGCACAAGCATTATGATTGAGCTCGATTTACGAGGTGTCGAACATCCCAGGTCGTTTCCGCTGTCGGAGGTTCCGCCAGACATGTTGCAAGCCCAAAAGCCCGAAACTGCACAAATTTTCCTCTGCGCCTCATCCAAAGACGCAGAGTCAATATTTCGATGTCGCCAGATCAAATTTTCCGCGGAATATGTTCATCGAGCAATACCCTACGAACGCGGCTTCCGGTACAACAACGCACCCAGCGGCAACGGAGAGCTACTTATGGCATACGACCCACGATGCCTTTTTGATTGGCTTTCCATTCAGCCTGGCCATGTTTCCAAGCTACTCTTACCAGAGTACGTTACGATACAATCACACACATGCGCGGATCAGCTTGTCGTACACAGTCAGGTACATATGGCCCGAGGTGCAGAGAATCGCTACATGGCTGTTTGGTTCGACTTTCGAGAAGAATACAGAGTGGATGGTGAAATTCGGATCGGTAATCTCGATGCAACTGGTATCCCAGCCTCAACCTGGCAACGACAATTTGCCTGTCGGCTCCAGGGGTTACTCAACGAGCCTATACGCCATCCCGTGGATTTTCCTAGTTTCCTGCTACTGGATCTTCTGAGAGCTGATATCACGGTATTCGAGAAGTTCGTTTCGAGAGACCAAGAACTGTTACCTGTAACCACTCACACCCCTGTCGTCACGGGATACCTTGAGAAGCGTCTTGATGGTTTCGAACTCACTCAATCGATGATACGAAAAGCCGAGGGTATACACAGACTCGTCACCCATATGAGTAGCTCACGCGCTCTGGACCTTATCGCAAATGAATGTCGCTCGAGCTATGAACAAACACTCTATCACCTTGAAATAGGAAGTTCGCTTCTCATCTTAGATCTCAGAAGACAAGATGAATTGGCCGACAAACGCCTAGAGGTACATAACCGATTCGCGCAACTACGACAAACTTCAAGTCTATCAGCTTTGACATACTGTGCCGCATTCTTTCTGCCCTTCTCACTCGCTGGCACATTTCTGAGTATGCAAAGCCGAGCTAAGGACCTACACTTGATCGTATATGACTTTTGTGGCATTACCTCGGTTTTCTGCACCCTCGCTGCGCTCATTTACTTTCTCTCCTGGGCATGGTCCCGTTGGAAAACGGGTCGTCTTAACCGACGGCTAGAGAACGGCGAGGTTCAACTATATCTTGTAGGGAAATCTCGGTCTCCGAAGATCTTCTTTGGTGTTGCATGGATATTGATGGTGGGCTCGTTTCTTGTTGGTATGCTGTACAATCTCCGACTCGGTCTAATCATGCTTGCCGCACCCACCACTCTCATTGTGCTCCTCGCACACTGTGCCTTAGCCATTTACTTCACGATGGATTTTTGTGTTATGGTACAATTAGCTCAATCTATGGGAGTGTCAAAGGCGGAACTGCAGGTCGAAGGATGCAATGCTGGCGAGGCAAACATGGCATAAACACACCAGCGAGAACTTTGGTGTAGAAATGGAGAGTGGCTCAATGTACACTTGAGGTCAAACATCCTGTTCAATCTGCTGTCATCAACCTTTTTGTTGTCCTCCCCTCATTATCAGACAAAACATCCACCTCATCCACCTTCGTCTCAGCAACCCTACCTTGTTCTTCCACCGGCACACCCTCATCATCGACTTCCAACAGTACGATTCTCTTCCCTTTCTTCCAACACAATCTTACTTTCTTCTGTCTTTTCGGCGAACAAGAACCAGGATCGGATGTGAAAGAGGGAGAAGGAGATGTCGGTCTGCTTGAATTACGCAGTACGCTTCTAAACGGAAGACTTCTTACCTTGTTGAGCGGAGACATCGGTTCGCTCATTGCATCTATTTCTTCGACAATAGGCGTCGCAGGTCCATCAATTACGTTCATAACCGCATATCCGAACTCAGCTTCCCATTTCTCCTTTTGCCAATCTCGCACGCAATCTGGTTCGATTTTCAGCCATTTCTCTCCTGGGTCTATGCCGTCGGGTGTTGGCATGCCTTCTACGTGCCAGTATAAAAGGTACTTGTATGTCCCTGCATTCCACCTCAAACCAGTGCAATCTTCGACCAGCACACCAGTTGTTACGTACCATTCGATGTTCTTCTCCTTCAGCGCGGCAAAGGCATCTGGATCACCGATGCGGTATCGTCGATCTGGTAACTTATACCGGAATAGCAGGGGTTGAGGTTCATCGAGAGATTTAGCGCGGTTGCGGATGGAGGATGGCAAGGTCTTTAAAAGCTTTTGAGTAGATGGTTGGTGAGCTGGATCATGCGGGATGCGGGAGTCGGCTTGAACCCTGACTAGGCCCTTGACTGTCTCCTCCGTGCTCGCATCTAGTGCGTGTCGCCGTGCTCGTAGCTCGGGACGAGTAGGGAGTTCACATTCCCCTGATTCTAATATCTCTAGCGCACTGTCTCCTCTTCGAAGTGCTATCAATGCACTCGCTGGAAGGCCCAAAATGAACGTGCCAGTTGGACTTATATCTTTAATGACAGGGCCGTGATTCAGGTCAGTATCAGTCAGAATGTCTGGAAAGGGTTCGGAAACATCAGGACTGACTCCGCATACCACGAGCTTCTCAGCGACGGTACGCATAGTCTGGTCAACTGCTCCGAACGCTCCCAATGATCCACTTTTGCTTAAAGACAATGGGAAACGACAAGGTACAACCAACTTGCAGCAACACAATGAGAATTGGCGCAATAGGTAAGCTTGTGGTGGAGTATTGGGACATCAGCGAGATTTTATTTAGTTACATGGTTGCTGTAAAGTATGGGGATGGAGACAGAAGCCCTAGCTGGCTGACGCCGAAGATTGTGGTCTTCACGCATCAAGCCTTGATTTTTTTTAAAAGAGATACAACGGCCATGTGATGCAATTTCAGCGAATCGGAACTGGCGTTGATACTAGCCTAACTCCTGGCATGAGGATGTTTCGGCAATAGCCCTTCGTGGTATCGTGGCGTGTGACCATGCCAAGCCGAGATTCAAATGTAATGACCGTGATGAGCCAAATTCCCTTCAAGGTCTCTTCAAATCAACTCCCAGAGATTGACATAATCCGTCGGATATGCCTTTTTGATGAATGACTTGGCTTACCTCAGTAAGATGAGGTTGGTAGTGCAGAAGCAGGGACGCGTGCCAAGACGGATAAGCGAGACGATCCCGGTGAGACGTACAGTGGCGTGCAGGCTTCGGGACAGCCTAGTCACGTATCTTCTCCATTGCGCGTGCGACGCCTTCCGTATTGGCTGACCGGCCTGCTGCCTTCCTTCGACGTCCTTCTCTTGACTGCCGGCCTATACACTCCTTCGCCTGCACCGGCCTGCGCCTTTCACCGTCTTTTTCTGCATACACCTTGCTTTCATCAACAAACTTTAACTAGCGCTGTGCCGTCATGTTCGTTCCGGGGAAACCCAAGATCAAAACGAGAACCGTCCTCGTGAAGAAAGCACCCGCCCCCACAGCGAACCCCTCACCATCACCGCACACAAGACCAGGCAACGGCACACGCAGCTATAGCGCATCAGGGCCGCCATCGAACCGATACCAGTCCACCCCTCGTTCACAAACAGCCGCACGGGAACCTGCGCGCAAGTCGGTATCCGTGTCGCGTGTCGACACTCGCAAGCGTAAAGGCACCGATACACCGCAATGGGCGAGCAGCGATGAGTCGAGTGATGATGAGGATAGTGATCGACTGGGCGTCAAGCGACGGAAGACACGGCCAGCGAGTACCAGCACTGAGCCTATGAGTCTGAACCGCGCACTCGAGCCGGACTTGAAGAGACGTATACGGATACAAGAACCAGATGCAAAGGCGAAATCGAACGGAAGTGTGAACGGGACATCGAATGGGACTGAAAACGGCGCCTCAGATGGCACATCGGATATGATGAAGATGGCGCAGGAAAACGCCGCCTTTAGAAAGAAGAAAGCTGTGTCGGGGAAGAGCACTTTAAAACACGGGTTCGAGATGACAAAAGATGATGGAGCGAAGGCCTACAAGTCCGCCTTCCCCGGTAGCGAAAAGAAGTTCGCCATCGAACTCCAATACCCAAGCCTATCACGACCCGAGAAATTCGAAGCTGTAGCCCGGAAAGAAGTAGACGAGGAATATAGTCCACTAGACGACATCTATTTCAGCATAGAAGAAATCATCCAGCACTACCTCCCACCCGATCTCGCCGCCGAGCTCTCGTCCGACGCCCTCGGCACCGTTCGTCTCCTCAAGCGCGCCGTAACAAAAGACGACCCAGAACTCTTCAAGCAAGAACTCGCCAAGTTTAACAAGCTGATCAAAGACCAATATGCCAACGGCACAATACCCCGGATTCTTGACGACATGCACGCCATTCCCCTCAGCCTCGTCAAACGCATCACAGCACAATCTTACAACCGCATCGTCTCCCCACACGCACACCGCCTACGCAAAGTCGAAGGAAAAGAAACCACCTACGGCGAACTCCTCACGCCTTTTGTTCACAAAATCTTCGCACAAACGGGGTTAAACAGTACGCATACGTTCGTCGACCTAGGTTCCGGCGTCGGCAACGTCGTCCTACAATCCGCGCTCCAAACGGGCGCCGAATCCTGGGGCATTGAAAAGATGAAACTGGCAGCCTCGCTCGGCTCGGAACAAGCCGCCGAGCTCAAAGCACGCAGCAAACTCTGGAACATTACCCTCGGCCGCATCGAGCTTATCGAAGGAGATTTCCTCGAAAGTCCGGAGATTGATGAAGTTTTGCGCAGGGCCGATGTTGTGCTGGTTAACAACAAGGTCTTTGGGGAGACGCTGAACAATTTGCTGCTGCAGAAGTTTTTGGACCTCAAACAGGGTTGTAAAGTTGTTAGTCTGGAGAGCTTTGGTGGCGGTGCGAAACAGGGGGTTAGGAATGAACAGAGCATTGCGGGATTGTTTGATGAGGAGAGGTTTGAGAGCGGGACTAATAGTGTTAGTTGGGCGGGGGAGAGTGTCGAATATTTCATTGCGGAGAAGGCGAGGTGAGGATCTTGGGGTACGTGTGTGGTTGATTTCGGATCTTTCTTTTTCCTTGGGAGATATATGTTGGAACGGTGGGGTTCAAGGGTTTGTATTATATGGGAAAGAGCCGGTGGTGCAACATGGGTCCTTGAAAAAGATTTCCTTGGATTACAACAAACTAAGTTGGACATGTAGCTTGGAAACGAGCGAGCGAGCGGGCAAGCAAACGGGCAAAGGCGGAACTAGTCAACACTTGAGCATAGCACACTTGGCGTTTGATTTAACATCAATACCCTTCTTATCTCCTTATGTAGCTATATCGAAATCAAAGCAAAATCAAAACGAATACCGAGTCAATCATGTGGATATTATCACTCCCGTTCCATGTGTCTACGTGGTGAACAGTTCATTTCATGTGTTTGGATTGTATCCAGGGTTCCACGCTCATCACATTAGTTCATCTATGCCAATCTTGTATACTCAGGAATTAATTGTTGTATTATATATATACCGAAAGATAGTAAAGAGCAATGATTCGCTCCATATATGTATGCCAGATTGCCCAGTCTCCATCATACCACCAACACCATCCATGCCATTTCCCGGAACCGTATTATCATAAGGAGTGTGTATCGGGTATCAATCAACCAATCTCAAAAGAAAAGGAGCGACATCGCTAGTGTACAAAAAAGATAGTAGTCGTTTAAAACGAAATGCAAAAGTCGTGTTCTCGTTACATATATACTCTTTTCGTCTCCCCATGTTTCATTTCTTCTCCATCCAGACATGCACATCTCCTCTAGAACAGGAAAGCCAAAGCCCCTACACCGGCTACAAAGCCTACAGCACCATTCTTAACAGCAGCACCACTCTGCACAGTCGGACTCTCGGTCGTGTCCCCACCATTACTACCACCAGTAGCAGTCGCCTGAATGGGATCCACAAAAGTATAACTCGTCATGGTACTTGGGCGGCCCTCGGAATCCGTCGTGGTAATCAACTTGATGGAACTCACAAGTCCGCCACCAGGTGTATATGTAGTCAAGAACGTGCTACCTGCCTCATCCGTCTCAGTTTGGACCTCACCGGCGGTAGGCGCGTAGTTTGCTGCTGATGTGGTGACGGTTGTGCGGCCGGCGGAATCGGTGGTTGTGCGGATGACGGCCGGGCGGTTCTGCGTCTCTGTTCGGACGACCGTGGAGCCGCCGGCGACGTTTGTCAAAGTGCGGGTTACGGGGACCGAGGCGGTTACTTCGGAGAGAACTTGGGTTGTGCGGACGATGGTTGTGCCGTCTTGGGTTTCGGTGGCTTCGACGGTGATGATGGCGGGACGTTGCTGCGTGGTGGTGGTTTGGGTTGCAGTTTGGACAATGGTTGTGCCGTCTTGGGTTATGGTTTGTTGTTGGGTGTTTGTTATGGTTGCGGGAGGGGAGTTTACTGTTGTTGCGTCGCTGGTCTGTTGGGTTTGTTCGGTTTGCTGTGTTTGTTGCGTTTGCGAGGGTTGCTGAGTCTGCTGCTGTGTCTGGGTTTGCACCTGTGTGACTGTGCTTCCCTGTTGCGTCTGAACCTGCGTAACTGTCGTCTCGACTGGCGGTGGTGCCTCGCTCGTCTGTGGAGGCGCTTGCTCACTTGTCTGAGGAGGTGTGGACTCAATGACTGTGGTTGTGCCGTTGCCCGAAGGCGCCTGTCTCTTCTTCAAGTCGTTGACAGCGTCAACGATGAGCTTCGTAGCGAGCGCTGGGTCTTCGCTGTGGATATGTTCGACGCCCCGGTGATGCGACTCAAACACGCCATTCTTGAAGTCCTTCAGTCCGCTCAATGCGGCTTGTAGAGATTCCTCTGGCAGCGCGTTCAACAAGTCCTGGAACGCTTCCTGTGCACTTGCGTAGATGGTCTTGGGGTGGTCGGCTTGTTTGTTCGGCGAGGCAGCAACGGCAGTGCTGAACAATGGCAGGGCCAGAACGGCCAACTGACAGAAAGAACGCATCTTGATGGAAAGCGGCGAGCGGAAGGAAACGAAGGTAGATGTTCAACGAAGGGAAACAGAAACTGCGTCAATCGTGTTAGCAGGTCGTCATGCTATAATCAACGCCTTGAATTGTGTACAAGAAAAGGAAACCTGTCCCAGACAGGCAAGCTGGAACTCTTAAAGCGAATGGGGTGGGGTGACTGGGAAACGTCGCGGACTTGAGAGGGCAGGCTTACACAAAATCTGTCGCTTCCGAGTGGCTGGATTCGTAGCTGTCAGGTCAGACGCCACAGCCCGATAATCGATAACCGCCTTTTGATATTTCCAATTCTCGGCCTCTACAGAAGACAAATTTCTTTTTGCCGGCGAAAAAAAGAACGAGCGAGTGTAATCGTACGTTGTCGTTCGGTGAATGATCAGCGAGTGTAAATCCGGAGGAGATCAGTGAAACATGTGGAGTAAGTAAAGTCAGCAGGGCGTTGGAAGACGAGGAGAAACGGAAGATCAGTCCTTAAGGCAGAAGGCGATACGGGTACTGTACGAGGGCGACACCAAACTAGCTTTAGTTAAAGCGCTGCTGATACATGGGCACTAACTTGTCTTGCTAGACAGAAACACGAGCTTTGGACCCGCTATAGTGTCATGGACCCCCATCGTCACTTTCGCCTCTTAAGCACGCCTAACAGAGCCAAGCATCATGATCCCGACCTTTCCGTCGCAGATCATGCGTAGGGCCACCGGAGGGAACTCAGCGACGAACGACGACTATTCTTCCAGAATCCAATCGATCGTCACGCATACCAAACATCAAACCGTTGTCACACCGAGCAATTCTTCATACCAGACGACTTTGCTCTGTACACCAACGAAACAGACGCACAACACGTTCAAGGCTTTGCCTCGGTCACGAAACTGTTTTACGAAAGCGAACCAAGCGGCCATTCAGGAAAAAGTTGGCACGTAAACCTCGGGATCGGTATATGCGAAGAAGACCCCCCTGCAAACGCGGAAACGGTAGCAGAAAAGGCGCTCCTCGCTTGTGCGCCAGCCAGAACGTCATGAATGGGACCGAGCGAACCCAGTTACCGATAATAGCGCTTCCCTCCCCCTCCCCCCGTCGGACGCCGCAGTGCTCTGTTCGCATGTTGAAACCGTGCTGAGACTTTTGACGTCTTGTTATATACCCTCGTCTCCGCGGACTATTATAGCCAATCGTCATCGCAATCTTATATCTTGCTTTCGGTTTGTGCTACCTTCACCGCAATGCCCCTCCCCTCCTCGTATTCAAACAGTGTCGTGTTCAGAGACAAAGCAAAAAAAAAAACGTGGTTCTCGCTCTTACTCTCGTATCTATCAGCACGTATCAATTCCCCGCTCCGGTCTAGAGAAGATCTGCCCAATCACACGCGCTTGTCTCCGATTAAAAATAGCCCACGTTACGGGGTTTTGCGGCCGAGACGCATCCAAGTGGTGGATATGCGACGAGTCTCGATCGGATTGTCAGCATGGTAGTCAGCCCCTCGTGTGTTAAAGTCCCATCACGCTAACGGGCTACTTCGCCACAACGCTATGCGATTGTTGCTAGTTGTTGAGGATCGGAATGCGGCAGAGACGGCAGCACGGCGTCAGAGCGGTGCAAACGCCGTTGGTACTCAATATTGTAGTGTTTTTCTCCACAGTGCTCTGGTAGCAATAAATTTGTGGGTGCTGTGCTCTTGACTATGACGTATAACGCTATTTGCAGAGACTTGGTTAAAAACGTCAATTGCTTTTTATTTGTATAATTCCGTACAGATGATATTCTCATCATGGTATAGGTACATGGTATCATGAAGAATGAGAATGAATTATCATTACGATGACCCCGACGCTATGCATCATCACAACGCCCTGACAATGCTCGCTAGCACGCTCATCACCTCATTGCAAAACCGCTGTATGCAAAACTACCATGCCACATACTCTTGTTCGGACTGAAAATGCTCAATACAAGAGGTGCGACCGCCTTGTTTATAGTGATTAGCCCCGATCCCGAACGCCTTTCCGCATCCATCTCTTCTCACTCATACTTAACACATTGCATAGGACAGTGTCCAACCAGGTACTACGGAGCTGGCTGGCCCCCGGGTACAAGTGGTGCCGTCGACGGCTCATCCCCCGTTTGCGCATTTGCATCAGATGCCATCTCTCGATTCACCGTCTCGGGAGTAACAGTAACAGTCGAGCCAGAACTCGCATGCATCGGCCCCGAGGGCGTTGACACCGTCTGAACAGCTTCCGATGTAGACGTTGAGCTCTCAGGCTGTGTGACTGCTGCCTCAGCCTCGACCTGTTCACTACCTTCGGCATTCTGAGCCATCGCTGGTGCTACAGGAAACGACTGTGCCGGAGGCATAGTAGTAACTGGTGACTTGGGGTTCCGGTCTGGTGACCGCGCAACTGATCGCGGTTCCGTTAGTGCAGCAGGAAGATCAGTTCGCAACGCCATAGCAGGACTCATTCTAGGTTTCGGGCTTGCTGCTGCTACGGGTACATTCGGTGGGGTCGGACTCGACCCCGTAGGCGTAACGTCGCTCGATTTATCCGCTTTAGGTTGAGTTTCCTCTGATGAGTGTGGCATTTCTGGTGTCCGCCCACGAGCAATGACGGATTCCGGCGACGCCATAATGTTCTGGGGAAGAGGTAGATGGCTCGAGCTGCCTGGCGGACTCTTGGCTCGCTCTCTCCTATCCACGCGCTCCTTGTGATCCTGTCTCCGTTTGTGGAACCAGTCGAAGGCACCCTTCTTATCGGACTTATCATGGTCAGGAGGACTGCTGCCGAACAGTATTGAATCCGAGCTTTGGTTCGTGTCGTACTGCATGCTTCTTCGCCCTCCACCCCCTGCCGTCCATCCAGAACTACTGGTAAACGAGCTCATGCTCTTGTCGGCGCCGGGTACTGAACCGTGCAGATCCGTCGTGCTTGTCGTCGGGGTTGCCTTGCTCTCTCCACGCCTGTGGCCTTTCCAGAAGCTGCGTTTCTCCTCTTTTGGCTGGTCGTCCAGCTGCTCAGTCTCCGAGTATTCTGTTGCCGTGCTGTGGGATCTGAAGCTAGCAGAAGGCGACATGCTGGGCTTGAGCGTGTTGCCAGAGGCTCGACTAGAGCCTGTATCTGGCAGAGCCTCCGTGGAACCACTCCTCTGTGATTGACCATGCGCGAAGGGAAGTGAGGGTGGCTGCAGTGGTGAAGGAGGTCCTTGAGAGAACTGACCACCAAATCCTGAATCGCTGCCACCAAGAGAGTGCGTGGAGCTGTGCGTACTCTGGCTAATACTATTGGGCATTCTCTTCTTCTGAAGCTTGTTAGGCTTCCGTCCGTCTTTCGATTCCTTTGACTCGTTGGGAGGGGATGCGGCAACCTTAGCTAGGATTTGGGTAAAGGTACGAACAGCGGGCGTTAGTTCAACAGATGGTCCCGAGTCAACGGGTGCCTCCATGAACTCCGAGCGCTCGCGTGTTGGCGTATGATGAGGACTATGAATAGGGCTACGCTGAGGACTGCGTGGACCTGGCGTAGTTGCTCTTGGGGGCAGCAGGTTCTGTGCCGTTGTCTGTGTCGGGACATTTGGAGTGGTAGGCTGGCTTGGCGGGATGACGCCTGGAGACGGGAGAGGAAACCCACCCGGCATATTGTGAGTAGCAGGCGTAACTGCGGGTCTATGTTGCAAAGGTTCTGTCGGTTGCATGGCTGTTCCCTGCGGGGAAAAGGGTTGGTACGGGGTCGGCAACTCTATCTTGTTCGGTGGCATGGTCTGCGCTCGTTGTGGCGGTGGTACTTCAGGATCGACAGACTGTGTGGCTGGAGCCGCAGGTACTAAAGACTGCGGGCGTTCCCGCGGTACTTCCGTTGGTTGCGACTGTTGCTCAGGCTCCGGCATCTCCGCAGCCACACTGCTGCTCTCTGGAATATCCGCAGGCATCGGCGATGAGAGCGGGCTCTTTGTTTCTTCTGGACCGGCTTGCTTTGCGGCAGGGAAGCGAGGGCTCCCAAGCGCTGGGGAGCGTTTTGAAGGCAACGTGTTGCTGCGATGTACTCCAGATGTCGTGGGAGTGACAAACGCAGGTGTAATCGGACTGGGCACAGCGCCAGTGCGTCGTGAATGTTTCGAAGATGTGGATACGTTCCTACGGACACCACCGTACTGCCTAAGACTCTCCGCGCCAGCGCTTGAAGCGGTCGACGCAGACCGTCCAATACCAGAGCTGTTGCGAGGAGTAGTGGGCGTCCTTGCTTGCGGGGTAGAAGGCCCGCTTTCAATATGCTTGACAGTGCCTTCATCGACCGCTGTACCCTCCATACCAATCAAGAAGTGGTCCTGGTTATCAATGAGAAAGATGAGTACATCCTGGCTCAGACGGTAATCTACAGGAGACATGTCGTGCTGCGGATGCGAGAGAAGTCCGGGCTGAAAGATGGCAGCCAGATTTGAGGTTGTCATCTTGTTAACATCGGCCTTGGCTGCGAAGACGGCAAGCAGGTCCAGGATATATAGCAGCAGTTGTCGATTCAAGGACGGTAAAGCCTTGATTTGGGATTGATATACACGCACAGCCGCGTCGGGGTCGAAACCTCCGACAGAGGGCTGCTGTCCTTCGCTGGGGCCTACAGCCTCAGCTTGGTGGCCTTTAAGAGGATCCCGGAATGGATCATAGTGCTGCAGCGGTATTATAGGCTCCGGGAGGTTGTTGAAGTAGCGTCGCAGAATATTGGCGGCGTCGTGTACAGTATAGCCAGACCAATCCAGACCTTTTCCATAGCGGGGTGGAGTGTCAAAGGCAGTCCTGAGCTCTTTGATGCGCTTCTCGGAGCCTGCTAACCGGAAGATGCCTTCTACGTCGGTTGCTATGCGCTGTTAGCGGCAGATGGGAGACAGAGTCGGCTTCACTGACCCTTTTCCTTCAAGAAGACACCGCATTTGGCGACCACGATTGGAACGTAACCGTAGATGTAACTCTCGCCGTGCTCGTTGAACAGCGATATGGCGACGTTCGCATAGGGTATGCTTTGTATGAGGGGCACACCAAAGATGCCAGGGAGGGCGGGTTCTAGGTGCGACCACAGCAGTCAGTGAAAGCTCGCGACAGGAGGCTAGGAGGCTGCAGGCGCGTGGGTGAGGCTCAGCCTTCTCACGCGCTGCGACCAAGTAAGTTGGACATGTGAAATGGGTGGAGTAATGGGGTACCTTTGTCATCGTCCTTTTTCGCGGGGCGCTTGCTGAACTGCCTCCACCACGAGGTCAAATCTCGACGCGACGAAGCAGGTTCTGGCGTTCCTACGGGAGCGGGCTGGGGGTCGCCATTGCGCACGCGCGGAGTTTGGGGATTGGTCTGCGTGCCTGCGGGAGCCATGGCAGGCTTGTGAGCTGAAGAGCGTCGCAGCTCCTCAGACGAGAATATGGCGGACAGTGGGCGGTCTTGGTCTCGCGGAGAGAGGTGTTGTCCAGGTACAGGTGGGCCCGAAGTGGGCAGGCGGCAGCTGTCTGGGGGCCGCTATGTGACGTCGGAGGGTAGCGAGCGTGCACGAGATGTCAGCGGGGCCTTTTCTCGTATTCCCGTGGCGGTGATGGAGAAGGTAGCTGTATGAGCCTAGGGCGAGAGCAGAGCAGAGCAGGGTGAGGGCAGAGACGCGACGGGCGGTTAGGGGTACAGATGCAGCTTGTCGTCGGCGGGTTCAAGGCCGTCGGGTCAAGGCCTGGACGGGCGCAATATCTTCAGCGCGCCTGAGACTGCGGCTCGAAGCGACTTGAGCATGCAAGATCGCCTTCTGGTATCGGCAATGATCGCAGGCAGGCGAGGTAATCAAGTGGCAGCCCGCTGCTCGACTGACGAAGAGCAGCAGCTTAGCGGCTGGTGATGTGTGGCTGCGGGCCAATTGTCACTATCCAAGGAAGACGGCACAGCGTCGCCTGACTGAAAGACACAAACAGCGAGGCGTGAATGCAGAAAAACGGTAAAATACAGCGGCGATCAATGCGGATAGCGGGATGCAGCTGGTATTAAGAGGGGCGTGTTATTGTATTATTCTTCACTTATCGCTGAAGTTGGTTCCAATAATAACGACCGTCTTGGCGGGGGAAAGGTACAGGTGTTGGTACATGCGATGCGAGGGAAGAGACGATAATGGTGCGACGACATGCTAGCCTTCAGTAAAAGAAGACGTCGAGATGATGCTAAAAATGGCCCTGGCACGTCTCCCAAGTGTTCCAATGCTCCAAGTATTGAACCGTTCAATGCCGCTGCCATGAACACCTGAGGGCTTGTTTCCCGTCGTTTGGTGACTTGAAGGAGCGTGAACGGGCCGCCCAGTGGCTTAGCTCGCATCTACATTTTTGGGCAAAGGCTCGTCAGCACAGCATCCAGACAACCACCCGACGTCATACCAAATTTCCGACTCGAGCCATTCAGTAGATAATAACTGCACACACGACTAATTATACCATAAGCAACCATGGACTCGTATGCAATTTCCCCCAATTGATATCCGCCAGACTAACCGCGTGCAGACTTACGGCATCGGAACAGCGCGAGCTGCAGTCGCGCATGGAGAAGAAGCAGATGAAGGAGTTTATGAACGTACGGCAATCATATTCTGGGCAACAAGGCAATGACACTAACCCTTGTAGATGTACTCGAACCTCGTCCAGCAATGCTTCGACCACTGCGTCAACGGCTTTGAAAGCAAGTCCCTCACCTCGCGCGAAGAGAGCTGTGTTATGCGTTGCGTCGACAAGCACATGAAGGGCTCTCAACGACTAGGCGACCGCTTCCAAGAACAGAACGCTGCCATGGCACAACAAGGCGGAATGGGCGGAAGGTAGAATCTTTGCGGTATGAGCGTCGGGCGGAAGATGAAATCTTTGCGACGAGCGACAACCATCAGCCACGAGCTGGTAGCAGGCTCAATCGCGATGGCGACGGTACGCTATGTTATTCAGCACGAACTGTACTATAGAAACGAACTCTGGAATTTGGACTGGAGCGGACTATGATCCATATGCCTTTGGTATACTTGGTCCACGCAAGCTATACCCTTGCTATGAGATCAACTAGCAATTCAGCTGCCGCTATCACCTGTCCCATTTCAATGTCTTGCCGGGAACGGAATGTACGGTGAATCTGTTTGCAGACAGCTAGCTGTTTTAACGCTGCTTCAACGTTGCATTGGGTCGCAGGTGACAGGCTAAACGCGCCCGAGTACCACTGGTCGATGTTCACAGCCTCGAACGTCATCATGCCAGTGCCACGAAGCACAGCTTCGGCCCTTCTAGTACACACTGCTGTGGCGCACCATTTCGAGTGCAATCTGCCTATCTTGAAGAAACCTAGAAGCGGCCAATCAAGCGCGCACAGATTTGCAGAGACATCCAGGCTGTACTGTGCGCGGTCGATGCAATCTCCACCAAGATCGCCTTTAGCGGTGGCTGTGCTGCATTTCCCAAGCCCTTGGCTCCCAGCCTATGACGCAGCTGCGACAGCTTCACCGACCCTGTTCTTGCCCTGAATCACGCGTTCAGCCTCCCACACACCTCCTATATAACTCACTCATAGCGAGTACTTTTTAGCTACACCACAACAAGAACCTCGACGAAGAAAAACCATCCGTCAACTTCCAAACCTAAATTACCACTCCTATCCACCAACAAACAATAAGCAATCATGGGTCTTCTGTGGACTAAACACTGGGGAGGCCGCCATGCCGGTAAGTAGCCCACCTTTGGAGCCGTCTGTTCCGGACACTGGCAAGCATTTGCTGACAGGATGCTAGGCGGCGGTGTTGTCGCTGACCGTCATGGTGTTCGACGCGCGCCCTTCCGCATCTCTTGCGGACGCTTCAGCTGCTTCCGCTAAGCAGTCGCCAACCTCTCGACGACATTCACGACTGTGAGCTATGCCAATGTTCCCTTATCGCAATCATCTCTAATTTGTTCAGCTCTATCTTCCATACTTTGATGATTTTCCTGCGACGGCGTTGGTGCGATTGAATGTGCATGTCGGCGCATAGTTCAGCGAGAAGTTAGGCGATACCATGAGCATGCATCTGCGACGCAGTGTCATGCATCTACTATACCCTCGATAGCCTAATACAACATGTCTGTTTATCACACCAGATTTCATGAATACATCGTGTTGTTGTGTACACGGTAAACAAGACAATCTGGAACATGACGTCACGCCTCGCATCCTTGTCGCAGCTCCACATCCCAACTCCATCACGCGCCACAATGTTAAACTTCAAGGGCGGGGCAACCCGCGTTAATACATAGCAACAAGCAAAGCCAATGGGCGAATACCGACACGGTCTCAACCCACGATACAGCAAAATGCGGTCTATCCTAATCATCAACCCAAACTCCACGGAGCAAATGACAAACGGCCTAAAGCCGCTCGTCGATGCCCTGCAATTCAAAGACGTCAATCAACACCACATGCACTTACCATACCCACCCAGCAACTAACCACAGCTAGAGAAACAACAGACCGCGCACGAATACTTCACCGCCCCCTCGGGCCCCAAAAGCATCAACAACGAAGACGACGCCGCGGATTCTGTCCAGCACTGCCTGCCCGCCTTGCGAAAAGACCTCCTCGACCGCCACGACGCCTTCCTCGTCGCATGCTACAGCCAGCACCCACTTGTGCCCCTCCTCAAACAGGAAGCCGCTGTGAAGAACACACGGAAACCTGTCACCGGAATCTTCGAAGCCAGCGTCGCCGCATCGCTCCAGGCTATCCACCCAGACGAGAAATTCGGTATAGTAAGCACGGGTAAAGTCTGGGAGTCCATCTTGACAGATGCTACCACAGCGTTTTTGGGTACGGGGACGGAAGCTAATAAGAGGTTTGCCGGCGTGGAGACTACGGGGCTTAATGCGACGGATTTGCATGATGCGCCTGCCGAGGAGGTGAGGAAGAGGATGAAGGATGCTGTCAAGAGATTGTTGAAGAAAGGGGGCGTGGGTGCGGTTTGTTTGGGATGTGCGGGTATGGCGGGAATGGATGAGATGGTTAGGGAGGCTTGTGTGGAGGAGTTAGGGGAGAGCGAGGGGGGAAGGGTGAGGATTGTTGATGGGGTTATGGCGGGGTTGCGTGGTTGGAGGGGCTGTTAGGGCGGGTTTTTAGGGGTTAGGTAGTACCAGGATAGCGATTGTCTGCGAAGAGACTTGGTTATAATGGGTTGTAGCAAATACTTTCGGTAAAGGGATATATTGTTTGTATCTTGTTGACTGAGAAATATAGACAAGTCCGCAAACATTTCGGAGGTAGGTTTTGAGTGAGTATAATCAGGAGATACTAGTTGAATGATGTTCGGATCTCAGAAATCCACCACGAACTATAGAAGTTACTCAAGCGGACTCAGCAGCATCCCCGACCTTGTTCTTGTTGTTCTCGTTGTTGTCTGATTTCCTACCAATAGATGCGAGAAATTTCTGTCTCCGTTTTTTCGGTTGGGTGATGAAGAGTGCAATGAGTAAAGCTACTACGATGACCACGATGGTGATGGGCGCTGCAACAGCTGGTCAGTGTTGACTCCCGAGCCATAGTCTCTGAGATTACATACTTGCGACGCGCCATAGGTCCCAAGTGGAAGGATTGTTTTCGTCTCCAGTGAGCTCTTTGACGTTCTGGCCATAATATGATGTAAAGAATGATAGTGGCAGCTATTTATTGAGGTCAGACGTACGTCGTATGTGTGAGTGTCACGACTGGACTCACAAAGATCACGGTGATGATTGTGAACAGCATCACAGCGCGGCCTTGCGTAGTCGCTACCTGTGCTTCTTTTGCGCTTGATATAGCTTCCGCGAGACTTGCTACACTAGACTTGATGTTCAGCAGGTTAAGCAACTATACGTGTCAGTCTGGAGCATCACGATCGAGTTTTCATACACCTACCATCGTGTGAGTGTACTCCGCGTCGTCAATGATGCTGGCGATCTCTGAAATTACATGCGTGAGTTTCTGAGGTCCTTTAAGGACATGTTGGAAGTTGCATTTGTTGCCGAAGCGACAAAAGCCTTTTTGGAAGTGTTTGCATAACTGCGAGTCTTTCTGGAATCCAGATCGCGTTAGTGATTCTAAAGCCGGTGATTCTAAAGCCGTGTAGGAAGACTTTATAACATCTTCTTGAATGCGCAAAAGATGTTGGATCATCTACAGAGTGCCGTTACGTAATCAGTTAAGGTCTTCCGTTGATCTCAGTTGAAGCACATACCCTCAGTTCTTCGATGATATCAACGATCTCGAGAACAAGCTTCAGATCTTCAGTGATCCCCTCATCGGATCCGCCGTTGGTATAGCCCTGCTGGAACTTCTGGATGTAATTTATCTGAGAGGCTGCCTGTGAACCGATCAGTCTACATTGTCTTGCATAAAGTAGGTCCAGCTGTGTTCACCTTTTTGCTAGTAACCCATCTGTAGATCTCCACGATGTCTAGAGAACTCCTGTTGACATGACTGAACATGTAACTCGTCGATTCCTCGACTAGCAGCGAATACATATCCGAAACGCTTTCGAAAGGATTTGGATCATCATACAATTTGATCCTGATGTTCTGGTAGAGATCTTTAACACCGGAAGGGCATCCATTATTAGTTCCGCTAGGGAAGCTTGTTATTATGGTCTCTGAGCCGACAGTTAGCAATCGAGATCATAGCCAGTGGGACAAATAACAGACTGTCGTCGATGACCCAGCACCAAAATTGATCTACCATGATTATGGCACTGTCGTTGGCAGCCGAGGATCTGCCGCCCTGCTCCAAGGCTGCTCCACTCCACTTCGAAATTGTTTGATCCTTATCTCGGGCGCTTGTGCTATCCAAAGCTGGATAGTAGAACTGGTCTAGGGTTCTTCTTGGGTATGACGGCCTCTCGCTGACATGAGAATACGACTGATAATCACCGTACTTCATCAAGCTCATGTAAGGAAGCTGTTGCTTGCCATTAGCGGTTTGTTTGCTATCTTCTACCAATCGCCTGAAGCTTACATAGACTGTCAGAGGAGGAAGCCAAGTTGGTTCTGCTGTAGAGGCTCCATAAGGATAGGTGCCCTGCGTGCAGGAGGGCTCTAGATGACGCGCGTGTTCAGGCCAGGTAGACTCCGCAGGCGAACCAGCCTCAGATACCCGCGAGAAAACTGGACGCACCTTCCAGTCTGTGATCTTTGCGTGCATCCTGGGTTGTCCGCATATCTCGAAACATGACTAGAAGCATGTCAATGTCGTTATGCTAGAGCTAGACTAGTTGATACACTTACATTTACCCAATCCAGATTGTTTACTGGAACATGTATCCATTGAATTCCCTTTCCTATAGTAGGGAGAGTGTCAGATATGCCGATGGTTTGTGCTTTTACCTCATCTCCGCTAACAAATCCTGCCTTCAGGGTATGGACGAAGGCCGAGAACTCATCTTTGGCTGCCTCAATCTTGTACGATAGGCTATGGTCTAACGGATCCATCGCTATCGATATATATCATATGATAGCAGCGAGATGCGGGAACATTCATCATCGACCACGGTGTGAGTGGCATAGGGCACTGTTATACCTGGCGAGCTGAGGTCGAGGCCATGTAGAGACGCGGCTCGGAAGGTACCTTGGCTTAGCATGCCTTAGCTGACAATGCCAATAGCCGATGAGGTAGGCATCATAGTCCTCTAATGTGCGATCTTGCTGAAGTAGCACGTGCAGCTGAATTGAGCGGCTGAGCCTGACGGTGAAACAGGGAAGATCTGCACACAGCACAGTGCGTGGCGCTCGAAAAAAACAAAGCTGTGGGCTGAAAACACCTCATTCCGTTCGTCAGTGTACCAGATATGTTTCTATACACGTCGAGGTGCGTTTTTGCCATGCTTTGGGTGTCCTCTGCATGCAGGTGGATATTGCAGAGTAGCGAGGGTCTGTGCGCACATACGTCTTTGCTTACCCAGGTAGTCAGCTTGACCCGAGCAGCGACTATTGCGATACACTGCTTTTCGTATCTTAGAAGACCTTCTATGATTTTGCGTTCTGCTGCGTTTACCTGCTTTGCCTGTGCCTCGCATCTCTCTTTACCCTCATAAAAGCGTGTACTTATTCCACTGCTACGTACCTCTTTACATCACAATCCTGCTTTATAGGCATGCGATATACGAAGCATATACATACCACAGGTAGAAATTTGTAGGAAGATGTGTTACAAGGTGTCCCCTAAGGTTCGCGAAGCAGTGCAGCCGTTGCTTATCATAGGCGGGATGACGTACGTAGAGATCCATAACTTCGGACCCTCGATCATTCCACCGATATAACACCAACTGTATCCCCCACGCTTTACCAAATCCTATCCGACCACATGGCTTCAAGTTTACTAGAAATACTGTATTAGTTGTCACCAATATTCGCCAGTAATTCACTCACCTCCATGCAGTCGCTGCCAAACGAGCTCCTAGCTCAAATCGCTGCGCACCTCGCAGATCAACCTCCATCAATCATCAAATTCAATCACGAGCCAACCGCCAATCTCGCTTACTCAAACACTGCACCACTCAAAGCCCTATCGCAAGTATCATGGCGCTGGAGAAAAGTCGTACTTCCCATCCTCTTCCGCTTCACGCGCATACCCTTAGACAAGGAACCTCAATGGGTCCCCATGGACGCACGCCTCGTCGACAGCATGCAAGGCCAGCTATCCAAACTGAGTAACCACGAATTCATGCTCTACACAAAACTGCGCAGCAAGTTTAAAAGCACCTCTGGATTTGCTTTCGAGCCAGAGATGGACGATGTACTCATCCAGTTATGTCGGATACAGGAGGGCGATGAGTTTCTGAAGACGACACCACGGATTGTATGGCTTCCGCATATTTCAAAGTGGTTTGAGCAGTTCGTAAGATTTGTGGAGGGGAACAAGTTGCAGAGGCACGTCAAGAGTGTGGTGTTGCATACGGACAAGGAATACGACTTACGTCATGTATCCACCGCTGAAGGACCGTTGTCGCGCTCCGTCTCGGAAATCTGGAGCCAGATATTTGGGTGTTTGGAGCCGGAGCGTGTTGTTGTTGCTGCGCCGCCGAAGACCATGGCTGCGTTGCTGGATTCGGCCGTGGGTACCAACGATATTTGGGCTTTCGAAATGAAGATACACTACATTGAGCTTTTACAAACCGAAACACCTGTCGGGGAAACCGAACATGGAAGTAGAGCAGCCGAATCTTCTCTCATCCACCGACGACCCTGGTACCATATCGGCTACAACGAAGGTTCCTCCATAACCGCATACAGTACCTATGAATTCCATCTCAAAGTAGCGCCCCGGATCCCAGAATTCATCTTCAATCGTCTTGGCTCGAGACCAGAGTCATGTCGCAACTTGAAATCATTTAGTTTCATAGCTGTCTTCCCCCTCTCCTCTGCTGTACATGACATTGTGCGCGCCTTTCATAGAGTCCCCTCCATCAAGAAAGTCACATTCCGGCTTGCGCCCGGTCCTGAGAACGACCTTCTTAGTAATGGGAGTAAGAGGAGGAAAGCGCAATCGAGTGATTTCTGGTCTGAGTGGCGGTCGGCGTATAAGGTGCTTGCAAATGCTGAAGAGTTCTCTAATAGGATTAAGGATGGGGAGAAGCAGGAGGGATGGGCGACTGTGGAGGAGATTGTGAGTGAGGATTGTTATTCGAAACAGTTGGCTGTGGAGGTTACTGAGGTTGTGGAACATTACATGAAGCAGGGAAGGTGGAAGTGGAGAGAGGACGGGGTGGGTAGGTGGGTCAGAGACGATATACCGGAGGGGAAGACGATATTGGAGGATGCAGCATCACAGTATGGCAGCTGAAGTCTCGCGTTGACGAAATCGAAGTTGACTTGGAACGATATGAGCTTTAACAATACTGTACTTTGAACGTTCGTGTGACCTTCATATGTCTACGCATATCTCATTGAACTGCGAATCCTGCTTCACGTGTTTAAGACGTGTGTTTGCTTGACACTACTGATACATCACTACTCTGAGCCACAAAAATGTTCCTTGTATTCTTTCTTTCTACGAGCCAAATTTCTTACCTCCCACACCTCCCACGCCCTGTATCCTCTATCCCCATTTTTATCAACACTCACGTACGAGAACATGATCGAACTTATACTAGCAACAGCATTTATAACAACACTGCTTCTTCTCCTTATGCAACAAAAACAACAACAACAACGACGACGACGAATAGTGAGACCTGGTTTCATGCTGAATCGCCACCGCCGTAGACGCATAAGCATCCTACACGAAGAACGCGAACAAGAAAGCCAGAACGAAGCAAGTGGAGAAAATGAGGATGACCGTGCGATCAGACCACATAGACTAGCTATCCTTCCTCTTCCTACTCAAAGGCCTGGGTCTTCTGACAGGTTCACTCGGAGTCGGCTTGTTTTTGAATCAAAGAATTTGCCTCTCGACAGGCTGCCCGATCTTCGGAGCACCGATATGGAGGAGAAGGAGGGCTTGCAATAAGAGAAAAGCGAGTAAATTCCATTCTATCCTGGGTATATCGTTGCTGTACGTTGCTGTAGTAAAAATACCGAGATCGCTATCCTCCGTTGTCGTATCATGTACCATATATCATGTGCCATTAGATTCACTTTTTACCGTTTAGCGAACCTTCCAAATACCACGCCGGACCTGTCAGCAAAATGCAAAAATAACGGTCAACCTATGTCTCAACATCACATCACATCACACAGAGTCTCCTGCCACCCAATCGTCCACCTCACGCTCCCCATGATAATGACAAGCAGCCCCAACCCCGCGCCCACACTCACGCCCGAATAGATATACGCGGCCCTCCGTTTCAGCGTATCAATCTCAACAATCCACGTCGACACCGTAGTCAAACACCCACAAAACCCATCCATGATCCCCTGAAGCACCGCACACGCAACCACACTCGCTCCCACACGTCCGGTACTACTCAACGGCACATGTTGCAAATCATACGCCATACCCAACACGGCCGTCCCAAAGATATTGACAGTGAATGTCCCCAGCGGGAAAGAAGGAGCAATGGGATTAAGCAGCAAGGAGATGTAATACCGGAGCAAACAACCCGCGGGCGCGAAGACGATGGCGAAGAGGGCTTGAGAGCGCCAGGAAGTATGCGGTGGCAGACACACCATGATGATGGCGCCGAACCATACGCCCCAACCCAGCACCACGAAAACCGGGTCCAGGAACCGTCGTGTGAAGCGGAAGGGGATGGTGGGTGTTATGCGGTCTAACGCCAGCGCGAGGTGAGCGCCAATGTGCAGCGCGCAGTAACATGTTGAGATTGTTATTATGATGGTGGCTAGGATGGCCATTACGGAGTATCCACCATTCCGCGCGACTGTGCTGGTGGGAGATGGCACAGGTACGTTTGCGGGATAAGGATGGTTTATCGGGCTTTTCAAGTCGTTTGACAACGATAGGAAGATGTCGCGTATGAAACTTGAGAAACTGGTAAAGGAGCCGCAGAAGCCTGTTGCGAGGCCAATGTACATGGGTATTGTCTTTTTGACTTTTCCATGTCGGGATTTGTCACGGGAGTGGTCGGCGGGATAATCAGGGGGCTCTGGTAGCTTTCCACCACTACCGTCACCGCGGTGCTGACCCCATTCCGCGGCGAAAAGACGCCGGTCTTCGGACAGGAAGCCCATGATGAAAGTTCCTGCGACGTTGGCCCATAGTTCAGAAAAGATGACTGGCGCGCCGGGGTAAAAGGTAAGGGCTTGTAGACCCAGACGAGCTAGCGTGCCCCATATAGCGAAGAAGATTAGGTAGGAGACAGTATAGAGTTCTGTAGCTAATCTTGATGCTTTTTGGGCACCGGGGGTGCGCTTGGAGCGCAGGTAGTACTCTGCGTGTGGGTCATAGTTGTGGTTATGGTTGTGATTATCGTCTTCTTGAACAGGCGACATGCTGGGCAAGGCGGTAATGTCTACTTGAGACCCTGATGCAGCACCGGGCGCTACTCGTCCCAACGGAAAAGACGGTCTTCTCGATCGTTGCTGCTGCCGCGTTTGAGAAGCCGGTCTACTACCATTCTCAGCCTGTGAATGTCTGCTATGTCCTCGCGTCCTGGGTGTCCGCAAGGGTTGTGGAAGATTGGGCGACTGGGCGTTTTCGTTGTAGAGATGCAGCCAGGATTCTGGTGCGAGGAGGTCTTCGCCAGATTTCACTTGGCCGGCTCGTGAGGAAAGGGTGCTGAGTGAGTTGTGCTTTCCGGAATGTCGGTCCCGTCGCTTCACACTGCTGTACGATCGATCGCGTTGGCGCGAGGTATACGGAACGTTGGGGGCAGGCGAAGCTGTCGAGGTAGGGGAAGAGGGTACTGGTTCGCTATCCGCTCGTTCCGAGTAGACTCGTTCCAGGTCGAGGTTGAAGTCGTGCAGGCGGCGCAGGTCGCTGCGTGTTCGGGATCGTGGTCGTGGGCGATGCGACGACTCTTCTGAGAGGGTGGAAGAGCGCAGTGACGAGCGCTGATTGTTGAAATGTGACTCGCGCTTCGTGGGGATATCTTCTTCGTCAAATGCAGAGCTGGCCATAGCTGCCTTCCCGTGTGCATGCAGATTGGACGTGCAATGACGTTCGGTACCGAGTTTGACACTTTGTATGTATAAGCCCGAAGTCTTCAGCTCGACGCCGCGTGCAACTTGAAGTAATGCGCCATGCTCATTTCTATGATGATGATGGGAAGGACGTGGCAATCCCCCAGAATAGGACTCTACACGTATATCAGCCCTCTTGCCTCCCCTTCCTCCCTCCTGCGCCAAATAAGAAAAGGTCAAATCTCAAGTAACCTTTGCTTATGCAAACCACAGGACGAATGGTAGACGATCTCATTTTCTCCGATTGGTGCATGGGACCCTGGTCAAGCGTCATGCAGTTGCCGAGGCGTGACAAGGTTTCAGGTCACGGAGCTGCCCGACGCCATGGCCTCTGTTATCGCCGGCGTGTGGGTAGGCTAGTTGTGACCACGCGCTTGTCCCATGCACCTTCTTGAATAGACAAGTAAGTCAAGTAGAATACAGCTATATATATTCCAAAGTACCAAGACCTATCGTACCGTATTTTCCAAGCAATCTGCAATACAAATCCAAAATGTCCGCCATCAACCTCCCCAAGAACGCTCACGTATCAACACACCCATGTCTCCAGGCGAAGCTCTCACAGCTACGATCGGCGAGCACAGGGTCCAAAGATGCGCAAACGCTGGTGCATGAACTGGCCCTCATGGTCGGTTATGAAGCTCTGGCCGCAGGCTTAAAGGCACAAGAAGCCGGTACCGTACGTCAATCCCATCACACCACATTCATCCGGTCAGATCATGTCACCTCACCATGTGGGGTGGTATTCCGAGACACACATCTATAGCAGGATTGCATATTCCCTATAGCTGTAGCCAATCCCCTAGACAAAAACAATGCTATACCGCCTACTAATTCCACCCAGGACAAATCCTCCCTCGGCTACGAATACACCGCAACCACCACCTCCCCCTCCCCAACCTCCATATCCCTAGTCCCCATCCTCCGTTCAGGCCTCTCCATGGTCCCCGCCCTTTCCTCCCTGCTCCCATCCCCCGTGCCCATCCACCATCTGGGTCTCTACCGCGAGAAATCCACTTTACAACCCGTAGAATACTACAACAACTTGCCCTACCACACTCCACATGCCGCGGGCTCAACCAAACCCCAACCCGAGCTAGCCATCATCGTAGATCCGATTATTGCTACGGGTGCGACAGCCCAGGCGGCGATTGACACGCTAAAGGATTGGGGAGTCAAGCGGATTATTGTTGTTGCTATACTGGCCACGGAGGAAGGGCTGCACAAGGCGTGTGGGGAGTGGGAGGAGGGTGTTGAGGTGTGGGTAGGTGGTTGTGACAAGGAGGTTGATGAGAAAGGCATGATTAAGCCCGGTTTGGGTGATATTGGAGACAGGCTGTTTTTGACGTTGGGGAAATAGGTAATTTAGGAGGTTATGAAGCCTGGCGTGTGACACTCTGCATGCGCGATAGATTTCCGGTCTTGCTTGACCGCCATAGTCAAAGTGCCAGTATTCTATACTTGTGAAGATCGCCCTTATACGATCTAGGTTTGTTCTCGGGATATAAGAGAGTGCATTAGATAAGGTTAGTTAGGTGTGTTAGCACGACTGGAAGATCGATTTCATAACATAATATCTAGGTAGTGAAGAAGCAAAGTAGTAATCCTGAGATTAAATACACAGTGGCCACAATAAACTGTAAGAGTTCATTGTCTATCTCTATATATTAATAAGCGTTACCTCAGTCATTAGCGGACTAGTGTTGCTCGTAGAAGAGCAAGCTACTTACAGTTTAGCGTCATCAGCTTGTAGACCAACAGCCCCGTGACTGAAGCGTAGTTACTGTGCCGCAATCCCCCAACTGTGCCGCACAATCCTCAAAGTGCTTATGCTGACCCCCAGGTGTTCCCTGGTTTCAATCGTAACAACAATACTCCGCTATTGTCCTTTATTTAATAATAGCATCCTCAAAAAGATCTCGGTCTAAGGTTAGGCGTTAATGTATGTTATTCCTGTAGTGATACCTAGTTGATGCGTCGTGCTGCATTACGACAGTACCCTTCGTTGTCGATTGTATTCATCTTTCAGGGATTGCCTTGTGTCGTTTGGCCATAGGAAGGGTGCCTTGGATGAACTTTCAAGGTTCGCTTACAGCCGTGGAGGAGATCCTGCGCCTGCCCCTTGAAGCCACATAACATATGTAACGTCTGACGTCAGCTAAAGCGGGGTAGCAGTACCCGTCTTGGTCTTTCTGGTCTTTTCTTCCTCTACCTAGTCGCTTACTCTCAAAGATTTAGAATCGCTCACGATTCGTCATGATTCAAATTTCCACGGCCAAAGAAAAGCTACCCCGAACCGATTGCGGCCATGTGTTCATATCAAAAGATCCGTGAATGGCAAACGCGTCTTGCTCTTATCAAACCGAACGCAGACTACACCGCCTGTCTTGAATTCAACCTCCTTGTCGTTGACTTGGTGGACTTGAATACTGGGGCAATCATCAACCACGACACGATTGTTACATACGATGCCCTTTCGTACGCTTGGGGGACTGCATTACCTTCCATCGAGTGTATTTGCGATGGACATACTATTCTCTTACGAGATAATCTAGACTCGGCACTCAGATTTCTTCGACGAACACATGACGAACGCTATGTTTGGATTGACTTCCTTTGCATCAACCAGGACGATTTAGTTGAAAAGTCCGTTCAGATACCTCGTATGAGAAGCATTTATGCTAAAGCCAGTACTGTGGTCATATGGCTCGGCGAATCACCAGCGATTGAGAACATATTGCGACACTGTAACAAAAGCTGTGGGCCGAACGAGGAGATTCTGGCTTGCTCAAGGCACATGGAAGAGTGGTGGAAATCCATTCTGGATTACACATGGTTCAGAAGAACTTGGGTTCGGCAGGAAGTGTTCGCCGCTGCAAGGTTGAACGTCTGTTCTCCTTACTTCTCTACAACCTGGGAACATTTCACTGGAACTCTGCACACGACGAGTGCTCCTAATCATCCTTCCAGTCACGAGGCTGTTCAAAACCTGAATTCACTCAATAACCTTTATTCGTCACGGAGATTAAAGTTACTAGATCTGCTGAAGCAGGGAAGAGGCTTTCAAGCTTCAGTACCACATGACCACGTCTTCTCCGTCTTAGGAATGATGTCCACGCCTAAACACAGTACAAAAGGATCATTCCCAGTTACTTTCAACAAGACTTACGACGAAATCCGCGGCGACGTCACTAGGTTCATCATACGAGAGTCTCAGAGCATCAGCATACTAAAGTTGTGCTCTTTGCAAAAGGATAGATCTTACGCATTCAACTGGCCGGCGGTTGAGGTGTCATGCCCAGTTTTGGGTGAAGTGAAACCAGAAATATGTTGCGATCGAGGAAGCGAGTTTCTCGAGTGGTTCGAACTCGAGAACCCTATAAGGGAAGTCAGCGCTTTAATGCCATCGGAGAACACTGCCTCTTCGTCGATATCCGGCCAGTCAGTCTCTACAAGACCTCTTGTGCTATATGGGAGAGCATGGGGTACATTGATGTGTCAGCTTGGAAGAGTCAAATTTCGCCATAGCGGGAGATTCAAAGTTGTGTCAACATACTTAGTAGATTATACGACCGACGAAGATACCAGGACGGAATCATCTTCTCAGGAGGACATTGACAAGTACCGCGAGTTTGTTCTTGGCCACAACAAGAGATTCAAGTCCGTATCAACAAACTCAGTAGATTGTACAACTAATAAAGATCCTAGGATAGAATCATCTTCTCAAGAGGACATTGACGAGTACCGCGAGTTTCTCCTTTACGACTATGGCTTGAGACGTTACGTCTTAGGAGGTATATCTAAAGAGTACGAAAGCAGGGTAGTTTGGGAGTGTCGTGGTAACGCCAGGGAAGGCGACATATTTGTGTCACTAGAGCCAGACCCATGCAATGTTGTTCTTCGAAAATGTCCCGGATTAGGCGACCTGTTTGAAGTTGTGGGCTGGGGTAATAGAATGTCGGAGACGAAATGGGTTGATAGGTCGGAGAAGATAGAACGGAGTGATAGCATGGAGCTGACTAGATCTATTTATCAGCGTACTAGACCCGTTAAGGAATGGATGATGAAAGATGAAATATGGGCGAAAGAGGAATGGCGTCCAGACCATGCGCCAGGACCTAGGAAACGATTTAGAATCCGTTAAATGTAGTCAGAGACTAGATAAACGGACTTGAAATTGCTTGTATTATTGCATGCCATTCTCTTAATGCGACAAAGTACCGCTAAGCTGTCATCCAGTATATGACGTAGCCAAGCAGCATGACATCCAGACATCCCTAAGCACCTCGACAATGCTGTAGAAACCTGTATCAACCCTAGGGATTCAGACTGATACAGACAGCGCTTGAGCACTAACATTCGACCTTGATTGCCCTAACGCTGCCGTTACTAAACCCACCCCTAGGAGCTTTTTCTACACCTGAGCCTGGATCACTACTCTACTTGTAGTAAGCCTTAGGCGTTTTGCGTAATGATTTGATCAGTGATGGGGCTTGGTTACCAGTATCTTTCTCCACAATGGCGGACATATGACCCAGAGAAGACGAGTCTTGGTCGCTCATATTGGCGCGTGGTATGATAGGGAAAATCCAATGCAGCCGGTAAGTGAATGATACTGCTGTAACAGGGCGGCGCGAAAAGTTGAATGCAGTCCCGGCTGCAAGCCGCCTTGATTGAGAAACCTTGACCGTCCAGTGATTGCGTAACGTGCCATAGTCCAGCCATGAAATCTAGGTATTGCCTGGAATGTACCTCTTCCCCGTGCCAGGTTCTTCGTAACATAATTACACCTTCTCTTCAAGCTCAAAGTAAAGCTCCCAGTGGTTCTTACAGCCAGGATTGAATGCGCTCCCGCATTGCGTACATTTGCTTCCGCTCTCCATGTACTCAGTAATAGTCAGAACATGCTTGCACTGTCCGCAAAACACGGCACCCTCTTCTCTTTTCGTAACAGGCCAGATATCAGACTTGTGAGATTCGCAGGCATCGTGGCAGCTTATACACGCATAGAACTTCTGGCAGCAGAAATGTTTGATGGCGATTATGTCGAGCGGGGAATGCCAATGTGCGCATTGAGTCAGTGGTGTTACGGAGAGGCCGTAGACGGTAGGATTTTGTTGTTTGTCGGGAGATGCTATGGTTTCGGACATGGTTGTGGTGTAGGTGTAATTCTGTGTGGCCAGAGCTTGCACGTGAAGGACGTCGGTTGGCCGGCCGTGAGGCTGAAAGCTAAGGAGCAAAAGTATGCGGGAAGATCACGTTAGTGACCCCACCCTTTCATCATCGCTTCATCCTGCGGAACCATCAAACATGTGACAATGACGATATTGTAACTTGTCTTACTCTGAACGTATGAGGTTGAAGCATACGACGGAAATTATGGATGTTTCGATGTAATCCGCATGACTCCCGTATCTGTCTGGGAGCAGCACCAGCAGCTTGAACCAAACAAAGAATGCAACGTCGCGATACTTGCCAATTGGACGAAGAGATTTCTCATTGGGTCGGCGTCTCCATTCTTTTTGGAACAGCTCACCCAAGCCCGAGTTTTGCCGGATGCCCTTACAGCTCAGAGTCCTCAGACGTCACTAGCCCCGCGGTAACCCCACTAAAGCTGTAGGAAGTACTGCTACTCAAACCCAACAACACCAACTTCTTCACTTCCATTTCCACTTCAACTTCAACTTCAATTGATCACTCTTGATACCCCTACACACCACCTTTCCACACTAAATCAACCATCACAACCGCAAACATGGGTCGCCAATTCTTCGTCGGAGGTAAGCAATTCACTGTCCGAGCCGCATCGTGACGTTAAACTGATTTCGCCAGGTAACTTCAAAATGTGGGTCTCTACTCAGGCAGTGAGTGCTTGTACAACAGCAGAAAAGCTGACATTCTGAAGGAACGGCTCCATCCAGTCGATCAAGGATATCGTCGAGAACCTCAACAAGGCCAAGCTCGACCCGAACACAGGTATGTAGTAAAGCGTTTCCACAATCTGAGAAGGTGCAAATATTCATTATATTATTTAAAAAGAAGAATACTGACACCAAAACCAGAGGTCGTCATCGCACCCCCAGCCCTTTACCTCCTCCTCACACGCGAGCATCTCCGCAAGGGCCTTGAGGTCGCGGCGCAAAACATCTTCGACAAGCCCAACGGTGCCTTCACCGGTGAGATCTCGGCTGAACAGCTAAAGGACAGCGGTATCACCTGGGCCATCCTTGGTCACTCGGAGCGTCGCCAGATCCTCCAAGAGAACGACGACTTCATTGCCAGCAAGACAAAGACAGCCACCGACAACGGTCTTGGTGTGATTCTGTGCTGCGGTGAGAGCCTCGAGCAGCGTGAGGCGGGTGAGACCGTCAACGTTGTCACCAAGCAGCTCAAGGCTGTTGCCGACAAGGTCAAGGACTGGAGCAAGATTGTCGTTGCCTACGAGCCCATCTGGTGCGTTTGATCTCTAGAGTTTCCATCTATATATGATCACTAACGAACAACAGGGCCATCGGTACCGGCAAGGTCGCAACCACTGAGCAAGCACAAGAGGTCCACGCCGCTCTCCGTGAGTGGCTCAAGAAGGAGGTCTCAGCCGAGGCTGCCGAGAAGACCCGTATCCTGTACGGAGGCAGTGTCTCGGAGAAGAACTGCAACGAGCTCGCCAAGCAGGCCGATATTGACGGTTTCCTCGTTGGTGGTGCTAGCTTGAAGCCTGCCTTCGTTGACATTATCAACGCCAACCAGGCATGAATTCCGCGAAGTGATGCTCGTCTATAGAAGATTGGAGCAGGCTTCGGGAGCGGATGGCCATGATGTTATGAGAAAACTTGACTTGGCTAGAATGCATGTACAGTCAGCATAATGAAACGTTATGAAGATCAATTGTGTTGGTTCCAAGCATATCCGTGATTTTGCGTATTTGATACATTGTTTATACAGTCGTTATGCATGTTCCAACCAGTATACATCGCTCCTATCTCGTTGCCCATCGCGAACAATTCCGGGCCTTGCCGGAATGATCTCACAGAGCCGTGTACTTGTTGGTATTCTGCAGAGCCGCTGCTAATGGCATCTTCTGATTGTCCATTGCGTATGGTATTCGTATTCCTCCATCATCCATTCCTCATATTTGAATCTTGCTTCCATGGAATGGACTCCAGATACCCCTAACGCTCTCGTTCAAACTCTTCACCGGTCGTCCATCCAACTTCCTGTTCTTCTCTCCTGTGCTGTTCCTCAACATCTCGGCCTTTTCCCTTACACCCTCATTCTGCAGATTCTTCACACATATTGACCGTTGAGCGCCGTTGATGTAGTTTGCGATGATTACGGGGTGTTTGCGTGGCCGTGGGCTGACGGAGATTTCAATCTGAGGGTTGCGCTTTGCGAATGCGGGGAGAGATGCTTTAAGGAAGGCATTCATGCCCCGGGAAGAACCCCACCAGTTGCAGTAGTGGAAAGTGAGGGACTTGCATGGGAGGACAAAGGCTCCTACACCATTCTGTGGTGATGATTAGCACTAAGTGGCAAATGCGGGGATACATCAGTCGTCCAGAACATACCTGAGCCTTTGCGACCGTCTTAATAGCCGAGACAGGCATGTTGGCGTGCAATGGCGGTAGTGACGGCGGTGCTTTCGCCAATCTCAAAGATCCAAAGTTTGGCGTTGGTCTCACGTGCGGTGGTCGTAGCCTAGGTTTGCGCTAGTGCGAACTCCGCGTCGCAGCTTCCTCGAAAGCACGATTCCCCCCAAACAACGACCTTTCATCATCACTCCCTCCACCCTTCCTATTCCAACTATTCCACATCGCTGTCTGGAGCGCATTCCAGAACAAACCTCGCCAACATGACACATCTACTCCCCCCGATGCTGTTGAACCTGTTCGCCCCGCGGCCGCCGCTGCGATGGGTTGAGCCGGCCGACCACGCGCCTGAGAAGCGCTGCACGCCCAAGATTGGCGGCGTTGGCCAGTACTTGGAGGCTCTGAAGGAGTACAAAGACAATGACGGCTACGTGCCGACCGACAGCTGGCTGCAGAAGCGCGATCGCAAGAAGCTCGAAAAGAAGGAGAAACAGGAGTATCTGCTTACGGAAGGGGTCAAAGATTGTACGACATCACTACGCGCACTTGCGTTGTTACTTGCGCAACTACTATTGGTACCACATGCTAACATTATATAGACAAACCTTCCGAAGACCCTAAAGTTCAGGGCGACGCCTTCAAGACGCTCTTCGTTTCTCGCTTATCCTATGGCGTCACCTCCGATGACCTCGAGCGCGAATTCGGCCGCTACGGTCCCATCGAACGCATCCGCATCGTCGAAGACGTCACTCAGCCTGCTGACGCGCCAGCTAAGAAGCGAAAGCGCGGTTATGCTTTTATCGTGTTTGAGCGCGAAAAGGACATGAAGGCTGCATACAAAGAGACAGACGGTATCAAGATCAAAGATCGACGCGTACTTGTGGATGTTGAGCGCGGTCGCACTGTCTCTGGATGGCGCCCTCGTCGCTTCGGTGGCGGTCTCGGTGGACGAGGCTACACCAAGGGTCCGTCTGCTCGTGGACCAAGTGGAGGCGGTAGCCAATTCGGAGGACCCCCAGCTGGCCCTGGTGGCTTCGGAGCCCGTGGAGGCGGTTTCGGTGGTGGTTTCGGCGGACGAGGTGGTGGTCGTGGCGGCTTCGGCGGTGATCGAGGTGGCTTCCGAGGTGGATTCGGTGGCGGAGGCCGCGGACGAGGTGACTTTGGTGGTAGTCGTGGAGGAATCGGATACCAATCCAACGGCTACGGACCTCCCGATGGCGCGCCCGCAGGTCCCCGCGGTCCACGAGGGGGTGGCTTTGGCGGCGATCGAGGAGGCGGTGGTGGATTCGGAGGCGACCGAGGCGGAGGCGGAGGACGATACGAAGACCGACGTGGCGGCGGAGGCGGCGGCTTCGACCGTGGATCCAGCGGCGCTAACAATGAACCGCTTGGCAGCAGAGATCGGTATCGCGACCGCGACGGTGGTGGGTACGGTGGAGGCCGAGACGATGGCTCAAGGAAGCGCGGCTACGAAGGCGACAGCTACGACGATCGGAGCCAGCGCCGCAGATACTAGGCCTACTCTCTGGTTGAGGTTTGTCAAAAGGTTACACCCCTTTTCTTCGCCTCACCACCCTTTCTCGCCATTGAGGGTAAGATCAAATTTGTTCTACTCTTGACGTTCGACCATACAGCAACACAACAGGTCAGGATGGTAAGGGTTGTCGATGTGTTACCTCTAGGCTTACGATCGGTCATCGGTTTCTCCTTCATCGACTGGTATATTGTTCCTTCTCGACTCATTGGTAAAGCAAAGGTATGGCGGCACAACATAGTCGACTACTGCCAAGATCTTCACCACCCGGGTTCGTAATGAGTTTGGTAGGCCAGGAACGGGTTCTCATCGATGGGTAGGACAAGGTGAACTTTCTCCCGCATGTTTTACTAGCTTTTTTCTTTCATGTTTTCATCCTTCTTCGCGGGTTTTGCTGGGTAGGTATCATGTAAGTTATAAGCACGCATTTTTGAGTAGTGCAAAGAGGTCTAGGTAAGGTTAACAGGTAAGGATGTTCTGTCTTCCGAACTTGGTTGATCTTATCGTGATGGTGTTAGGTATGAAAAAGCTTTATCTGGCTGTCAGTGCACGATGTCCTCTGTCCAATGTACATACACTGTAATCGAGTCAAAGCCTCTGTGCACGGACCAGTTCTTTTCGTGAGGCCACTATTCTTTTCCTTGAACGAGGGCAAAGAGCGCACAGAGTCAATCGGAGTGGCGCCTCTCAAGTATATGATCGAGCGCTTATACCAATCCGATTTTTACCACTCTCCCATCTCTTGCCATTTCTCGAATACTGAACTCTATTGTAGTCTCGCGCTTACCAGTGAACTACAATATGGCGCGACTACGACATGTAAACGGCTCCAGCAAGCATGTGCTTCAAGGTATCGACGACGGCCCAGTATTCCACGCGAAACGCTTAGCACGACGACCTGACTACTGGGAAGAAGATGAAGATGGTGACCTGCAACCGGTATTCATTCCGAAACCACCGGACCCCCTGTTCACACGCGAAGAACTAAAACCATATAGATCAGATCCAGCGCCGTGGCTCCAAAATAAGAGCCTGCGTAAACTCGCAAGTAATTCCAATTTATCACCTGACATGAACATGGCTGATTCGTGTAGAATGATCCACCGTTCCCCTTCCTAGAGCTTCCGACTGAACTACGCTTCGAGGTCTAACGCTACTGTCTCGTCGCGCACACGTCTATCTGTCTGTACTAAGGCAAAGAAATTAGTTGCCCGCCAAGACTCGGGCTCAGCCTGCTTCGTACATGCAAGGCAATACACACTGAATGCGCCCAGGTCCTATACGGCGAGAACGAGTTCAGGTTCCCGGATACATACGACCAACTCAAGCTTCTCAGGTTCCTCAAGCAGATCGGCCCAACTCATCGCGTGTGGCTGCGTGACTTGGTCATGAGCGTGCCGTTCCTTGACACTGACAACAGTCGAGTGTGAAGATGTAAAACCAATCTCGTTATGCGTTGGGGGTGGAGCTCTGCCCAGCACAACGTTGGTTACTACGATGACACATGTCCAGAGCTCTCAACACGCTCTGGATACCAACATAGTAAGATAACTTGGAGCAGTCTGTGCGAATCGCTTTTTCATCTCTTCACGTCTCTTCCCCAATTCCGCAAGTGGACTCTAATACTCCTGTGGAACTGAGTATACAACGATTGCTACCAGTGCACTCGCCCTAGACTGGGCATGTTCCATCAATCTGACGAGGAGACTTGGACTCTCATGTCTGACCAACTACACACAAAGCCTTTTCTCGAGGTACCAGTTGTGCGAGTTTTGCGGCCCAATAACCGTAGATCGGGTCGGCTACAGAATCAAGAGCGACATCTAGCGAATCTGAAGCGTAGACTAGGGATATGGGATCGTCGGATTGCTTACTACAATGATGATTGGAGTTTACCGGATGCAGTGGAAGAGGATCCCGATGAGTGTATCCGTGATTTGCGTTTTCTTTTTACCTAGATGATATGTTGAGCAGCCTTACGAGGACTACATAGGACACATTACTTGTTCATTACCCAAGTCCCAAAGTCCTACATTCTTTCGGAAGACAGGAGTTGGGCGCGTTGTAATCGCTTGTTAGTTGTCGCGCTATTAGGATGATAGGTAGCAACCCGACCGCGTTATGTGGTTTCACCACTGGATTTAACGATCTATCTTCTTCCACGGTCCCGTCTCACACACAAATCGCACTAGATGGATGTCATTACAATCTGATGAGCTTATAAAAGTTATAGGACTTTATCCAAAAGTCTAAAGCACAAACCTCCTCTCACCTCTTTTCTCATACCAATAATTTCACCCTTCAATAATCTCAGGACAGCTACTAGCAAGCCACCCCCCACTTCCTTAGGAACGAAAGATCCACTTCCCATCCCAAGATATCTGACGACTCACCCATCCTTGTTCTGAACGTTCCTCGTTCTAAGCTTGTCATCATGTCCAAGTGTTTCCAGTTCGTTGATGAGGAAAAAAGAGCTATTGATCCTACGATCCTGACGAGTAACGATGGTCCAAGCGTCAATCAAGTGCAGCTGTCCAGGAAGCACATTGTAGCAGCAGTAGACCACAGCGTTGAGCGCCTTCGCACCTTCATCGACGTGCTGCAGATCCACAGGATGGGTCTTGATGTGCCACCAGAGGAGATCATGAAGGTAGTCGATGGTGTTTCCGAAAGCGGTTAAGTTCGATACATTGGCGCCAGTTCGGTGAATGTATCTACAGAAACCAGAATTCAGATATACGGATACGACCAAGCTGACTAGTTGGAAAAGATGGCCGCATAACAATTCTAAATGCTGCAGAATGTCGCCAAAGCTTAACCGCTGGCATCAATTTGTATCTATACAGCGCTGTTACAACCTCCTCCACCGTGAAGAGGTGAGAGAGGTGAATGCCTACTGCCATGCCACAGGCGTGGGCTTGTTCCCATGGTCTCCCCTCGCAGCAGGCGTCCTCATACACCCCTGGACAGATCGCAGTGATCTACAGGAGCAAAAAGGCTTCTTTCTCTAATGCTCTTTCGGAGCGGAAATAATGCGCCGAATTAGGCTATTGTAGGACGCGTTGAGGAACTGGCGGGAAAGAAAGAATTTACAATGGTGCAGATTGCTCAGGCATGGCTAATCTCTAAAGGCTGCATGCCCATATGTGGACTGGAGACGAGGGAACCAATTGATCAAGCTTTGGCATCGCTGGATGCTAAGCTCGCCGACGTGGAGATCGGCTGATTGGAGGTATTATATGTTGCTAAATCGCCGTTGCCGTTCTAAGCGGGTAGTTAATTTACCCTCTCTTTCTATCATATGGCAGCAGCTGATCTGTCAACGTACTTAGCTTGTTCACAGGGCGCTAGGGTGATGTCGAAGGGCAAAGTTGTCGTGATGAACGTCAACGAGATCATGTTCGCGACTTTGATCGTTTTGTTCGCTCTGAGGGACTGCGAGTTCACTCAGATACAATGCATTTGTGTTTCCAAAGTCGACAAGCGGGATAACGCTTAACTTGTACCAACGTTGTAGCAAAGTGTGCACTCCCCAGACTGCCAAGGAACTTTCAACCTCCATCCTAGTTGTTTACATTTTGCTACATCACTTATGCGGAGCGTATACATTGACGCTACGAGCCTAACGCTGATCGTTATGCTAACACCAGGGTCTGACTGCAAGCGTTCACTAGCGGCAAGTGGCGGTTAGCCCCGCACTTGGTATCTAGCATTGACTATACTCAACTGTCTGTCGACCAATACAAGATTTTGGTGATCCAATCGTGTGTAAACAGAATGCGCCGCAACTCAAATCAACCATGGTCAGGGTCCTCATGTATTGAACCTCGTATTATTCTAGAAACTGATCAATTATTATAGCGTAGGGAGAAAGCAAAAGTGGGGTGTTTCGACCACCACAAGATCACCCGCGTACTGCGAACTGCACGTTGTTCCGTTCTTGGATGGTGTCATAGCCGCATTTTGACCGAAGCGAAATCAAGTCAGCGTGTTGCTCTAGAACGGGAATAACGTAGCAGTCAGCCACGTCATGCGACTGTTGAAATCTTGGCATGCCTGCTGCGAATGCTTTATGGAAGATGTCACAGCGAAATAGATGTCGTCGGACGTGGTGGACAGCTCGATCAAGCTGTCCGTGTATGGGACGGCGCTTCCCTCGATGGTGCCCTTTTAAAGTTACTGGGGCTTTCCTCCTAATTTACTGTCACAGGCAGAGTTCGCAACAAGCAAGTAACTTGCAAGCCTTGCTTGCTTAACTTGGCTTGGCACCAAGTTAAGCAAGTCAAGTTCATCTACATAAAAACATCAAGCAAGTCAAGTTTAACTAGCAAACTTGCTTAGTAAACTTGAATAACTTGGGTAACCTTATGAGGTCTTTGTTGTTGCAGGAAAATAAAACTGCGATAGGATTTTTGGTGTTGCAGTAGGTGGGCCTATGCTTACGGTACGGTACGTAGTCAGCTTACGCGCCCCAACACGTAGCGTTAACACTTACTACCTACTTCTGCACCTATTGCTATATTAGCGTGTATTATTACAGTCTTTTTAAGCTATTGTAGTTATTATTGTTTTTTGCTGCCTTCTATGCCTGTTTAACGAGCCGCTAAAGGTACTAAACGTAGCGCAGGACTTGCTGAACAGCCCGCCAAACGCGTGCGCGTCACCTGCGGTACAGGCACTAATACGCAGCCGTTAGAGCTAGCTGATACTTAGCAAAGCTCGTCGATAATATTAGCACCTAAGCTACCTTAGCGGCAATTACCGCGCAAAGCCCTGGCCGACGCAGCGTCCTAGGCTACTGAACAGCACCCTTTCGAGAGCTAGTTGCTGCTTAACGCCGTGCCTAACGAGGCTATTGTACCGCCTATCGAGGGTTCTAACGCTGCCACGGTAGCTAGCGCCGCCGACGATAATCGCGAGGTCGATAGCTCGTTTGATGAGCGTTTCCTCGACAACTTTGACGGCATTGATTAGTGTCGATTGTCGCGCTTTTGCAAGCCTCTGCGCTCACAGAAACGCTAAAAAAGCTGGATATATAACTATGGATATCGAGTTGCGCTGCGCAGTAACACTGATGAGATCTACTTTATCTGCAAGTTCTGCTATTAACGTCGCTCACACGATGGTATCCTTAAGGTTACGCAGTTAACTACATCCGCGATTACTCACCTAAAGTAACCGAAAGCAGGCCACAACTTTACAAAAAGCGGCTTACAAGCAGCGACAAAGCGAGCATTTGGCTAGCAATCGCTTGCGATGGTGACTGGATCTGGTGTAGCAATTAGCTAGGAGCTAGTTAATGAGCTAGGCAACTTTGACGTACAGGCCTTCCGCTACGCAGCTGTTACGTGGCTTATTGAGAACAACCACCCTCTCTGCGAGCTTGAAACACCTGCTTTCCGATCGATGATAGGCTTCGCAAGCCCTGAAGCAGAGAGTGCGTTGTGGACGAGCGCTAACAGCGTTAAGGCGTATGCAATACAGCTATATAAGTTTATGTTACCTCTGGTTGTTACTGCGCTGTCTAAAGCTATTAGCAAAATCTATATAAGCTTTGACGGGTGGACGATAAAGGGAGGTAAGCGGGGCTTCTTTGGGATTGTTGCGCACTACGCCGACGCATTAGGGACGGTTTTTGACATGCCTATTGCGCTGCTGCAGTTAATAGGCGCCTATACTGGGGAATGGATTGCTGAGGTTGTTGGTTAAACGTTGCAGAAGTTTGGGATATCGCCGCTAAGGCTTGGTTGTTTTGTCCTTAATAACGCGTACGCTAACGACACAGCCGTTACCTATCTTGCTGGGCAGTACGGGTTTACTGCAGCTTACTAGCGCCTACGCTGTGGCCCTTATACGCTTAACCTTATTGGCTAGGCTATTATATTTAGTAAGGATCTAGATTTGTACGATAACGACGCAGCGGAGCGCGCAGAGGAAGAGGAATTGATGACGAATTGGCGCAAGGATGGCCCGTTAGGCGTACTTATTGACGTGATTAACTATATTAAAACGCCCTAACAGTACGATCTGTTTAACTGTTTCTAGCTCCTTACTAACGCCGAGCTCCCTACAAACAATTAGAAGGCGATATTAGAGCTAATTAAGCCTGTTGTTACGCGTTAGAACTTATTCTATAGCTGCTTTGAGCGGGCTATTGAACTACAGCACGCTGTGAGCAATTACGCCAACTATTACATCTAGTATACGCGCAATCTCGACGATATCGCTAAGAGGCGCGGCAACAGGGTTCCTGACGTACTAAAGTGGATGCGATTAGACGGCCTTACAGCCGCAGATTGGGCGGTGATATTGGAGTATACAGAGGTGTTGAAACCACTTAAGCAGGCCACTAAACAGCTTGAAGGGCGCGGTAAATCAGGTTAATTTGGCGCCCTATACTTAGTAATACTGGTGTTTGAAACGCTACTACACGAGCTTGAGCAGCGGGTTAAACTATATAATCACGTCAACTACGAACAGATTAACGCTCCTGAGGATTATCTGCCTATTAACCTCCGCGCCGCCTGGGCTAAAGCTAACACCTACTACTCTAAGCTTGATAGCTCACTATTTTACTACGCCGCAACAATACTCTATCTGTACTACAAACGCTATTGCGATCGCAGCTGGCGCTTAAAGCTAGAGTGGTTACACGCTAACAACGTAGCTTTCTAGCAGCTTTGGCAGCAATACAAGCTAACTAACGCTGTACAAACTACTCCTAGGCTACTACAAAGCGCGCTTGAGGACGCTATTGCCGCGATAGCTGACGCCGACGATAGCAGCGACGACGAGGATATTGACGAGTTCTAACGCTGGAAGAAGCTTGAGCTAAAATGGACGCGCGAGCAGTTTACTTAAGGCTGTGATCCTATCTGTTACTGGATTGAACTACAACTAAAGTATCCCAACTTAGCTAGGCTGGCGTTTGACGTTCTAACGATACCTGCTAGCAGCTGCGAGTGCGAGCGATTGTTTAGCGAGCTCGGTGATCTATTAGAGCTAAAGAGACGCAAAATAGGAGCTCAACTACTAGCTACACTGCAGTGCATTCGAGCTTGGACACGTGCTGGATTTGAACGTCCAACTCTAGGGATCGTCGAGAAACTAGAGGCAACGCGTTCTGAGACGCTGCTGGAGGGAGAGTATGATCTGTGCAACTGGGAGGCGCACCCGCAGTAATCTGCATATATGTTAACTATAATAATTACCTAAGTTACCTAAGTTATGGAAGTTTACCAACCAAGTTGTGCTAATACCGCTTCCAAGTCAAGCAAGTTTCGTTACTACCGCAAAATCGTCCCAAGCAAGTCAAGTGAGCCTCAAAACTTGCTTAACTTGCTTGTTGCGAACTCTGGTCACAGGCCAAGCGCTGTCGTAAATCTGAATCTCATTACTACCCGTGTTATGTAAGGTCCAAGAAATGCCTAGGAGAGCTGAGCAATGGTCTAGAGCAATAAAACATCAGACACGCTTTTCTTGAGCTCCTATACTCGGAATCGATAATGCCGAACAAGATGCCAATGCCTTCGTTGCCTAGAGTAAGCCGCGACAACCGTGGCCTGGCCTGACCAGTTGCAGGGATTCACCGGAAAATGACCTACACTAATTGCACAACGACTACATTGTGGCCTGACAGAAGCATATGAATCGTATTGAGTGCTGCAAGGCAAGGATGTCAGTGTTGCCTTATTATCAGTGCAACAGGAATCATTGGATAGCTGACCGCTGTGGCTGTTGCCTTGCAAACCGCCGAGAGACCTGCATATTACATCGAATCTGCCAAAGGATTCTTCGGTTGCCATCGGCTGACCTAGAAGCATATGAAGGCTGATGGTTCGTCATGGACATGAATGATTACGTCGACCTCCATCTTCGACAACTCCCTCCAGACCTACTGCATCTGCCTTCAGGATCCCACGATATTTATCTTTCGAACGATCAAACTACCTGAATAGCCACAAACCAAACATGGCTAAGGCTTGCCGAGTTACTAATTGCACCTGCGAGGACTACGTAGAAGATCCGAATCAAAAGGACAGTGAAGGGCGTGAGTACTTGAATAAATGCGAGACTTGCGGTTGTACACAAGGTAATCACGGATAGTGAGGGGTCTGGACAGAAGGTAAATGCCTATACAGCTGTCTTCCATGCGCCACTATTAATCCTCTGCTAGGGACATTTGTTTGCAATTTCCGTGCTCTTGGGCAGACTATCAACAGTGACAAATACTCCGGGAGCGATATAGAAGACGCAAGGCTTGGGCGAAGGAGGCACACAGGAGCCTGTGGCTGCAACAACAGCGGCTGACCGTTCTCTCGTTTCTCACAATACTCTCGGTTGTTATACCATTACAATCTTTTATTCTTACATTTCCAAAGGCTGCATTCCTGAATGTAGTCTAGAGATAAGGGGAAGAATCAATCGAGCTCTATCATTGCTGAGTATTGTGGTGTAGTAGGATAACACGTGATCGGAGGGACAGTATATATACTAAAAACCTTTCAAGAGAGAAAGGCAGCTTCTTTCTTCAATTACACTCTAGCGATTGCTCTCGAACTACTTCTTTCTGCTCCTCTATCCGATTGCGGGTCGAACACCTGCCTCCTAACTTTGCTCGATACCTTATCGTACTACAGTATTCAGCTCACTAAAAACGAAACTAGCTAGTCATAGCAGCTGTATATTGCCCTTCTGAACGGATAGTTGATACAATCTCTTTTTACCGTAATCGCACTCATCATTATTTCTACCTGCTGTGCCTTCGTCGCCCAGATAGCGGCCTCTTGGCTTATTTGCAATTTTAGAGTTAGCAATCAGTTCGTTGTAGTATCGATATGGTTCTTGAAATTGTTCATCATTGCACTTCCGTATCTCTTCTTTGATCCCTACCTCTGAGATCTCTTTCTAAGAACGGTAAACGCGTTAAACATTTAGTTATGAGACTGTTGATGTGCTCTAGCAAGGATGCTATCTGAAAGGATGTCGCAATGTCGCGTTCAGAGGAGAGTAACAGCTGATCTATCAACGTACTCGGCTTTCTCAAAGCGTACTAACGGCGACGCTCTAACTGAAGAGATATCACCATGAGTATGAGCAGAATTGCGATCCATCGCCAACCTCTCTGTTCGTCCTCTGGATACAGAGGCCGGAAGATACCAGGCCTTCGTGGGATACTGACGCGTCCATGAACACGCAACTTTGTTTTTTGATGAGAAAATTTAATTGAACCCTTTATATGACACTCTGGATCCGAGGTAGATCTGCTGTCCTCGATCAGGTCGACTTGTCTGAGGGTCACGCGTACAAACGATGAAAGAGACCTCAAGAAGCAGATGGCACAGGCAGCGGCGGAGTAGGTATAGTTATCGTATCTCGACAGAACATGTCGTCGGCCTTTATCATAACCGATGCCCAAGAGCTCCTTGAGCGCTTCGTCATCCGGGTCTTCCCAAGGCTGAGGATGCAGATATACGAGACCGTGAACGCGTTATGCAGTGAGTAGGCCAGAAGGTACCTTGAAATATGGACTGTCTTCGAGGATACCTAAGGCAGAATGGATGAAGTTGCGATAGATTGAAGGTGGCTCGTCTCAAGTATGATCCTTAGACCCCTCCGACTCGACTTCGCTCATCAGTCTCATTCCCCGCAGGGGCGGAACAAATTGTAGATAGACAAGATTTGTCCTCTTCTCCTTTTCCTCAGTCAAGCAAATATGAGCTGCTCGTTCAAGTAGTGCGATTTTGTTCCAGTTCAACTTCTGAAGAGCATGGCGAAACCACAAAGGCTTTCGTCGTGATGTATCCGTATACGCAATTCGGAAGGTGACTTTGTTCAGCCGCAGAGCAAGGCCTTGCAGCTCAGCTGCGGGTACACGGCAGGTGTACTCCAGCGATAGATCAATACCCTCGCCGTCAGCCGTAGTAAGTCTGTTTTTATCGGAATCGTATTCGAGACCTGTTTCGCTGGATAAATAATGGTGGTATATGAGATCTTGGAGCTCCCAAGGCTGTCGAAAGAACTGTGAATGTAACTGCATGTATGCTAGAGGACTAGGAGGTGCTATATTGGAATTTGGGTCGCATGGGAGTTTCGATGGGGGAGCCTGAGGGGAAAGTTTCTCCACGGCAAAAATTATATCTCCAACGCTCATTTCTTCATAGAATAAGTGAGAGAAATATCAGCAAGCGAAGAATGTTACTGTGATGAGGATATAGGAGTTAAGACAGACAAGAGAATCAACTGCAGCATTTAAGTAACAGAGGCCGTTGAAGCCACGTCGAGCTTAGAAACTCAGTCGCAAATCTGGTGCTTCACTGAGCCGCGCAACATCCCATTACGGGTACAATTTGCTGCTGTCTAGATACTCAAATTTGGTTGGATGCAGTACCACTGATGGTTTATAGAGATAGTTTGGTCATGGACTCTGTTACATGCTTTCTCGTTGGCCCGTTATTAGGCGGTCGTGCTGCAGGGCCCAATGCGATTGTCCCAAGTGGTGATATAGTGCTGCGAAAAGTGCAATAGCGGTGTCTGATATGGAAGGAGGCTCTTTTTGGATACAAACATTCCACTCATCGATGTGTATGTGTCCGTTTGTGGACGCAGGAGGTCTCTGTACAAGTCAGAGGGTGTCTAGATGCTACCTAGGTAGTATGGGCGCTTTGCTGAATCAGGGCTACGTTAATCGTGCGCAACGCGTTTAGAGAGCTACATTCATAGGTATAGATTCGATCCTTAAAGAATGTGTATATGATGACTGAATTGAGTAAACTCTCTTCGATATACTACTGATTGGTGGGTGGATTGATGCTTAACATCCTAATATACTTTTACTCTCAATCCCTTAGAGTCTTCAGGCATTACAGGGACAACAGTATCGCTTGTAATCACCAGATCAGCAGCACTCGTCTCAAACAACTGCAATGTCCCAACATCATCCTTCCCTTTGACCTCCTCGCTACCATATACCCTGAAAAGCGCCGCCAGCGTGAGATAAAGCTCTGCATAAGCAAGGTTAATTCCGAGACAAGCCCTACCACCCTTACCAAATGACACTAGATAGCGGTCGAGGCGGGGATTATTAAGCCAGCGTTCGGGCTTGAAGTCGTGCGAGTCCGGAAAGATGCGCTCGTCATGATGTACCAGATTGCTGGTCATGCTCATAGGTGTCCCGGGCGGGATACACCATTCGCGCTGGTTGCTGGCGTCGCGGTAAACGAGCGTCTCATCAGGGCAAATGCGGTGCAAGCGGTGCGAGATGGCGTGGCTTAGACGCACGCCTTCTTGAACCACGCCAGTAAGGAAGGGCAGAGACTCCAGCACGATAAGGTCGAGTGGTTGCGAAGGATCAGTAATGGCAGTCTCCAACTCGGCCTTGAGCTGACGCAAGATGTTCGGAGTGGCGAGCACAAAGTAGGTCGACACGCCCAGTGCCCAGGCAGTAGTGATGGTCCCTGCAGCAACGACGACCTCGCCCTCTTGCCAGAGACGATCTGTCGACTTGTCGTAATCTGAGAGCTTGCTGTTGAGAATCTCGTGGAAGATGGTGCGGCGTGTCTTGTCATAAGAATGCGTCTGGTGTGCGTGCTGGATTTCGGCGACCTGACGCTTTACGCTAGTCTGAAGCTGAGAGTACGCGCCCATTGCTGGGCTCAACTTGAGCAGCAATGAGTCAGGAAGCTTCTTCAAAAGGTCCATCAGCCACGTGAAATGCTTCAGTACATGTCCAGCTTTACCGCCTTGCAGCATCGCGTCCCGGAATGATGGGTCAAAGTCTGGAGCCTCTAGACGATGATCGCTTCTCCCAAAGGCGTAGTCCTCAACAATATCTGCACGACAAAATTGACATCAGTGTCCGGTCTCTAGAGTTCAGGAGGATGTCTCACCATTGGCCAGTGCTGCGTAAGCATCATCCAGCTTCAGGGGTGAACCAGAATCGGCAAACTGGCGTAGGCGCTCCAGCAGAATACCCATATTCCGGTCAATTAGTGGCTGTAGCGCTCGCACGCTCTGCTTGGAGAAATATGGGGAAAGAGAGGCCCTGCGTATGCGGTGCTCATCGTGTTTGAGTGTTCCGATCAAGCTCTCATCGACGCCAAAAGACCGGGTTATCCAATCCCATTTGTCGCGCTTGCGTCCACTGCCAGCATAAACTGTGTCGTAGAATTCGGGATCTGCGATGTGTATCTCGTCCGGATTGATGCGAACAATGGGACCTTGACGCCATTCAGTTCAGTGTGTCAGAATTTGAATCAAAGCAAACACCTACCATATTCCTTGTGGAGCCGGCCGATCTTGAACGTGTACTCGGGTTCAGCAACGACATCGTACCAAAACTCGTACCAATAAGTCCATGCTGCAAGCTTGGGCCCCGGGAAGTGCGCGATTGGGCTCAAAACAAGTCGATACACAGTAACATAACAGAAGTAGAGGACAGAAACCACAAGCAGAGACACCAAGGTCACAGGCAGGTCTACCGTCCCAAGTGTAGAGCTGAATATTGTCATATCTGGAGATTTTCGTGAGGTTGGGCAGGGATAAGCGGGATGGACATAAACAAGAAGACTGCAATCGAAATATAGTGCTTCGATAAGATGTCAGCTCGGTTGGAGGTCGTCAGAGTGTCTGACGCAGTGCTTGCGTCCGAGAAGGATTTTCTGACGAGCCGCATTGCATGGTGTGTACTGTAAGGCCAGATGCAGGGGTGGGGAACTATTGGCCCGCTAATGCAGGAAGTATTTGCGTGCCGCTGTCCCACTCAAGCAGGTCAGATAGAATATATTAAGCTCGCTAAGCTAACGCTGATGGGAAGGTCCGTACCTAGGTGTCTAGTACATACATAGGCTATTAACCCAGGTAGCATCTTCTTGACTCGAACATCAACTCAACCTGGTCCCTCGAACGACAATTTGTTTGGATATATCACCCGGTTCAATGTCTCTGGAACGTGCAGATTTTGTGGGCCTCGTGTGGCTCTCAACTCCCTTTCTCCTTTTGCTAGGCTCTCGCATACGGCGACAGCTCCGATGGCTCCTTTTGTTTCCATTTTTGGTACTTTGCCTCGTTCTCTTATCGATTCCTTCCGGTGCTGATACAGCAAAAAACTACACATTTGGTACAGGTCAGACTGCATGATCAATTCCTGTACGTCACCGTTGCTAATGATGCTATTGTGCAGTCTTGTACGTCGGCTTGACGAATTTCAACCTGCTCGTTCTAGAAGATCCATACGTGGAGCATATACGCAGCAGAAGTAATAGCAATGAAGAGAAGGTCTTTCCAGACTTTTACTCGCTTCCTTCACTGGGACAGATTCGATGGTGTTTTAGTAATGCCTATTCGACCCGAGGAATCGGCTGGAGCTGGGGTACTGCACATCTTCCTCCAGCTCCTCCAGCAGGTTTATCCAAGGCATCTTTCTTGAGCCTGTCACTAAGAAGAATTCTGCAGCAATACGTTATTCATGACATTGCGGGTGCGCTTCTTCTATGGTTGACAGACGGAGGACGAACGAGTATACTCGACTTGGATTTTGCCCTGCGAAGCTTAGCTACCGGATGCTGGTGGGCGTCAACTATTGCGCCAATGGACATTGTATATCATATCGTATGTTTATTCGGTGTCATATCTGGTCTTTTCTGGAATGTTGTCGACGAGGTACATCCGCTCAAAGGGGCATGGGCCACATGCTACACTCTGAACAATTTTTGGAATCGCACATGGCACCAAAATTTCCGCAGAGCACTCCAAACCCCGAGCCGCTATATTGCGAGACACGTCATACGTGCGCCCAAAGGAACATTGAGGAGTCGTCAAGTTCAGTACCACGTCGCGTTTGCTATCTCTGGGCTCTACCATTGGGCAGCTGCAAAGATGGCCATTCCATCCGAGGGTTTTGCACAAACGCTCGTTTTCTTTGCAGTCATGCCAACTCTCATCTTGGTAGAAGACCTGGTTATCTCCATTGCTCAGGAACAGCTTGGATGGAGGAATCGACAATGGCGTCTTCTCGGATTCCTATGGACCTTTTTCGTTTTGACTTCGCTAGGTGCAGGTTTTGTGGACGACTGCGTCAGGCATGGCCTCGTAACTTCTTTTCCAGCTCTTCCATTCTCTCCTACATATGCTATCTTGCATCTGTGGGGCCGCAGCAAGAACTAGCGTCTTCCAAACAATAAGGAATATTACATTGAAGAATAGACATTGGAGGACCTTTTTATTTTACCCGTCTTGATAGAGAGACTGGCACTTGACCGATAGTAACTTAGTTGATCTTGTGCCCTCCGGGTACCAATGTAGTAAAAACTCCTTCTGCGTCATAAATTTCTCGAACTCTCTTCAGAAACTCAATGTTGTCGTTCCCATAGCTTCCGATAGGATCCTGGTCTATCGCAGCATAATTCATGTACTTGAAAGGATGATACAGGCCTCTCTCCTTGGCGGCTGAGACAGACTGGTCAAGCACAGCTTTGATACCGGCGATGACCGTTGTGTCATCAGATTCGTGAGACCATTCCCATCCAAAGGAACAGACTATCAAGCATAAGCAGTTAGCGCCATACGAAGAAGAATGCATGGCAACACTCACCAACCAAAGGCGCCTCGTCATCATGAAGACCCATTACGTTTCCTCCACGTGTCGCCTGGGCCTTCAAAAGGTTCTGCGTTAGTGGTTGGATTCCCAGCATCGGTGCAAATCGCTGGTCCTCTTGTAGCCCATTATCTAGTGCCTTCTTTACTTGCTCCACGAATATATCCACCATAAGTGCTAACAGTCCTACATCGGCAGTAAAGGTCGCTGTTGTGAACCGGCTCCGCATACCAGCAGGTTCTGATTGATTCAGCTCATCCGCAAGGTCCGACACTGAGGTCACTCTCGCGGTGCTCACAATCTTCGCCGTACCATATACCTCCGCATCGTCTTTGAACTGGGTAAAGATAGAAGGTTCAACCCTTCCCAGCGTATCATACTGCCCTGCGGCCCAAGCAAAGTTACCTTGCTTGTAACCTAAGCCAGCGAATAGTGATACATATGGATCGGACGGAGCGTCATGTGCAAATTTGACGAAGCCGCGTGTGAGAGCAGAGGTTACTGATGGCAGCAGTGGCCACACATGCAATCCTCCCCACATCGGCCCCTGCTGGAATACGTCAAGATCGAAACGAGTGACAACGCCAAAACTATTCCCACCACCGCGCATAGCGTGGTAGAGGTCCGAGTTTGACGATTCGGAAGCGATCGTTAGACTACCATTTGCAAGGACTACCTGAATTGCCATTAGTGTGCGCCTATCATTCAGCTTCAAGGTCGTTACCTCGTAGTTACGGACATTGTCACATGCCCAGCCGTACAGGCCGGAGAAGTGGCTCAGCCCACCACCCAGCAGCAGTCCGCCAACGCCAACTCCAGTGAGTCGACCGCCCACAACGGTCTTGTTTACTTTCTCAAGTTCTTCGTACACCTCGCCCCATGTCGCGCCCGCGCCGACTCTGACCAAGCCTTCACTTTCATCAAATTCGACATCGCTCAAGCCCGCCATATTGACCGTGATGCCCCCATCAATGTTGCTCGCACCTTGAATATCCGAGTGACCTCCACCGCGAACAGCGAAGGGGCAACTGGTTGTGCGTGAGACCGATATGACGGCTGCGACATCCTCGACCGAGCGGATATGGACAAGACAGGCTGGCTGGGCAGACTGTTGCTGCTGTGCCCAAAAGAGGGATTTCACAGAAGTTCCATTTGCAGCCACGGGATACTGTTTGAAATCAGACATGTGACTGCCAGTCAGCTCGACGGAGAGGGATTCGGAGAGAAGAATGCACTGCATGCGTTAGACCATGGCCTCTGTTTGCTAAACGCTCTTCTTCAACGTACGGCATCATGGCAAGATCCGTAGTCCGCTGTTATGAATTTGCTGTTGCCGATGGAAGCGTGTATAGCAAACAGCCAAGGTAGAGTTGTTGATTGCCGCATTTCTGTATATCTGATAACGAAGAACAAGGAATCCCAAGTTACCAAGTTCAAGCTATTGCTGGAAATAAGATAATCTCGATTCGAAAACACATCAGGCCACCCATCGACTCGTGAAAATCAAGTTATGCAAGGCTAGATAGGTTATGTCACGGGCTTGTCGTTAGGCTGTTGATAGGAAGGCATGAGGATTACTATGCATTTACCCATGTCAGTACACAATACCTAGATACGCCCACGTCGCACGCGAGACGCCACAAGATGCACGCACTACGATCCTACATGTGGAAGCAAGGGTACATGAGCAGGGCACGCTGCAATTTCCGCAATAGCTTAAGTTGGCCGGATTTAGGCGCAAGTACAACAAGATGAGATAAAAATGTAGAATTAATCTGCTAGCGGCTACTGTCCCCGAGCAAAGCGGCCCGCACAAGAACAATTGTGGCTAGCGGGACGGCAAGGCCCCTAAGCGATCATCTGCTAGTGCTTACCTCGCCAATTCTGGTAATTCCTTTGACACTGAGCTTTGCAAGACACAAACGAAGCATTGGGTTCGCTTCGCCTGTTTGCTGCTCGAGCCGGTTAATTTCCACTTCCAGATCGCGTTCCATATCCGTCAGGCAAGCCATCGTCTTCTCAAATGCTCCGCTTTTCTTCAGGCAAGCCGTCAGATGCTGCTTACTTTCTCTCGACAAGGGACACGCGTCAACGGTAGCAACCGTGGGGCGTTGCCGGAACACGCCCAGAAAATGCCCACGGTATTCCGGGAAATTCTCCAAGCAGTAAACGACTGGGTACGAGAATTTGCCTTCGTCTAGATCTTCACAGAGACCTTTTTGTGCCGTGTAATCCTGGAAGTTCATGTAGTCGTCACGGATCTGGAAAAAGCGGCCGAACAGCAGCGTCAATTTGTGAAAGTCCAACTGCGGTGTCACTTCGCTCTCCGCTTGCATGATTCGCAGCAGCATGCGAAACATGCCGCCGGTTTTGTGATCGACCATGTTCACGTACTCAGCCTCACTTGGACACGCGAGGTTGTGTTTCCAGTACAGGTCCCAGCTCTGGCCCAGATATAGGCCCTCGAGTTCTTCGAGGACCGCAGTAAGGGCAGCTGGGCTCAGGTTCTGCGCGACTTCTTGCACAGCGCGGACGAACATGAAGTTTGCGCTGTTGATCGATTGAGCCTGCCCAAAAAGGATGTGTGTCGATGGATAGCCCCTTCGAAGCGGGGAATTGTCCTCGAGGTCGTCAAGAATAAGGGACGCGTTGTGCAGCGAATCAATCACTGACATGATCGTCTTGAGCCGTCTAGATGGCACATGGAGCCATGTGTTGAGGGCTTCGATAAGTGTGCTCCGGACGCCTTTCGAAGGCATGCTTGAGACATACTTTGAGGGCGCCTCCAAGGCCAATCCCGACGGCTTGTGGAAAGGGTAACTGGACACCTCGGAGAGTCCAGATCCATCGTCGCTGGGTTCCGAGTCAAAGACGGGGGAGTCTTTTCTTTTCTTCAATGGAGCGTTCTGCTTGCTGACCACAGCACCTTGCGAAAGCTTTCTTTTGACACCGTTGCAATTGGTTGAGTCTACCTCCTTCCACGCATTCTGTCTTGGGCAAGCCGAGCACCAGTAATGGTTTCCTGAGACAGCTAACCCAGCGCAGTCGATCCAACGTTTCAGTTTCAAGGATATGTCAGGATGGGTCTTGTAGAGCTCATCCCGGCGCTGACAAAAGTCGCGCTCAGCATTGATGATTCTGCGTTTGACCTCATCTTTTGCGTCGTCGATTGAAAGTCCTTTCGTTCTGATGAACAAGTCGACAGCACTTACAATTCTCTTTGATTGACCGGATTGGAGTTCTCTATACTCCCGTTCCCAGCTGAAGAAGTCATTCGCTAGAAGAAGCCCTTTGGTGGCCGCATCAATAATGGGCTGTACAAGTGCTTCCTCTGCTTCTGAGATGGATATTCCGAGGCTGAACTGAAGCATTGGCCAGAAGACCCTGGTAAAAATAAGCCAACATCTGAGATTTAGGCGACTGGGTCTCTTACAGCATTCCTCCGTTGTCACTTCGATACTTCAAGTATTCTTTCATAGTTTGAGCTTCCTTGTCGCTGTCTCGCTCGCTAATAGCGAGCCAGACGTCGCGGAATGCAGCAAGCATCTTAAGACCCAGTTCACGGTCGAGGCTGATGCATTCGAGAATACATTGCGAAACAAGCTTTTTAGTCTTCATTGCCCTTGAACCTGGTGTGACGCTGCTGACGTCGTCAGGATCTAAGGCAGCATAGAGTTCACCGTGCTCAGCTTGCGCATCTTCAATGCTTAGGCCTTCGCCGCCGTCTGGATCCTCGTTAGAAACGCTAGAAAAATATGGAGAAGACAAAAATACCGTCATGAATCAGTCCCAAGTCGGACAGATATGCCAAAACACCCAACCTTTCCGGAATAGCTTCGGGATAAATCAAGGATGACCAGTTCCCCACTGGTGAGAAGGAGAAATAGGTATGTCTTTCCCGGCCATCTCCCATCTCCCTGGCCCAGTCTTTTACGAACTGACGGCTTGCTGCATCAGCTAGATCATCTCGAGGATGGACACGAATAGGAAGTGTCGTGAAGCATCCAGTCCGTCGGGATTCTTCAAAGGAAACTAATTTTGACTGATATGAGAGTGGCCCCATTGTGCGATATGTTTCTTGTAGGAAGACGATGAAACATAAGATATAAGTATACTAGTCTATTAGACTCTCTCATGTACGAAGGACCTAATAACAGAATTTGTACATACCCTGATTGGACGTACGAGACACGTGATTTCCGATTCACTTTGATATGATTAGTTCTTTCAATCCCGATCTAGCGCCGCGCACTATCTAGCCGAAGGATTCCTCAAATCGGGGGAAGTCCCTTTTCTGTCAAATTAATTGCGGGAACTTTATCAAGAACCTAAGTGCCGGCTGTTCACACCGCCCAGCAAGCGCTTACTTCTGCAGTGCGTGCATGCGCGGCTACTAGCCCGATTTTGTCATCTACTGCATCGCGAGCACATTTCGAACAGCTGCAATACCAGGATCTACTAAGCTTATCTTAGAAAAGTGAATACTGTGCATTATCTACATGTGAATGTCGTTTCTCCGCCAATAAGCTACTGTCTTCTTGGACATGTTTTCCTGCACTTCCTTCTAGGTGCGTTACTAATAATCCTGTCGGGTCATACCTCTTGGTTGGCAATTATCTACGCTGTGTTCTCTATTCGAAGAAACTAATCTTCCATACAATATTCAATCTTCTGGAACACTGAGTGAACTGCCTCATTCCATCCCCTAACGAGTATTTCTGTCACTGGACAAGAGATGTTAGATCTGTGGTATCTTTTTCACGGGTGTACGTTGGTAGATTATCAGCCGCTAACAGGGGTATAGGCTAATCCGCGGCGCCAGCCGCAGCGCCAGCCGTCCAGGGTCCAAACTTGCTAAATTGGCCCTACCCGTTGGTGCCAGGGAATCCTACGCTAATGTCACGCTACCGTTTTGTGGCAGGAGCAAACCATTCCAGCATCACTAGCAGGATGACGGCAGGCGATAATCAGTAACTAATCTCACCCTAGAATGCATCCGTGGCTCTGCGCCACTCATATGCGGCTGGAATGATTATATGCGTTTAAACGTAATTGAGTTTCTATATTCAGGACCAGAGGAGAAGGACCAGAACAACCCACGACAGGGACTGTATTTGGCTCGCGCGCGCAACGGTCTCCATCAGCCGTGTAGGATGCGTTGCGGACTCTCATATTTCTTAGGACACAGCAAACTTTTCCTCGATACCGAAGTTGACATTCAGTCTACACACCGTGATAGACACCATGGAAGTAACTCCCTTCTTACAGCGGTTAGGCCAAGGCCCGCAGATCGTTGCAGTAACAGCGATTGTACGTATTTATACTCTCGTTTTCTTATCCGTCACAATGTACTGACAAGCTTGCCTTTACAGACCCTCCTCGTTCTAACATCGATCATAATCTACGGGTGTTACCTACACCCACTTGCTCATGTCCCGGGTCCGTTCTTGGCAAAATTTTCTCCAGTGGGTCCTTCAAATCCAGACTAGACATTCTTGTTCTGATCAAGAAAGTTATGGGGTATGAGAGCCCTCTACCGTATGAAATTCAATTCAGAACTTCAAGCTCTCCATGAACGATATGGCAAGAACCCCCAAAGCTTGTGCCACTGGAGTAGCCTGGCTGATTGCAGACAGGGTCTGCCGTACGAGTTGCACCAAATGAAGTGTCTTTTGCGACTTTTGAGGCAGAAACAGCGATATATGCAAAGCAAGAGGATGGTCGCTTTTCTAAGGCTGGAACCTTCTTGACACTCTTCTCGGATCTCGTGTTGAATGCCCCTACTCTTATCACGATTCCGGATCCAGCGCTTCACAAGAGGTTGCACAAAGTGATTCAACAGGCTTTCACACCTCAAGCACTTGCAAGCCAAGAGCCGATCCAGAAACTGCACATCGAACAAGCGATTCCCGGTTTTGATGAGATTGCTGCGAAGGGTAACGAGATAGACCTTGCTGATAAACTGGAGACAATGTTTTGGGAGATAATTGGTGACCTTGCTTTTGGGGAGCCATTGATGGCTGGGAAACGACGTAAGCTACATACCGACACCACTAAAGGTTCATAGTGAGCTAAACTCGTGCAAAGCGACATATGAATCCCTGAAACAGTTAGGCAAAGGATCAATGCCCATGGTAGAAGCCTTGAGCTTCATGCTTGTCATGCCTGGCGTAGCTCCTGCGCTTGAGACAGCCAGAAGCCTTATCTCAGCAATGCCGATTCCTTCTCAGCTTTCAAAGCTTGTCCCATCCAAGAAACTACGCGAGTGAGTAACCCATAGTTATGTATGTGCTGTTGTTCTGACGTTTCTTTAGTTGCATTGATAGGCAGGATGGCAGGGAAGATTTCATTTCGGCTATCATGGGCAGTGAAAAGCAAGGCTTGACGCTAGATGCGGATGCTTTCTTCAGTAATGCAATGGGTCTAACGTTCGTGGCATCTCTGTCTCCCACCTGGTGGAACCTTTACTAATAGCTGCAAGACTTGCTGGATATCAGACCACAGCTACGACGCTGGCGTCCACATTCTACCATGTCCTGCGCTACACAGACACTTATGTTACTCTGTGTACTGAGATACGCTCTAACTTCACCAACGAAGCCGACATTACAGGCGAACGACTTGCACGACTACCGTTTTTGAACGCTTGCATCCGCGAGACTTTGCGCTTGCTCCCACCAGCAAATGGCAAAACGGCGCAACGCACCGCACCCTCTTGCACTATAGCAGGAACATATATACCCGCAGGTACCATCGTCTCGGCTGACTTGTACACGATTCAAAGGTCGCCAAAATACTTTGTCGACCCCGCTAACTTTCGACCCGAGAGATGGTTGGAGGGTGCGGAGGAGAACGGGTTCGATGGAGACAATAGGTCTGCCAGTCGTCCTTTCCTGATTGGAAGTAGGGCATGTATTGGTAGGCACATGGCACAGCAGAGCATACGGCTCATTATGGCGAAATTGCTATGGAGGTACGACTTCGAGCTGCTGGATCGGGATGGGTTTATCTGGGAACGCGATGCCGGCAGCAGCCTCATCTACACCGACTACAAACTTCCAGTGCGTGTAAAGAAAGTCTTATGAGACAGGCAATAGAAGCTGTCAGGCCTGGCTGACGATATGTACTATCCTGCACCATGATCAGTAGTTCACTGATCATACGTGCCTTTTTGGTTGCATAGCGTAGTGGTGCAGGGCTGCATTCTGACAGAAGCGCGTTACCAGTTTAGAGTCATCACACCAGAGATCCGGCTCTTCCCGCATCTTGGAACACCTCAGACCATCATGTCACACGGTGGTGGTTGTGCGGAGCTCCTTGAGAACGACTTGATAGTACTTGAGGCGAACATATATTTTGAAAATTGGACATACCAAATCACTTCACCCAGAGGCAAAAAGATTTCACATCAAGACGGGATCTCAAGGCTACTATTTTCCTTTCTATTCTGACTTCGGACTATTCGACAGAGAACAGAAGCTAACAAGGTGCCTGATTAGAATGACAGGATCTTATAATCCCCCTCAAAACTTCCATCAAACGTGATCTTGATCTCTAGATGCACCCAGAGTTCATTGCCGTTCTTGAGGTACCACTTCAAAGAGCCTTTTGCTTGATGCAGATTGACTTTAACACTGACACCATCTTTCAGGGAGCCGTATATGTTCCCGAGAGATATAGCCAGGACAGAGGGCGCAACAGCAAGCTCGAATGTGTCCGTGTCGAGATAGCCTGCGAACTAAAAGCTTCGTTAGAACATTGTCGACAAATCTAGGTAGCAAGTTACCTTGAGTGGGCCGAAAGACCAGTCTACTCCCTTTCGACTCGAATAACTCTTGTCCACGGGTGGGAGGCCATGCCCTTGGTCAATCTGAACCGCTGTGTAGTCACCAGATTCCTGTTGCACGAGCTCAATCACAGAGCCTAAGAAGTTAACAGGTATAATAGAACTTTGTAAGGCATCTAACTCACCAAGAACCCTTTGCTTTTCAGACATTTTCTCTCTGAGAATTCGACAGTTTCAGAGTCCTGAAACTGTAGCGCTTTGCCGTTTGGTAAATTTAATAGTTAGAACGCGAATGTTAGAATGCAGGATGAGTTGTGGAGTGCTTTGGTTCGAGCAGGTTTGCTTGAGAGTCGGACCGCTTTATAGTTGATTCACCTTAAAGTTATACCCTTCTACAGTCAAAGCGCCTTCTCATGCAAGATCGGGAGGGGGGCGTTGTCTAGTTACACCCTAAACCATGTGTGACTTGATTACCCTCCCACTGAATACCTTGCCTTCTCACCCACCATTACTAGCTCTGGCCTTCTTCTAAGACCGTTGATAGGCTAGTCTATAAAAAAAGGAAATGACTGGATTGAAAGAACGACGTGTTTTGTTACGTCATACCTGCAGAATGAGCGATGTAAGATCTTAGCGATATGCAAGTGCGGGGTTTACTGTGAATATATGTTACGTGGATGCCATCCTATTGCATTAGTACAGCGTCCTCTACGTTTAAGTGCTAATGAAGCACGTCTCAACACATGCTGGGTCCAGTAGTTTGCTGAAGAAACAATATCATAAGGAGGAATATTGCACTGCTCTTTACGCTACGCTGAATCTCGATCTAGCGATATGAAGGGCTCTCTGTAGTCACACGGTTTGCTGTAGATTTTGAAGTAGACTTTAGTCATGCTTGTCACACATGCACATCCACAACGCAATAACAAGGCAGCAACTCAATCAGCACCTTGCGAGACTCACCGATCACCTTGATAATCAATCGGCGCTTCTCTAACTATATGCATGGTCCACGCATACATACAGTGATTAGAATACTGTCGCTAACGAATACTGATTCACCATGATGGGCCAATTGCATCACAGTCGATGGGAAGAGTCGCGACGCCCAATGTGGAGCCGATGCTCTTGTTACAACACCATTAATACCGAGACCGGGAGCTAATTCGTAGTTGGAAGTGATAGCCTAGCGATCAGTATGCTTCTACGTTACACTAGCCTTCATTTCATACGTACATAAGAATGACGGGGGTACACACCAACCTCAGATTGAGCATCCTATCATTGTGAAATCTTGGGCTTTAGATCCAGATTCTAATCCCAGAACGGCTACCGCCGTGGCTTTGTGCATGTAGACGCAACCTACGTGTGCAACTGTGACCCTAGCTTTCTCTCCAACGAACTCGAGGCTCTTCTTGAAAAGTCAAGATCTAGCATCATTTTGTAGACCGTTACCTAGGTTTAGAATAACAATGCTAGTGCCGGAACTATTCCCTAAGACGCAGCGAAGTCAGGTGGTTATTGAGTATTGTGAAAACCGCATTGCCTAAGTACTCGTCCATCTCCCTCTCGCATATGTCACTGCGATCGTACATGGACATCCATCCAATCAAGTCTCAACCAATCATCTCACATCGAACCTTGACGATCGGTGAGCAGATCTTGGCATTGAGCCGTTAAGTCCGGTCTTATTCGGTTTTTTCTTCAGAAGAAGCGAATAGGAAAAAGAAAATGTTTTTACACGATACTCGAGCTAAGGCACACTGGATGCTTCATCGTAAAAGCCCATTACCCCCTTTGGAGATCACACTAACCGTAGAGATGATATAGGTTAGCGGCGGGACGATGCGCTGTCAAAACCTTGCTTAAGCCTCCCTCGTATGCTTGCGCGCATATCTTTCTTTGCTTTGTCTCGGGCCGCTCCCTTGTCCTTTCTTAGCTCTTTACCCATGTGTCATGCAAGGGAAGTGCTGAATACATCACAGAGACAAGAGATCTTCTACAATGCTGCTATCTATTATAACAAGAGTAGAAAAGCTAGGGAATTTGTAAAGCATATAGCACGCTCTTAGCAATAATCTCCGTGTACATAATAGCAGGACTATATGTGATATTGCATCGCTAAACGAGGGTGAAAGAGGCGCTCGCTAAGAAGGTGTCTAAACTTTCCCTTGTATGGCGTGCCCGCTCTGTCTCCGTGTTTTGCTTTGTCTCGGGTGTCCCTCCCGTTCTGTCTTGGCTCTTCTTTTGCTTCATCGAAGCTCCTTCCCTTGCTTCCTCCTAGCCGATATCGCCTTTCTATAAGGAAGTCATCGCCGTTGAGTCTTAACGCAAGCTTCGACGGAAGTGGTCTGATCTCCACGCCGTCTGGTTCGGAGCGAGCTTGCTGTTGCAAGTCATTCCGATGACGTGGACACCTGAAAGGGTTAGCAATGACACCGGGAAAAGGCTTTTTGAGATCAGCGCACGCTTGACCTTCATTCCCCGAAGATACTGCCCACGGTTATCGTCTCACCGTATCTTGTAAACCCGCTAGGTATGAAGTATTTGCTGTACTTTGTTGAATCCAACCTCTTGTTGATTGAGGTAGAGAGAGCTCTGACCCATGGATATACAGTTGACATAGTATTTGGTACAGGCTGTGAGTCTCTTGTACATACCCCGCTAATCGTGGTACACTCGCGAGCAATTCTATAATTTGTGAAATGATGAGTGTTTTGAACCATGTACGCTAAGCGCTTGATTTTAGCGGAGATGTTGTATCGTCGCCTTGGTTGATGATTGCATGGTGGAGGCGTATATGAGTGGACCGAACGCTGTTCCATAGATGAGCGTGAAGGTGCTGTGGGTACACTTTGTCTTTTAGCTAACGTTAGACTTGGAAGATGATCAAAGAAGAAGCTCACAGCGATAGTAACCTTTGTGCGCGAGCCGACTATCGTCGGCATTCGAAAGTTGATGAGTTTCGAAGGGAGCTTTGAGTGCTAACTCGCGTGCATATTCATCCAGATTGGCGTCGATTGTCAATGCTCTTTGCACGATAGCCATTGGATCCGCCTTGGTTGCATCTTGGTACTCCTGCTTGAACTGAACCAGACTCATGATGATGTCGAGAAAAGAATCATACACCATCACACGCTCCGCCTTCTGCTCCACTAGCCTCTTGAAGTCAACGAAATTAGGCGGTAGTGGTACTTCCTGGATCCAACAATTCATGATGACCGTCTTCATCAGTGTATTGCACAACTTAATGGTAACATCAGTCTGCTTCCGCTGCTTTAGAATCAAGTGCGCAACTAAGACAGCACCAGCTAGATGAATGCCGGCATTGTCCATGCCTGCGCGCCTTGGAAGAATCAACGCCTCGAACATGGCCGCTAAGTAAATTGACGCAACTGTACAGTCCTTTACTGCAATCTTCGTACATAGCAATGCGGTGTTGACAGTTCGGATTGCAGCACCGTAATTATTCGTGGCGGCGCTGAGCATATCCTTGTTGTAGGCTTTGTTGACTAGACCAACTAGCCCGACAGCTGCGCAGATCTGCGACAAAGCAGAATCAGAGTAACCCGTTCTCGCGTAGAATCTGGGTAGGTAATTCAGTAGGGACATCGCCGGGTCGTCCACGATAAAGTGTGTCATAAAGAAAAGTTGACACCAAGGTCGTCCAACGGTTGATACATGATGAAGCCAGTCGGCTTGAGAGGAAACTCAGCCACCGGTTGTTTCGCCGGTTGCCCTTTTGGGCAAATTTTGCCTCTTTGGGTACCTGGAGCCGTATGTTGAGGTAAGGTGCGGCTCCGATTCTGGCTAACAACTTGGGTGCTTTCATCAAGAAACATAAGGTCTACCATGCTTCGGTAACCCGAACAGCCACGGCCAGCTTTGATGCATTGTCCACAGGCAGGTAGTTTCTTGTCACACTGCAACAGGTCAGCAAATGTCCCGCCTGGTAGACCTGCATGCGAGTCGCATCCTGACAAGCGAATCATACAAACACCCGGAGTACACTACCTAGGTAAAGATCGTAGTTGGCTGATCACCTGGGTACGACCAAAGAACTGGGGACTCACCCGACTGCGTAGTTTCCTGCATTCCGCGCAAGCCGTTGACGGTTTGCCCCGGTATACCCATAGTTTTTGACTTCTGACTTGAAAGTCAATCAAGTCAAACCTGATTTGACTGATTTGACTATAATTTGGGCATTTATGACTTGACTGATGAAGTCAAATCAATCACGGCCCTTCCTCGGCGGTGTAGCAGTCCTTGCAAACTCAATCTCGTAAGGCATTCGAGGTAAATACACCTAATATATCATGACTAATCGACCACGGAGGAGCGGCGCAACACAGACATTCGCTGTCCCTGACGAAGATGACATTTATAACAACTCACCAGCATCGATTACACTATTAGAAGAGGAGTTTAGGCCTGTAGAAGACACCAACAGCCCCAGCTTCTCCGATAATAATATTAACGAGACACTCGCCGCCTTCTTCTACGACGCCAACAGCAACAGCAACAGCATTCTAACAGTAGAGAGCTAGTCTACTGCCCCTTCTACGCCAACGCCTAGGCCCAACACCCCTACTACTTCAACTAGTACGCAATTTCTTAAGCGGAAGAGACAAAGCAGTACTCCGCACGGAGGCGCAGGGCAGAAGGACAAGACGGTGTAGAAGCACTCACGGCAACGGCTGCCATACGAGCCTACTAAGGACGATCATAGCCATAAGATCTTCTACTGCGCAGGTGACAACTGCGAGTAGAAAGGCTCATCAGGCAATGCTACTGCGCACCTCCAGAAACATGCTATCTTTGTTAGAAGATATTCAGCGACCCCTTCTACTATTGCACAAGCCAACAGCCTGCAGCAAGGGCTTCACAACATGGCTGCGAAAAAAGCCGAGTTTAAGCATAATCAAACAGCAACGGTCCTTCGCAATGCTGCTCAGAAGCAAGAATTCCGGAATGCCCTTGCTCGCTTCGTTACAGCGTGCAGTCTTTCACATAACTTAGTAGTTTCTAAGGAATTCCAGGAGCTAATTCTCACCGTCAACCCTAAGGCGGATCATATATTACTGCGCTCAAGCAGCTCACTAGTGTCGCGCATCGTTCAGAACTTCCGCGTTCAGCAGGAGGAGGTTATCAGGTATCTCTGCGACGATACAATTAGCTGCTTCCATATCAGCACTAATACATAGAAGAAAATGCATAGCCACAAACATTTCCAAGCCGTAAATGTCCAGTTTATAGACTAGCATAGACAGCTTATTCAGCTGCTTCTTAACCTTGTTAAAGTTAACGGCAAAGAGAGCAAGACTAGAGCCTATCTTTCTACGCTGCTAATCCAGACTATCAAGGACTACAACCTTAGCCCTCAGCTTAGCTAGATTACCTCTAATAACGTTAGAGTAAACGACACGCTTGTCCGTGCAATTAAGGCCTTTATGCGCACAGAAGGCATTACTTACTAGACAGAGAAGACACGACAACTCCGTTGCATTAGCTATATTATTAACCTTGCTACACAGGCCTTTATGTTTACAACTAACGAAGAAGCAGCTAAGTTAGCTTATAAGAGGGCGAAGCTAACACAGCTAGACTCCAATAGCACAGACAGCTACAGCAGTAGTAACTATAATATTGCAGACACTGCTCTTACAAACCACCCTGCACTAGCGAAGCTCCGCAGCCTTACAGTTATACTACGCGACAACAAGTTTAATCAGGCCTTTAAGCAGTTGTCTAGGAGCTTTCTAGAATGCCCTGCTACTATCCCTAAGATTCCAGGCGAGACACAGTAGAATAGTTGGCTTCTTATAATTAAAGAGGCCTTCAGAACACGGCCTATCTTAAACGCTTTATTCGCACAACATGCTAATGCATTAGAATTAGTTGTGCTTACTAGCGATAACTAGGCCCTTCTAGAACATGTCCACAACTTCCTTGTGCCTTTCAAGGAGGTCACTCTTAAGGCTAAAGGCCATTAGGCTACTCTTAACTGCTTCCAACCGTCTATAGAGTTCTTTATTAATCACTTCAAGGAGCAACAGAAGAAACATTCCAAGCATAAGACACTGCTCGCTCCTCTAAATACGGCCTAGTACCTCTTCAGTAAATACTACAGCCTAATCAACGAGAGTAGAGCATATATTACTGCAGCTTTGCTGCATCCTAAGCGGCGTCACAAGTAGTTGTACAACCAATAGAACACAACAGAGAAGAAGAAGTAGCTAAAGAAGGGCTTACAGCGTGCTAAGGCTTTGTAGCATAGCTATCGTGATCAGATTAAGCCTGCTCTATCTGCTAGCCAGATAAATCAAGACACCTCTATAGAGTTGTCAGCCTTTAACAAGTGTCAACAAGAGTCAGCTATTATAACAGACAGCGAGGATAGCTTCGAAGCCTTTATATTTACTCCTCTAAGTTAACTGCTAATGCTAGAAGGAAGACAAATAAGCGCTGTTGAGTGGTGGTCACAGCCTACTGTTACGAACCTGAAGGAAGGGAACCTGCAATCTATGTATGAAAAGGATGACAGGAAACACCCAGGCGGGTCGGCCTGGAGGTCAGCACTTTGAGGGCCAATAGATGACGCCACCCCGCAGGGCACGTGATCCCACGGTCTTGGCGGAAAGCCACTGTAGGACAAAGTCACGTGTGTCCCACGATGTACCACGGAGTACTACAATGTACCACGCGTAGGACATGTAGGACATGTAGGACATGTAGAACATGTAGGACATGTAGAACATGTAGGACATTTATTAAGTATATAGTACTAGGCAATGAGCTCTTACAGCTTATTGTGTTCAACTTCGACTTATAGTTCAATCTAAGGATTACTACTTAATTCTCAAACCCTCGTGTTATTACATCGATCTACCAATCGTGCTAACACACCCCGTACTATTATATCGATCTACCAATCGTGCTAGTACTACCCCTCGTCCATCGTCGCCCACTCACTCCCCGAGAACCAACCCTAGATCATCTTCGGACGATCTTCACACCTACACAGCGACAAACGTTTCTAGCCCTGTTACAGCTCGCGGTTAACGTGCTCTTAGCCTTTGCAATGAGCGCTGAATTAGAGCGGACATTTAGCAAGGCAAGGCGGACGACTTCGTAGGAGCGATCTTAGCTTAGTGCTAACACTATTAAGTGCTCTAAGTTGTTGAAGGACTAGCTGCATCGCGGAGTTGCGCACGCACTGCTAGCCAACTACATAGGCAATTAAGACAGCGACAGCTAGGCTAGGGGCAGCCTGTTTGTAGCCTAAGAAATACACAGTATTTAATTTCTAACTTCTAATTTGACTTGACTTGACTTTGACTTTAGCTGACTAGATTTGACTTGACTAAGACTTTGAGTGTTTGATTTGACTGAGTCAGAAGTCAAAATCTATGGGTATACCATGGTGTTTTAAGCCCTGAACCTTTGTGTCGAAGGTCTTCATCTCAGCGAGCGATGTTTGGTTGTGTCTAGGTCATGGAAAAAAGGTAGGAGACTTGGAAGAATGACTAGGAGAAGCGGAGGGAAATATCCTTAGGCAGCCTCATGCAGCCTCACGCACGCCAAGACGGGTATGTGGCACGATTGGCTGGGAGATTTATGCAAGGAGGTGGCGATGATGCGCCTTCCAGGGTCCGGATAAGGAACCGATAAGTTCCATCAGCCACGCGAGGCTGTGTAAGCCCCGAATGACAAATATCCTACATTACACCATACTACGTCTAGACATTGTGAGAATTGCTGAGTTAGATGATCGTGATTCAAAATTATCAAACAAGCTTTCTCTACCAATTACATGCTCCAACGCTTTTCCCAGACGCTCAAAATGACCAATCCCCCTCTAGACAAGACTCCATTCGTGCGTGACGTCCATCAAGAGAACATGTTCGGCCTGGCCTTCTTCAAGCTCGACTGATCTTCGTACTGCAAATCATTAGCTTCAAGTCCTTTATTATCGTTGTCGTTCATTTGACTTACCTGCAAGAACCCCGTAACATTCACCAAAACCGTCCAACAATCCACCAAATCTACGATATCCTGCTGCAGTTCTTCACCCATACCTACACCCACATTGACACTTCTCTTGAATATGCTCACCATACTGTGCCTATTCTCCTTTAGGAACTCTCGAGCCTGGAAGACGGTCTGGTCGTTCTGACGTCCTCGTGCAATGACTGCTGCGTTGATGACGCGCAGAACGGCGAGCATAAGCTCGTAGTATTTACGCAGTGCATTTGGATCATCGAACTCGAGACCGATGTCTGGGTCTACTGAAAAGATCTGAGAGTCGCGGATGGCAGGGAACAGACCGGCGTTGAGGATATGCGCGGCTCCGAGGCGAGATTGACAGACGCGGAGGAGGAGAGCGAGACTAGCATCGTAGTAGGAGAGTAGCACAGGTACCTGGGGTGCGGCGGCTGCACGCAGTTCCTCTGGGATGTGCTTAATGTTGTCGACGAGGACGCCGACGAAGTTTAGCGAGACGAAGCTATCGAGAATATATTTTGATGATTGACTGGTTGCTGCCGCTACAAATGCATTGAGTAGGAGTAGCGCAGACACTTTGCATGTTCCTTGCCCGCTGTAGGCATCGTCGCAGATCACCTCGAGCATATTGCTACCACAGTTCTTGATGGCTCCAAGTGTGTGTCGACCGAGCAAAGAGTTTGGTGTCGCTTTGTTGAAGGTGCCGTGAATGTAGCGGAAGCAAATTTGGTAGCAGTACTCTCGTAATTCGGCCGTCGACACCGGGCTATATATGCCAACAAGCGCAGCGCGGAATAGTTGAGAGAGTCGATCGTTCGCGAAATCGCCTGTTTTATCAAAGGCAGTAGACTCAAAGTCAACCTTTTGAATAAGGGACTCCGCTAGGCTGGCAAGCTGGAGAGCAGTAAAGATATCGGAGGTGTAAGATTGCTCAAGCTTGGGCAGGATGACCTGCAACGTTTGCATGATAAAGGAACTGCGGGCCCCGTTTTCGAAGTCGCAGCTGTGTACCGCAACCATGACGACCTGGACCCACGACTGAAGGATGTCCTTGTGATAGCGGAGCAGTTGTGTGCGACGGTTCCAGTCCACAAAGATAGCCATGAGCAGTTCGGCCTGCTCAACAAGCTGTTCTTCTTCCTCTTGATCGTGGATCAAATTTGCTTTTCTCCAATATTTCATCTTGAGGCGGATGACTTGCTCCAGTAGTGGCAAGGAGTAGAGAGTGCTACCCTCCTTCTCCTCTTGACATGAGGTCAGATTTACACCCTCAAAGAACTTATGTTGATCCGGTAGAGCACGCTCAGGATATGTCAACTCGATAAAGTCGAACAGATCGAAGATGTTCGGGTTCAGTATGGCGTCTTCGCCTGGCCGTATGGTGGTCCCAAGAAGGACAGACTGAATCCTGGACTTCATGGTGGGCATGCTCTCTTTGACAGTCAAACGCAATTCCCTAGACTCATAATCCAGGAAAGCAGCGCGTCTTTGAAGGAAGCTCTGGAGAGCGAGTGCTGGTGGTCCCGAAAAGAATGCAGAATAATCACTGGGCGCAACCTCGAGCCCTTGCGCAAGAGACATTCCGTCCCAGGGTATATCAAGCGTGATAGGCGTCAGTTGGGGTGCTTCGATGAACAGCAACTCGTTGTCGCGGAGCTCTTCCATGACGATAGCGCTCGTCAACGGAGACCGCCAAAGCTTTTGCAAAACATCCCAGCATCGGGTTTTGAGAGCGGACCGCCAAGCTATGAACTGTTCACCGTCATTGTCAGGGTACTGAACCCCAAGAAGAAGTATGCTGTGAAACAAAGCTTGTCCGTTCGACCAGAGGCTATCTTCGGCAATGCGGACGGTATTGGTACCACATGAGAAGCCGAGAAGGATATGCGCTATCGTCGGCCGGAGGGACACGGCAGCTAGACAACTATTCAAGAAGTCCAACACATGGAGCTTGACAATGTATCCGGAAGCTTCCTCTCCAGCTTCGAGCTCTTCGGCACTGAACCGCATCAAGCCTGAGAGTGACCGACCGATGCGCTCTGCTTCGTTGTCCTTCTCCAGTATGCCGACAATCTTACTTCGTCCTGACCGTTGACCGAAGCCCGCAGGAGAGACAGCAAGTTTTCGTGAAGAAGCCAACTTCTCTAGTAGCTGGAGTGAGGCAATGGTCAAGGCTTCATGACCAGTACCACAGTAGAGTCCAAGATCGACGATAATCTGCAAATTGTTCAAAATCGCGTCTTCGAAAGATGCAAGCGATAGGTTCGACACAGGAGAATGGTGGAATGACGTTTGTTGCTTGAGAACTGGCTTGACGATGTCCAAGTAGGTCGCTTGGAGCTTCATCACCAGATCCATTACCTCAATGCTCAGCATCAGGGATTGGATTAATGGTGAGTCAGATGGGGCAGCATCAACCTCGGTCACGTCGTGATGTGAGGCAGCAAAAAGAGCCTTCAGGACCTTATCGTTGAAGAGCCATTCCATGACGCGGGCAAAGGGGTGGAGCGTAACGTACACCGCAAGTGATGTGGGATCGATGACCTCATCAACGGGTATGCTAGACTTGTTCGCGAACACGACTAGATTCTCATTGAACGTGGAAAGACACGTTACCATGAATCGCAAGCATGTCCACCGCATGACGTTGCGTTGAAGGGGTTCGTTCACGTCCAGGGAACGTTCTGCGAACACCTGCTGCATCACGAAGTCAATGTAACCCTCAATACCCGGCATCCTGCGCGACGATCCTAAGCCCTCGGGAAATGGTAGACTGTCGTTCAGACCTTCATTTTCCGGATATGGTTCGACAAGTGAGTGGAGGAAACGGACTAGAGCGATGGACTCGTCGTATCCGTCGGCCAGCGTAGGCCACAGGTCGTCTCTCGGTGTAGCACTTAGAGCGTTGTTTTGTCTAGATCCAGTATAGAAGCCATTGACAGTCCACTCGTCCAAGAGGCTCCACATAGCATCCGCGCGCATGACGTCCTTGCCTACAAGCAGAGCTGACAGGGCATCGTACGCGGCTGCGCGAAGCCCACTCTCAACTTTGTCGGTGCACAGGCCGAAGCAGATGCCAGCAAAGTGATATTCTTTGAGATCCAGTATCCACATACGTGCAGAAGAACTTTGTCGGCAAATGTGTGCAATCAGTCTCAAGTAGCTTTCCAGCATAGTTGCGCTTTCCGGCTCCACAATCTGGTCGATGGGATTCGTGGGGGCATAGACGCCGCTTTGAATAGTCTTCTTCGGCTCATGGATGTCGTTCTCGAACTCTCGCAGTTCGTTGAAGATGGTTGTGTAGCTGAGCGAGCTCGTTCGACGAATCTTTCCAGAAGCAGACGCCCCCTCTTCGAGCAGGAAACGATGGGCCGCTTCCGCGTTCGCCTCTCCAGAACCGATTGCCCGTAACATCTCGCAGAACATGGCTATACGGGGTGTAGGTTGGCGCTTGGCTGCCCATTGCAGAAATCCGTACAGATTACTCTCTTTATCGCTCCAGAAGTCTTCTGCCGCATCTGGGAATCCATCAAAAGCGTATGCGACAATGACCATGAATCGTTCCAGATGAAGTGGATACTCTCCAGTTGAACGCTGGAAATGAAGTTGCAATCGTCGCCGTTGGTCGTCCTCTTCGGCCTTGAGTTTACGTAGGGTATCTGGCATGTGAGTTATGAAAGAATCTACGAAAGTCTGTAGTTGCTCCATGAGAAGCTCCTTGAAAAACTCCTCGGGTTGGGGAGAATCCCGAGTCAAAACAGCAGTGTCTTGCAACAACGTCGATAACATGCTGGTCTTTTGAGGGTCGTACCAGCGCGTGGGGCGCACATCCTGACTGACTGATAGCATGAAATGAAAAGCGCCGTCGTTGAGTGCTTTCAGGAAGATTTCGGATCGGGTGTTGGCTTCCTCGTCGAAGTTGATGCCTTGCAATGCAGCGTCATGGGTGTTGGGGTCCATGTACCGCCCACTGTACTCTGCTAGCCACCAAGCCAATGTCGCCGAATGCAGATTTCTCAACGCCCAGTTGTCACTTTCCCGTCCGGCCATGAACGAGTCATGGAAGGCGCGCGCTTCTCTTATCATGACGTTGTTGCTCTCAGATGCGACCCATGACGTGAGTCGCAGGATAATTGGGACATAGTGTATGGTGATGAGGTCGTGTCGGTCGAGAGACTTGGCTCGGGTAAGTAACGCCTTATAGTTGTCGAGATTGACGTATCCGGGTTTGATCATATGCGTACAAATCGCTGCTAGGTTCTCGTGTTGTCGTGTAAGGCTCTGGCGCTGGAAGTCCATAATCTCTACAAAGCCGGGGAGGGGCACTTGGCCAACAACCTGGGTACTCTGGACGCGCTCCGCGATGAACTGCAGCCACTTCTCCACTGCTTCCATGCTTGTCAAGCATTTGGTCCAAAAGCCATATGCGTTCATCAGATTTGTTGTGCCATGTACGCCAACTATCATCTGCGCGGCCTCTTGTAAGACGGGGAGTCCCTCGACTTCCGAGTCTCCATTGTCCAGCGCGGTCTTCATCAATATGCGCACGCAGAGGAGGACGTATTCGCGGCGTCGGTGGAAGCGAATCACGGCCGTTTGGAGCTGCGATCGATCTAACTCTTGGGCTTCGCTTTCGGCACCCATGAACAGGGCAGCGGCGTCTAGCTCGTCGAGATTGAGGGCGTCGGCCAGTTCGAGCGTTTGTTGCTTGAAGTCATCGTTGACCTCATACTCGTTGTCGTCAATCTTGATCTTGCCTGGCGCTGTTAGCACCTTCCTGTCTATACACCTGCTTATGCATTACCAGAACTCAGAGCCTGTCTGCTCGCATCGTTCTTTGGTTTCTTGTCCAAAAGCGTCTTGAGCTCTTCCAAATGCGCCTCTAGGTTCAGCAGTAGCCTCTCTAGCACAGGTAGCTGTAGGTCGATGTGGGCGCACAAGTCGCGGTGTAGGCCCTGGAGGGCGGCGAGGCTGTCTTCTTCAGCCATGGGAGTGTCGTGAGGTCGTCTTGCGCATTATGCGCCGGGTAAATGGCGGAGGGGCAGGTATCTTGTCTCGTGCTTGGTTGGTGTTTTCTCAACAATGGAGAGCTTGATTGACTTTCGCAGAACGCGAAGGGGCACGGACGTAAACCCGCCGACGCGCCTTCCCGTCACGACTCACCTCCGCCATAGCTCCGCACTCGTAAGACGTGGGCACAGTGAAAATACTGCCCTTTCATGACGGTCGCATAGTCGCTGCGAACATGCTAACCGTATAAGAATTCCCATTTCCTGCTCCTTCCACTCAGGAAATGCTCTTGTGTGAGTGGCCGGCATGGGGGCCACCAACATTCAGGACGCAAAGCGTAAGCCCATGGATCAAACCATAAAGACGTTATACTAACACTTCCAACAGTCCTAATTCAGTCTTCACGCGTAATCGACCGAACGAGCGGCCTCAAAGATCTCATACATATCCTCAAGCACAACCGCGGGAAGCCCGGTCTTGAGGCTCTCGGCAACAAGGCCTACCTGGCGCTATGCGAGACGCTTTTCCAATGCCTCCACGATGGGCGATCCGCTTTCCTCGTCAGTAAGACCAAGTCGAGCAAGTCTGGTTCGACCGCTGCGCTCCTTCCCCTCTCAGCCTCGGCGCTCCGTCACGTCATCGCTTCCGGCGTACGAACCATCAAGGGCTCCACGGTTGAGATCATAATAGGCACGATAATCGAGGTACTCCCAGGCAAATCCAGTCTGCTTGAGCCGCTTCTTGAAGATCTCCCCAAGACGTTGCGATCACTCTTTGAATACCAGCCGCATGTCGAGCGTCTGTCAAAGGACTGCTGGGACGCTGCAGTCGATTTCTGCATTGAGTCGTTGGCCGGCTTCTTTCAAGAGTCACCTGTAGAAGGTGAGCCGCAGAACAGCTGGAGCACTAGCGTCTCAAGTCGCGCCCGCACCCCCCTTGATGCCGACTTTACATCTTCTAGAGCCTCACCGCGCTTGCCAGTGACCAAGACAAAGTCAAGTCCCCCTGAGCATGTTCGCGCAGCAGAAGACTTCGTCCATTGCCTGCATCATCTCGTCAAAGCCTCAAATGCGCCATTGCTTGCTAGAGCGGACGCCATTCTGGCAGTATTGCTACAGTTCCTCCAGCAAAGGACTGGCCGTGGAAGTGTGGGCGTTGCTGCTCTAGCCGCTGTTAATGCAATTCTTGCACGCACCACGCTGCAATCCCTCGAACTGACTAAACGCACAGTGCGAGAACTGCTCCCACTTCTGAAGGTTATGTGGTCCGAAGCTACACTACGGGATGAGATTATGATCAGTTTGATATATATCGAGGCACACATTGCAAGCCTCCTTGCTGACCCAGACGATGAAACCGTCAGCTCTAACCTGGAAGGCCTTGTCGAGACCATGTACAGCGACTACCGGCGCAGACAAGAAACTACCGCGCACCAGTATCTTGAAGAAGACTATCTTTGTTTTCGACACCTGGGCCCTGCTCACGGCGATACCCATCCCCTGAACACTTGCGCATTCTCTATGGAAACGGAGCATCAGCGATATGAGGGGCTGTGGTCCACAGTATCCACCATTGCACGTTTCTCTTTTATGCTTGATGAGCGGAGACAGTATATCGCCCACGATCGTAGCGACGGCGAAGAGAGCTTTAGCAAACGCATTCGCATTACTCAATTATTTCCTGAATACCTTCGTCATGTGTCTGAACCCAGATCAAATGTCAAACGTGCAGCTCTACAGGTTGTTGCATTCATGGTACAGGAAGGCCCCTTCGACGAGGACGAGCTCCAGCCAATGTTAGAGAAGCTCACTTCATGCATCTCTGATGAACATCCTGCTCATTCGGTATGGGCAATGATAGGCTTGACAGGGTAAGCACACCATCTTATGATATAGACGTAGCTGACGATTGGACAGCGCCGCCCTTCAGCAATCGGCATCTCATCCAATCCTGCTCCCCTACTGGATATCTGCATGGCAAAGCGCATCCCGCGCAGTCACTTCCATGTCCGTATCCCGTGCGGCATGTCATCTCATGGACGTTCTGTTGAGACTGAACATCGTTCCCTTTTCAGCTGTCTCTGAGACCGTCCAGTCTCTACTACTATCCATTGAATTAAGTGGACCGGCGCTACTTACAGAGAGCAGTTCATCACTGTTGACTACCATCCTTCAGGAACGTATCAAAGAAAACCCAACACACTTCAGTTCGACCGCTGAGCGAATCCTCAACTGGCTCCTCACCAAATGGACTCCGAGTAAGCGCCGCCAAGCTCTTTCTGAGGCTTAATTGACGATTCTCAGGTCTCTGGTCTGACCGCACGTATTCTGCGCTGAATGCGCATCACTGCAACGCTCGAGATGTACTGCGTATTCTCTTCTCTTGCTTGGACTTGCCCTTCAACCCGCCGAAACCAGCAACTTATATGGTACTGGGACCCATCGCGCAGGCCAGAATGCAGATGGGACGTTACAGAGATTTGGCTCATTACCTTTTGCTACTTCGTCCTACAAGGGATTTTACAGCCAAGCTCGAAGGACCGAGCATCTCTTCCGAGGAGCCCATGAGCGACTACTATTCTATACAGCTTGGAAACAGAATCCTCGACTACTGCATATCTGAGCTTGACAGAGCCAGGCACCACTGGAAGGATATGACCGCGACAAACATACAAGGTATTACCTCGGACATGATGCGCATCATCACGAATCTGTGCATCGTTGCACCAGCTGTTGCTACTCTTAGCGATCCAGATGAGCGCCGTGTTCACGCTCTTCGATTAGCTGCCACTAGCTTGATCGAGTCCTTTGTCACTGTACTAGCTAAACCTCAAACGGAACAATATAAGGTTGATGCTGTCCTCGAAACATGTACAAAAAGTCTTCCTGACATCAGCTCACTCAAGCGGGTGACCTCGGATGCGTACAAATTGACGGGAATTGACCAGCTAGCTCGGTATCTACCTAAAGCTCTTCAACAACGCAAAGAGGTCAAACAATCATTCTACGCGGAAGACGACGACTTTATGGAAGTGGACGACGAACCTGACTCGCAAATGACTGTGGGAGCTACTGCTCTCGATAACGATGTGCCTCGACATGATGTACAAGCAGAAACCGATATAACCGCTTTGCGTGCATCATGTTCAGCACACTTACAGTTCATCTCATGTCTTGAGAAACATACTGAACTAGAACCTGGCACAGTACCTCCTGAATTCGTGGATTACCTAGTTTCTCTTCCTGAGAGCGATCTCCTCCGTTCACGTCAGTTTCTTCGTTCAGTATGGAACAGTCATTTGAAGATATCCCGGAACGACTGCCTCAACCTCTTGGAGCGTTTCAGTGAAGCTCTTATTGATCCCCGCGCTCGCGAGTACAATACCTCGGAAGTTGCCAATAGTATGCTTGTCGAGGTTCTAATTGGAACCACCCTTGTTTGGCTTCCTGATGCGACCGATCGCGAAGCTCAGGATCTCTATGACAACGTTGAGGCACTCTACGTTTACTACGTCAAGGAGATGGAGAAGGGAGGTGTGAGACGATCCGCAAACTTGCAAACAACGATCGCGATCTTTCTACATGGCCTGCTGAAACATCATCCCGACTTTGCGCAAAACCGCAAGGTTCCATCGGTACGGACCAGTCTCTTCGAGCTTCTTTCGAAAGGCGACATGACCGTGAAGTATCATATTGCCGAGCACCTGCCAAGGATGTTCGAAGATTTCGTACTATCTGAGCACGATAAGATTTTGCAGGATGTCGACAGTAGCTTACCCGGAGATGATGAGGGTCTCGAAGGCATTGCTGTTCGGTTACTTGTCCTGTCACGGCTGGCATCTCAGTGGCACACGCTGTTGCGCCATAGTGTGTATCGCATTTTCGCAACAGCAGGGACTATTGCTGGAGCTATTGATCACGCTAAACGATGTATCTCCAACGTTGCTCAATCCAGAGGCCTCGGTGATTCGCAAAGCCTGTTCAAACTTTTCGCTCCGCAAGTCATCTACACCTGGTTAGATCGAGGCCAGAGAGTCGGTCGTATTCCATTTCCGATCTTTGGTTATGCTTCTCTCTTCGACCTTCTCCGTGACATTGAAGCCGAGGTGGTGGGTCAAGCCATTATGTTTGGACGCAAGGATGAGGTGGACTTTCTGGCCGACTGTTTGGAGATGTCGACTCAGGAAATGCTGTCAAGGAACATTGGCAAGGCAGCTGCATATACCATTGCATGGGATACTTGCAGAGGCTCCGCTCGTAACAAAGCCGACTCCAGCTTCGGCAACCTACTTAAAGACATGGTCGGCAGCGACAAGTACTACGGCCTCATACAGAAGCAGTTCCCTCAGGTTTTGGGTCACATATTCCAAACTATCGATCACGAAGAACGTCTCCCCAAGTCGCTGGACAAGAAACCAGCGTTCAATCCCGCGGCAGCAGTGCTGGCTGAGATTGCCGAAATCAGTCAATCTGCGCAAGGTCTTAATATAGGCATTGAGCCGTCGTTCTCCGCCTTTTACTTGCCAGACCAACTAGAACGTTTGTGTAGACGAACAGGCGATAGGCCGGCTAGCTTCTGGTCCCCAAGCACATATACATATGTAATGCGCTCTTTGCTCGATCGTATCCATCCGGCTCTTGGCTCGCTTTATGCCAGATCGATGATCCGCAAGATTCGAATCATTGTTGCGTTGGCTGGATCTGTAGCACTTGAAGGCTACCCGTTGCAAATGACGCTTCAATCCTTGCGCCCGTTTCTCACTGATATGCAATGCGCAGAGGATACGGTGGGAATCATGCAGTATCTTTTTGAGCATGGCGCTCAATATCTCCGCCAACAGCTCAGTTTCGTCACGGGCATCGGCCTGTCGATTCTAATATCTCTCCGAGTGTTTCTTGGCTCATCTCAGGATAGCACCACCCAGCAGTCCCAGCATATAGCAACTATGAGCGCAGCCAATCGATTTCACACATGGCTCACTGAGTACCTCAAGGCTCATGCTCAGGCCATCACTGGTACAGAACGGTCCTCCGCCATCAAAGCCTTCAAGCTCATCACTACTACCGCTTCTCGGGTCACTGCCGAAGGTAACTCATTACGAGGTAGTGAGGAGAGCAAGCTTCTTTTGGAAATACTAGATGATGTGCGGTCAGGACGCAAGCTCCTGAATAAGACATCACGAGATGTTGCCTTGGACTTGCTCTGCCAAAACTTTCGCCCTGCTTCGAATGCCCGAGATGATGTCCTTGGGTTAGATCGCGACGCTGCAGAGTACGCACCCCTAGTTTGGGAATCTTGTCGCAGAAGCAAAGTTGGCGACGGCTATCTTTTGTGGACGGCGCGGGTCTTGGGTCGAGCATATAGCGCTTACGGGGAAGTCAAGCAAAGCTCTGCGCAGGCTCGACCCTGGTCATCTTCAATACAGACTTCAAAGTCTATTCCTGGAAAGTCATCGAGAGAAGCTATTGTGAACGAGGTCATCGACTTGTTCTATAGCGACGATCGCAGTGAGGTTAGTCTGGCAGAAGACGCTGTACGACGTCTGATCTCTCGCTTGGTTCCCGATTCACCGTACATGAGCGAGATGCATCGAGTCATTCCAGAGGCCATTGGTAAAGCCCTCTTATACAAGCCTCCAGAGCCGGATAGCACATCCCATCCCATGGCAGATGGTCTGCGTGAAGCCGTCTCAACCACGCCGGTGAAGCCAGTATCGGATTGGATCAGGGACCTGACGATGGCACTTTGCAGAGTCGCAATTGATGACCCCATCCTCGGCGCACTTCCAGACTTGCTTTGTGGTATTAATCACATGGCGGAAAGGCTTTTACCCTACATACTTCATCTCGTGCTACTTGACGAGTACGAAGAAGAACGCCATGTTCACGATACCATCTCCAAGTCGATGGCAATTTGGTTCCGCGAGTGCAGCCCAACTACGATACCACATGTTCGTATTCTTATACAATCCATTCTCTATCTGCGAAGTCAACCGGTCCCTAAGGAGGTTACTAGAGTGGAGCGAGACAAGTGGTTGGATTTCGATTATCTCGAGGCTTCACAGGCCGCGAACGATTGTGGCATGTATAGGAGCGCGCTCTTGTTTGCAGAGACGTCTTCCGGTCAACCGATCATCAAGAGTAGCACAAGGAGATCGTCTGTCAGGGCCGACCCTCCAAAGGTGCCTCTTCAACTCCAGCTTTCGATCTACAAGAACCTTGACGAACCTGATTCGTTTTACGGAGTAGACCGCGGCTCTAGTCTGTTGTCAGTGCTAGATCGCCTTGACTACGAGGGGGATGGTGTCAAGAGCCTTCTTTTCCGCGGTGCTCGCCTCGATAGTCAGATGCGCCGACGCAATGAGTTCGAAGCGGTAGACTCCCGTGGCACAGTCAAATCTCTGATCATGCTCAACATGAACAGCGTCACGCACTCTCTGCTCTCGAACGACCAATTCCGCGATGCAGGAGATGACGTAGTCGAGAGTACACTCCACACCGCACGAAAGCTGGGCCGGTGGGATATCAAGGCGCCTGAGATGAATCATACTGAGGCAAGTACCTTGTTCAAGGCGTTCCAAGGCTTGCATTTTGCGAAGAGCGCGACGGAGGCTCAGGAAAACTTCGACCGACAACTACAAGCGACCATGAACTTCCTCTGTGGCAAGGATAGCTCGTCGATTTCTACGAAGATACGCTTGCGAACGCTAGGAGCGCTCGCAGAGGCGGATGAGGTAATCAAAGCGGAGCGTTCAGAGCACTTGATGGATACCTGGGATAGCATGAAGGCTCGAGAGAAGTGGATGCGGGCTGGCGAGTAAGTATCATTCAATATCGTGTGAATTTCGCCTACTAAGTGTCGTCAGGTTCAATGACGTGCGCCAGCTTCTGTCATGTCGTGAAACGCTGTTCAACGTAATCGGCACGAACGTTGCACTTGTGGACTCGTTACATACCCGGACTGCAACTATACGGGGTATGGAGGTAGAGGCTCTGGTTTCCTCTTCTAGCCTTTGCAGAAAGCACGGCGCGCTTCAAGAATCGCTTGCCAGCGTTACCTATCTTTCTGACATCGTCCCAGAATGCAAGGCTATCGGTCTAGATATCGAGGCTACGGCCCAGCATGAGGTGGCAAACGTCCTCTGGGAACAAGGCGAAACAGAGATCTCAATAAGAATGCGTCAGCATCTGATCGATCACGCAGACTTCGACTCACAGAATGTCGACCTGAGCTTGCCAGTATTGCTTGCCCGACTGGTAAGCAACAAAGGATGATTTCCAAGTGTCTCTTTACTAACGCAACCAGGGTCATCATCTTGCTGAAGCTCGCCTCGCCAAACCCGATGCGATCATGGAAGAGTACCTGGAGCCAGCGATTCGCGAACTCAAAGGTCAAAAGGAGGGCTTAGGCCCAGGCCAGGTTTTCCATGAGTTCGCCCTCTTCTGTGACAAGCAACTGCAGAGCCCTGAAGCCGCTGAAGACATGAATCGCATTAAGACGGTGATGGATCGGAAGCTGCAAGAGTATCATGACTTTGCCAAGTTGTCGAAGACCGATAAGAGCAAAGGAATGCGCGAAACCTACCACCGTAATGCTCGCCGTGCAAAAACCTGGTACGACCTTGACAATGCGGAGTACGAAAGGATGCGGAAAGGTCGTGAGCAATTCCTGCGCCAGTGTCTCGAGAATTACCTCCTGTCCCTTCTCGCTAGTGACGAGTACAACCATGACGCACTTCGGGTATTCTCCTTGTGGCTGGAGTACTCTGATACTCCGTTAGCCAACCAAGCTATCAAGGCATACCTCAAGGATGTTCCGAGCGGAAAGTTCGCCTTGCTGATGAATCAGCTGTCGTCACGATTACAAGCTGAGGAGAACGACTTTCAGCATTTGTTGATGGAGCTGGTCTTCCGTATCTGCGTTGATCATCCATTCCATGGCATGCACCAGATTTTTGCAATCCAGATGAAGGTAGCCGCCACCTCTAGGGAAGATGTCGTCCGAGCTAAAGATGAATCTGCCAAATCTCGTCAGAAAGCCGCAGGTGGCCTTGCGACAGCGCTAAGCACTGACAAGAGAGGTCGGTCGTACTGGAGCTCGATTTTCCAGTCCAATGAGGTGTATCACCATCTCGCCATGTTCAAGGGCGAGAAAGAAAGTACCCAGCAAGGCCGTGAGTTACCGCTCGACAGGTACAAGGAATCGCGAGAGTTGGTGAACAAGATTCCGAAGCTCAACGTACCACCCGCTACTCTGCAAATTGAGGTTCGACCCAACATGAACTATAGCGACTTGCCGAGGATTGCAGGTTTTAAGTCGACTATGACGATAGCCAACGGACTCAGTGCGCCGAAGGTCATCACTGCTAAGGGAACTGATGGCAAACCGTACAAACAGCTGGTAAGTAATAGAGAGATTAAACGAAGTCGGAATGATACTGACCATCTTAGTTCAAATCCGGAAACGACGATCTGCGTCAAGATGCCATCATGGAGCAAGTTTTCGACCAAGTCTCGCGACTACTCAAGAACCACACCGCAACGCGCATTCGAAACCTCGGTATCCGCACATACAAAGTCCTGCCGCTCTCGACGCGCTCCGGTCTCATGGAGTTTGTGCAGAACACCATTCCGCTGCATCTCTGGGTCATGCCAGCACATGAGAAGTACTACCCAAGCGACTACAAGCCTGAGAAGTGTCGCAAAGAAATCGGCGCATGCCAACAAGACTCACTCACGACACGCGTCAAAGTGTGGCAAAAGATTGCAGATAACTTCCACCCCGTTATGCGCTATTTCCTGCTCGAACGCTTCGAAGACCCAGACGAGTGGTTCGAGCGCCGTCTAGCATATACTCGCTCCACAGCCGCAATCTCCATCCTCGGCCACGTTCTTGGTCTCGGCGATCGACATTGTCACAACATTCTTCTCGACGAGAAGTCCGGCGAAGTAGTGCACATTGATCTCGGTGTGAGTTTCGAAGCGGGTCGCGTCTTGCCGGTACCAGAAGTTGTGCCATTCCGACTGACGCGCGATTTGGTTGATGCTATGGGATATACGAAGACGGAGGGTGTGTTCCGCCGCTGCTGCGAGTTCACCATGGACACGCTGCGTGAGGAAAGGGAGTCGATTATGACTCTTCTTAACGTCCTGCGGTACGACCCCCTCGTCAACTGGAGCGTTACACCCACCAAGGCGAAGCGCATGCAAGAAGCCAACCAAGAAACTGGTGCAAACGGTACCGCGCGTTCGACGACCGTCGCACCTGGGGGTACACCTGCGCCGTCGGGGGGTCAGTCAGCTGTAGAAGAGGCGGCGGGTATGGCTCATGAGAGTAATAAGAAGAGGGAGAAGGAAGAGCAGGCTGGTGAGGCGGGGAGGGCATTGAGTGTGGTGGAGAAGAAGTTGAGCAAGACGCTCAGTACCAAGGCTACTGTCAATGAGCTTATCCAACAGGCTACTGATGAGCGGAATCTGGCGGTGCTATATATGGGGTGGGCTAGTTACGCGTAGTTGAAACAGCAGTCTAGAGAAACTCGCTGCAGTTTAATAGTAATATTGCCAAAATAAAATTTAGTGTATACCTTTCGGCCACCTTTTTGTGATACAATCGGGTGCCAGAAGTCTGTTCGCGCTATGCGCTCGGGCCACCAACACCACTATTATCGCAAACTTCAAAGCTATGCAACTCCATAGAACCATGCTTAAATATTTAATTGAGGGCAGCAAATTAATCGCATTAATCCTAATATTTTGTTTAATACCCTTTTACTTGTTCAACAGCGTGGAGGCGGTGCGGCATTAACGTAATAAGCTTTTTAATCAGAGTGTTAGGTATAGCCACCCACGCCTTCTTCAAACCAGCTTCAAACCTCACCCACTCCTCTAGCGAGTCTCCTATCGTATCAAACTCAGGATAGAGCTTATAGACCTTCCTTTTAAGCGCCCACCATACGTGTTTGATAGGGTTAAGGTCAGGAGAATAGGGGGGCCAATCAATCGTTGCAACACCATGCTCCTCGAGCCAGCCTCTTAAGAGCGCAGCAGTGTGAATAGGTGCGTTGTCCTGCATAAACCACTCGCCAGGTCTGTAATGATCGGTGAGACCCTCATCGAGGGCTTTAACGTAGCTAGAGGCCGTATATCCGTTGCGCGTTAATGATGTATCGCGGGTCATGATTACCAGAGGACTACGGCCAACTCGACCTCCTAGTGTCATCCATATCGCGCCCTAGATTATACGCGCAGGCTGCCTAGCAGTAGAGACCTCCTCTATCATCTTGTGTGACCATTTATCCACTAGTAAACGCTATACCCATTAAGTGTTGTGGCCAGAGCCTCGGGCGAGGCTACACTCGTCACTAAATTTAAGAGTCTCCCTGCGCCAGTCGAAGCTACGCCAATCCTAAGCAAACTTAAGACGTTGTTTAGCGGTAGATCTATTGATTTTTGGCCTGCGCTTTGCTCGAAACTTGCGGTAGCCCTCCTCTTCAAGGGCGCGTTGCACTGTACGCTTTAAAACGTTAGGGTAGGCCTCCTGGCCATCCCACAGGCCAGCCTCCTTGAGGAGCTCACGGTACTCTATACCAGGGGCTTTTTTAGCGATTCGAAGCAGCCGACGACAGTCTCTACTAGTTAAAATAGGTGGACGGCCTATACGATCGCGCGTGGTAGTGCTAGAGGTGGCCTCCCATCGAGCTATCGTTTTCTGTACAGCGCGTTGTGTGCAGCGGAGCGCGTTGGCGATTTCCTTAGTTGCTGCACCAGCCTCTGCCTGCGCTAAGATAAAATCGCGTTAGCGTTCTAATAATTCACCACCTAGCATTCGATTCCCTAAAATTTCGGCGCTAAATAACCTCATATTGATGGAGTTGTGTGGTGTTGCAGAAGATACCTATCTTGTGATCTCATGTTGTTGTTCGGTCCGTGCGTTTAGCGCGAACGAACTTATGGCTTAGTACAGTAAAAATACTCCGCGAGGCTGCGGGCTATGGTGTGTAGCGTCAGGATATTCGGGAAGCAAAGAGATACTTAGCCTTTCAAGGGGCAAAAAACAATTGGATGTAACTCCATGATGGGGTTTTTGACCTACGCAGGGATCGAACCTGCAATCTCTTGATATCGAATGAATCGTAGTCAAGCGCCTTGCCATTGGGCCAGCAGGCCAGTTGTTACTGGTGTTAATAGGAAACACCTAGATTATCATCAATATATCTAGCACAAATAGTTAGGTTCCTTGAGAATTGAGACCGGGAGACTCGACGGCTGAATCTCTGAGAAAACCCTGTGTTCGATATGGTAGAGTGGGAGGAGCACAGAGCAGACGCAAGGTGGGGTAGAACCACAGCGAGAATTTCCTCTGCCGATCGGCTGCCGACATTTACGCCACACACATGTGTGACGGCGATCAATGGTGAGTTATCACAGTTACCTCTCTGGGTAATACTTGATCTGTTTGCGACACTCGGCTATGAGCCGGTCGCACTTGCAAAGCAGAGGGGCTGTAGGGCCATGGTTCCCTTCGTTAACAGGACAATCCCCAACTGCGAGCATATCTTGGCTGTAATTCACAACAACACTTTGCGATTCATTGCGCGCACCTTGTGCCCAGCCTCGTGGGTACCACAATTGATGGGGCACGTCCAAAGTTTCCTACCTAGGACGTGACGCTTCTCGTGGGCTAACTGAACCAGAGCTCTGCTCGCGAAAACTGTGTCGCAGTGTCGCAACATGGCAATCAACAGTTTTCCCAAAGTTACTATAACTGGAGGCTTTATTATGCGGCGGGGGGCAGCCTGCGCGGTTCCATGACGGTGAAAAGTGACGTCTAATGTAAGCCGTTTTTAGCTACGTACTTGGTCGCAGATCTCCAACTTCATCAGAGTCTGGTTGCTAGGCCTGCTCTAAGCGAGCCACTCAGAAGTGTTATAATGCATCTTCACTTCTGGAATCGAGTTATTGCTGCGATCAACACTTTAGAAAAGTTACCTAGATGGGAAGTTCATCACGTATGTGGCTGGGCCGGCCTGGTCTCTGCATCCCTACGATCGCGATCTGTTTTTGTTCGGAAAAGTCTTGGTTGTAGTCAACATGCCATCGGCTCCCACTTCCTTGATCAGGGAATTCGCACAAAGGGACGACTGGTTCTTGTAAAGCGAGATAGTGTGACGTACCTGCTTTGCCTAGCCATCAACAGCAAAACACCAACTTGGGTAAACACATATCTCTCTGGGCACCAAGACCTTTCGCGCACAAAGTACCGCACCACAACTAAGAGTCTCAATTGACTTTGTAATTCACACGCATAGGTCGTGTGCTTCCTGTTGTCAGAGTTGTTGGGGTGGCCGTCACGTGCAAGGCCATCAAGTCATTGGGGCTATTCCGCAATCGACACTTTTTCCAAAACTTGCCTGTCTGGGACATACCTCGGTATAGGCCATGGGACGCAGTCGACACCTCCGTTATCCACTAGGGTCACCTATGTAGGCAACAAACTACATGTTTGTATTATCGTATTAATATAGCTGGTGCAACGTATGCGATAAGGTGGGCTTTAAAGCAGAGTATCGTGGCCGCGATTGATTGCTATGCGTGGTAGCGCCGCAAACATGAATTGTGCCGCGCTGCAGCCTCTCGTTTTCAACGTATGTTTTAAAAGTCTATACTATATGCTAATAATTTTAGAAGTATTGATGAAGACTTATTACAGTTGTCCATATGCCTTCTCGTATCTTTTTCTTGCACAGCTGCGTTGAGTGTTCCGTCGTCAGCAAGACTGCTGGAACAATTTTTTCGATTCACGAATTAAACCTATAATGCAAGAAAATTTGATACGCAACATCCACAGATGCTATACGATTATAATTGTAGGACGGTACTATATTGATAGTCGCCTACATATCCACATATTTGATACGTATGACTGATGCGTCAATTTGGAGCGGCATGCAATTCCAGCAACGTGGGTGGGTGAAGTAGCAAGAGATTGATTACAATGAGTTTACAAGATTGGAAAGAGTACTCACAGATGTGAACTGTTATAACAATAAGGCACCTAGTGCATTATATGGATGTTTACTACCTATCACTACAATACCTACATGACAGATCTCTGATGTCTTGTATAAACCTACAGAATGGAAGTAGGCCGACAAGAGCCGACTTTCGACCGACATACAAATTTGCTTCATAAATATATTTGATGTAATTTTTGTCATCTCCATCAACAACAGTTACAACTGGCCTGCTGGCCCAATGGCAAGGCGCTTGACTACGATTCATTCGATATCAAGAGATTGCAGGTTCGATCCCTGCGTAGGTCATCAAACATTCTTTGTTTTTGCTGTTTTCATGTATAGTGGAGGGGGACGGAACGAACGCTTCAATTTTTTTTTGCTTTCCACTACGTCCTCTTCTCCCGTTGCGCTCCACATATATTTCCCACGTGTTCAACTATCTAGTTAAAAGGCACGGCACGATACCGAGGAGGTTACTCGTACTTTTCTACCTTTAATATTTGATCTCGTTGCTTCTTGTTACGCTGCGGAGAGTCTTTTCGTCGAAGATAGAATTTAGTTTTCGGTGCATTATATGCGTTATCAACGCCTAGGGTGTAATGTGTTTGCTCAACGTTCAGAGGCCTTGGATGAAGCTTAAGCTACTCAAGACAGTGTGATGTTCGACGACGAGATTGACATGATATTCGCGACGAAAGCCTAACTGGTCGTCAGCGTCGTTAGGGTGTGATCATTCTTGTTGCTAATTGTGACGATTCAATCATGAGAAGAGTATTAAAGTAGTGGCATGCTCAGGGTGTTTCATCTCACATAACCAAAGCACTGCACACCGAATATATATTTCACATTTTGAATTGTTTATGTACTTGTAATTTCTTAAATATATACATGTGCCTTCGCAGCGAATGCTATGAATATACGCAACATGACTGTGAAGTCTGCAATCTAGATCGCGAACTCGCGTGCGATGATGCGAAATGTGTGATGATATGCGACGCTGAAAACGCAGACAAAACGAAAAATGGTTGCGGTCAGCGCTTGACCGTCGTATGCTCCAGCGCGCACAAAACGCCAAAAAAACGAACAACTAGTGTGCCAACCCCATGCCCAGTCCATGCTTTGAGAACTTGCAAGAAAGAAAAGAGAGAAAAAAAAAGTGGTAACTCCCGCTCTCCGTTAATACGCGCAAAATCATACCACGTAGAAAAAATAAAATAGATGAGGGTACCCGCTTCGGGAAACTCTCGTAGACCTTCGGAACCAGTCCAGTCGCATTCATCCCGAAGGCATTCTTGCTCGATATTAACGTGTAACACGAATTTCCTTCGTACCCCCACTGTTGCGCGCACTGTAGCGTCGGCGAGACCCGGCATTGCGGATTTGCCGAGTGGGATGTGCCTTGGGAATCTTCGCATCGTGGGAAAGGATGTCCCCAGCTTTTGTCGCGAAGCGAGTGTAGCGAGTGTATTCACCGGAAGGTGGATATGCGACCGTTGC